TAAGGCGGGTGTTGTTATATAGGCGTTGTACGTAGGCGCGTTGTATAGGTGGCTGACTAAGAGCGGCTGACTAAGGCTCTAAATATTGCAGAATTGAACGCATTCGAAGAAAACCTTCGAAAACGCGTTTTTGGGCCTATTCTCGGCTTCAAGATTGAACTAACTATTGGGCTAGCTTATTAACTAACCGCTTGTTAGGTACAGTAGTAGGTCCCTACTAGCCAGTAGGGTCCACTTTCTCTTAGTGTTTGGGAACCACAGCACTAAAACACTAACCCCAGGCAGAGCCTTAACGCACCTCAGCTTTACGTTGCTGAGCAGCTGAGGCCATGATCATGACGCGTTGGAACTTGGCGGGGAGTCATAAAATCACAGGGGCAGCTACCAGTTGTCTCCATCCGAGTAAGCTGCAGTGAAAACCACATTAACATTCCTTGAACATGAAATGGAATTCATGGATGAACCTGAACTCACCTCATTGCTACCTTCCCAGGTGTGTAAGTCCCTAGATCCTTCCGCTCCGTGCTCATTGCTGAGGAATTGACGGGAAAGGGTTGCGGAATGTTGCCCGTTAATTCAATGAGTCTGAAAGCGAGCTTCGGTAAACCGGCCGGCGGCATTCGATTCCATGGAGGCCACGGGCTCCATAGACCCCGAAATGGCCCAACTTTCGTTATTCCAATTTCCAAGGACGCAAGGGTCGCCGATGGTGTGCCTAGTACACACCGACGCCACAACGGGATGGGTATCCAAATCAAGGTAAGCGGTGAGAAGACGATGTTCAGCTCGGTCTATCCGCCTGAGTCTCCACACCTGAGGTATGTGTACCTGCAACGAGGCTAAATTTGAACCCAGGAACTCAGCGAATGTTCCTCAAGATGGGGGGTGGGCTGTTGAGCAGACCCAGGTTCTTGCCCCTTGCTCGGCCCTTTGGACAAGGAAACAGCTGAAGACCCATTGTTCACCGTGCGGCTTGACTACAAGCGGATTCCATATTCCTGCTAGCGCGAGACTCGTGAGCCGAGCTAGGGTCCGCGGTCCTTCTCGCAGTTGCAGGTACGACGGATTCATGGTCCCTATGCAGCCTTCGAGGTAGCAAGAGCATGGTAAGGCTACACTCGAACTTACGCGAGAGACTATTCCATAATTTCCCGGAAGTGATTGTTTGAAGGAGGAATTGTATACCATCCATTTCTCAAAGAAACACGCTAACAGACCGGCAGGCAAGACGGTGTAGCTGTCTCCGTCGACTTCCTACCAACCTTGGGCCACCCACACCCTCATCTTCTCCAGCGGCCGGTGTGATAAGACACCATTAACTGCGGTATAGTGTGGCAACTACAAGTACACCGCGATTAGCTCTTATCTCTCACTGTGAAAGAGCGAGGCTTTAAAAACGCACCGAAGGTCCGACACACAGCCATTATTCAGCTGTTCTCTCTCTTCATATCAGCCGCCTCAAACTCGCCATAGACACCAGACAGCACCTTGCTCATTGAACCCGGTCTAATCCACACCACCATGTCGCTTTTCAGAAAACTGAAAAAGGATTCGAACCCCAAAGAGCCAAACTCCAAAGAGCCAACGGACAATGCCAGTGGGAACGTCTACATGTACGAACGAAGAGGTAAGATAGCACGGGGTTAACCTGGCAAAGTCACAATTCCAGGTCACAACTTGTTCCTTCAAGTTGGCGATATTGATATCCAATTGAAGTTGAAACTAACCTATACTATGCATAACCAGACAAAGAGCGCGCAGAGGAGCCGACAGTCGAATGGTGGCGTCGCGAGCTGACCGAAGCATTGGCCAAGGCTAGCAAGTTGGAAGACATGCCCAGCGAGCGCGGGCTGCCGCGCTTCAGGGCCCAAGTGCGAGCTGCCCGCGCCCAGCTCTGGCTTATGTGGAAAACTCCGCCCTATGCCGTTTCCGAAAAGGAATTCAATTGTGCAAACGAGCTGTATGAGTCGCTTCCTGTCGAAGAAAAGGCTGAAAAGCCCCGCACCGATCAGGCTGATATCGCCAAAATGAGAGATGACGGTCTCAAGGTCGTCGGGATCCTTATGAAGCTCAAATTAGTTGATGGCCTGACTGAGGAGCACATCAAGGACCTTGGGCAAGCTCCTGCCTGAGCCTCTCCCAAGACGGAGTGAAGGCGCGGATCTTATTTGGACACCGAGGACTTTGTTTACTTTCTTCATGTCAAACTCTCATCTCGAGAATGTCTTCCCGGGCTTCCAATAAGCCAGGTCTTGCGGTTCGAGCCATTGCGGCCTTAACCTTCTTGTCATTCCTGTCATGCATTCTTGCTGAAGCTGGTGGGAGGCTATCTCTCTCTCTGGGTTGGATATGTGTTCTGAAACTTCTGTTAGCCTCGATTGTCAACGAACTTACGTGTGTGAAACCACACAAACCACCATGACTGAGAGATGACTCTCACAGTGCTCAAGGCTCTGGAACTGAGATTCAAGAAGGGACGGATGCTTCTTGTCCTCGGTCGTGATAACTTGAAGATAACGACAATGACTGGCGGCTCCCACTGTCAGTACAGGGCAAACGTACAGTCAGGGGTATTCGCTATGCTGTGGATCGGTGGTAGCTTTCCACTCAGGTGCCCAAGGCAAGAGCTCAGGGTGGTAGTATTCACTGAGTACTGACGTTTGTCAACTTAGCCAATCACGGAACAGAAGTCGACTTGGCACCATTGCCCTCAAAGGCAACTTGCTGTGCCGTAAGTGTGGTTCCATGGGAGCATAAACTGACTGGAGTGACTGCCTAGGGACACAGGACGCAAGTGGACATTGAACATAATATTTCTCCAACCCCTTCATTTTGTCTCTGCGTTGTACTTTTTCGTGGACTCCGGCAAGTAGAACCACGAATCGTCAGACAACCTTCCCCCACGACCAAGAGGGTTTTCTCGGCACTCAATCAGAAAATGACGGCCCCAGGGTCACTACCTCCAGACGCCGAATATGGTGCCATCCCCTTCGACTTATTCGCGCTGGTACGAAGTACCCTTCTAATAGTACCCATCCATAGTCTTGATGCTACCGCGCCGCACTGTCACCTATATGCCTGTCTCAACGCCTGACTCCGGTCGCTCACGCTAGCGTATTGTAGGATCACTGGGACTACTCTCTGCCGCCCGAGGAGGACGAACAGCAGTGGAACAACCTTGTCCAAAAGTACCTCAGCCTCTCGGAGCGGGAACGCTTTGTAAGTACCTTAATTTCCCCCCCATGGATGACACCAATTGGTGCCCTACCCGTGGACCTTAGGTATGTACAGCGCCAACCGGTACAAACCCGTCTCCTATAGCCATGGCACCAGTGGGGCGGCCAAGTCCATCCTCAAATTCCCACCCTCACGCCCGAGAACGTCGCGCGGGTACTCCGCCCCCACCAGACCGCCCAAGAGCGGATCATCAGCGCGTACGCTGCCCCTCCGTGCTACAACTTCGTCTGGTTGCGCACGTGCTACGACCCGGCGCTCCAGAGACAGTACGACGAGCTGCTCCGCGCCTCGGGCGCCGGGGGTGACTTGGCCATGGGCCCCGAGTGGGTTCTGGACAACGCGGCGCGGTATGACTTTGGCTCGGAGCGGAGCGAGATTGTGGCGCGCCTCGTGCGGCGGATCCCGTCGCTGTGCGATCCGTACAGGGCGAGCGTCGAGGAGGATTACGACGTGTATCGTGTCGAGGATCAGGAGAGCGGTCATGAGAGCGAGCTCGTGAGGGCGTCGAATCGTGTACGGTTGGGAGTGTGTGTTGTCGATGAGGAGGCCATCAGGAAGCAGATGGTCAAGATTTTCTGGCTGGGGGAACACGGGCAGTGTCTGTGGCATAATGAGGTAGCCCCGGACATGGTGGAGGCCATGTCGGGCGTGTTTAAGGGCGGCTTCTCGCTGGAAGAGGGAGTCGAGGGCTTTTTTACCGTGGGAGAGCGAGGATGACTTGATTGCTTATTCATTTGTTGGAAGAAATCCCCCCCCCCATTCCTTTCTTCTTTTCTTCCTTTTTTTTCCCTTTTCAAAAAGCCTTTTTGAGCACTGTTGGGGATGACCTCTGAAGTCCGAAAGGGGTTGGTTACTGCACCCGAGCGAGTAGGACCGCTCAGGGGGAGCGGATACGTAAGGTGCCTAGTACAGGAAGGAACAGAGCCCGAGAGCGTCCGATTTGTATCAGGTACCTATTGATGCCTGCCGCTAGGACTGGGCGCTCTTTCCGCCCATTGCTAGCGCCTTTGATGCAAGACCTTATCCCATGTCCAAATTCATGGAGTGAGGTAATCTACCGACTGCGGACTGGACTCAAGGCCGGCATCCGTACCTGCTCTATGCGACGGGCAAGTCCGAGCAAAGTGTCGCAATCACCTGGAGTCCTGGACCGGTGAACTTTCAACATGGCGTATGTACGAAGGAGTTGCAATCCTCCATTTCGGGTATGGGGAGCTTGCATCTTCATCCGAACTCCGAAGATTAACACACACAAACCAACTACACTTCTTCAAGGCCACCTAATTAAGCTTTCGATGAACAGGGACAGGAGCTTGGCGATTGGTGCGACTGCCGTTGCAATGAGGCCCTGTCGTTGAACGACCAAGCTGCGTTGCGATTGATCGTCAATCCGGGGGGCGGGGAATTCCAGGATCTCGAGGGCATTGTAAAACGAGATGTCCGAGCTCTGAGACGGCATATTCTTGCCCCGTGCGTTGCGCACACTCACAGCATTGCGTCTTCCCAAGGGTGCCGAGTCTCCATTATGATGGTTGGCGGTACGCAGGCCCTTTTGAAGCTTTGTTTTTGGCGATTCGTGGCTCGGGCCGCAGCATCCTGGAAGAGTGGAAGTCTTGTCGTCCTCTGAACGCAGCATGGGCTCATACTCAAGTCTCGGACAAGCTGTCAAGCTGTCAAGCTCATATCAGATATCATGCCCCCATTCGTCCTATTCGTCAAGAGCACGGTCATACCTTTCTCTTCTAATTGAGCTATGTCGAGACGATCGCCGGGTTCCTACAGCGGGATCGCCGCCATTCGTCTCGTTTTCAGTCCTGTCCTCGGCTCGCTATCCGACTTGGCCCGCGAGCAAGTCCGGGGAACCCATGGCTCGACGGCTCATCCGTTATCTTGACAGCCTTCCCGTCTTGTCGGCCTGGGGTCTAGACTTGCTTTCCTTCCCAAGGCCCGCATTACTTGCAGTTGCCAATGCCATTACAATTAAGGGGGCATCCCGTCGTGTTGTCGCCGTCGTTGTTCAAGAAGAAGGTTAAAGGCCGCTAGTTTGCCCTTGCTTCCCATGTCAGGCATCGACGCCTCGACGACCGCATCCTCGTCGATATCGGCGCTTAGCTCTCCGTCACCTTGGCCGAATGGAACCAGCCTCGAGAGCAGCACGGTTGACGCCGTGGCAACAAACACAACGAACTCCAACACCGTTGTCAGCTTGTCACCAACAATATCAACAATGAATCTTGGCCCTCACATCAACTTTACCATCTGGCTTTTGACGGCACTGTCAGCCGTATTCCTTGCACTGCGGGTGTATTGCAAGTTCTTGAGGCATCGCGGCTTGTGGTGGGATGACTATGTGTTGATAGCTTCATGGGTGAGTGATCGCATGCAGGGTCGGCATCTCGACGTCTGTTCACTCGACCTTTAACCTAATACCTTCTTCTCCTCAGCTCTCTCTTGCTGTCTCGGGAGCCTTCGTTTCCGCGAGCATAACTTTGGGGTTTGGGCGGCCACTGTCCGAATTCAATTTTGATAACCTCCACATGTATCTCCTCTATACTAATCTGGCTGGAACCTTCTCCATTCTCGCTGCTTTATGGAGCAAAACTTCCTTTGCTATCACAATCTTGCGCATATCCTCAGACTGGACCAAGGTGGCCGTCTGGTTCATCATCGTCACAGTGAATGGCTCACTAGGTGCAGCCATTGGTATCACATGGGGACAATGCACGCCGATCGAGAAGATTTGGCGCCCGAGTCTAGAGGGATCTTGCTGGCCAAAGGAGATACAAATTCGATACAACACTTTCACGGCGAGTAAGTGAAGTTAGCACTCCAACAGACCGGAACATGTTGCTGATGACGGAATAGTTTATTCCGGGGCTTTGGACATTGTATTAGCTCTTGTGCCATGGAAAATAATCTGGGCTCTTACCATGAACAAGAAAGAAAAGTTTGGCGTGCTCATAGCAATGAGCATGGGTATCTTGTAAGGAGTCTGCCTTTGATGAGTTCAATGGGAGGTCGTGTCCGACATACTAACCCTGGTTTCTCAGCGCTGGCATCACGTCGATTATCAAGTTTACGCGGCTGCCCTCCATCTCCGACTCCACCTTCACAGAGGCCACCAACGAGCTTGTTATCCTTGGGAGCGCGGAAAGCGCCATCACCATCATGGCTGCCTCGATCCCTATTCTCAGGGCCCTTCTCCGGGTGTCCGGCCCGCCTCGGGGCCCTGCCGAGTTCTACCACACGGACATCAGCCTTGTCGCAGGCACTGAAAACCTCCAAGGGACAGCTCGCAGCAGTACGGTTATCACCAGCGCCGGTCGCGGCCACTCCCGCAACCGCAGCTCCCGTAGCTGGTTGCCCGGGAACAAGGAGACGTTGGCCGACAGACCGCTTCGCACGCTCAGCGGGTTAAGTCGCTTCAGCGGCTTTGGCGCGACGTTCAGCAGGAGCACTAGCAGGAGTGCTTCCTATATCACGCGGTCCCCGCGCACTAGCGTGGCGAGCCTCGATCCGCCGCCAGGGAAGATCATCCAGATTGAGGAGGTGTTGGTCGAGTATGAGTCTAATGTGGAATCAAATCGCCACCCCGGTCAGGACCCTCAGGGGCTCGATGTTGAGCGAGCTGTGTGAGTTTTTTTGTAAGGGGCATGTTGACGGGACAAGGCGCCGAACGGCTGGAGGATACGGCGTGCAAAATGAAGTCAATGTTGGCGGTTGCGGACTGTCGCTACCTTGGGAAGTTGGGATACCCGGCGTTTTGTGAGTTTGGTTCTGGCTGTGCTTCTCGGCTTGCATTTGATGGGGCCAGGTCCGGGGGAGTGTCTGCTGCGAATTCATGCTGGCAATTGCCCGTTAATGTATGATGGCTCTTTGTAGGAATAGTGGCTTTTTGCATCAACAAATTTGTTTGCGTCGGCATGGGCATCGGCATGTTCTTAACTTCACGAAAGTAGTTGTGGGGCCGGGGTAGGAGCCGAGGCAGCTGTCCGGGTCCAGCCAAGCAGGCGTCCAGGGGCCAGGGGGGGAAACGACAACCGCGGCAAAGCCCCGCATCCCGCCTGCAGGGCCGCCGGCAATTTAGCTTAAGGCCAGTGCGCCCCATCACGATTCACGACGTACCTTTGCCCCTTTCTCTGACTCTGGTCACGACGCAAACCTTCAGCGGCCAGCCAAAATGCCGCAATCTTACCGCGTGGTGCAGCACATTGTCGACTGCCACTACACAAGAGAGTACGTTGCGGCGACTGCCAATGGCGATGATGACAGGCCGAGGCTCGCGGTGAAGCAGTACATCCCCATAGACAACCCCAACCCTCAGCCAGGCGACGTCACACTCATTGCAGCTCATGCCAACGGCTTTCCAAAGGCACGCGGCGGCCCTCTCACACTCAAATCTCGATGTGCGGTGCTAACTTGGTTGCAGGAGCTGTATGAACCTCTTTGGGATGACCTTCACAGGAGGCTGGCCCAGAGCGGGACACGTATCCGGTCTATTTGGATCGCGGATATGTGGAATCAAGGGCAGTCGGGCGTTTTGAACGAGAAGATACTAGGAGACGATCGTAAGAGACCTGTTGAGAAACCCAGCAGTGACCCCATCCGCTGATCCGACAACTGATACTTGGCAGCAAGCTGGTTCGACCATGCTCGTGACATGATGAATCTCATCAACCTCAAGCGAGATGAGATGCCGCACCCGCTGGTCGGGATCGGCCACAGCATGGGCGGAGCGCAAATGTAAACCCATTTCCCCTTTTCCACCTCCTACAAACAGTAAAGCAACACCTTCAACCAGCCGTCACTCACACCAAAACCTTCACAGCTCCGCCGTAGCCCTCATGCACCCGCGGCTCTTCCACAGCGTCATCCTGCTCGATCCCGTAATGGGCTTCGTCAACAGTGGCATCGGGCCCGCGGTCGCCTCCACCAGCCGGCGCGACATCTGGGAGTCACGCGCCGCGGCAGCGGCCAAGTTCGCCCAGTCCAAGTTCTACCAGGCCTGGGACCCGCGCGTGCTGGACCTGTGGATCGAGCACGGCCTGCGCGAGTTGCCGACCGAGCTGTACCCCTCCCTCTCCTCTGCCTCCCTCGCCAACATCAACAGCAAGGGACAGGCCGAACTTGGAACTAGAAAGGAGGACAAGCCCGTCACGCTGACAACGACCAAACACCAAGAGCTCTTCACCTACCTGCGCCCGACCTACCGTCGTCCTGACGCCTACCCCGTCCCGGACATGGACCCGGCCTACGACGTCGTCAACCCACGCGGATACCCGTTTTACCGGCCCGAACCGTTCCACGTGTTCCGGCGGCTGCCCGAGCTGCGGCCCAGCGTGCTATACGTCTTTGGCGGGCAGTCCGACATATCCACGCCCGAGCTGCGCCGGGCCAAGATGCAGAACACGGGGACCGGGGTTGGCGGAAGCGGCGGGGTGGATAAGGGGAGGGTTGAGGAGGTGGTGCTTGATTGTGGGCACTTGGTGGCTATGGAGAAGGTTGGGGAGTGCGCGGAGGCGATGGCGGGGTTTTTGGAGAGGGAAGTGGGACGGTGGAGGACGCAGAGGAATGCTGTTGAGGCGGCTAGGAAGGGGCGGGAGAGGAGGGAGGTCATCATGATTGATGAACGGTGGAAGGAGGAAATTAAGCCACGGGAGAAAGGGGAGGCGAAGCTCTGATGTTAGTGGTGTGGAAGCGCTGGGCTTGTTTAAGGAAGGTGCTGACGGAATTCTAGAAGATGCTTGGCTTAGATGTTTAGACCTAGCGGAGAATTGTACTGCAATGCCTAGCCCATGTTGGTTTGTCTTTCTATCATGGTGCAGTCAACGCTGAGAGCCGCGTCACTGGGATTCTGCGGAAACTGCTTGTGATAATTTGACTCGATCGCTCCGACTGCGTGAAGCCGGGACTTCTGTCGTTGAAGCCCTCGAAGCGGAAGGCGCTCGTGTTGTCTCTACTCTGCTCGGCATGCAGAAGGAGGGAGGAACCTTAACCCAAGGCAGGTGCACTACTACATCAGGGCTGCTCCTTCTCGGCCACAGACTTAAAAACAGCCAGCAGAGGGCTGGGAAAGAATCCGCGCATGTCAAGTAAAAAGACACCTGAAAGGATGGAACAAGGAAGTGTCTGGCTTCGACTTCGCTGGTCTTGTTACTCTAGAACTATTCCATCAGTATCACTTCCAAAGTTGCCCTTCCCGCCACCGTCTTCAAGGACAGGACATCTCCCCATTAGTGACCAGACAACCCACGTCGCCTTGGTTCACCGCCTATGCCTTTCTTGCATCCGCAATGATGTCTTCTGAGGCCTTGGCGCTCAGCATCATTGTCGGACAGCTCGGGAAAGCACCTGGGACGACGGGGAACGCGCTCGCATCAACGACGCGTAGCCCCTGAACACCCCTGACACGGAACTTGGAGTCAAGCACAGCCATTGGGTCATCATCACCTCCAATGGCGCACGTCGACGTGGCATGGTGCGAGTACGCCTGCAGCTTGAAGTACTCGGCCTGGCTAGCATCAGTGCAGTTGGTTCCCTTGGGACAAGGGTGCAGCTCGTCAAAGGGGAGAACAGGCTCGCCGGCAGCCTGCCACGCTTCACGCAGAATGTTGGCGGCCTCGACTAGTTCGTGCAGGTCCTTGTCGCCCTCGTGCTCGAAGAAGCGGAAGTTGATCTCGGGCACGTCCTGCGGGTCGGCAGACAGCAGCCGCACCGAACCAGCTTGTGACTTGGGCGCCATGTGGACGAGGGCGCATTCGTATTGTTTGGGGCCGTAATTGGTAGGGAAGCCGGGCCAGAAGCCCTCGAAGGAAAAGGCGCCGCACCAGGTGTAGATGTTGCGCTTCTTGGTGGGTGCCGAGGGCGTCCGGAAAAGGAGAGTGATGAGTCCGCTCTCGACGGGAGACTGGCCCAAAGCAAGGAGAGAGCCTTCATAATTGTCGCCAAGCCGTTCGCCCACACCCGGAAGGTCCTTGATGACTGGGATGTTGAACTTTGTGAGTTCCGCCGCCGGACCGATGCCGCTCAGCTTGAGGATCTGCGGCGAATTGAAAGTGCCGCCCGAGATGATGACTTCGCGGTTAGCCAAGATCTGCGAGATAGGACCCTTAGTGCCATCGACGTGTTTAGGGTCTGCTTTGTACAGTGACTCGCCCTCCATCACCTCGACGCCGATGGCCCGGGGCGTTGTGCTGTTGTCAAAGAGCACCCGCGTTACAAGAGTATGCAGCTTGACGGTCAGAGGGTATTTCGCCGGGTCGGCAAGCGTGGCGCGGATGTAGTTGTTCGGACTGCTGCGTTTGCCCTCCTTTGAGGCGTGGGTGGCCATGTTGTAAAAGGAGGTGATCTCATCTGCATTCTCATACTCGCCAAGAATGTCACTGTTGACGAGGTTGGCGACGTTCTCGGGGTCCTGGCCAGTAAGTTCGGCCATCTTCTTGAGAATCTTTGTGGCCGGCAGGCTATTGTTCTTGGCCCAGGAGGCATCAGCAACCGAGGTGGACAGCCATCCTGAGACCACCAGCATCAGTAAGAAAGCCGTCAACGAAGTCACGAATGGCATTCCTCAGCTTACCATCATAACCATGAGCAGGATTTCCAGCGGGCAAGTAATCGTTCTTCTCAATTATTTTGAAGTACTTGCGCATGTTTGCTGCTGACCAGCTGGTGTCACCCGTCTTGTTGACGATGATGTTCCAGTCATCGTCGGCGGGCAGTGAGCAAACACCAGCGTTGTGCATGGCGCACCCGCCCAGGACCGAGGCACGGGGATACTGAATACCCAGCAGCTTGGCTCCCTCTGGTGGCTCGAGACCGACGTAGAAGGTCCCGTCACCAGTGTCCCAAGTCGTGTGTTCAAACTTGAGATCTCGAGCCGGATCGTCCGAGTGCTTGACCCAGAAATCCCAACGGGTCAATTCATCGTTGGCCGCCTCATTGAAGTTAGGGATGTCTGCATAGGTGGGATTGTCACCCTCATCACCACCAGCCTCGATCAAGAGAGTCGAGTATCCGGCTCTTGCCAGGTTGGCAGCTAAGGGGCCGCCACCGGGCCCACTGCCCACCACGATGTAGTCATAGGGCGACGCCGCCGGCGCGGCATCGACCACGACAGCCCCAAGAACGACGAGCGCGTGTACGAGAGTGTGTAGCATCGTGACGGACTTGACGATGTTGGATAGCATGCAGCAGAATGGCCGTGTCTGTCGCGAGTCGAGGCAGTGCCATCCGGCGATTTATATGTCTCCCAGACTCGCCCCTCGCTTTCAGGTCGCATTTATGCAAGGGTCACATCTCCAAAAGCAATCTGTTGGAATTGGATTCATTCCCGGATATTGAGGGGTCGTCACTGCCCTTGGTCCAAGGAATCCCAGGAGCGCCTGCCGCAAAGTGCCATTGGCTCTGGCTAAACTGGGTAGCCACATGTGCACCGGCTGCGTTGGCAGATGGGAGCGGGAACGGCAATCTCGAAAGGTCTCGATCACGTCCATTCTTTCCGATAATACTAATTAGGCGGCGGTTATTGCCTTGGCGTGTTCTGGAAGATTGGAAACCACAACGGTGATATCTCGCATGAGCCGCCAACAACCGGGCAACGCGCAGTTACAACACTCCTGCAGTCAGCTGAGGTCTGTTACTTTACTTGAATGAATTTGCCAGTAGTGGGATAGAATCCTAACTGGGTTCATCAGAGGAAATCAGCAGTGTTGCAACAGAATGCTCCCATGCAGACGGTGACCCAACCCCCGTTTCCGGGTGTAACACCAGACCTCACCATTCTACGCATCGGTATTGTACCACAGTGAGCTGGCCTAATGGGTTTCGAGCACAAGTTCATGCCCAAGGTACTGCGGTCAAATCTGCCACGAATATCGGTTTGGTCCGGAATTTGCCCCTATTCTTCCTTAACCCCTATGTGCTATTAGATCTAGGGCCTTTTATTGGCTGATCCGAAGCCACTGGTTTCCATGAGTTCTTACTTGATGTCCAAGGGCTTCGCCACATGCACGAAGCCAGGATCTTAAGGATGGGACTAGGCTCTTGAAGTCTTTGTTGAGCTAGCCCTGGATAGCCTTACATCATTAAGATGTATTAATTTATCTCAAAATGATGTTAGTATTCCGAACAGAAACACTTTAACAATCACTGGTAACGGAATTAACAACCAGCTAAGGACCACGCGGAAGAGCGTATCACACCGTTTCATGATCTGATGAGGTAGGTTCTTATCACGGCAGCAACTATCACTAAAGACACCTGACTTGGGCGGGAGTTGACACTGTCAAGGAATGTGGTCTTGTATTCCAAAGTCTCTCGTAGATCTTATTGAGTACTAAGTGGATTTGAAGGATAGCCCAGTTGAGTCCTGCCTGAATCCTACTTGACCTCGTGTTCCCGTCTCCTTCATCCATGTTCTTGGGTTACATGCCGGGAGCTGGATAATAACTTCAGCTAGAACATGACAGCCTAAGGTAGGTACTCAGGCGTTTGTTCCCAAACTTGCAACATGTGACAGACTCAGACCAACCTTGGAAACTTTTGAACGGCCAAACTGTACCTTGTACTACAGATAGTTTACCTAACATTAACCGCAGTCCAATGCTCAGTTTTGCTTCCAGACCAAATATGTCAACCTTTGTCAGGTGTCGCTGGTTGCTGCCTGTCCACACCCACATGCCGCATCGACCTTCGGATTCAAGCCGGGAGTGGGAGAAGGAGCAGCAGCCGTTAGGTCCAGCAATTTGTTGATAAAATGGAAACACGGACCCATCCGCACAGCGAAACCTAACCGCTCCCCCGAACTCCAGCCCAGTCACAGACTCAGTGTCACACCCAGCACAGCCCTCTCAGCGCAGCACATCGTTCACTGCAGTCAACTCGCAAGGCTCGGAGCAATGATCTATCACGGTAACTGTCACTGCGGTGCGCTTCGGTTCGAATTTCGGGTCGACGATGCTGTCAAACGCAGCATTGGTTGCAGCTGCATCGCCTGCAGGAAGCAAGGCTACACTTGGCTCGTCGCTGAAGAATCTCTCACTGTTGTGCGTGATGACGGAAAGCTGACCAAGTACTCATCGCCTACTCTGACTCACGAGGTATGTGCTCCCGACTCGACCCAGAGCTGGCCTGCGAAGGAATTAACCAGGGTAACTGGTTGTCTAGTTCTGTTCCGTATGCGGTACCGGTGTCTTTGGCGAGCATTCCGAGGGGTTACTCAGCGGTCAAAGACTTCTCAATGTCAGGACGCTGCGTGGAGTGAATCCATTCGACCTTGAGTACGTGGCGTCTCACACTAACATGGATCTCGACTGACTTGCTTCTAGAAGAACCAGAGATGCAAGTGGAACAGACATGGATTCACCGCTAGCAGTAGAGTCTAGGCCGACATTGCCCATTACGGGATCCTGCCTCTGTGGGTCGGTGGGGTTCGAACTGGCCGTGCCTCTGCAGGAGGTAGAGCTCAAAGAGGACAACTGCAGTATCTGCGCCAGGGTGAGTCCCATCGTATCCCGATGCGGTGGAGAGTCCATTCAGTTTTCTTCCATGTCTGTCCAACTGGTGCTAACAGAGCCATCGCTCAGAATGCATGGGCAGGTGCATACGCCACCAAGATGCATGTGCGTATCTTTGGCTCTGGCGAGGTTCAAGATTACCGATACGGGCAAAGATTTATGGGATTTCCTTTTTGCAAGGTGTGCGGCGTGCACGTCTATCTGAGTGTATACGGCCCGCCCAAAACGTTCGTTGACCGGCTATCGGAAGACAAGAAGAAGTTCGTTCGAAGAAAGCTCGACCTCGTGCCGGTCAATATTCGGGTCCTCGACGAGGTTGACATTCGCGCGCTCAAGATTGAACGATCAGACGAGGGAACTAAGGGGTACGAACAGAACGTGTTGGGTCTGCCTCGAAGAAAGGGGGACACTTCCGGCTCCCCCTGAAAGTTGGCCCTCATCAGCCGGTGGCAGATGTTGCCATTGGCCCTGGTACCTGACTACAGGCTTCTTCACAAAGTCAGCCACGCGGTGGGAGGTCCACCATGATCATGATTTGATCTTACCCAACTTGGGGACACCGACTACCTCAATCCCAGATACTCAGTTTCTCACATTGCGCCTGGGGAGCTTGAAGCACGGTGGTCGACTGCCATCATCACTTTTGACATGCTCATATGACCTTTCACGCCGCTGATGACTTGCCCGGCGAAAGCCAGAGTCAATTCAATATTATACGGGCTTAATCTAAGAAATTACTGTTGAAGTGTCTTTATGGTTGCTGCAAAACTCCGAATCCAGTCACCCGTCACCGTGAGGTGTCTATTTCTTCTTGACATCAAACCGGTCCAGATCCATCACCTTGGCCCAAGCAGCCATGAAGTCAGCGACCATCTTGTCCTGCCCGCCCGCCTCCGAGTAGACCTCAGCGATGGCCCTCAGCTCGGCGTGTGCGCCAAAGACGAGGTCTGCCCGTGTGGCCGTCCACTTGTTTGCGCCCGTCGCGCGGTCCTTGCCCGTGAACAGTTCGGCTCCCGGCTCGGGCATCCACACGGTGGCCATGTCAAGCAGGTTGGTGAAGAAATCGTTGGTGAGCGTGCCGGGGCGGGCTGTGAGAATGCCGCGCGAGGAGCCGTCGTAGTTGGCGCCCAGTGCGCGCATGCCGCCGACAAGGACCGTCATCTCGGGCGCCGTCAGTGTCAGCTGCTGCGCCTTATCGACGAGCAGCTCCTCGGTGCGCGCCCGAGCCCAGCCCGACACGTTGCGGAAGTTGCGGAACCCGTCAGCCTGCGGGTTGAGGTGCTCGAAGCTGGCCACGTCCGTGTCAGCCTGGGTGGCGTCGACACGCCCGACCGTGAAAGGGACACGGAGGTTCTTGTAACCAGCCGCTGCGGCGGCTTTTTCGATGGCTGCGTTGCCGCCGAGCACGATCAGGTCGGCGAGCGACACCTGCTTGCCCTGCTTGTTGGCGCTGTTGAAGGCGTCCTTGATCTTGGTCAACTGCAGCATGATCCAGTCAGTAATCTCGAGTGGATATAGTATGGAAGGGATACGACACGTACGGCAGAAAGCACGGTTTGCAACTGCTTTGGGTTATTCACTTCCCACGAGACCTGGGGTTCCAAGGCGATCCGGGCCCCGTTGGCGCCGCCGCGTTTGTCACCACTACGGAAGGTCGAGGCGGAACCCCATGCAACGGACACGAGGCTGGAAATAGTCACGCCAGGGGCGGCGAGGATATCGGACTTCAGCTTCTCCTGGTCGGCCTCGGTGATGTGAGGGTACTTGACCGTGGGAAGAGGATCCTGCCATGGGAAACGCTGCTGCGGTACCTCAGGGCCGAGATACCGGACGATGGGGCCCATGTCACGGTGGGTGAGTTTGACTTTGCATTTCATCCTGCGTCAGAGACCGGGGCGACAATGTCCAAAGGTAGGCTCACTTACACCAAGCTTCGGCGAAGGCCGTGGTCAATGCCTGGAAGTCGTCGGCCCAGGCACGTGCAATCTTTCCATAAACCGGGTCGTCGCGCAAGGCAAGATCGCTGACAAGCATAGTAGGACGGCGGAAGGTCTTGTTGAAAGGGTCGGGATACTCAGCAGGTGCTCCGAGCGCTTCAAACTGAACGGCACCAGCCGGACTCTTAACCAGAGTCCAGTTGTGCTTGAACAGGCCGGTCAGGAAATCTATAAGCAGCCTGGTGAGTATGGAGACTCATGGTGCATCTCTCACTCCTAGTACTGCTGGTACTTACCATTGCTCCATTTCGTTGGCGTCCTGGTCCAGATGACTTCCAGTCCGCTTGTGACAGTGTCGCCAGCGTTGCCGGTGCCAACATTATTGGCCCAGCCAAAGCCTTGTTCCTCAAGGGTTGCGCCTTCTGGTGCAGGACCAAGGGCTGAAGCTCGTGTTAGCTTGCCTGTCTCTTCAGGGGTTCGAAGGAGGATCACCCACTAGCACCCGATGCGCCATGCGCTTTGCCAAACGCGTGCCCTCCGGCAATCAAGGCGACAGTTTCCGAGTCGTTCATGCCCATACGGCTAAAGGTGGCGCGGATGTCCAAGGCAGACAACTTGGGGTCGGGGTTGCCATCCGGTCCCTGGGGGTTGACGTAGATCAGGCCCATGTGGGTAGCAGCAAGCGGTTTCTGCAGCTGCTCGGCGCGTGCGGCATAGTCGGTACTGCCGTTGTAGCGGACGTCGTTACCTTCGGGCACCCAGGTGGTCTCGGAGCCCCAGTAGACGCTCTCGTCCGACTGCCAGGTGTCGGGGCGCCCGGCACCAAAGCCAAGCACGGGGAAACCCATCTCCTCGAGGGCCACGTTGCCGGCCAGGATCATGAGGTCGGCCCACGAGATGGCCTTGCCATACTTCTGCTTGATGGGCCACAGCAAGCGACGGGCTTTGTCGAGGTTACCGTTGTCCGGCCAGCTATTCAGCGGCGCAAAGCGTTGCTGGCCCTAATGGAGGAAGCATGAGCGTCAGCCTCTTGAGGTCAATTGATCAAAGGGGTGGCAGTAGGTACCATTCCGCCGCCACCACGGCCATCAAAGACGCGATAAGTGCCGGCGCTGTGCCAGGCCATACGGATGAACAAACCGCCATAGTTTCCGAAGTCGGCTGGCCACCAGGGTTGAGACTGGGTCAGCAATGCCTTGAGATCCGACTTGAGTGCCTTGTCTGTGCAATGGATGTCAGTCGCCAGCCTATCTAAGAAACCAGCAAGGCAAACATCAAGCCATTTACTCACAGTCCAGGGTAGCGAATGCGGCGGCATAGTCGAAGTCTCCTCCCAAGGGGTTTTGCTCGGACGCAAACTGGCGGAGGGCGTCCAGTTTCAGCTGGCACGGCCACCAATCATCGCTCCGGGTCCCGCGGCCAGCTGCATCGCTGATTGTCGGGCACTTGCCGAAGGAATTGGAGAGCGTGTCGACAGAAGCCCGCTCCTCCACTCTCGCGGCCCGAACATCGCGCTTGATGTTATGGGTGGCGGCATAAGGACAACCCGCAGAGACCAGGGGTAAAAGCCCGAGCAGGGCCGAAAGGGTCGTCGGGATCATTATGCAGATCCAGTGCAGCGGTCTGGAAGGATGAACGAATGACACAGTCCGCGAAAACTTTGACGGTGAAGAGACATGACAGGAGATCGACGAGGCATGACGGCGACCTTATCTATATATGCAGGAAGTGCATTTGGCGCGAACATAAGGCCCAAACGTCCCCTTACCATGAGCAGGGGTAAATCATCACATCAGCTGACAAGCAAGCTAGTAGCAACCAACGCGAACAGCCCTCAGCCATGCAACGCCAATGCCGTGAAGCTTTTGATAGACCGATTGCTAGTCCTGTGCAGGGTGGGGATCGGCGTACGATGATGAATATGAGTGAGACAGGCTATCGGGCCGCCATGATGCCCGTGCTGCGGTCTAGACTCCGTTTTGGGATGCCGCGTGCTGGTTTGCTGTGGCGTCATGGGCCCGCGGCTACAGCCTACGGGGCGTGAGGCTGACAGCTCGGAAGCGTCGGGACCAAATTTCCACATTGTTTGGATATTGGCACTTGTGGAAGAGGGCCAGGGGCGCACCTGACAGCCCAGTTAAGCAGGCCCTGGCTGCACGTCTTGCTAACATAAGATCATCTCAACCACGGACACTGAACAGGGAGAGGGTCAGGGTCTGGTTATCCTCTTTTTGGGTCTTTATCATGCCCACCAGCGCTCTCTGACAAAGATTTGTCAGGGCAAGCAACATTCCCTGACAAGAATCAGCGAATCCGAGTCTGGCAGTGGAAGGCGAGAAGGAAAGGCTTCATTCGAGTCACCGACTCAACTAACAGCCAAATGCTCGACTGGACTTTGAGAAATCTTTTCTCGAGGATCTAATCCTTATCCGCTGTCTTATCTTTGAGAAAGAGACGGGGGGATTGTTGTTATGTTATCAACTAACCGTAGCGAATGAAGGAAGCACCTCTGGAATAAGTCAAAAAGATCGCCGCCGAGCCGCATTGCTGCAGGACCAAGTGTCCGATTCCGACTTTCTGATACGGCCCTGGGAAAAACCCTCACCTAGGCAGCGAGTTATTAGTGAGCGACAATGCCGGATCCTGTCAAGCGCTTACCAACACCGAGGAGTTGGGTATGGATCTCGTCCAGTCATGTCTCTTGGATTGCCAACATGGGGCCATGGGTTCGTCTGGAGCTCATGTCAGCTTCCTATCATACGCTCAACTCGGTCTCTGCATACGGAGGCCTGCCAGGGAAAGGGAGTGAGGAAGCCGGGTGCGGTTGTCTAATATTGCTTACTCACAAAATGCAGCTTGAACGTAGATGCGCAGTACATGCTATTTCCATTCTCCCCTCAACAAGGGAACATCAATGATGTTAGTCTCGTCAGTCCCCCAACAGCTATTCGCGTTAAAGAGAACAGTTAATGACATTGGCGCGATACTCCTTTAAGTTCAGGGTACATGCGGTGATCCTAGTAAGGTAGTCAAAGTCGGAACACTCCAGTCCACCCATTGGCTTTCAGTGAAGCCCAGATTCGGGTTGTCCGTTTTAACAATGTTGGTGTTACTGTTGGCCGTTCCAGTCCCCTTAAGAAATTTGTCGATGAAGGCATTGAGCTCCGAGGCATGGTAACCGGACCATTGGCAGTGGCTGTGGTCCCCATTCTGCGAAAAGCCCATGTTCCCGGAAATGTCTAGGGCCTCCCAGACCTTGTGGGCCGTATTCATGCAGCCGTACGTGGCCATGTTCCCCAGCCAGGTCTGTAATGTGTTCTCGATGACGAGCAGGGCGCGCGGCGCCACGAGCGCCGCCAGCTCGTGGTTGTCGACGGGCAGGTTGCGAATGTTGTTGGCAAACTGCTCAAACGACTTGCTCAGCCACACGTTCTCGGTGATGACCTGGCCAGGGCGTCGTCGACCTGGTCGATGCCCGATGCCGACGCGAGCAAGGCTCTGGCGGTGTGGCTGCTTCCATACGTCGTCAATCCTGCCCTTGCAACAGCTGCCCCTGGCTACCCGTGTTCATCTGCTGAGCGACGTCGTCGTTGCGGAAGGTGACGGTCGCAATGCCACTGGGGATTGGGAAGCTGCCTCCGCCCAGGGCGATGAAGGGTCCGTTCCCCAACGGCGTCGTGATGGACACGGAGAAGTTGATGTTCTTCTCCTTGTCCCTAAGTGTGATGGAGAGCGTGCTGCCGGAGAGACTGGCTGTGACCGACTCTGGCGGAGGGGGGATTCCCCCAGCTCGTACGTTTGGATAGGCTGCCTGAGGAAGTTCGCTGGCAGGTCCATTCTTCCCTTATGATCCGCGACCCATCAGGCTTCATGAAGGGGTCCGGCAGCCTCGGGGTTGGTCTCTTGGGGTGTAGCTGGCAGGAAGAGCAGGGCATTGTTCTGCCCTAGGAATCTGTGAGCGGAACACCCCAGGGGCATGTAGGAGCTATGATCGTTCGCCGGTCTCAACAGTCTGGCGTCGCTTTGGTAGTATGAAGTAAGTACCTATGTACGGACTACGGAGTACCATACAGACCTATCTATCTCATTTTACACTGCAGGCGCCTGGAGCTGAGGATCAGAACAGCCGAACCATTCCCCACATCCCAGAAAAAAGATGACGTTTGGCTGTTATAACGGAGTGCTACTATCTTAACCCTCATCCGTCCTTGTCGGAGGTAGCTGGAACAAAAAGAACTGCAACCTTGGAGCCTCGACTCCCTCGAGAAATTGCGCACGGCCGCTGAAAACCACTGTCCTTCCTGTTTTACCAACCACGGAGAAGTGTATCCCCGTTATTGTCCCGTCCTGTTCCAGTTAGAGCCTGGTCGAGCGGGATACCTTCAAATCACTCACATCGTCGATGAACTGAACCCGAAGATGGTTCTGCAGATGTGCGACCGTTGCAAGCGCAAGGAGCAGAAGCACTCATGGTTGAAGGACACTTTGGCGAAACTCCCTCGCCCGTCCTGGATCAAACCCTCAGAGCATACTCCTTGCGAGATCTGCCAGAATTACCAGGTCGAAGAAGAACCGCCCCTCCGGATCTTACCTTTGTCAGTACTATCAATAAGGGAGTCACTCAGTGGAAGCGCTATTCCTAACAATAATATTTTTAGGTTCTAACCGGACCCTCAACGCAGCCCTTCGCACTGACACAGAACGAGCTTGACGACGCAGTCCTTCCTCAGGGGTAAACCTTGGACTCAACGAGGGCTGGAAGCTAAGGACGTGATCTGTTTGCGAAGGCGTAGGATCAGCGAGGTACTAGTATCAAGCGATATGCATAAGGGTTCTCACCGTCCCAACCTAGGCGCCCCTCTGTCAGTATAGTGCCCGAGAGTAGACAATGGCCCATTCAAGCGGCGTAAGTCCAAAAATGCCTGATACACCGTTCAAAGTCTCGATTGTTTTGATGCTAACTCAATTCGGCTTGACGTCACGGTTGCTGTGGTTTCGATGCCCCACATTTTCCCACCTGAATAAACAAAAGGGAAAGGGGGAAAGGGGGGTTAAACACACCACGACATTGTAGGATCTACGAAGTAACCGGTGCGCAGGGAGACTTTTCGCCCCGTCATGATTTCCCAAGTGATCGCATCCGGGTGATCCTTGTTTCAACTGAGGGTGACATTGGTGATTTCGTCTGCGGTATGTGCTGCAAGTCGGGGAATGGACAAAGGTACCTACTGTAAGTACCTAAAGTGGGGAAAAGGGGATTCATCATTCGTACAACATGGCCAGCAATGTTGAAGCAGATGAGAGAGGCCATTCTGGAGTAAGGCGTGATGCTTGATTTTTCTAAAGCAACGGGTATACAGAGATCTGGAACGAATATCCTACAGGCTACGGAGTACGCGGGGGCCACTCCAGTCATTTCCGGCAACTGTCGGACCTTGGATGATGGCTTGATGTTAAGCTCATCGTTCTCTACGTCTTCCCCCCCTGCCCTTCCACCAGCTGGTCTACGAGTCCTGTTTGCCGTAGACTACCGTCACCGTGAAGTCCCTCCGGATACCATCTCCGACGTGATCCTGCGCTTTCTGTCCCGCAATGGCGTTCGCCTGGTATCCATGGTTGTCGTAAGACTTGAGTTGAACACCGATGTCAGCCTCATCACGAGATTCCGGCTCGCTCAGTGCCACAAAAGGTCCGCTGTCATCGTTGGTGCTCATCTTAATTCTCTGGGATCGGTTCCACGTGCCCAGGCCCGTGCCGGCACTACCCCCATCGCGGATCTGGCCTCTTTTAACCTTGAAGATGGGCCTTAGCGTTGGCACGGAGGCCGCGATGAGCACGAGGTTGGCTTCGAGACTAGTAAGTACACCGTAAGTCAGCCGATTTGATTGGCGTCACAGGTATGAGACACCTATCGATGCCAGTGAAAATCCACTCACGTCCACCAGATTGCAAGATTCGCCATTTCGTCTGATGATCGGTAGGTGTTAGTATTCCTGTTTCGGTTGTTCTCTCAGGAGATATTGATGCATACACGTCAAGTCGTCCGTTGCGGTAATCGCTCTAAGCCCAACCGTCTTCACAATGGATGCAATCATAGCGCTGGGCAACATGCAATAGTTAGGTCAAACTCCTCACCGGAAGTGGCGAAAGACTCACAAAACGCCCAATCCCATGAGACTACTGAGGGCAACCTTCTGTTTCCATTGCATCTTCAAGCTCCAAAACATGGAAGCTGGAAACAGAGCGAGAATCAGGTCTATCAAAGAACACACGGCTTTTGGTCGGGGCTCAGTTAGTATTCTCTGTGTCTGTGTGACATGCAACTGAAGGATTCCAGGCTAGCATTGTGGGGGCTTCACTTACAGCCTTGGGTGAAGCCGGTGTATTGCTGGACAAAGGGTGGCCAACAAGTACTGGCGATGCTTTTGTTCCAGAAGCCCTCAAGGGGCTGACACTGCGAAAAGCTTATAATCACCGTCCCGACATCGACGACGAGCTGTACGACGATGATGCACTTGAGAAAGGTCCTTCGAGATGTAGACGTTGGCGGGATGATGCCGAGGAGCAATAGCGCAAACGAGATGCGGCCGAAGCAGGGACATAGAATGGAGAAGAACTCGCACAGGTACACCCATTTGACCGTGTACATGACACGTTCGGGGTCAGCCTGGAGGACCGAGAGATGTTGTCCCAATCCCCATGACGTGGAGATGGTGAGGAAGATGCTATTTCCGAGGCCGAGGCACTAGATCGATCATCGATACGGCATTAGATGTAAGTCACCGACCGGAACTTGAAGAATTAATAGCAGAAGAGACTCACGAGAGTGAATAGAATGATGCAGTCATCGATGGAAAGTCTCCGCACAATCCTCAGGCGAGCATAAAGGCGTGCTCCAACCACCAGAATCGCGAGGCTAGCAAAAGTCCAAGCGACGGCAACCACAGCGGGGCCTAGAGAGTGGGAGCCTTGGGAATCCATGGGCTAGGCTTGAGAAAGCACAACCAGCAATGCTGGGGCGGGGTGTTGCCATCAAGCCAGTGAGTGAGCGGAGACCGCTTCCAGTACTAGGCAGGTTAGTCGTGTATTTCAAGCTTCTAGATGCATTCTCATCTGCAGGGAAGCTTTCCTGAAGTGGATAAATGGCCTCTGGTGGCGCAGGCGGTTGCTCCTCGTAGTTGCATGATCTCAGGTGCACCCGAAATCCGTGCTGCGGCCGGCAACCACTTTTGTTTGGAGTGAGTAACATGTACCTTAAGGAATATAGGGTCAACTTCTCACATTGTGTCTTTGCCAATCTTCTCGTGTATTGTACTCCTTCCTTGTTCGGACCATGGAAGTGTTCCGGGACGGCTCGTTGGCGGTTGAGGCCGGGGTTGTGCAGTCACTGCAACGGTGCATCGGCTGATAACAGACTTCCCTGAGGCTGGTTGTTGCTTCACGCCGCACGGCGATCTGGCTGCATTAAACAATACAATTGGCTCGGACGAAGCATGAGCATGAGCAAACCAAAGACTGTTATGCGTGCTGCAAGCGCAGGGAGGTGGCACACTGAACGAAGGTGGTAGCCAGCCTTCGTTGCGCAGGATAAAAGTATCGAATATCATTGCTTGTAAGACTTGACTCCATGAAAGTTCGAGGCACTTTGGGGTCCAAGATTACCAAGTGCCTACCTAATTCTCGCCTGTGACATTATCTCGTTGAAACCACAGCAGGCGCAACCGGAAAGCGAGGGCTCGCACCGCTTACCGTCCAGTTCCCCCCGCCCTTTCGAATCCCGTCCAGTCATGGCAGGAACCAGCCAAGCACTTGACCTCATTGCGCAGCTCAGCAGCCTTACTGCCCAGCTTGCCTCGGATGGTGATCAAGGCGCACGGAAACAGGCGCTATCACTCAGCAGACAGCTCACAGCATGTCTAGAAGTTCCAGAGAACACTGCCGTGGACTTGGCATTTTCTGTATGGATTGGGCCGTACCTTCCTACCTGCCTCCACACTTTGGGCATTCGTGCTTACCTTAAGCTAACAAAATGGTGACAGCCGTTCCTGCCCGTGGCTGCAAGAATTGCAGTTGATCTGCATCTATTTGAGTTCATCGCAAATGCAGATGGCCCACTCACCTCTGCAGAGCTTGCATCTCTTTCGGGAGGAGAAGAGCTGTTGATCAGTATGTCTACATTTGGGGGAGACTTAAACCTTAATCATTTGAAGTCTACATGCTAACACCGCAAGCAAAGTCCGAATCTTGAGGCCCATGGCAGCCATTAGCTTCGTTAAGGAGGTCGCTGAACGGACATGGACCGCTACTCCCGTTACCAAGGCCATGGCGACAGAGGAAATTGCCGCCGGCCATCGCATGGTGCATGTTGCCGTCTCCCGTCCTCTTGTCACCATCTTTATGCTGTGTGGTCCTAGCTGACAAGCAGCTGCTAGCGGCGAAATGATCGTCGGGGCCGCTATGAAGGCACCCAAGTACCTCAGAGAAGCCGGCCACCGATGCCCGACTGATCCTAGCGACGGCTTCATGCAGTACGCCTTCCAGACAAAGCTGAGGACCTTCGAGCTCTTCAGCTCGATGCCGCAAGTCTTTAAGGACTTCAACGCGTTCATGGGAAATACCATGGGAGCTAGAAGCTACTGGGTCGATTGGTTCCCAGTTCAAGATGGGTTGCTTGATGGAGCTACAAACGAGTCTGCTCTGCTCGTGGACGTGGGCGCCGGGAAGGGTCATGACCTGATTGCCTTCCATAACAAGTATCCCAATCGAGGGCGATTGGTGCTGCAGGATCTGGCTTCCGTGACAAAGAGCATCCAAGACATTGACCCTGCAATCGAGCTCATGGTGTATGACTTCTTCACTGAACAACCCGTGAAAGGTGAGTTGCCGCCCCATTCCAGCCACATGCCAGGGCTTAGTTTCGACCGACTCATCCTCATCCCCGGCCCTCAGGTGCACGAGCATACTTCTTCCACCATATTCTACACGATTGGTCCGACGAAATATGCCTGCGGATCTTGGCTCAGGTCCGCGCAGCCATGAAGCCAGGTTATTCCAAGTTGCTGTTGCACGAGATGATCATCCCCGAGCAGGGCGCCTCGCACTTTCACGCCATGCTCGATATGACCATGATGTGTTTCAACGCCGGCATGGAGCGCACTGAGAGGGAGTGGCGGACACTGCTCGAAAAGGCGGGGTTGGAAGTGGTCAAGATTTGGTTGCCGCCGCAAGAAGATGCCGACGGCATCGTGGAGGCTATCCTTCGGGAATAGCTCGAGAGTATAGCTGGTGCTTTCATAGGCTCTTTCTTGGTCAAGCCCCAACTGACTTCCTGTGTATGTAAACACAGCGCGGACTAGGTATCTAGTAGGATAAAGCTAAATGAAGGCCACAATACTCAATTCAACCTCTGTAATTTTTCTACATCTCGGCTGGGATTGGGTGCTTTATTCCTCGCAGTACATGCCAGGCTCGTCTGTCTCCCATCAAGTCATGTGTGGCCATCTGGTTGTGGTCGTTGAAGCAGATCCACATCAAACAAGTTGAACCTACGCCCGCCCGCCCACTCGTCAAGCGGCTCCCATCTGGCACAAGTGTGCATAGAAACATCAAAGTTTGTCGGGTAAAAGGCTGATTTATCCTCGTGCTGTGCGGTGTTGTTGATCCAGCGGAAAGTAACCAGGGAGAGATCTGGCTGGCACATCAGGGCTTCCCGGATGTATTCGACGCAGTGATCTATTGCAGCCGATTAGTTGAGTAACGAAGTTGTAACAACGAGTGAGGTCATTGCGCTGGTTCTGAAGACATACCAACATGTTTGGCCTCCCGTGCCATGGCCTCTTCGGACTTGCCCTTGTGGTAATGCTCCTTGAAGAGCATCCTCTTGACCTTTTTCTGTTTTGGTTAGCATCAGACCGCCTTCTACATACGCTCTCAGATCAAGTAAAGATTACAAAAGCTTACTAGACAATGCAAGCAGTGATAAACACTGAGGGAGGCAACCCCGTGCAACCCATCCCTTGTATAGATGGACGTCAAGTTGAGCTCGTCCAGGTAGTCCTTGGGGACCAGAATATTATCATCTGGGACAAAACAGTTAGGTACGAATCAGATCTACGGCACTCCAATTACCGGGAACAAACTCACTCAGAAGAAGTCGATGCCATGCTTCGTCCAGCTCTGGCCGGGGGTCTCCGGCGAGAGGGTTGTCGGTGATATCGGTTGGGAACCTCCGTTTTTCCCATATCAGGGCTTCACGAGAGGGAACTGGTATAAACATAGTCAACAAAGACTTCATCATGTGAGGAGACCAACTACTGATCCCACTTACGACGAGGTATATGTCCGGCCTCAGGTGGCTCTTCTGGATCACGGCCGGGTACGGTTCTTAGGGCAGTAGGAATGACCAAAGCTACGTATAAGACGGAGTAAAGAAAGATCAAGATGCCATGAACATGGAACGGTCGAAGTCCCTGTCGCCAATGCCTCACAGGCTGATGTTTGACGTGTTCATCGGCGCTGTAGCTATCCTCACCTAGAAGCAGATGCCCTTCGGAAGGGTTGAGCTTCTCTTCGTCGCCCCGACTATCGTCCTGGAAAGGCATATTGCTAAGGGGGATGTCAACCGAGGGATAGGTTCTTGCGGAGTGAAGCTAGCACATTGAGAGTGCGAGAACCTTGGGATTCGCCTTTGAAGAAAATAATGACCCCTGAGATGGCCTCATGGCGCTAAAGGGGGGATTGAGTCCGCGAAACCCGTCTATCTCACCGACAATGATAATGACCTATAGGCACCTACCTACATCCACTGGCAGTAATGTAACACTGGCTCGCATCAATCTCAACTGCAGTTAATCTATGGAGCTTGATGGCACAGCACGCAGATCAACGGAGAGGGACATTCTACCACATCTGACACATATGGATGGCATGATAACTAAGGTAGGTAGGTATCCAACAGTTATGTACATGTAGTATCCGTGGTGCTTCACACGAACTTTGCGTAGGTAGGTAGTGATCAATGCTTCCCATCCGGCGGAAGTTCCACATGCCTTGGTACCTGAGCCGGACACTGAGATGACTCCGAAGAGAGGGGGTAGTGTTTGGGGGCCATGGAGGCGGAAGGTGTGGATCTGATGCTACGGTAGGAGTGGTATGTATGATAAAGGTACCCCGTCGAGGCCGCCATATCACCAACTGTATGTGGTATGCACGATCCGAGCCGACTTAGTACATGTAATCTAAGGCTGATGCACATTCAAGTAACTACCTTACCTACCTCCAGTACCTTAGATAGTGCCCGTCTCTAGAAACCTGTACGGTACATACTGTTGTCAATAACACCGATCACATGCTAGTCCATTCATCTGGCGAAGATGAAGGGTTCAAAGCAAACGGCCAGACTCAACCCGGGAAGGTTGTGTCACCACCTTGACCGGTCCAGATATATGTCCCCAGGTTGTGATGCTATTCCATCATCTCGTTTACCTTCGACCGACTGCTGATACAGTCACGATGTACTTGTTCAGGCCAAGATCCGGTTACCTGCCCGTTCCTGTCCGTCAGGAATCGCCCGGTAGTTCAAGTTCAAAATCCGTTGCCAGCACCACAAGCAGAGTCTGTCGTCTGCTTGTGCTCCCAGCAGTTGCCGTGGTCTCATGCGCTCTCGGCTTCTCTGTGGGGACAAGGACCTCTGTGCCAGCTTGCTCGAATGGAGACAGTGCCTTTCTACAGCCAACAAAACTTGACATTGCTATCCCCACTATCAACACGGCGTTCAAGTACAACCGCACCTTCAGCGAGGATCCGTGGAACAATAGCATCACGGAGGAAGCTTGGGAGAGTATCGTTCCTGGTATGGACAAGGCCGCCCCATCCTTCACATGCATTCAGGGGAAATCTGCCGGGTACCTCTACGGATATGTACATGTATTGTACTGGTACTCACGGCATTCTACGTCTAGTGGGACAAGGATCCGTCCGATATCCTGCCGCAATGCCGCAGGTCTATACTCTCTCTGTCGTGCATCAGCTTCACTGTTTGGTGCGTTCCATCCACCCCGGTCCCTTGTTCCACATTCTCATGAACCCCTGAGTGTTTACCACAGCATAACGTAACTGACTGTGTTTTGTTAAAACGGCAGTGGTCCATTCATAGGAACTACTACACGAGCCTGCGGCCTCAGCCTGCGGACCACGACGATTCGGACGAAAGCATGGCCCGGCATATGAGGCACTGCTTCGATTACCTGCGCCAAAGCCTGATGTGTGCCGCGGATGCGACCCTCGAGCCGGTTGACCCGGCTCTTGGCGGCGTGACCGGCTGGCACAATCCCCGGGTTTGTCGTGACTACAATGCTTTGGCGGCGTGGGCGGCCGCGCATCGGGTAAGCAATCTCCGGGGTTTCCTCCAGACCCCGGGCGAGCATTCGCATGGAAAGCAATGATAAGAATCTCATCACAGTGGATGGGAATGGGTAAGCCAGCCTCAGGTTACCGTATTTACGCCTTGAATATCCGACATGTATGTACCGTACCTTAGGTAGTAGGCAAAGTTCTTTGTGCGACACGGAGCATAAGGTAGCCAGCAAGAATGTTGTGGTTGATGATGAAGGATAGGATTGTATGACCGTTGGCGGCGAGGAAGGAATCCATTTTGCCGGTGGCACAGCACAGATGCCGGTAAGTGAGAAAGGGAACTGTTTGTTTACCTACCTACTAGTACTCATATATATCGTATATATGGCGGAAAGTCCGAGATGTAACCCCGTGCAGGTACGGCCTTCAGGTTCCAACGACATATTGAGAGGGCTTGCCATATTGCATCCCGTCCTGGTGCAGTCGTTATCCCCGTGCCTACCGTCTGGTAGTACCTAGGTATGCAGACAGGTTTCATTACAGCATGTGATGGGCCACCGTAACCTGACGGCGCAGGTAGAGGTATGCTATCATGGTCCTGCTGCCGTCGACCGCCAACTTCTATTGTCTTCCACGATGGGGCAACTCAGGCTTGGGGGCGACGGGATAGCCGCTGAGTCCAAGTGCAGCACGGTCAGCACTGCCGCGGTCTCGGCGACTAGGCGCTGCTACTTCAATCTATGCCATTGATTTGAACGAGACACAGTCCGATCACACCTGCCAGATATGTTCGTGACAGCCGTGGAACGGGAGAGAAAGCGGAACTTCTTCTGGAGACGGATGCGGGAATCATCGCAACTGCGTAACCGCGAGCGGCAACTGCATGTACGCGGCTGGAGGAATCGACTGGTACAGACCGAGAAGCGGGCACCGGGAGAATAACAGGCACCGGCTGGGCATTGCGAAGAACCTTGAGCACACACGGGAAGCGACTGAAACATGACTCGGAATACCGTGACACTACTGCTAGCAGTAGAAGTAGACTCTCTGCCCTCTTCAGGCCAGTTAATCCCTGCCTTAACTCATTAAGACGGCTTCCCGATCTCCAGCCCACTTGGTTCCAGAGCCCTGAATCAAAACTCGCCCTGAGATCTTCCCGTCACTCAAAGAAAACAATGAAGCTTCGATATCTGCTCACTCCTCTCCTGACTGTCACCGCAACTGCTGCCGTCATCCCACGCCTTGGTACGTGTTGAGTAGGAATTCAAGTTCAGTTCCTTTGATGAAGAACTTGCTAATCCTTCGCCAATATACATGTAGATGCTGATGAAGCGGTTGCCTATCCGGCCCAGGTCGACCAATCCTGGGTGGACGCCAAAACCAAGAGAGTAACAGCTGTCGATGCAGATGAGGCCGTTGCCTATCCAGCCCAAGTTGACCAATCCTGGGTCGATGCGGCCAACACCAAGAGAGAGGGTCGGTGAAATCTTCATGTTTCAAAATCTAGAGTTTGTAGCCGTGCTGACTCTGTCACAGCCGTTGATGCGGACGAGGTCGTTGCCTATCCAGCCCAGGTTGACCAGTCGTGGGTTGATGCTCGTGTCTGAGAGTTTGGCTTCGTGATGAGCCAACTTCTACCGTGAATGAGCCGTATCAGTTGAAGTGGTTGTGAAGGGCTGCTGCTCCAAGGGCTACTGGGTTCGAGATAGCTTGTTGCTCCTCTTTGATTGCCAGCTTTTGCACACTCACACTCATTTATGTACGGTCGTTACTGGGCATCTCGCCCCACGCATTGTTTACCTAGCTTCAGGGGGCAAGATTTGTCGCTTCGGTTACAGCTTGGATACTAGTAGCCTGGCTGTCTTCAAGATTCCCGCCTACCTTTGAATAAGCAGACATTTACTTCATGTTTTTGCCCAAATCCTGGTAATTGGGGCACCTGGTCATTATCCAGTCATGGATTGTCACTCCAAGCGTAAGCGGAGTAGAACGGTACATGTACAGGATGACTGCACGCTGCTACGGTAGGGTAGTACAACCAGATGAGGAAGAATGCTGGTTGTACATATCCTAAGTAGTTCACCTATTGGCTCAGACTACCGGCCCTGTATACATATTAGGACTCAAATCCTACGTACTGATTCCTTACCCGCCTACATGTATTTTCCAGGTTCCCCCTAAGCCCTACCAGCATGTAGCCAACCATCACCATTCGACATGGCGCCGGATTCAAAGTATCACGCCCTTCAGCAAGACCCTAACGAGCAATGGAGAAACGACGAGTCTATTCAGAACCTTTATCCTCGACAGCGCTGGCATAGCCCTGGTTTCCTACCCTGGCTGATCAATTTGGGAACACTTATCCTGCTAGGAATCTCGATAACAACCAACATACTCCTCACTCGACAAATACGGAGCTCCTCTTCACCGCAAGAGACGGATTCTGTCTCGTACTATGGTCAGTATCGAGTCCGTGATTCCTTCAAGACCACTGATATTGACTCAAACCTCGCAGCTGGCCTCAAGCGCACACTTCCCATCCAGATATACCCCGATACCGAGTACACGGCGGACAACCTCACCGCCGTGTCCAAGCTATGGGAGAGTTTGAGCGGTGATCCAGGGGTGGTAGCCTTGTCGTCCGACTACGTCAGGGAGAAACGCCTACCCCATGCCTACCGCTTTCCATGGGATGAAGATAAGGGCGTCTATCTGCTCCAGGGCTTTCACAATCTGCATTGCCTGGTATGTGTCCAGGGGAACATGGTACTAGAACATGAACTGACCACCATGATTCCCAGCGCACACTCTTCCGCTACATCATGTACACAGAGCAGGGTATCCCAAACCACATTGCCCTCTCTCACGCCCTGCACTGTCTAGATCAGCTCCGCCAGGATGTCGTGTGCAATGCCGACGACACGCCGCGGTATGCTGGATTCCAGAATCCACCCGGCACCGGCGCAGGGCAAGTCCGCATGTGCAGGGACTGGAGCGCACTAGAGAAATGGGCGCTGGAGCACACTGCCTGCTTCAAGCATCAGGATGAGGTCCCCGGTCCCATGATTGAGCGCTTCAAGTCTTGTCCGGACGGGCGGGTGCTGTGGCCGACGGCCTCCGTTGAAACAAACGATGCACGTTGAGCGGGTGTAGATTGTGTGGCATGATTCCGCTGATTGCCGGTAGCCAGCGGACAGTGTCTGATCGGGGGCCGTGAAGAATGGGAACCCGATGGTCCAGTGCTGAACCTTCCTGTGACAAGATGGAGTATGTACTGTACTGTACATACATACATGTAGGTCGTAGGTAGGAGTAAGGCGCAGCTAACCGGCGATTTATACGCACCACTAATATCACAAGCTCAGGTCTCAATGCCGAGATGCCCATGAACCAGGGCGGCCGGGCTGGAAATTGACCAGTAGGAGGCTCCCTTCCTGAACGGTTTCAATTTGATAGTAGCATAGATGCGAACCGACCAGTACCAATCCTGAGTACATGCAGTGCCTTCAAGACCGGGGAAACACGGCTAATATTGATGCCGTTGGATCATGTTGCGGCACCTGCAACGGTCGATGCGCCGTACCTAGGTGGTAGGGTTGCAGGAAGGCCGCAACCGGAACGTTAACATTAATGGAAGGTAGTAATAGATAGGTCAAAATGCCCAACCCTGATCAAACCAACAGACAGATCGGCACATGCACCCAACGGGACTGCCATTGACCAGGTTCAAGTTCATGTTGGCTCAAGTTCGATTGAAGCCTCGGCTGACAGGATATTCAGGTAGTCAACCTGCAACGTGCAACAGGCAACAGAATCAGCGGCCTACACTACTGCGAACAACATTCCACCACATACCATGGAGGGCAAGACTGTAGAATGTGGAGTTTCTGACAAAACCCCACCGATCGATCTCGGTGCGGCAGACGGTCCGGGACATGGAGCAGACGGGAGCCATGTCAGCAACGGCAATGCTGACGCCACAACCCCGCCGAGCCCGCCCAAGGCGAACCTCTTTGCATGGCTGCAAGTCGTGGGTGCCTTTTGTCTGAACCTGAACACTTGGTCAGCCAACCCCCTAACCCCTAACCCCTGACCCCTTTTCTGTCGGCACCTACATGAAGCCAACCCCCAAGATTGCTAACTAATCATAATGATACGAACCAAACAGGGGGTTAATGAACGCATTCGGCGTGTTCCAGACCTTCTACCAGCTGCACTTCCTGCAGTCCCATAGCGCGTCCAGCATCGCATGGATCGGCTCGACACAGGCCTTCCTGCTGTTCCTCGTGTCCATTGCGGCCGGTCCTATCTTCGATAGGGGCTACCTCAAGTCGCTGCTGTGGACCGGCTCGGTATTGCTCGTGCTCGGCATGTTCCTCACCAGCATTGCTTCCGAGTATTGGCAGGTCTTCCTCGCCCAGGCCGTCATGACGGGTCTCGGATTTGGCTGCGTGTACTTGCCCGCTCCTGCTGTCGTCTCCCAATACTTTCATCGCAATATGGCGCTGGCAAACGGGGTGGCCTCCACCGGGAGTGCTTTGGGTATGTATCCACCTTCCCCCTTTTTTGTATTTGTTTATTTATTTTGTGATTTTTCCGTGCGCTAGAACATTTCCAAGGCGCATAGCTGAGACCATGTCTACCTTTCCCCAGGTGGCATCATATTCCCCATCGTCCTCACCGAGATGCAGTTGCGCATCGGGTTTGGGTGGGCGGTCCGGGTATTGGCCTTCTTCCTCTTAGTGACCTCAGTCGTCGCGGCAACGGCCATGAAATCGAGGACCCCGGCCCGGGCACCGCGCAACCTGATTGACCGCTCCGCATTCCATGACGTCCCATACATCCTGCTCAATCTGGGGCTCGTCTTTGGCTTCATGGGCCTGTACGTCGTCTTCAACTACATCCAACTGTTTGCGCTCGACGAAACGACCGTTTCGTCCTCGCAGGCAGACTACCTCCTGGTCACGATCAACGCGAGCTCGCTGCCGGGGCGGCTGATCCCCAGCTACTACGCCGACAGGGTGGGCTCCATCAACGTGCAGACGGCCGTTGCGTTAGTAAGCGCCGTGCTCACCTTCTGCTTGCTAGCTGTCCGGACCGCCCCTGCTATTATTGTCGTTAGCGTGCTGTTTGGCTTCGCGGCTGGTGCTTTCATGGGCCTGCCTGCGGCCGCTGTGGTCAACTTGAGCGCGGACAAGGCTAAGATCGGCACGCGGCTGGGCATGACGCTCGCATTTGTAGGTATGGGGGTGCTGATAGGGAACCCAATCGCGGGTACCATCCTTGGCAGCGACGGGAACTGGGTTGGATTGCTTGTGTGGGCTGGCGCACTGCTCATGGCTTCCACCGTGAGCATGGCAGCAAGCCGGATCGCCAAGGTTGGCTTCGGCTTTGCGAGAGTGATATAACCTGGCGGTTCTGTACTGGGCCGATATATCATACGCTATTGTCCTTTTGGTGGGCCAGCTTCTGTTGAATGTATATAGTGGTCAGCGACTCGGACGGTATCTCGATCAGGGGGCTAGGAGTCACAACAAAACAATAAGGTAAGAACCTATCTCCCTATGTTCCATTCCTAATACCAATACCAGAAAGAGTTAGATTGTGTGAATTTTTTTTTGGGAACTTTCACCACTTATTTCACCTGGCCTGTTCAAGCATCACAATATGCAAGGCCACCCTTACCTAGGTAGATACTTACCCCTGGTTCGGCTCAAGATGCTTTGCTCTGCATATCCAGCGTGTGCCATAGACACTTGACATGTTCATTTCCAGGGGCGATAACCGCAACTTTGCTCAGGAGTTGCGCAACCTATATTGCTCGGATGAAACGAATTCGGGTGCTGGACTCCCTACAATGCTGGCCGTCTCGGACTGTGAAGTCGTGGCATACAGGAGGCTGTATGATGGTGTCTAGGGCTTGAGTACCTAGCAGAGGAAGGGGGGGTCTCTAACCCCATGTTCTATCTCATGACATTGTAGTCCGGCACTAGCAAGTCCTGCCATTATATAAACATTAGGACACCAGCTAGGAAACATTATGACACCGGCTAGGTACCATGATGCTGTCATGGTATCTCAATTTGCTAGTGCCGAACTACAATGTTATAAGATAGAACATGGGGTTAGAGACCCCCCCTTCCTCTGCTAGGTACCTACCTTGGAGACCAAATAAAAAAGTCGAAGCTGAGTGAAAGAGCCAACTGTTTACTGATGGAACTCTGGCACTTAAAGAAACTGAATAGAACAAAGAGATCTGGTATAGACCGGTAGGTGCGAGCTAAGGTACCTTATGGAGCGGATGGTGCAGACCCTTGTTAGTCTGCCCAGGCTAGATCCACCACCTGCGTTGCCGGGGCAACGCTTAACATGAGATTGCATCAAAAACAATCGAGATTTTGGGCAGTTTATTTATTAGGCCGCGCATAGTTACCTATCCATTTGCCCAAACAGCCGTTACAAATCCTCTTAACATTGGATTTCCTTGGATATCTCTCCCGGGAGGCTTCCAAAGTTTACTGTGATAGGTATTGTGTACATACCTTACAGTACTGCTTACATCCTTCAGGGGCAGTGGTCAATTGCTGCCCCGCTATGCCGAGCCGCTAGCGCTAAGCTCGCTGCTGCAGTGCCTGTGTTGGTCTCCACCTCCCTAGCTGAACGCTGCCTAAGAATTGCATAATAACGTATTAACGTTGCCTTAAGCACCAGCGCAAGGTTCATGCTCATAACAGTGTCTACCTGAACTCCTGTCGAGATGGCCGTTCCAACACGATCAGAAACGGTCCTTGACTTCTTCGAGGACTCTCTCTTCACTCTTATCCTACCACGTCTCACTTGAAGTCCGATATCAGCTTCGAGATGACGTCCATTTCGGCCATCGCTGGTTCGCTCAGCGAGCACCACAGAGCCCGGCTCCAGGAAGTGGCCGAGGGCATGCTGAAAATTTACCGCACCCTCGAGCGCATGCAATTTCTGCACCCCTCCTGGATCATTCCCGGCCCGCACGATGTTGACGCGCTGATCCCCATGTACCGCTCCCACGGGCTCGACGACCGCATCATCTACCTCTACAGCATCCTGCCCTACGTCGAGTCGCCGTCCCAGTACGAACTCTTCTTCCAGGGCAGCAGGTTTGCCGATTTCCGCCAGGAGGAGGTCGTGAGCGATGCCCGCCACGCGTTTTGTGGCGAAGAACATGAGCAGTGCCTGCTGCCCTGGATGACGACCCTCTGTGTAGAGGGCAACCACCAGACTGTCATCGTGTACAATGCCAAGACGCACTGGATTGCCATGTTTGACCAGGAGTGGGGGGGAAGCACTGATCACGCCTTTTCGGGCAAGTGGGAGCGGGCTATTAGCGTTAAGAATCAGGACGGTGGGGGACGGGAAGAGCAGACAGATGAGGGAGATAAAGAGGAGGGAGATGAAGGGGAAGGAGCTGGAAGGGATTGCAGAGTTCATGGTTCTCTTGAGAGCCCGGGGAATAATGAGAACAGTGTCGAAGCTGAAGTTGACGGGCAAGAGGAGGATCAAAACGACAACGGTGACGACGAGAAGGGCGAGGAAGACGAGGATTACGACGAGGAGGAGGATTGCGACGATGACGAAGAGAATGAAGACGAGGAAGAGGAAGGAAGCTATTGGTGGAGCGTGGAAGGAGACGGCCGTTCGGCTCCGGATGTGCTTCGCGACATGGTGACATGGTACGAGGAGCTAGTCGAGACCCCAGGAGGCAGTGGAGGAGATACGCCACCACAATGGGGAGGAGATTGGGTTAGGCAAGTCTACTGCAAGCACGGCTGGCCCCAAGACAGTTTCGATGGGGAGGCCTTCTTGGTGGACTTGGTGAGGGCCTGGATCGCCAACGAAGTGAGGGAAAAGGTGGAAAAGCCCATTACTGATGTTCAACGTTACAAATCAGTCATCCAGAGCCGAAGGGAGCATGGGATGAAGGACGCCCAAGACATGCTGAAGTATGCTCAGACAGTTGACCGACAGTGGCTCGCACGTTGGAAGATCCGAGAGCTCGAACGGACAACTCGAGAGGATGAAAACCGTCTCCGCGAGGCAGAGAAGAGAATGGAACATTTCTGTCCAGGCGGCAAGATCAAGAACCCAGAAGATTTGCCATTGCTAGAGCTCCGTGCTCTTGAAAAAGAGGTGGAATTTAGAGAGTCGTACCAGCTCACGAGGAAACAATATGCCAAGGACTCGGAAGCCACGGAGAAAGCAGTGGCTCAAAAGATGAGAATAGAACTGGATCATGGCGAGCGTAAGATACGTATATACGAAAAGGCATATGAGGCTGCACGACGTGACGCTGAGCGGCTCTGTCCCGGACGTTCCCTCCCTCCCGAAGAAGAGCCGAAGCCCCTGTCGGACATGGAATGGGCACGGATGAGGAACAGTGACTTAACCGAGTCAATCAATGGGTTGACCGAGGCAATCAAGGGCTATAAGGAGTGGATGGCCCAGCTGCCAGAGGAAGCCATCCAAACGAGGAGCTTGGTCCAGGCTTATCTGAGCAGAGACGAGGAAAGACTCGAAGTGTATGTCGGACAGCGGAATGAGGTCGGAAAGCAGATGGAGGATGAATGAACCCGCGACGCTCAGTCGAGCTTCTGCTGGTAAAGAGCTGGAATCGACTGAAGTTTTGGAAGTTCAGCAGCGGCGCCCAGGAGACTGCAGGAAGTTCATTTCTGGCTTCCTTGGAAAACTGGGAGACCTGGTGTATCTTAGGTTAAGGTATATTACCAGTGGAGACATGGCTGAATTCGACGATCTGCAGTGATGGTGAAGGACGGCAGTCCGGACTCCGGAGCAGGTTGACGAGGAGCCAGGGCTCTCCGACTGAGGGGCAGCACGGCTATTCGAGCTAGTTCCAAAGTCTCCAACGCTGTGCGTGGAAATATTTTAACGAGTGGAAGTCTGGACATAACAAACGGACATCATCTATCAGTAGGCCAAGAGAGTGATGGAACGTAGGACACCCATGTGTCGACGAGTACCAGGTAGGTAGCTTTACAGCACATAGGCACCTTATCGGCTCGAAGATCAAGCAAATGAACATGAACTCAATGCTGATACTATTATATACAGGTATGTACTGCGCATCCATGACATATCTCCGCCATTCCTGCTCATCATGTTCCTCGCCCTCGTCGGCTCCCGTGACTACCCTTCCGCAATGTATACCCCAACTCGAAACCATGTCTCACACCCAACAAGTCTAAGGGGTAGGAACTGGTGCAGGCTGCTCGACGTGATCTTCGTCACGTCCCTCCCGTACGATCTCCCTCTTGACCACCCCCCTGATGCAACGGTAGAAGACGAAGAGCCACACCAGGAACAACAGACCTGACATGGCAACCCTAAACCATGACAGGCCGTCACTCCCTAGAGCAGCTCCCATCTTCAACGTTGAGAGGACAAACCCGACATTGGGGAAAACAAAGCTCCACCAGCTAAGGCGGAACTCCTTTTCCGGCAACTCGGGATAGAGGGCGACGAGAGAGATTCCAAGAAACCAGAAACTCAACCCCCAGAGAAACAGAGATGCATAAACCGCCAGGAGCTTAACTCCGGCGGCAAGCACCTGCAGCTTACTGGGGGTGAGCATTAGCCCCATGAAACCTCTCTCAATACCCCCGTAAATATGTCCTCCTCCCAGTTCCGCGAGGATCCGGGGCACCTCCGCGGCCAGTCCTATCAGGGCCAAGCAAGTAAAACTTGGCGGGCCGACGGCAATGAACATTGCCTGGCGATGATGGGGCAAGCCGAGAAGCACGAGACGCGTCAGGTACGCCCCGTTAAAAAAGACTGCCACCATCATGCCGAGGCCCTGCCCTACCAGGCCAGCTGACAGGACCCTAAGTGCCTGGTCTGCCTTCAGGCTGGGCACACAGGCTGCCGCGAAGGTGCCGCTCAGCATCACCGGGAAGATTGGCATGATCCAGCCTGGACTCAGGTCCTTGGTAAGGAGTCGCCAGCTATCTTGGGCCGTAAAGATCCAATGATATTGGGCCAGGGAGGAAAGGAAGGTGGACCCGAGGTAGACCCAGAAAGCAACGTGGAGAACCGAGGCAAGCCTGGCCTGGATGTCTGACGGCAGGAACAGGCGCCCGTACTCTACGCCGCTTGAAGCCATGGCCGCCAGCGAGAGGAGAAATGTCGCGGCAGAGATCCCCTCTCTGGGTCGCTTGAAGGCGGGTTGGCGGGTTTTGGGATAACGTAGAAAGCGGATGAGGAGAGTAATGGTGATAAAAATGAAGGCCACCATGGCCAAGAAGAATAGAGAAAGCCCAGTGAATTTGATAACTGGGTTCAACCACCCTGACCCGGTGGCAAATGGTTCGAACTTAAGAGTCGCAGCCATGGTTAGGCTGACTCCGAAAGTAGACATCCTAGTAGATCGAGTTAGCGAGTCTCAAGGTAGGGGGAATGGGTGAAGCGTAACTTACACCACAGTATACCAGGCAAAAGTGAAATGTTCAAGTCTGTCCCGGGTGTTTCCCGGGACCTCAGGTTGGGCCACGCCATTTGATGGAGACTCTCCTCCCTCTGTCGGCTCGCTTGCTCGGTCCGGCTGCAATACAGCGGGACCCATCTCTACGTCGACAGTTTGTTGTGTTGCTTGACTGGACATATAATATGACAGCCCCTCTAATATATGGGCCACCATTATGCGGCCCAAGAGTTGTTGGATTGACTCGGTTGAAGACATGTCTACCGTGACAGTGTCCCCGTCGATTTTGAGAAAGGTGGTTGGGTTCTTGTTTGAGTAGAAGAAACTTCAGCACTCACTGCTGGAAGATGATTCTGTCTCTTTGGAGTTCGAGTAGTGCCAATTCCTCGGCGGGTAGAATAGATTCCGGGGATACTCGAGGGACAGGAGTCGGGAGGCTGCCAGATTGCTAAAGAATGTCCAAGACAACCTGAAGCCATGTCGAAAACTGCCATGATATCTATATTCCACACCACTTCTGCAAGGTGTTAGCACGTGTTAGGACGTGTTGGGACGATTTGGGACGTGCTAAGACGTTTGGAGGTGTTTGGACGGCTCTGTAGTGTTCTTTAGCTCATTGTATAGTGGTTTTGGGATGGCGATGTCTGAAACTGGTGTCTGTCTAGACAGTGGACACGAGAGACCACCACCAAATGGGACACGACCCGTCGAGGCAGCCCGGAAACAATTCCGCGAGGGAAAACAATGGACAATGTAGTAATGGAATTTATATATAGATGTGCGAGATGGTCCGGCAGTGACAGCTCCTCTCTTGGTGTCTTGGAACCCATTGCTAGGTTGTCGTGATATTCGGGATGGACCAAGTCGCTGGGTATTTCACCTGAAACTTGTGGGAGGAGAGGGGTATTTGTATCTCAGAGGAGGGCAGGTACCCGCTTGGGTGATTTGCTGGGAGGAGAGTGCGAGGGGCGCCGAGAACAACAGGGCCTTGCATCTTAGGCCGTCGACGACATCATCACCACCTTCCTGAACAGGATGTACCATGTCTCCAGCCCCCAAGCACACGGGGCATGGATGTATTTTGCAAACATCACGCATGTTGAGTTTTGCTGCTTAAGCAAACCAGTTTTCAGACCGCAAAGGTTGAGCTTGCTAACGGTCAAAGATACCTACATAATGGTCTGTTTACTTTTTCAGGGGGTCAAACGCACACCAACAAACGCACAGATATAATCCCTTCACACTTTGCTTTACGTGAGAGCTTGTTACAACAAACACCAAATGATGTGATTAAAGAGGTTTGTCCTAGAGTCCTGGATCTCAGTGGTTATTAGGACAATCCAAGATGTAGCAGATGACAAAGAGAACATGAGCCTTCCAAGAAGGAGACAAGCCCAGCCAGGCGGCACTGATAAGCAAGGCTTTGCTGTAATTGAGCTACAAACCGGCATGGTATCCCGAGATGCCTCCTTAAGATTCGCAAGATCCATTCAACTTAGTTCCTAAGATAAGGTATATATGTACCAGACTGTACAGTACTTAGGTACCTTAGGTTGACTGGAAGTTCTGGAACTCCATGAGCTATAGCCAGGTTCCTTGTAGCAACCAGATCAAATTGCAATCCACGGCGGGTCTAGGACTTCCTTACCGCCTTTCAATTCCCCGTTTCCTGTTTGTGGAAAGTTTGCACAAAAGAGTCAATTTGGCTGTCGAGGTCTCTCTGTTTGTTGTCGTCTAAACTACGAAGCATGCAAGTATAAGCACACAAGTACAAGCACGTGGCTCGAAATACACCATGAAGCAAATTGGGGGCTAACAGCAGGTGAATCAGTTGTAAGCGAGGAGAAGGACAAATTGTTCAAACTCCTATATACGACCGGCTATGCAATCAATGCCTTGTATGCATGTATGTACAGTAGTTGAAATCAACCTAAACCTCCCTCCCAATTGTCTATCGCTAGACGTGTACCACCATGATTTACCTGCAACGCCAGCTCCATGCATTTACCCTCGGCATTGCAAACCTTGAGCAGTCTATAAACAACAATCCAAGCGCACATCTCGTTGACTGCACAAACATCGTCAAGCCATTCAGACACTTCGTCCAACGAGAAAGAAACAGGAATTGGAGTGAGCCAGTACATCCAAGCATGCAGATTGGTATCACACAGAACCTGGAAGCCAAATGGATGCAGGAGGGCGAAAAAGGCGTCGCCTAACCCAAAATGCCAATGTCGCCAATTGATGCCATGGTGTGCCAATCCATCGGCCCGTCTAGATGCAACACACAAAAAGAGACACCTTTCGAGGGGTGCGCGATATTAACCTCGATCATGTGGCATGGGAGAATGATGCGAGGAGCAGAACAGCCGGAGAGGGGCTGACATCAGCGCAACCTGCCTCGCCATGTCAACCCTCAGATGCGGGACCAGTCTGACTTTCGAATCCGGATACCACCCAACGGTGTGCTCTCAACTCTTGGCTTCGTTGGTTTGCTTGGAGTGGTGATGGTTATGTGCATGTGGCGGCTTGCGGTGGTGATGGTCGTCGATGAGAACGCGTTCACGTTGTCGCCCTCTTGTCTCCTCCTCGTCAATGCACGAGCTAAATCTCCTCCTGTCCTCCTCGTACCAGGCGCTCAGGGGCTTGCCACCGAACATGAGATCGTCGTCTTCGATGAGAGTGGCCACCATCCAGGAATGACTGGCCAGGTCTATCTCACCGGCCGTCGGATCCGGAACAGAGAGATCAGGAACCAGCATGCAAGGCTGCGGAGTCCGGTGGGGTGTTGAGCTCTGTGACGATGACATTGTGATGGTGTGGAATTAGATGAGGTGATGGTGAAGTTTGCAAGAGCTCAGGTTTTGCTAGCAATCTCGAATGAGAATATCGATGCTCCGTAGCAGTGAGCTCAGGGTGGAAAGAGTCCTCTTTGTTTGCGGGTGGGGCCGCCTGCCTGATAAAGCGAGCTGATTGCTTTCGGTGAGGGCTCGGGTTGCCACACAAATGCCTTGTCGTGGCTTTGCGTTGCCGATGGACCAGTCACCTTGGCACAAGTCACTGGTGGCTTGCGCTGCCAACTGACTGCAAGGCAGCAAGCGGTCGAAGAAAAAGGTCGGACTGCAGACAACGCGGCTTGTTGGGCTTCAGTCAGAAATTGAAGAAGGCAAGAAAGAACTTGGGCTTGGTCCCGCGAGACAGAGAAGGCTGCCGGAAATTTAATGTGCAGAGACAGGCTCGCGCAAACTCTGCCGCTGATAGATGCGCCTTGCTGCTGCGTGCCGCTCAAGGTGAGGCGGAGGGAAAAGCGCGGGGTGCGTATTTTTAACGTTTCGGTAAACTCAAATTGGCTGCACGGCGCGGGGCTTGTTGTGAGGTGGTTGGCGGGTGCCTTCGGAGAACGGAGAGTGGGGTTTGCGATCTCCAAGTGGAAGGTGAATGTGACCTAAGAACTCGAGGCAAATGACCACTGTGAGTGCCCGGGTGCTCTGTTGACTCGATTCGGATGAGACGGAATACGGGACGAGTAACGTTGCTGACACGGCCGGCTGGTGATGGTGGGTGAGAAACCACACTGAATGGTGTCAGATGCGGGCTAGCAGGTCGCGTGCGACGTGTGCAGGAGCGTGTCAGTGCTGTGTAAATAAATATGTATGTACAGTACGGAGGGCGGAGCTGCTGGATTCGCCAGCAGATTGATATCGTCCGGGCAGACAAAACAACACCAGTCGAGAAAATTGGAGTTGGTGGCCAAACGCCGGAAAAAGCTTGTTGTCAATGACGTTTTGTTGAGGCGGTTGGTCACCTTGCCGCCGCCTCCGTCGTTCCTCTCTACCCGTAACTTGGCGTGACTCGGTTCGGACTGTCGCCGCCGGAGCCGCTTCGGGCTTTATCGGATCGGACCTCGATTACGGTTGCCGAGCGAACCAACCGTTATCGGACTGCAATGCGATAACGGCCTTCACCTTGGGACAGGGCCTCTTGGGTCGATGTTTGAACGGAAGGGATTTCCTCCCAGCAGACCGTGAAGAATCGACGCTTGTTCACGTCTATATATACCGGAAATGCTCGGAATGCTAGGCACCTCGTGTAGCGTAAACTGTAAGGTACTTCTGCAGGCTGACAATTGCAATGGCGGGATGACGCAAAGTCAAGTTCCAGCCAAACGCCAAATGGATGCTCTGTGTTCTTTCCCGGTTTTTGCGTCTCCGATCGCATACAAATATTGCTGGTCTCTTTCAGATGCACGCAGGATCGTCGGCTAGAGTTGGGCCGGTGTGAACTCAAATAGCGTCGTGGGGGGTCAGCGCCAGCTGCACGAAATCTCTGATCTGCTCAACTGCCGGCTTTTGGGTTGGGGGGCTCGGGGGGGTGTCTCGCACATTCGAGAAATCTCAGTGACCTGGATGAGCGGCTTCATGGCAACATAGATTGAACAGGGACGATTGTTATATACCCAACTGGGCCTTGTTGTATTGTAATAGCATGGCAGTGTACGAAGTAGGAAGCTGAATCAATTAATTGCACATTAACACAGTCGCCTGCAACTGTACTGTACTGTACATACATATTGGGACGAAGCTCAGCTGGCTCAGTTAAAGTGTGCCACTTCAGCTTCAATGTGTAAGCCACCCATGAAGCTTGAACTGGCAACGTTGCAGGTGTTCTTTTTGACAACTCGTTGGGTTCTTTCGCGGTCCATGAAGCGGTCCACGCAGTCATGCAATCCACGGGGTCGTGGATTCCGCTTGCCACGATGGTTGGGCAAAAGCCTCGCTCGCTTTCTGGCTTGGTGAGTTTGGGAAGCCGTGCGGTTGTTAGGCTGCCAGCTGCAGGCAATAGGGCTGACGGGTGTTGCGTGAATCTTGTGTTGTTGACTCTGACACTGCAGCAGCCAAAAAGTTTTACATGGAAAAGCTGCAGCGAGGCCGCCCGTTCTACGTCAGGGCCCACACAATACAGCACACCAGACAGGAATTCGTCCTTCAGTTGAAATTGATGTTCAATTGTAAACAGATTCGCCAGAATATCCCGCAGTGTGTTTCGCCCGCAAGCAGACCATCGCTATTCGGTGTCTCACGGCATCTGAATGGCCCGATCGCGCCAAGCGACGGCATCTTCCTCCTCCTTCTGGATCGAGTTTACCGGGCTGGGCCGGGCTGCCGGGATTATGGTTATTGCGGGGGAGATCCGGCCGCGGGGGGAATGCGGGGCGATTCGTTCGGCGCAATCGTAAAGCATCCATGGATGTTGGATCAAGCGCAAGCGGCAGAAAGACCGATTCTCAGATATTCTAGAATTGGGAATAGAAATTCTGTCAGACCAGGCTCGTAACCGAACGAAAATCACCATCTCAAATACACTACTACACTGAAATTGCTGGTTTACAGCGAGGTCGCACTTCGCGATTGCCCCCGCAAATTTGCCTGGCCTCAGCTGGGGTTCGGCTTCGTTTTCAGCTACGGTACAAATATGAAGCTGATCAGCTACCAAGTACAGAGTACTTGCATTTACAGGCCCGTGAAGTCACATCGAGCGAGACGGCTGCCGCATCAAAGCTAGATGCACCTCGATCTGTACATGAAGCTTGACTTCTATCTATCTAGATCGACTAGCCGAAAGTGTCTCAACTTCCATCCGAATTCCGACGCCTCCATAAACCGCTGGACGTTGCATAACGTTATGACCCACATACCGCCTATTACGGCGCCTATTTGGCGGAAGTGTGCCAAAACCCAAAAACCACAAAACTTTTTACTAGGCTCATGCTTGGGCAGTAAACCCTACCCCGTTAAATTCTATTTAAATTCAATTTAAGAATTGCCCACAAGCCTTCTTTTCCTCCGACATCCTTTTACCCAGTTACTGCTCAATTGTACCGGTACCCTTAGCGCGCTTGAGTCTCTTCCTCTTCGTTACTATGGAGTATAGTGTACCTTTCTATTCTAATTGAATGGCTTCCAATCGAGCTCTAGTAGTAAGAGCGTTCCTAGTGATGTGAGCTGCCTGGAGGTGACTGGCAACTGTGGTAATACTGTGGCTTGTATGCCCTGCGAGAAAGTTAAAGTGAATTTGCTAAGTGCCTAGGAATCGCTTTTTTCTAGGCAATTTAGCTAATTCAGCGAATTCGACTGCCCTAGCTAATTCGACTGCTCTAGCTAATTCGACTGCCTAGCTACCTATATCTATACGCGCCTAGTCAATTACTTATACGTGTGCCCAGTTATGTACGACTTTGCTACGGGCTAGCAAGCTATGTTCAACTTCGTTGCCTTCGTTACCTTCTTTGCCCTGCGCCTGCCGAGCCTACGGCGCAGCCTTCTACTCGAGGAACTAGCTCTTCAAGCACTTACGAGCCTACGGCCTGCAAGGTTATATAACTTTACAATGCCTAGTGGCTATATAGCTAAGATCCCTAGGAGCATCGAACCTAAGTCGTAGTGGATGGGCTATACTAGGGAAATAAGTGGGAGGAATATTGTAGAGGACTTCTGCTAGATGATGGCAATGATGGCTAGTATGGTCCAGCTAGGACAGCGAGAGCAAGGAAGCCCTGGGCAAGCCAGTGAGCCAACTACTATAGTCGCCCTACAATTGAGCAATGTAGTCAAGTACACTCAATTGCATAGTTGCAGTAAGCGTACTGTAGGTGGAAAAGTTGGGGTTGACTGTGGCTAAAAATTCACTTATTGCAGTTATGCTGCAAAACCGTAGGGTTCCGAAAGCCTACCCGGGGGTGGGCGAAGAAAAATTTTCGTGGTTTTGGGTTTTGGCACACTTCCGCCAAACAGCCGCCGTAGCCTATGACGTCAGCGCTACATGTGCCAGCCACGGCTGGGTCATCGGGAAGACGCCCGCGTATAGACTATGGACTCGAGTTCCTGTTTTCGATGGACCGAGTAAAAGTCACGATCTCGAGTCCCTCCAGTGTCTGTCGATAGTGTGATTGCTTTAGGGCAACGGATGAGACAAATCTTGTGACTGGGTAGCAGTATTCGCCCCAAAAGAGGTTATGACCCAACTTTGCACCAAACCGATCTGGCCCGAAATCTTCAAGTTCAAGGTTTGTCTCATCGAGAACTGAATCAGGCATCGACCGCGCTGATGGCTTTGGGGACAATGTACCGTTTTCCGGGGTGCTCTGTCACCGTGTACAGCCTGCCGCCGTTGCGCTTGTCGTAACTGAGGTCCTCCGGGCCTGGCGGATAGAAGCCCGTCTTTTTGTGCGCGGTCGATCCTGGGACCCAGGCAAACAGGTCACCGTTCTTGCCGGCGCCGTTGCTTGACGAAATGTAAAACTTGCCCTTGGCCGAAACCACACCCTGGACGCTGTCGATGTTCAGGCAATATGCCCACGAGGCCTTGGTGGTCTTGCCGTCGGAGCCCGCCTTCAGTGTGCGCGTCGTGTAGTCAAGCGGATAGCGAACCACACGCACGGGGACGGCGCTGCTGTCGGTTTGGTACTCGCCAACGATGAGGCTGTCCGGGCTGGTCGTCCTGTCGAGGGCGACGTAGCTGTGGCGGAAGGGCTTGGTACCCGACCATTTGTACCACCTGGCAGGCATGTTCCGTTAGTATTGCGAGCAGGTTAACCAAGATATCCAAGGAGTCGAATGTACCTGATTTGCGGGATGACATATTTGTAGCCTCTGGCCGAGTATGTGCCGTCGGCGTTCTTGCCCACGTTATCGCCGCTGCTTACTTGCCAGATGTTGTCCATGTCAAAGACACGGATTCCGTTTTTTGTGTCAACCACCCACAGGGTGTTGCCGTACCAGACAATGCCGCCTGAATGAACTGGCACTTCTCTGTTTTCCATGTTAGCATGACCCCAACTCCCCAAGTACATGGCGAGGGCTAGGATAAACTTGGACTTACCGGAAGTTGTCGGCAGCATGCGGATACACTAGCAGAGCGTTGCGATACTTGTCGTTGGACTTGTCGACAAACGAGATTCTGACGCTATCGTCGCTGCCGGTGTACCACGAGACTAGCCATCCGTCCTTGCCCTCGTATGTCCCGGCATCCAGAGCATCTTGATTCAACCGTGTCAGCATGCCACCGCGGAAAGACGGACTGCGTTGGCATCTTGGCAGTACCACTCACCCCACGTGCCAGTCACGCCCTGAGGCGTCCACTTCGTGGTGTTCTCGTCGTCGTAATCTGCCGTCTTCTCCCAGTGCTTGTACCCGTTCCGATCGGTGGTCATTTTGTGATTGCCGTCGTTGAAGACGTGGGCAACCGACACATTCTTGCCCTTGGCTGCGAAGATTTTGGCGAGGGAAGCCACGTTTGGGTTGTCAGCTTGCCGGACCAGGATGAAGTCTGCTCCATTTCGCTCCTTGACGGTGCCGTTGCAGTTGTAGGGGTCAAGTGCCACTGTAGAGGAGACCAGCACCGCCGCGGCGGTGACGAGCCGGGAAAAGGATACTCTCATCTTGGGCCGGTAATCAGGTGAGGTGAAGGTCAGGGAGTCCGGCCAGGTGCCAGCCACCGAAGTGCCTACGGGACTCTACGTCGAGATGGAGCTTCTTATATCCTCGGAGGCATGGATTCGCTCCGCAAGTGGTATCCCCTGGCGCTGCCACAATGCCAAATTGTTTGAACTTGGCAAGTTGGATGGTTCGGGCGATCCCCTAGTAAGACTCCTCAACTTCCTGACCGACCAGATGGGGAGGCGACTTCGCTGGCCTGTTTTGGTCGCATTCATTTGTTTTCGAGGCGCCGAAAGGGGTAGTCGATGACTGGGATTGAGTAAGAGTATGGGGACCGACTGACTGTCGTCGGACAGAAAGCTGACCCGAGCCATTTCTCAGAGCCATTTTTAGCTGATTGGGCTGGCATTGTCCCGATTGCAATCAATGTAAATCCAGGACATCCCAGGGGCCGGGGTGTCTAAGGTCGGCGATTTCGCTCGCTTTCGAGAGTCGATTTCAACCCTAGAGGCTCAGGTTAGGTAAATCTCTAAAGGTCAGTATTGCTCTCTCTGCGCGTTGTAAAGTCCGTAATTACCTTACTCTTCTAGACCCACTTCGACCGCGACAGGTTTACCGGACAGTTGTACTACTTGTCCCTCCCAGTAGTAGACGCTACTAGGGGAGCTACAAACCAAGATCAACCAGAAGATAGTCTTCTAGTAAAGGGCCATGCGATCACCTTCCTATGTAGGCTGACCTAGGGAAAGGATATATTTGGCAGCACTCGGTGCTGAGTTGTAAATGCCTGCAAGTTACCTTACACAGTAAAGTGCAATGCGGTGTCTTACTGTATACACTGTATACATTTTTACTCCGTGCAGCACAAAGAGTACTTACTACCTGCAGATTACCGTAGATGCCAAGCCTGGAAGGCACGCGTCAGAGACGCGGACTGATTCCACGCGCTCAAGTAGCACGGCCTTGGTAGCTTGGCAGACACCGGGAAGCTTGTTCATGGGAAGTGCGGTTCTGTGAAGACAATATGGTTTGGCTCTGCCGGGTCTTGGCTAGAGATCCTTTTCTCTTGATTATGAACCCTTGTTTGCAAGTTAACCTTCTGTGGTGTATGTACGGAGTACGAAGTACGTCGAATAGTATACTGGTGCTTTGCAGAATGACGCACAGGCCACCTCTTAACCGGGCGGGCCGCGGCGATGCCGAGGCAAACCATTTCGGCGCCGAGCAACAACCTCCTTTGACGGCGCCCATCCGTATCGGTTGTACAACCCGAAGTCCATCGCAACACAGCATCCCGCTCCGCGCCAACACCAAGCCATATTTCTGCCAAGCATGGCACCGGCAACGCCATGGCCGCCGGTCCCAACCGTTGCCGAGGTCATCAAGCACCCGGCCTTCCCAACCGCCATGTGGAAGCTCGAGCCGGACCGCCAAGGGTTAGCGCCCGTCGCAGAAGGCCGCGGCGGACCGATCAACATTAGCTGGGAAATCCGTTTGTTCGATCCGGACCCCCGATCATGAACAACAAAACATAGGCTGACATAATCACCACTGCAAAGATGGCTCCGGTCCGATCAAGCTCATCGTGAGTCTCATCTCACCAGAACTATTCCTGCTTGGTGTACCCAACTCACCGTACCCTCCCTCCCTCCACCCCTTTTAGCTCATTATGGGTCTCGGCGGCCTCAAGAACGCCTGGCAACGCCAGACGCTCCATTTCGGCCACGAGCGCCGTGATGAGTATTCCGTCCTGCTCATTGACAACCGCGGCATGGGCGACAGCGACAAGCCGCTGATGCGGTACAGCACGAGCGAGATGGCGCGCGACATTGCCGAGGTGCTGGTCCACGTCAACTGGCTGCCCTCTTTCCCCCTGGACCCATCATCATCATCTTCACCATCATCCCTACCACCTTCACGCAGCCTGCACGTGGTGGGCATCTCGATGGGGGGCATGATCGCGCAGGAACTAGCCTGCCTGATCCCGTCCGCCATCAGCTCGCTCTCGCTGATCTGCACCGCGGCGGCCATCGAAAACACCACCACCTTCGCCGAGAACATGGCCAACCGCATGTCAATGCTGGTGCCGAAGACCATGGACCGGTCCGTGGCCGACGCCGCGCGGCAGCTGTTCGCCCGGGCCTGGCTGCCCCTGCCGGACGACGTGCACCTACCCTCGCCGGCCACAACACCGTACTGCTCGCCGCCGGGCCCAGACAGCAGCAGCGAGTACCTGCGGTTTCCGAGCAACGCGCACCGGTTCGTGGCGCAGGAGGTGCACAAGCGGCTGGACCCGGCGCGGTTCGGGCTCAAGGGCTTCCTCCTGCAGCTGATCGCCGCCGGGTGGCACAGGAAGAGCCCCGCGCAGCTGGCCGACATGGCCGATGCTGTCGGGCGCGAGCGCATCCTGGTCATGCACGGCACCGAGGACGGCATGATCAGCGTGCCGCATGGCCGAAAGCTGATCGAGTTCCTGCGTCCCGGGCGCGGCATGATCATTGACGGCATGGGCCACGCGCCGTTGGTGGAGAGATGGGAGTGGTTCAACGGGGTCGTTGAGGAGATGTGTAAGCTTGGGGAGCGGTTGGATGGGCGGTAGGGTACTTAATTATTGCTACAGTGACTGGCTTGGGGTGAGATTGGTGGCGTTTGTTAGATCATAGAGCATATGAGGTGCTGTGGGTAGAAATTTGAGTCCTGTTTTTAGCATTGCCACACGCTTGCTGTTCCTCAGCAACACACATGTCTCATTTCCACTGGGATACTGCCAACAAGTTCCGCGACACATGATATTTCACACACATACATCCGCCTCCCAGTGGCCACCGCGCCCGACGATTAAAGCATGACGAAACCAACACCGCTCTCGACTCCATCCTCCAGCTGGTTCATCCTGTTCACTCCTCCGTGGATGGGATTAGCCTTGTAGTTGAAGAGATAGTAATGAAGCTGGCCATCACCCGGGCCAAACTTCTGCTGCTCAAGGAACATTGGGTTGTCCATCAGCGACAGAGCATTGAACACATCAAAGTTGTGTCGCTTGGCCAGGATGAGCGCATCAGCTATGAGGGCGTTTAGGCGCGCCTTCAGCGCTGAGCGGTCCACCGGAGTAGTAAGGCCGACCTCGGTGCCGTAGTAAAATAGGTAGGCCGCGCGAATCGACGAATATTTGCTCGATTGGATCACGGAGGATTCGAGGCAGTAGAAGGAGAAAAAATCAGTGACCTTCCCAGAGTCGTCCTGTGGTATATGTTAGCACACCAATTTTGCACTGACAGGAGAGCGTTGTAAAGCTCACCTCCACGACATAACACCAAATAACCTGCTCTCCCGGCGCGTCCTTCTTGTGCAGCAACCAGTGCTCGACCTCCTCCTTATTCCATTCTGGGGTAAGCTCAAACCGTTTCAGGTACCTCTCAAGGAGGCTATGCACTGCGTCTAGGTCTTTGGCCTCCATCTCACGAAGCCCGCGGAGCGACGTATTTTCGGGCACTTTGTACTTCCTGGCCTGGATGGCGGGCTTGCTGTTTGGCGGACAAGGGCTAAAGCCCACCTCATACAGCTTCATCCAGTTCAATGCGCGGTGGTAATAACGGCAGGTGCTGACCGGCTTGGGGAGAACGATGCCGCCGGTGTAGATGGCTTGCCAGATGCCCTCAAGGTTGATGCGCCGCGTAACCTCCTTGATCAGCACCGGCGTGAGACGCTTGCCCCTCAGCTTCTTATGAACACATAGGAAGTTGACTTCGGACCCGCGGAGGACCTTGTCCCGCACCCGAATATTGGTCGGGATGGCCGAGATGAAGGCACAAAGCGTGTTTCCACTGCGTATCCCAATATGCCATTCCTTCCTCCACCCCGGGGACAGGAGAGACCTGGAAACGGTTGTCAGCATTAAACCCCATATTCCGTTTGCCGGGGGACTTGCCATCTAAGAAGCGAGGCAGAGTATTTGAACCTAAACATGGCCTCGTCGTCCTCGACGTAGTGACCGTACAACAGCTTCTCAACCTCCTCGAGCTCGTGTTCGTTGGTAAGATCCATTGTAACCCAGCGAAACTGCTCGAGAGCAAGAGGGATTGGCTCAGTAGCAATGTCCTTTACATCCTGAATCTTCAACGGCCCCTCCTCAATGAGCTTGGCCGGCTCCTCCCCAAACTGCGGTACTGGCTGTGTGCTCCAGAACTTGTACGACGCCATGTCCTTGCGGTTCTTCCCGCTGCTGGCTAGCCCGGTCATGATGTCCTGAAGCTTGAGTTTCTTGAACGCCTCGATGGCGCTAGCGGTGTTGTTCGAGGACCCCTCGCCGGCACGGAGCTCATTGGCCAGCGCAGGGTTGAGGGCCATAAATTCGTTGATCTGTTGGGGCGTCAAGCCTTCAATCGCCTTCTTTGGATCAATGGCGGCCTGGCCTGCCGCAGCCCCGCCCAGCGCCTCGATCAGCGTCTGTTTGACCTTCTTTCGCTTGCTCTTCTTCTTCTTCTTCTTTGACGATCCTTCACCGTCGCCGGCCGCAGCAGCATCTTTTGTGGCGCCTTCTTCAGCTTCCGAGGCGGATTCTTCGTCAGATTCGGCGGTAGGTTGTTTGCCAGAGGTGAGGTTATCCCCGGCCTCGGCGGTGACTTGGGCGTCGCGCTCCTTGGTCGGATCGACCTGCTTCGACTCCTCCGCCATGACTGACAGGAGCACTTATTGTTGGAATGGAATAATACGTCGGAACAGTGGAGTGGCGTACACGAGGGTACTGGAAGTGAGGCGTGTCGGGTCTTTCGGCCACAGGTATGTTCACAGCCTGTCGGCACCTTCGGCATAAGCGTCGTGTGCCAATGCAAACAGTGGACAGTTTGCTGGAAACTTGAAGGCGAGGCTGCGGGGCAAATCTGCTGTTGTGGGGAGCTGCGGGGTTCTGAGCTATCAAAGCAGCTTCCCCACCAAGCAGCTGCTATCGCTCCTCCATACGGAGTACAGTACAAGGCTATCGACTGTGCTCACTGCGCAGAACGAACAGTCTGCGCTTCGTTCTGCTCAGTGAGCACGGTACTCTGCGCGGAGAGGAGCTCAAGCTGCGAGGAACGCAAGAGGGAGAGGATAACATGTGATTAAATCGTCTATGCAACAAATATCCAAACGTATATAGAAGTACTAGCCGCTTTATATGCCAGCACCAGCGAGCTTCGCAAACATGGACCAATCCACTTCCTCAAGCGCCTTCTGGTGACGCCTTTCCACCTCATGGGGCTTGTACGCCTCGAACCAGAAGGCCCATACGCTGCGCGTGTTTTCAGCCGACATCCCACGGCTGCTGACCAGGCCGACGTGCTGGGCTACCTGATCACCCATCGCGAACCTCTTGGTGCCGATGGCATCCGCGTACTCCTCGATCATCATGTCTGTCTGGCCCCGCTCTTTCTGGCGCAGCGCCTGAATGAGCCCCGGCAATGCCAGCCGGTTGAAGACTAAGGCCTGTGTGCAACACCCGTGCTTGTCCATAGGGACGACGCCGGCCGACGAAGTGGACGCGGCCAAAGGGCCTCTTGAGTGGAGGCTACCTCGTAGCGGCAGATTGTGTTTGCCCGCCATGAAAGCCAGGACGGTGAAACTTGGCGCCACCAACACCGAGACCACGGCAATGGTGGCCAGATCGAGACGCAACCGCGACCCGCAGCCTAGACTCCGTAGTACAAGGAGGGCTGTAGCCGTGCACGCCGCGGAGAGCCCCAGCGTCAGGGGCAAGTGGCCGTACCACCAGTCCTCGTCGGCTACCCATCCAAGATGCGTCTCAGTATAGAACAGCCGCAGGTACAGCCAGTCGGTCCCATTCTCCGCTTCGGAGGGCTGGCGGTCCCGCACAATGTACTGCAAACCACGCAAAGTGCGCGCCATCCAATCCGCCGAAAAGACAATATCGTCTTCCAGAACCGCAATAAACGGCGCCGTGGTCTCTTCCAAGCATCGCTCCAGCACGTACACGTAGTCGAAGACGCCCTTGAGCTGCAGATCACGTTCCTCCTCAGCTTTGCGTAGGCCCGCGCTCTGCAAATCCGTCAGCCCCTTGTACCCAGATGCGTCGTCAACCAGCGCCTTCACCCATGGCGCGTCCCAGTCCGGGTGCCGCGTCGGGTCTGTGTCGGCGAAAAGCAGACTAAGATTGAGGGCGGTGCGCTCGCGAGGATCCAGCCCTGCAAGCATCGAGCCCACTGCATCCGCGAGGTACAGCCGCGCGGTTTCGCTTTCGCGACGGACCGTCACAAACATGGCGCACAGTGCGGGTGTGTCGCCCGCCTTGCTCATCCTCCCTTCGCCGGCGCCATTGTCGAGATTTTCGGCTGCATCGCGTGTTACTTGGGCGATGAACTCGCGGGATTGGTTTTGGCGCACGGCGGAGTAGTCGAGGTCATACACGGACTCGGAACGGAAGTAGGCACTGTGGGGGTCGCGCCAGAGGAAAAGACGGCCGTAGCTGAAGCCGAAGAGCCAAATCAGGCTGCACACCAACAGAGCGCGTGTTGCGGGATAGGAAATGATACGGAGAGGCAGATGGACGAGACTTGGCGGAAGTCGCATCGCGTCGCCGACACTCCGCTGTCAAAGGACTACTAAAACAGTATGTCCAACCTTGTTGTTGAAGCCACATGAGGTATAATGGATGCCAATGAGCCTCTGGACTTGTCCTGGAACGGTTAGAATGCCGATTCGCAAGATGATAAGATCCAGACTCCAAAGAAGTTGTGATTGGCGAAGCACAAGGACACTGCAGCTCAGCTTCAGAAGCCCCCACCCGCTGCGCCACTGTTGCCTTGCGAGCCTTGAACCCCTGACGGCGTCTCATCCCTACAGTGCACCCGTCTCATTTCTTCAGACTCTCTCTTTCGTCCTTTTTGTAAGCTCGCTCCCTCATAAAACCATTCCTTGCAGCGGTTGGACGTTTTCTCTCTCTTTGGTTCAGGCTGCCTTGACCGTAATCCTTGAATGATCTCAGATCTCCTCCGCCTTCTTAGCCACCATGGGAAAGCCCGATCCCCCTTCGCTTCCCGGCCTTGCCGGAGGTAGCGCCGACGCTGATGTCTTGTCACTTCATACTCAGCCTGGTGACCGGGCTCTGGACCATGATGTGCCAGAACTGCCATCTGATGACCTGCCGCCTCTCTATTCGGACATTGAGCAGGAAGACAGCCACGCGCCGTTGTTGCCAAACACTGTGCAGCACATCGAGACTTACTTCGACCGCCAAGTAGATGCCAACACGGGCAACGAATTCTTCCTTGCCCCAACCATAAACGGAGACCCAAAGGTTTTACTAGCGCAACTTGAAGAGTCTGCGAGCAAGCCGCCCCGGCCCTTGGTCCGCATCGTGGGAACACACCAACAGCGGATCAAGGAGAATGGGAAGACAAAGACGGAGACCGTCACCGATTTCGATGTGTCCGTCGATCTGACTCCATACCTCTTCTCGGATGCCACGAGGGCTACGTCTTGGAGGCAGTTGCGCACCGTTGAGAACAGTGAGAAGGTGCGGCGTGGCACTATTCTGCGAAAACGGGCCCCTGGGTCGAAACAGGACATCGAAATCAGTGACAGCAAGCCGACGCTCCAAGAATGGTGCCACCGATACTACGCCAGCCACTCTAGTCTCAAATGTTTCGTGCTTCGTCGCAAGGTTCTTGGTTTCGACGAGGAACTTCTGAAGCGAAACCTTGAGGCCCTAGTGCGCAGCACCAACTACCGCGGTCGTTCCGAGATCACATTTCCGGTCAAGGACGAGTACGTCTTTGTATACAACGACTGCAAAGTCAACAGATGGCGCCTTACACCGTGGATCGTGTGGCTCTGCTACCTCACCTTCCTGTGGCTTTTCACCTGGCCGTTCCTCTTCTTCCGGACAAAGGTGTTCGAGGTGGCCGTTGCCGAGTGGCCCTTTTCGCTCCCAGAAGAAAACGGTGACAAGCGCTACGTCAGCATGTCCGAAGGTTATATATATAACATCTGGGGCCGGGCTATCAGTCGTGCTATCCTGGATAAGCGCCAAGGCACCCTGGGCCAAGAGGATCTCATAGCTTCTCAGACCAGCCCCGAAACACCCTTTGCTAATGCTTTGGAGGGCGCCCCGAGGTTTCTCAGGGAAGGTATCAACGCGATGACTGCTATTAACCGGCAATTCGGCTGGGGAGCGGATGAATACTAGGGTTGGCACGGGGCGTTTGACCTGGGATAAGGGCTCGAGCCCGGCGGTGCATGCATCGACCGCTGACCGAGGATCTTCTGAAGGGCTTTTCTGCCTTTTTCTATCATCTTAAACAGTTCATGACACTTTCGTAGGATAATCGGTTCATTGCTTCATTTCTCCAGTTTCGGTCATCGTCGCCTGAAGTCAGTAGATATCAGTAAGGACCGAAGCTTAGCTCCACATGCCGTGACTTTCTTACCTTGACGGAAGTGATTGCTCCTCGGCAGGGTGGCCGAAACGTAGAGGCCTTATCGACAAGCCTCGCGTTGCTTCCATCACGAGGCGGCCCCGTCAACGACACCAAACGACCTCATGACGGCAAGCGCCACAGGGGCATAATACAGAACAGAATTGTGCCCTATTGAGTTAGTTCACGTCGCACAGATACCATTTTGGCAGCCAAACTCACCTCCATACGGGAAAAGCTCTTGCCTCACAACCACGTTTGCTTCCCTCCAAATAGTGACGAACGAATCCTTCCCCCTCACTACCGTCCTAGCAGCCTTCGCCGCCTTGAAGTCATCGGCGTCCATCTCACGAGAAACAAGCCCGCTAACAGCCGCCCTGAACAACAGGTCGTCTTCGTGGCTGGGAATATCCCAATCATTCCTCGCGTGCACCAAGCTTAATCTCAGCCTCCCTCCCCTCTCCTTAACCCTTTTCACGACCGCTGCTAATCTCTCGGCGCTCTCCCCTGCCGAAAAGGTATCAGCAACAGCATCCCGATTTTGCCTTTTGCGCCGCGCGCAAAACCCAAAGCGGCAAAGGCAAACACCCACATTTATCCACCACCCTGCCCACAATCTTGTCAAGCAACCACGGCCAGTAGGTCAGCGGGCGCAGAACCGGCAGCCACCCGGCAATGGCGTAGCCGCTGAGCATCTTGGGCAGGGTACTGAAACCGGCGACCAGGACGATACCGGCAAAGTCAACGCCCTCCTGCAGGGTAAAGAGCTCGGCGGCGCCACAGGCCACGGCCGTGCCGAGGGACTGGCCGACCAGCACGATGCGCGAGGGCGCCACCCCGGCCGTGTGCACCGCCCAGTTGATGACGGCCGCCGCGTCCAGGATCAGGCCGTGCTCCGTCGGGCTGCCCGTGCTCCGTCCAAACCCGCGGTAGTCGACCGTCAGGAGGTGGTACGGCGTGTGAGAGGTCAGGGAGAGGTAGTGCTGCGGGCGCACGCCCTGGGCTATGTGCCCTGCGTTTCCATGGACTAGACAGACGGAAGGAAGAAGGGTGAGATAGGGTAGTGAAAAAGGGATAAAAGGGATGCTGCTTACAAGATATGACCAACTTGGAGGTAGGGTCATCACGGAGCAGGCGGAAGTTTCTGGTCTCGGTGATGTCATGGGCAAAGCCGGCAGGTCGGGATGAGAGCTCGGCCTCGTGTTGGGCGTAAAGGGGCAGTGGCAGGATGTGCCAGGCGTAGAGGGTCTGGTTGTCGGCGGTGGTGATGGAGAATGGAGTGACTTGGTTTTCTTTTGTAGGGTTGTCGGCCGCCTGAACCCTGGATCTATGAATCGCCAAGTGATTGTGACTTACTTGCAAAACCCCATTGCTCGGGTTCGTCGATATTCGCCCACCACAATGTGTTGACTCTGTGAGCGTACAGGAAACTTGTGTCAAGCAGAGACGGATTAGCATCGATTTCGGGCGTATTCATATGCAAAGGGCAGCTTACTTGCGCTGGAAGAAGGGAATCGCGCTGAGGCAAAGGAAAATAATGTAGAGGACCAGGGGCACACCGAAGACGAGGGCAATAGAGAGAAATGGCAGCGGATTTGCCATGGTAGATGGCTGGCGATGGCGGGCTGAAGACTTCGACATGGGGGGTCTGATGATGTTTCTCGGTAGGAGTCCTGCCGTTTCTCTATGACGGGACCTTCTCACCTCGGAAACGGTACCCTGAGCCGCGGTCAAAAACCGCGGTCGACCTGCTGGAAAGTCTTGGAAAAATCACAGTCGGCAGGTGCGACATACAATCAAGGAGCGGATTAAGGCCGCGGCCATCATGCAGCCCAGCTCAAGTATAGTAGATGAGGTGTGATAAGGTAGCGACACAGAGCCCAGAGTCGCTAAGATGGCAGACTGATGTTAGATGTTTTTTAACGTTGACTGAGTTCCATTCGATGTCAATTACCTCCGGCCAACAGCACGATTCATCAATGGTGCTTTTGGCCCACTCTGGCACCCTACGTCAGACGAGACGGGCAACTTGGAGTACCAGCTCGGAGCTCCCAAGCATCCTTGCATCAACGAAGGAATATCCGGCATAACGTCAAGGTCTCGGGCATTGCAACGGATTCTGTGACTTGAATGAGAGACTAAACATGGAGGACCATGACATCCCCCAGCGAAGAGAGCTGCGATGCGACTATCCTTGGTGATGTATCGCTTCAGCGTCAGGTGTAAGCGTTAGTGCTCTGTAGGTAAGAGGGACCTTAGGTAACCACTAACCAGTAACCACCGCCTGAAAACCATGCCTACCAATCATTTTGACCAGTCAGCATCAGCGGCATTTGCCGCCTCGCCGTGTCGATTGGCTCGAAGCCTGCATTTTCTTCTGGCGCCCCGTCCGTCTTTCCCAGCTGCAACTGCATCTTGCTCGCGACACGTCTCGAGGTCGACAGCGGCTTCTTGCACCCACCGCTCCTTTGTGAACCCCATTGCCTTCTTTGCTCCCGCTATTCTATACTGCCGCGATTGGCCGCTAGGTATAAAGTTAATCCTTCAGAAAACGCTTTTTCGACGCCGATGAGTGTATGACGATCCATCGCATGCTTCGCATATCTTCTCCAGCCGGCTGCTGCCATGGAGAAAAAAAGGAAATTGCCCGCACGCGCTGCCGCTCGGGTTGAACAGGCAGCGAAGAGGAGGAACACTACGCCTCCGCAGAGATCAGCAACCCCGGCATCCGCCCCTGAACCGGAGCCCACTCCAGTCGAGGAGCCTCCTGCTCCTCTACCCAAGTCTATCACGGCCGGCAAGCCCCTGCCGACGGTTGATTCGCCCCAACCAGACGATCTCTCAAACAAAGACTACCAGAGCGTAACAGAAAGGTATATTTCGCTCCGTATCGAGTGCGACACCGCAATAACTAACAGTCCGCAGCGGCGTCTTAGCTGAGTCACTTTCGAGGTCGCGTCAGAAATGGACCAGCGAGGGAATATTTGAGAAGTACTGGTCAAAGCCCACAAAGAGGAAGGGCGTTGTGCACGAAGAGCCAAACAACCCACCAAAGGAAAGCATGACAAAGCTTGGCCAGGTGACGATCACTGTCGAGCCGCATGTCTTCGAGGCAACCATGTTCGCAGTAAAAGATCCGAAACCTCCGCCGCCAGCCCCCCCAGCGAGCGAACGACCCATAATACAGTACGGGCCTCCCAACGGAGTTATGCCTCCCCCGTCTACCCCAAAACCCATAACCCCTAGCGGGTCGGCGACCCCAGCTCCGGCACCGCCCCAGCCGCAGACTCAGTCTCAGCCACTAACCGAGACCAAACCCCTAACTCCGGTACAATCACATACTCCGACTCAGACACCGACCTTACGTACCGCACAGCTCGCCGTTGGGCAGCCCACACCTGACCTGACACGGTCAACCCCAACACTTCCTGCTCCGGTGTCGAGGCCGCCAGTTGCCTCGCCTCGGGGAATGGAGTCAGTCCTGTCACCCGTCACGCCACTGGTCCCCCAAGGTCCCGTCCCCCAACCCCAGCCATCACGCCCGATACCCTCCCCGAGCACCACTGGCCTGTCTGGGGCAACAGTTCTGTCAGCCCCAGCTCCTACAAAACCTGCCGCGACATTTAGCCATCCCCCAATGAATGGCGCACCGACAGCGCCCCCTGCAAATGCACCAGGAAAGCCGGCACCGGGCACTGACCCTATCATACTCACACTGGCGGAGAAAGCTGGAATGGATCCGCAATTACGAGACCTGATGAAGCGCGTGGCACAGGGAGAGGCAGCGAAACATGAACTCGAGCGGTTTCAAGCAATTATCGACGCTATCACCGCCGAAAGCAAGAGGAAGGGAAGCACAGCAGGTCCGTCTGCCGACAGGCTTCTGGTTGACGGAAGGACTGTGCGGTACTTTGCGGACGAGGTCCGTACCATCCTAGATATTGTTTTATCGTCGAACCCGAAACAGACTTCGGCCAATCTGCAACCCCCGGCAGGCAGCGATCCTTTGGTCGTCATGCTGGTCAAGACAGCGCTTGACGACCTCCGCACGCGCGATATGGTTCGGCGCATTGCCGAGAACAAGCCACATTTCTCCGATGCTACAGACCTCCAGGCTATCTTAGAGCGCTTGCGAGCCAACATCGTCAGAGACAGGGAGCAGCCCCAACAACAGACACAGACGCCAACACAGGTGCCGGCTACTGCCTCGCCAGCACCTTTCAAACCCAACAACACCCCCAATGGCCAGGCAATCCCTTCATCACCATCAACCGCCCAGCAGCAACAGCAACCTCCGCCACAACAGGCCCTCCGCTCCAAAGGACCACCGCCGCCGCCGGCGAAACCAGACATTTCAGCCATCGTCTTGGAGTTCGCCGGCGGGACAGGCGACAGGTACCTGTTCCCCAAATTCAGCCTGCTTGAATACGTGCCCGTCGCTTCGGGCCAGCAGGTAATAGCGTCCTTTTTGCTCGTGCGCAAGGGGAGCAAGGCCGAGTACCCAATGGCAGACCCTGAGCTGGATTACTATCAGCCGGTGACGATAAGACTGTTCACCCACACGGGCCGGCACCTAGAGCACCTCGCGCGGGTGGTGGCGCCGCGCGAAGAGGTGCTTCGCTACATGGACGATGTCATGAGCAAAATGACACGGGCAGAGTATGTCCTCCTCGCAATGAGGTTGCCCAGGAGTGAGGCGTCGGCGACGGGGCACGAGGACGATAAGGATACGGGCAAGGAAAAAGAAAAGGATAAAGAAAAGGAGGTCAATGGGGCATCCGTAAAGGGAGCTGAGGATGGAACGCCGATTGAGCAACAGCAGCAGCAGCAAGAGAAACCTTTCCAGCAGCCCGGGGTGCTGTGGAAGACGAAGCCACTGCCGAAACCCGAGATGAGGGATTTGCCGCCAAGGTCGAAAACGGGGACCTATGGCAAGTTAGCGCCGGCGATGGATGAAGATACCCAGTACCAGGGGTTCATCAAGTCGATAAGTCGCAAGGAGGCCGAGGCATGAGGTTTTATAGATTCTCTAAGGCAGTCCATCGGGTCTTATTAGTATTCCTGGGGCACGACAGACGCAGAGCAGGTCTGAGGCGAGTCTCCATTTTTAGTCCTATTTGCTCTTGCTCTGTTTCATAGGTATGATGGCTTTCTTCTTTGAGGACTGGGAGTGAGTGGGGTTGCTTTGCCAGCGCTTTGGGTCTTTTACGCAGATTATTTAGGGACGCTACGAGGGACGCCACGGACGGGAGCGGTTATCTGAGCGATTCAAGGGACTTGGGTATGTTCATATCCTGCTGAATATCATAGGAGTCCGGGGCGGTGTTGGTTTGGGCTGCTCAGCTGCTGGCGGGCTTATTGCTGGTTAATTGAATCTTCTTTTCAATGTCTTCCCTTGGCCTTTGGTTCTACTCGGAGTCTTATATTATTCCTCCCCTTTACTTTAAAGTAACGTTATACGCCTGGTGACTCGGAGTCGTTGCGGTTGCGAATTCCAGTAGAACTGTCGACTCGTGTATGGTAGCAGTCAAAAGCAGCCTCGCTGTCGCGCCACTAGTATTATTGGCGGCGGCAGTTTTCACGGCCGAAACTCGTTGGTTTTGCCGTTTTCTTTTCGCAACAGGTCTCGACTTCGCTTCCTTAATTACCTCCGGGATAACATGGGCATCAATGTCTCTCCAGAAGCGTACCTCGTCTGAAGGGCGACGCTCCCTTCCCTTGACTTCAAAGCCCATTTGATGGGCCACATGCCTCCATCCTTCCACCTCGTGAATAGGGGCTTGGCCGCCCGCGGAGATCCATGCCTCAAATTTCTCCTTCATCCTGGGTGTAACTCCTCTACCGAGAAGTTTTGGGCGACCATCGCCCCAATCCAAGAGTCAAATTTGGGCTCCTCGTCTTTTTTGTTGTTTAGCGCGTCATTGAAGACGCGGTATAAGCCGGATCGGGTCAGGTAGTCGGCCTTGCCCTTGGCATTGATCTTTGCGTCGCTCTTGGGACACTCATGAAGCGAGGGAGGATGATTCGAACTGGGAGCCTCTAGGTTTGCCGGTTCAGATCCTTGCCACACTACTATCCTACCCGGTGGGGGGGTGAAAGTAGGAAGGTGGACTTGACTTACAAACCCATTCAGCCACTGGGAGGGCGAAGAAGGATATAGGTTTACTACCTTCTGAACATATATGCTTACATCGATTGTGATCATCTCTCAAGTGGCATGTAGGCAAACTTGAAGTTGAAGCAGGAAAAGTCCATTCAGCTACGGGTCTTGACTTCCTGAGGTACTACCTACACCATAGATGTAGGTAGCTTATGGACACCTCTGCAAGACTCGGCTTTATAAAGCAGGCCAACGTGATGGAGTCCAAATCCCATATCGTTACTTTAACAGAGCTTATGACCGTTTATAGTAATGTCCCGCTTCACCCTTGGTGATACTCGCCATAGCTCAGACCTGAATCATGACCACGATGCCGATTACACCCATTGAGTGTTGAGGCCTGTAGTCCTCTCATGCATCGATGGACTCTTTCCCCTTGTTTCACACGTATATCAGGCACCTCTCTATAATGTGAATTGGGCACATTCGCACATTCGCAGCAGGCATCTTGTTGTTTCGCTCCGAGTCCGGGTGTCGCGCGACCCGTCAAGCCACCCCGATTTCGGCAGCTGCGAGGGCAAGGGGAAACAAGCTCAACTGGACGATTTCTGTCGGGTATCTTTCCAACGGCGCGGTGAATCGTTACACGGACAGACGCGTGACAAGATGGCATCTCCGCGGGGATATCTACACATTAAGGGAGGTACAGCTGGCTCATGGTGCATCATCCCGCGCAGCGTTTCACCCCGGCATGACTCGACCGACTGGCAGAGGTCACATACATAAGGTAGGTACCTTAGTGTTATGATCCATGTACATGGTACCTTAGGTAGTACTGTACGCCAGTCGAACTCTGGCTGGACCCTGGATACGCTTCTCTGTACCATTGATCGCAACGGTGCAACTTGTCGCTTGTTTGATATATATCCTGAATGGTTCAGAGCATAGCAAGCAGTCAAACTCAGTCATTAACATATGACAAGTTTGGCCAGCCATAGCACCAATAACAAGTGATTCTTGACGAGTGAGCTCTCCTTATAAGTGAGTAGATAGGATGCCTTTGTTAGGACCAGTACTTGAGTGTAATCGGCGATCACCACTGGGTTTAATATCAAGCCAAGTCACTTCATGCGGTCAAATCCAGCTTACCTGGCACAAGACGGTTGAGTCAGCACTCAAGCCCTCCCCGCATCCCGGAGAACGGAGTGAAAGAAGTGAAAATAATAGGTAAGGTAGGTAGGTAACCTTCCCGCCTGGCGCCGGGGTTTGGGGCCACGATGTTACGGGAGGCCTCCGAGTTCTCGAGCCTCACTGGCTCCGAATGGGAACTCAGTTGAGACGGATTGTTGCTGCTCTCTAATTCGATAATCCCATGAAGCGCTCCCGGCCTGGTGACGACATTACCTCTTTCTATCTGATACTGACGATGAGCCAGGACACCAGCATCCGTGAAACATCTAGGACCCATGAAGTCAGCATGTGCTTTTGCTCAATTACCCCTTTCTAGTATCGAGTCAATTTGAGATGCCAAAAGGATCTGATTGTTACCTTACCCAGGATTGAAGCAGTGGGTACTGTAGCCTGCAGTGATATGCCCGGTACAGTACTACCAGGTAGGGAAGGGGTCCCCACTGTCCTGGATTCCTGGCGAAGAGAACGAATGGTAAGTGGTCCTGGTGGAATGGCCCTGTTTTTTCTCATTTTTCCCATTTCCACTTTCTCCTTTTCTACCGTTTGGTCACCTTTGACTAGCAGATGTGGCTGTTGCACGCCCGAGGGAGTCAGTAACATTGGTAAATGAAAGCGGTCAAGAGACTCAAGACTCAACGAACTTAGTTCTGCCCTCATTGCTGTTACCGGTATTGCGCCTTCCTGCTCCGATTCAGGTTGGGTTGACACGCCGCCCCGGGTGCGCCTTCCACCAGAATCCACCTGAATAAAATTCTGATTCAGCAAGCACCCGGAAACTTCTCGTACTTTGCGGGGCGCGAGGTAAGATGTGTCCGACTCTCTGCGCTACAAGTGAGTCGTGTTGTCGCGGTTGCCGCTTCTCACCTCATCTGCTTGCATTTAGCACGGTGTCGGTGAGAATTGGATTCGGCCCAACTTGCGGGGTTTGTCCTTATATGATGCTGATCTTCCAATTGGGCGTCGACGGCCTCTCAGATCGACAACGGCCTGTCAGAAGGTGCCCAGCTGGCTGGTTTGTGGCTTGTCGGATTGCTGGATCTGCTGCTGATGGCCGTCGTCTTGGGCGTGGGGGTGGTTTGGCGTCAGAGCCACCTGCGACCATGCTTCTCCCCTGATCCGTCTCATCGGAGCCACTGATCGTCTCTCTTGGATTATTTTCTCCCACTTTTAGCGGATTCATTCTGGACTAGCGGTGAGAAGCTTATTCTCCTCGTGACACAATTACAACGTTTTGTGCCTTGTTAGCCCAATATCCCATCGTTCGGGTTTTCCCGCAAACCCGCCTCGCCCTCAACCTGGAAGCCAGAAAACACGAATGTCGGGCTCATGTAGGGTATGTAAGGGAGGGCTGTGGTCGCTGCGCAGGGCGCACACCGGTCACAGCGTTTACAACTCGACACGACGCTGTGGCGGTTTGTCTGGTAACGAGGATCATCGCCGTTATTTGGTATGAAGAGCTTTTGGCAGGCAAAGGAAGCACTCATCGCTTCACAGGGTCGCATGTTCGCTTGTGTTTGACTTCGAGCTGACGCCTCGGAGGGAGTTGGAGTTTGAGGGGGCCGGGGTCAAGCCACAAAAAAGAAACAAGGAGAAAAACATGGCATCTCAGCTGACTGGTCCGGACATTTATTGCGACAGCGCTTTTTCATCGAATTTGTCCAGCCCCAGACCCGAGAAGATGGGACTGGTCGACCGGATCATGGCCTGTTCTCCGGGTTTCCGGGATCGGGATGAGTGTCCCTTAAATCATTGGGCCCGGCTTCGGTCAGCGCTTTTGTCTAGTTATCGGGCACCGCCGCATTATCTGGACGGCCGCATGAAGTCAGAAGTAGCAAGGATTAGAGCCACTTCCGGGTCTCGACGCGCTTGTCTGGGACGGTGTGGGGAGGCCTGGCTAGCAGAACGCCATGTCCTCCAGCGTTCCACGGTGAGCCGCGCGCTGCGCGCCATCTTTCTTCTTCCTGTCAAATCCGATGTGGTACGGCTGCTCGGAGAGCGCGCTTCTCTCCGTCTATGTGGTAAATTACCTGAGGCTCTCGGGGTTGTTTTGCCCTTCGTGTGGAACCCGAGCCTTCAATATCAGGACTCTGGCAGGAGACCAGGGACTGGAGAGTCACTTCACGAAAGAGCGGGCTGCTTATTTATGTATCCACTGGCCACAATATGGTCCACGTTGCCTTGTGCCGAGAATTCCAAACGTTTGACTTATGTATAAGCGTTTCCCCCATCAGACACCGGTTGCTCATTACCTTCAAGTTTCCAGATTGGCATGCGTCCCGTACCATGGTGAATGGTTGACCTTCTCCGCAGCTTTTCCGGATCGTCCATCAGATCAGATCAGCTAGACAACGACAGGTTTCAGAGCTCTTGTCCCAGTCCTAGGCGTCAGGACCTTCACAAGCCCACCCGAGCTTTCACAGTTCGGGTGAGTCTGGGGTACAACGTTCCGCAGAGTCTGCCAGACTGCCGCTGGGCCTCCGATCAAGCAGCCATGGGTGCGGCCACCAGGGCGGAGGTCCCCTTCTCTCCCCACACCCAACCCGAGTCACACGATCACAAGCAGAACGACCCCCAACAACCACCCCACCTTGCCTCCGTCGCCTCTTCCTCAACCGACCTCCCGCTATCCAACCCATCAGTCGAGACCCTGATCACAATCACCCCCCTTCCCTTCCCACACCACCACAGCGCGTCGACCGCCGTCCTTTCAGACTTGGAAAAAGCCTCCTCCCTTGCGGCGCTCTCCCGCATACCCACCTTGCCCCCGCCCGAAGGGGGTCTCTACGCCTGGCTGACCGTGCTCGGCTCCTTCTGCATCACGACGGCCGTGTACGGACTGAGCAACTCGGTGGGGGTGATCCAGCCGTTCTGGGCCCGCCACCAGCTGGCGGGCTACCCCGTGCAAGACATCGCCTGGATCTCGGGCGCCAACATCTTCCTGTGCCTGTTCCTGGGCGTGCAGGTTGGGCCCTGGTTCGACCGGTTTGGCCCGCGATGGATCCTCGCGCTCGGCAGCCTCGTCTACGCCGGCGGTCTGGTCGGCTTGGCTTTTCTGCCGCAGGATGCTGCGGATGGTTATAGTGATGCCAGTGGCGGTGATGGTGGAGGGCTGCAGCTGGGAGGCGCCGCGCTGTTCGCCCTACTGATGGTCCTGTGGGGCGTCGTCATGGGTGCCGGCGCCGCCCTGTGCTGCACCGTTGCGCTGTCGGTGCTGGCGCACTGGTTTGAGCGCAGGCGGGGCCTCGCCGCGGGCATTGTTTTTGTCGGGAGCAGCGTGGGCGGCGCAATCTTTCCACTTGTGCTGAGGTCTACGCTCGAGGGCATGGGATGGGCGTGGAGTATGAGGATCCTGGTGTTTATCGTGGCAGCGCTGTTGGTGGTTGGGAATGTGCTGATTCGAGGGAGGATCAAGGGGAAGAAGGGATCTGGGACGGTGGATTTCAGGTGCTTCAAGGACTGGAGGTTTGTCTGGACAACGATCGGGGTTACCAGTGCGTTGCTGTCCAAAACCTATGAGCTGGGGCCTGCTGACAACCCGACAGTGAACCAGTTCATCCTCATTGCTGGGCTGGGCATGGTCCCGACATGGGCAACCGCAAAGGGGTTTGCCGAGGAGTCCACTTATGTTATCATAGCGGTGATGAGTGGGTACGTGATTTGTCAAGGCCATTCTGGTTGAAGGTTGCATCAGGAGCAACCGTCGGACTGACATGGAAATATCAGGGGCTCAGGGGTTGGCAGGCTTGCAGCCGGCGCCATCTCAGACAGGATCGGTCGGTTCAACACCATGATCCTGACCACGCTGTTTTCCATTATCACGACGTTTGCCGTCTGGCTCCTGGTGGAGCCACACAGAATGTGGCTGTTTTACCTGTTTTCTATCCTGTTCGGCTTTGGGACTGGCTGTGTAATCAGCCTCGGGCCAGTGTGTGTAGGACAGTGAGTAGGAATCCGGTCACCGGTGGTTGGTCAGCCGCTGCTAACCTGAGATTCCCTCTCCTAGGCTCACGGTCCCCAGCAAATTTGGGCAGTACTATGGCACAAGCTACAGTATTGCGAGTTTCTCGTGAGTTATATGGCTCAAAGTTCACAGGCTCTTCGACCTGAGATGGTGGATTATCTGGGTAGCTCAGGCTGATGTTGGATCCGCAGATCACTGCTGTGCATCCCCCTGAGCGCTGTCATTCTGGATCATCTCGGAACTCAAGGGTTTGTGCTCATTTTTGGTGCCATTCTCCTGATTGCTTTGGCTGCATTCATAATGGCCAGACTTGCCATCCAGGGTTATTCGTGGAGATGGACCGACGTGGTGTGACATCGGCAAAACTACTTGGCTGTTGGCTGTGCTGATGGGGAAACGAAAACGGTGTTATGGTGCGAGGTGACGTTCTGGCGCAAGTCACCAAAATGGGAACTCCACGGGTTCCCATGTAATGTCGATAATGGTGTTGCAATGGGTCGCGGTGTTGGGGTTGCATTCCTGATCTTATCCGAGGGAGAGGCGTCAGGGCATAAAATCGGGGAAAATGGACCATTTTCCAAAGGTATAGAGAAGAATTATGGGGTTGGGGGGTTGACAAAAGGCCAGAATTGAGGGCGTTCCAGGCTGAGGACTGATCAAGTATCTTGGTGGTTGATGACTGGCCAAAAAACGGAACATACGCGAAGCTGAATTGATCGAGACCTGCACCACAAGAAAAGCAAGATTGGGAAACAAGAAAGATGATGAAGAGCGGTTGAAGCTGTGTGGATGTCAAACTTTTCAACGTTAAACGATCAGCAGCTCAACTTAACAGCTCAACGCTGCTTTCATTTCGAAGATGGTCAAGAGTTCGGGATTGACCCGAACTGATCTCGTAGGTCTCGCCGTCCCGCGACGGGACGTAGCCAGAAAGTGGAGCACGGAAAAAGGATTTCACCATTCCAGACCGCTAGTCCTACTTTGTACTAGCGTCCTTCCCTTAAACCATTGTCCTACCTTAAGCTCACCTCGCGCCTGCCGATGGCCAGCATCCAAAGCTGCCTTTGTTTCTTTGCCAAAACCCAATCCCCATCACTTCCTTGCCTCTCAGAATCGCCGCTGAGACCTTAGTAACCACGGTTATTTTTTGCGGCTCATCACTCTTGAATTCCCAGTCAACCGCGCGCGCAACAGGGATGGCGTCAAACGCCTTCCAGTTCGGGGGCGACTCCGAGTCGGAAGACGACAATTTCAATCCAGCACCCGCCGATTTGTCCGATGACGAGAATGAGGGAGACCAGGCCAGTGAGCGAAATGGCAAGACTGGGCGCCGCGGAAGCAGCCCTGCTGCTGACGAACAAAGCCCCGAGGACGAGGAAAATGAGCGACCCTCCAAGACCGCGCCGAAATCCGGCGGCGATGATGAAGAGGAAGAAGATGGCGCCGAAGACGCGCAAGCTGCCGATGACGAAGAATTGGAAGAAGTAGAAGAGGAAGAGGAAGAAGAGGAAGAGGAGGAAGAGGAGGATGATGAGGATGATGATGTCCAGCATGTGAGTGCTCCCTGCGCTCTACAAACCATCCGCCACACCCTCCATCCATGATCTGCTTTAACCTTATTATGCGTCTTGTCGGGGCGAACAATCTTCCAGTGGTTGCTCCGTCCAAGTAATAATAGCTGACAAATATTCCAGCGTCACCGTCGCAAGCGACGCAAGGATCACCGCGCAGCTTTCTTCGATATCGAAGCCGAGGTCGAGGATGAGGACGAAGCTGAGGACGAGGAAAAAGACGGCGAGGAAATAGAGGATTTCATTGACAATGCCCACCCCGACGATATCGCCGAGAGCGGCCATCTCGATGACGACAGGAGACACCGCGAGCTCGACCGCCGTCGCGAGTTGGAATCCAGTCTTGATGCTGAGAAGCAGGCTGAGATCCTGCGGAAGCGCTACGGTAAACGCGCGCCCGCTCGAGGGTTTGGGGATATGGCAGTTGTCCCCAAGCGTTTGCTGCTCCCTAGCGTCGATGACCCTAGCATCTGGGCTGTCAGGTGCAAGGAGGGTAAGGAACGTGAGGTCGTCTTCTCCATTACCCGTCGCATCGAGGAAAGATTGGGCACCAAGAATGAGGTACCCATCACGGCAGCATTCGAGCGCGGCGGCCCCAACTCGGTCATGAAGGGCTACATCTACGTCGAGGCTCGCCGACAGAACGACATCATGATTGCTCTCGACGGTATCCTCAACGTTTACCCGCGGACAAAGATGATGCTTGTAGAGCTCAAGGACATGCCGGACCTCTTGCGGGTTACGAAGACTCCTAATCTGGAGCCTGGCGCCTGGGTGCGTCTGAAGAAGCCTGCCAAGCACGCCGGTGACCTCGCACAAGTTCTGGATGTCACCGAGAACGGCCTGGAAGCGCGTGTTCGTTTCATCCCCCGCCTCGACTATGGTGTTCGCGATGATGCCTTGTCGACACTTACAGCAGATGGGAAGCGGAAGCGGCCTGGCATGCCTGGGCCCCGCCCACCTCAGCGTCTGTTCAGCGAGGTCGAAGCCAGAAAGCGGCATCCTCGCCATATCACCGGCAACCCGCAGACAAACACTTGGACATACATGGGCGAGGACTTTGAGAATGGTTTCCAGGTCAAGGACATCAAAATTCAGCAGCTTGAGGTCAACAATGTTAATCCCACCTTGGAAGAGGTCACCAAATTTGCCGGCGGCTCAGAGGACGGCACCGAGAATCTCGATCTCAAGGCGCTCGCGGCCAGCCTGAAGAGCAATGCGAAAGTTGCCTATGTCCCTGGGGATGTCATTGAGGTCTACGAGGGCGAGCAACAGGGCGTTGTCGGCAAGGCAGTCAATGTCCAGGGCGACATCGTTACTCTCAAGGTGACCGAAGGAGACCTGAAAGGCCAGACCATTGAGGTTCCCAACAGGGGCCTCCGCAAGCGTTTTAGGCCCGGCGACCACGTCAAGGTCATTGGCGGAAGCCGTTTCCGTGACGAGGTCGGTATGGTCGTCAAGATTGTCGACGACCGCGTCACTCTCCTGACAGACCAGACCAACACCGAGGTAACCGTATTCAGCAGGGACTTGCGCGAGGCCAGTGACATTGGTGGTCAAGGGTCTCTCGGCCAGTATTCCCTGTTGGACTTGGTGCAGCTCGACCCAACCACTGTGGGGTGTATCGTCAAGGTCGACCGTGAATCCATGGTTGTTCTTGATCAAAACGGCGAGAACAGGCAGGTCTTGCCCTCACAGATCACCAACAAGCTCCCAAAGCGCAAGACAGCCGTCGCCGCAGACCGCAATGGTTCCGAAATCCGGCTCGACGACGTGGTTCGCGAGCATGGCGGGCAGCAGCGTCAGGGAAAAATTATACACATCCACAGATCTTTCATCTTCCTACACAGTCATGCCAGCACAGAGAATGCCGGCGTGTTTGTTACCCGGGCCGGCAACGTCACCACCATCGCAGCGAAAGGCGGCCGCATTACCAACGCAAACTCAGGCCCTGACTTGAATTCGATGAATCCGGCTTTGAAGCGAAATCCGGCAGCCAATAGTAACAATATGCAGGCTCCTCGGAGGTTCGGCCCGGACAGGGCCATCAATCAGACGGTGACGATCCGGCGGGGTGGTTACAAAGGCTTGCTGGGCATCGTCAAGGATACCACCGACACACATGCACGCGTTGAGTTGCACACCAAGGGCAAGATCATCACCGTGCCAAAGGCCGACCTTATTTTCAAGGACAAGGTTACCGGGCGGCCCATCGACATCTACAGCCGGTCCGGCCGCGGTGGCTTTGGGGGAGGACGTGGCGGATTTGGCGGATCGGGTGACTATCCAGGCGGAAGCAGGACACCCATGGGCTCCGGGGGCAGCGAGCGGACGCCGGCATGGGGTTCCTCGAAGAGTAAGTTTCCATTTATTCCCTCTGTGCTGCTGCGCGTACTGTGTGCTGATACTTGCTTAGCTGTCGCGCGGACACCAGCGTGGAGTCGTGATGTCGCTGGCTCACGCACCCCTGCCTGGGGCGAGGGCTCACGAACCGTCAATCCATACGATGGTAACCGCACCGCGTATGGCGGCGCTACCGCTTACGGTGGTGGCTCTCGCACCCCTGCCTGGACCTCTGGCGCTAAAACGCCCGCACCGGATGGTTTCGGTCACGGCTCAAAGACCCCGGCCTGGGGCGGCGGTGGGGATGCGTGGGGCTCCAAGACGCCTGCTTACGGGGTTTCGGCCCCCACACCGGGCGCAAGTGGGCCTGACAGCTGGGGTTACACCCCCGGCGCCAGCGGTGGGTCCAATGCATTTGACGCGCCGACTCCCGGGGCCGGGCTTGGCGCGCCCACACCGGCAGCTCTCAATGCTCCGACCCCTGGCGCCTACTCCGCCCCTACCCCGGCTGCGATCATCGCCCCCACACCGGGCGCCTGGCAGGGCGGCTGGGGAGCTGATACGGCGCCCACGCCTGCGGTTGGCGCACCGACGCCGGCTGCCAGCGGCGGATATTATGGCGCGCCCACGCCTGCTGCGTACGGCGGTGCGCCCGAGACGCCGGCGGCTGGGGAGATTCGGTATGCTGATGATGACTGATTGGTTGGTGGGTATCAAAGGTCCATACTCGGATTGGTACTAGCTTGCGTGAACGAGATAATCCGATCCAAAGGAATTGAGTGTTACTGGCGTTCATGGTTGGGCTCAGACAGCACAAGGCAGGGTTGACATATGGATGGTTAGGAGGGATCGTCGACACTATCATAGATTCCGTAGGCCGCCTCTGACAAGGGAGTTTTTTCAATTGACTTCTTCCCTTGCTGATGCTTGGTGATGATGTCCGTACTGGATTCGGAATGGGAAACGTGAGACTGCTAACATGAGGGCAGGCTGATCCTGACTAGCACAACTTCACAAGCACCTCGACGCTACGTGATTCATCTCGAGGCTACTAGTTAGGTCAGGTGTGGTAGGCTTAACATATACCTCCCGTCCTTGATCCTACTTCTTATGTTCTCTCCCCGTCGGAGTGCTGGTCGAGTTCTCGCTTACATCATGTCCTATCACATCGGAGACTTCACAAGCTTTTCTTCTCTTTTTCTTACTTACCTATTCATTACCTATCTGTTTCGTCCCTCAGCAGAACTGTGTATTGTTCTGCTCAGCTTGTACCCGGCGACGCACATTGTGTCTCGTCGGGTGGTTCGGATGAGGGGATGTGGTATGGATAAGGTAGGTAGTTAGCAGTGGTGGCAGTCGTCGAGGTTGAGTTGTGCGGTACAACTAAGACTTGGCGGAGTCGAGTTGTGAATGCGTTTGAAGGGTTTGGACAGGAGAAGGGAGCGTATGAGATCTCTCGTTGGCCCGTTTTTATAGTCATGATTCTCCCCGTATCTTCGAGGGTCTACCCCACCCTATGTGCCGGGATCTCAGACAAGTCTACCTGGCTTCCCATGCGGAACAAGTAACCAATATTGAGTACAGGTAGTTAGATACTACTGCAGCTGGCCCAGCACTGACTGGGCCTTGACTCAAAGGGCTTCGGCCGCGCCGACGAGGCAAGGAGATGCCAATACCAGGCATGATATAACAATATCCCGCTCCTGCCTATATCGCTAACTTGAACTGAATCGGATGACGGAGCCCTGGCTTTTGTCCTACGGATGATTCCAGTCAGAAATTACCAAACTAACATGCTAAGGCGAGTTGTGACGATGCTAGTAATTTTAGAGATTCCCCTTCTCATACCTACAGTAGATACCTTACCTTACCTATGTCAGGTATCCTTGTGGGCGAACGAATCTAAGAATGATGCATGGGTTGCAAACATGTACACCAAGGCATGAGGGCTACCAAGGTTACAGTACTAGTAATGAACTTTGAATGCTGCTAGCTTCGGGCGCCAGAGTGCTTCTCTGGGAGACTCCCAAGGAGTCCCGCCCAACTTACAAGGCGAAGCCGGCATTCGCATGCGCATGACCTTGGACACGGAAATTGGCGCTTGGCCAGATATATGCATTCGACTGCCGGCAGGCTGGGGCCAACCGAAGCGACGCGCCCCAGGTTCCTCAACGCAGAGAACCCGGGCCAAGTTCCAATATACCCCGGATCAGGTGGAAGCGTGGCCTAGTCAAATTATGGTACTCTGATATTAGGCCAAGGGTCAGGTCCAATATGCAGACAAATCCCAAGTGGCTGCTTTGGCTGGGGTGTCTTTACCCGCTGCCCCTTTACCCGCCTCGGCGGCAATGGCCCTGTGCAATGACGAACGAACAAGAGCCGTTCATGTCAAATTCGGCACGGATATGGATGCCCCTGAGGCTCCGTAGACTACGTATAAATATATCAGCCACCAAACCCGGGTGAGTGGAAGATGGACTCTGAAGAGTTTCCCGGTTGGTTAAGCCTAGCAATCTTGTCCCTGGCGTCTTTCAAAAAAGGTTTCGATCTCTTCAGACCCCGTCAGGATGAAGTTGACAGCTGCCATTACGCTGCTCTTGTTGGCTGCCGCTAAGGCTCATTGTGAGCTGAGCTCTTTCCCTGCCACCTCCTAACCAGTGTCCAGTCTGACTGACCCTTTGCAGACACCTTCCCCAGCATCGCCAACACAGCCGACTGGCAATATGTCCGTGTTACGTCCAACTACCAGAGCAATGGTCCAGTGACAGACGTCAACTCAGACGCCATCCGGTGCTACGAGCGTAACCCCGGCACCGGGGCGAGCGGCGTCTACAACGTCACCGCCGGCTCCACCCTCAACTACAACGCCAAGGCATCCATTTCCCACCCGGGGCCAATGGCCGTCTACATTGCCAAGGTCCCCGCTGGCAAGACGGCCGCGAACTGGGACGGCAAGGGCCAAGTCTGGTCCAAGATCTACCAAGATATGCCCCGTCTGGGCGGAAGCATGACCTGGCCTTCACAGGGTATGTCACAGATAAAACTGTCAGAACCACCTCCGCGCCCGGTAATGGTGCTAACACTCAGAAATAGGTGCCCGCTCCATCCCCGTCACGATCCCCCGCTGCCTGCAGAACGGCGAGTACCTGCTCCGGGCCGAGCACATTGCCCTGCACAGCGCGAGCGGCGTTGGCGGAGCCCAGTTCTACATTTCGTGTGCCCAGATCAGCGTCAGCGGCGGCAGCGGAACATGGAGCCCTAAAAATCGTGTCTCGTTCCCCGGCGCTTACCAGGCCACCCACCCCGGCATCATGATCAACATCTATTACCCCGTGCCGACCAGCTACACGCCGCCTGGCCCGCCGGTTGAGACGTGCTGAGACGCTTCATGGGATGTTGGCATGGAATTGAGCAGTCTCAACGAGGCACTTCAAATTATACTCTTGAGTGTATATAGGTACTTCTGTTGCGAATGTGATACTATGAGGTGTCGAGTTGTATATACTGAGTGTTACCTACGTCAAGCGCATATGCGTTGAGCTGCTTACCGGTATTCTGAGTTGAGAATCACGACTTGCCCCAGCTTGTAGAAATAATACTTATGTTAGGCATGGATGACCTATTAATAGAAACAGAAAGAACTCGACTTGAAGCAATGACAATGGGACAAAGCCAGAGCTATCTGGATTCACCTTGACTACAGGATCTTAGAGGTGGAAACAAATGTGAAGACGACGGATAATGGGTTTGTGTCGAAGTCCCTTAGAGTCTTTTCCGGAATACTAGCGGACGAATAGAACACCCGCCGAGTTACTACATCGCCCGGTGTCAATGTGTTGTTGTCATTTAGTATTTAATTGCCGACACCAGCCCCTGAACTCCCCTTCCGTCAATCTTCATCTACATCGACACCAGCAGAGCATTCAACAAGGAAAGCTAACAAGGTAGGTTCTGAGGTAAGCAATAAGCAAGCAAGCTGAGCGAAGCCGGGCCAAGTACTACATAGCAGTAGCCAAGACAGGAAACGACAAAGGACAATGTGCAGAATCCGGTGTGTGCACTTCACTCTGCACGACGTGGCGCCGAGCATGGCGACCAACCTCTTCAACACCAATGGTGAGGGTGACTACAGGAGTTCGGGCGTGGCCCGTCAGTGCAGATGCGGCCACAGCAAACGCATGTTTAGCTTGGAACCAATGCCATTGGGCAGCCACCCGCAGCCTGAGCCAAACCATTGCTTCTACGCGGGCTACTGCTTTCACACTTACCACGACTGCTGCGTACTTTGGTACCAGGTTATTGAATGCAACTGGTTCTGGGAGAGCTTGGAGGCAGACTCCGAATGGGATTGTCCCAACCGTTTCATATCGCACAGGTACTGCCACTTGCACCAGGTTCTGGAACCAGAGAGTCGGGTGCGCATCTTGCAAAAGATCGGTCTCCCCGAGGACGTGCCCAGATGGGATCTTGATCCCCCCAAGCCGCCCCATTTCCCGGCAGACCTCTTCTATTCGCCCGATCAGTGGCCCTACGTGGACTTCAGGCTGCCAGACGACTGGGTCGACGTGGACAACTGGGATGAGGAAGAGCAGTCAGAGGAAGAGCAGTCGGGGGAGGAGCAGCAAGAGGAAGAGCAGTCGGGCGAGGAGCAGTCGGGGGAGGAGCAGTCGGAGAAATGGCCATGGTTTCCTAACAACTCGTTAGAAAAATGCCGGGTATACATTGAGGCGTTTGGGCAGATGCTTTTCAACTTCAAGGAGCAGCTCCGAGATGCTCAAGCCGCCGCGGCAGAATGTGCCAAATCGGTGCATGACGTGACCACTCCGGCAGGCCTGCGGGAGTTTACCGCTCATACGAACGTCGCCATCGCCAACTTGGTCGGAGCAAAGGCGCATCTAACCAATGCCAAGCGGTTCCAGAGACACGCGGCCTTGAGCTACAAGCTCATGATGAAACACATTGGCTTGTGTCTGACCGCACTTGGGAGGATGCCTGCTCCGGGCGAAGCTGTTACTTCGACAGATGGGGACTCGTCCTTCACCGTGTCGCGTGAGCAAATCGACCTCGGGGACCTCACAGCTGAGGAAGTCATTGAAGCCTGTGAAGGGGCTCCAAAACAATACGCAGCGTTTTTGGACGGGTACTTGGCGGAACTAACCCGTAACGTGAACCAGAAGTTAGCTTCCGGGGCATACAGGGTAATCAACCGCAAGTCGGGAAGGAAGCCATATCGGCCCGTCCGAAATGTCGCGTTGCCACCTAGGGCTCTGAGCTCGAGGAGGTTGTTGGCGAAGAAAAATTGTCCGGTCGAGCTGACACCACCACTTGACGAATTGGGTCTTTATGCCGTACTAAGGAAACGCATTTCTAGACCTCGCCCCCTGCTTTTGCGTAGTGAGCGGTCGGACTGATAGCCTGACAGTGAAGACGAATCAAATGACGAGTCATGAGATCTCAGATGGGTTAGTGAGCTGTGAGCATACTAGGGTACTCCGTACATACACAGAAATGGATATTGTACTGAATGGCTTGCCCCTGACGGTAGGTTAGGTAGGGAGAGAGAGGTAAATACAACTGGAGCGATCATGCAGTTGAGCATTGGGGAAACGGCGAGGTGAGATGGAATGCGTCCTGGGAGCTGATTGTGTGCCACGCAGTGAGGTAAGATACCTTACACTAGTAGCCTTAGTAGGTCTGTAGCTACCGAAATGAGTTGCGCTGCGCTGCAGATCCGTGATGTTGAAGGATTGGTGAGTGACATGTGCGCCCCTGCTCTTCCATGTTAGGTTTGAACTAGGTTTGCTCAAAAAGCCTTCCTTTGTTCCTTCCTCAAAGGTAACAGACGACACCCACGCTCCCATAGGCAGCATGCAACTGCCACACCTTGGCCACCAGGTCATTAGGACTCAGTCCCGCCCGTAGGTCCTCTAAAGTAGTGGGGCAGATGGCGATTATGAAGCCCTGACGAGTACCCAAAGCTCCTCTAACCTGCCCCCAGTTTCGTAGCCGGGCAACCACAACCTTCGTCGATCTTTGAACTTTCTGGTGGCTGCACCCCAAGAATTTGAACGCTCTTGGAGAGCCTTGCACTGGAAGCGTTGAAGGCGAAAGCGAGAAGGTCGTATGTGATAACGAGACCGTACACAACAGCCCAGCATGCAAGAACCAGGTAATGCCGGGTGTGGGTTGATGATGGAGAGGGTTTTCAGCGTGGTACCTCCAGCGTTTAGGTACTGGGGGCGTTGTCTGTTAGTGCAACCAAAACTTTTGTATGCAAAAATCGTCCTCTCGACTACCCCTCTTAACAGATCTACCCGTCAGACCCCCAGCGTGCACCAGAGACGCGATGGAAGGTTCGCGTCAGAAGGTGAAATCACGCGTCTCAGCCCAACACAACTTTTCCATATTCGGGTCTGTTCACTCTTGTCTACCACACCTTGAATTTTATGCATAATCTTGACGGATTGATCGGGACATTGCAAGACATTCGGCGTGGCATACGCAACGCATGGGAGAAAGTGCTAACTGCACGATAGCTTCATTACTTGAGCGTGACAGTGGCATTGCCCCTAAAGTCGGTGCTCGACGCGCCGACAAGGAACATAAACTCGCCCGGCTCGACGACATACTTCATCCTCGCATTCCAGACACCCAGATCCTGCATGTTGATCTTGACGCTCACGCGCTTGCTTTCTCCAGCCTTCAAGAGCACCTTCTGGAAGCCCTTCAACTGCATGTTGGGCACCACAACACTGGCGATCACGTCCTTGACATAGACCTGCACCACCTCCTTGCCGTCGCGTTGCGACGTGTTTCTCACCGTCACGCTAACCGTCACAGTATCCCTGGCGCCCACCGTTTTCTTGTCCACCGCGACGTCGCTATACACAAAGCTCGAATAGCTGAGGCCATACCCAAACGGGTACAGCGGCCTGGGATCACCGAGGACGTACTGGTGGCCAAAAACGAGCGTGCCATTGTCATACGCCATACCCGCATCCGGATTCGCCGGCCGCCCCGAATTCGGATGGTCATAGTACACGGGCAGGTCACCCACACTGCGCGGAAAACCGACGGCGAGCTTACCGCTGGGGTTGACATCCCCAAACAACACCGACGCCAGGGCAGCACCGCCCTGCTCCGAAGGATAGAACTGCTGGACGAGGGCTGCGGCGTGAGCCGAGATCCAGGGCGCCGTGACGGGTTTGCCCGAGGAAAAGACCACGACGGTGGGCTTACCCGTCGCCACGACGGCCCGCACCAGCGGCTCCTGCGCCCCGACCAGGTCCAGGCTGTTCACGTCGACGTGCTCGCCCGTTGTCGCGTTCAGGCCCTGCCACAGCTCGTTCTGGTCCCGCGACCAGGTCCCGACCACCACAACGGCCACGTCGGCGGACTCGGCTGCGGCGATTGCCTCGGCGAAGCCGGCTTGGGACGTCGACCACCGCTCGCAGCCTTTGGCGTAGGTCACCTTCTCACTGCTGCCCACGGCGGCGCGGATGCCGTCCAGCGGGGTGACGCCGCGCGTGGAGGAATTGGCGATGACGTAGTCGCCGTAGTTCATGAAGCCGTGGGCCATGGGCCCGATGACGGCGATGGAAGCGTCCTTTCGCAGCGGGAGGAGGTTGTCGCGGTTCTCGAGCAGCACAATGGACTCCTCGTCGAGTTTCTTGGCTAGAGCAACATGCTCGGGCGCGTTGAGCACCTTGTTCATTTCCTCTGCGGGGAGGCCGGTATAGGGGTTGTCGAATAGCCCGAGCTCAAACTTGGCGCGCAGCACCCGCGCCACGGCCCGGTCGACGACTTTCTCATCGATCTTGCCGCGTGAGACTAGGGCGGGGATTTCTTGGAACGAGTACGACCCGCCGCCCATCTCCGAGTCGCCGCCCGCGGGTAAGATGTACTGGACGACGGCCTGCTTGTCGACGGGGTTCGACGCGCACATGCGAAAGTCGTTGCACAGACGGTCCGAGGCACCCGCATCGGTCATGGTGTAGTACTTGTAGCCCCACTCGTCGCGGAGGATGTCGGTGAGCAGGTGGGCGTCGGCCACGGCGGGGATGCCATCGTAGCTGTGGTAGGCCGTCATGATGGAGAGGGCGCCACCGTCGATGATGGCGCGCTTGTAGGATGGCAGGTAAGTGGTGCGCAGCTCGCGCTCACCGCCGTGCACGGGGCCTGTGTTTAATCCTTGCTCGGCCGCACCAAAGGCGGCGAAGTGCTTCACCATGGCGCTGACCCCGGCGGCTTGCACGCCCTTGACGTAGGCCAGCGCGAGCTCGCCCGCGAGGTAGCCGTCCTCGCCGTACATCTCCTCGACCCGGCCGTGGCGGAGCTCGCGGGCCAGATCTGCCACGGGCGCAAAGAGCTGGTTCACGCCCATGGCGCGGGCCTCTTTGCCGATGGCGGCTGCCATCTCTTGGACCAAGGCGGGATCCCATGCGCAGGCGATGGCGATGGGCGAGTTGAAGATGGTGGCGTTGACTGAGGCATTGGCCCTGAGCCTTAGCAGGTATTCTGATTCTAACACAGGGATGAAGTCTTACAAGCGAGAAACCCGTGGAGACCCTCGGTTTGCACAAAGGCCGGGATGCCCAGGTAGGTCTTGTTTTGGATATACTCCTGTGCGATCTTGATGTTCTTGGCAATCCATTCGTTGGGTGCGGCCACGCCGACATAGAAAGAGCTCCCTCTGTATCTTGTGCTCCATTCCAAGCCGGTCTGGTTGAGCGCACCGGTCGTCTCGTTCATCCAGTTGCGGATATCACCCTGGAGAAGCTGTGACGCCTTCTCCTCGATGGTCATCCTCGACAGCAGGTCGGCTACGCGAGCCTCGACGGGGGCCTTTGTGTTCTTGTAAAGGGCATTTTGGAGGCTGGGCCGTTGCTTGTCGGCGGCGAGGACGCCCGCTGCAAGAAGCAGCGCAGAAGACAGGAGCTTCATTCTTGTGGCTCCTAGGGGGCGGGCTGGGAATGCTAGGGCCGAGTCGAGTCAGTCGTCGACCATGACACGACAGATACTACACACCATCTTCAGGTCACCGAGTGATATATACCATAACATCTCGAGCCTCGGTCGGCAAAGACAAGGTGATGTCGGGATACAAGGTGCCGTCTTGGTATCGACGGTGTAAGTGGACAATTTTCCGAATCGGGAAAGTGATCGACAGGGCCGATCACCGAGCCGATCGACGGCTCTGGCGGGCCGCGATGCCAAGCTGGAGATCCCCAGATCCATGTCATCAACATCGTAACCACCAGGTTTTCTGTGAATTTGAAGGCCATGGCCATCAGATGCACAGGTTAGCAACCAGCAAACCTCCACAGGGCAGGGCCGTGTGGGCCATACTGTGTGGCAGGGCATGTGCATGCCATGTGGGTGGAAGGATTCGGTCTTTTCGGCCGAATGTTCCACCAATCACTTCTCGTTGGGCATTGACCCGAGTACCCGAAGGGCCAGGGTGCCAAGGCCGTCGACGGCAACGTGCGGATATCGCGGCGGGTACTGGAAGCTGGAAGATGAGATGGTGTGTTCCACTGCAGTGCACGTGGTGGAAAGGGTCCTGGCTCAAGTTAGGGTATTTGCGAGGGACGATTGAAGAACTTGAAGACTGGAGCTTCATGTCACGGTCACTCTGCGGCTTCAGGAGTTCAAGACACATACTTACCCCTTACCCAGTACTCACCTTCTGCGACCCAACACATATTGACATAACAGATTGATAGCATCATCGACAATGAGGTTCCGTGATGGTAGGTTCTACCCCCATTTCTCAGAGCAAGAGCTAACAAGCGAAAATAGGACAATGGCTGGTGGCCGAGGGCGTGCGGATCGAGTACGCCGAGGAGGTGTACCGCATCACGCCGACGGCCTCGGGCAAGGGAATCAGCCTCCTGTGTCCAACACGCAAGGTCATGACACGGGGCGACACGTTGAATCTCAGCACCCTCAGCATTGTAAGTGGCAGATGATGCCGATCCAGTTCAGCATCACATGACATAAGGTCTCTAATGCCGCAATGCCCAGGACATCGAGGCTGCGTTTGACGGTGTTATCTCAGTCGAGACAACGCATTGGCAGGGCGCCCTCCGCCGCGGCCCCGATTTTGAGCTGTACCCCGCCGGACGGCCCGAGGTCGATGCCAAAGTGTCAACGACCGAGCACGGCACCACGCTGTCGTCCGGCAGTCTTTCGGCCACCGTCAGCGGCAAGCCACACGATTTTGCCATCTCATTCCACCCAACCAACAACGCCAAAAAGTCGCTGACCACGCTCCTCAACCGGTCCGTCGGCCTAGCCTACACGCCTGCGCCGAGCACGCCTATGCAGATCGCCGACATGCGCAACTTCAAGCACTACATCTTCACCCAGACCACGCTGGGCGTCGGCGAGTCCGTCCACGGCCTCGGTGAACGCTTCGGGCCCTTCAACAAGGTCGGACAGAAAGTCGACCTGTGGAACGCCGACGGCGGCACGTCGTCGGACCAGGCGTACAAGAACGTCAGTTTCTGGATGAGCTCGCGCGGCTACGGCGTATTTATCGACACGCCCGAGCGCGTCGAGCTCGAGATTGGCAGCGAGCGCTGCTGCCGTGTGCAAACGAGTGTGGAGGGCCAACGCCTGCGCTGGTTCCTCATCTACGGCCCCACCCCGCGCGACGTGCTCCGCAGGTATGCGGTCTTGACGGGGCTTCCCGGAAAAGTGCCAGCCTGGTCATTTGGCTTGTGGCTCAGCACGTCGTTCACCACGTCGTACGACGAGAAGACGGTCAACTCGTTCCTGGCCGGCATGAAGGCGCGCGATATACCTGTTGAGGTGTTCCACTTTGACTGCTTCTGGCTCAAGGCGTTTCAGTGGTGCGACTTTGAGTTTGACCAGGAAATGTTCCCGGATCCGAAAGGGCAGATTTCCCGTCTCAAGGCCGACGGCGTCGTGAAAAAGGTGTGCGTTTGGACCAACCCGTACCTCGGCCAGGCCTCGCCCGTGTTCGCTGAGGCCGCGGAAAAGGGGTACCTCCTCAAGCGCAAAAACGGGGATGTATTCCAGTGGGACCTGTGGCAGACGGGGATGGGGATTGTCGACTTCACCAATCCGGCCGCGTGCGACTGGTTCGTCAAGTGCATGGAAAAGCTGTTTGACACGGGCGTCGACTGCATCAAGACCGATTTTGGTGAGCGCATCCCGTCTGAAGACGTGCAGTGGTTCGACCACTCGGTCGATCCCAAGAAAATGCACAACCACTACGCCTTCATCTACAACAAGCTTGTCTACGAAGCCCTGCAAAAGCGCTACGGCGCTAACGAGGCCGTGCTCTTCGCCCGCAGCGCCACGGCGGGGACGCAGCGGTTCCCCCTGACCTGGGGCGGCGACTGTGAGTCGACCCCCGAGGCCATGGCCGAGTCGCTTCGCGGCGGCCTGTCGCTGGGCCTGTCAGGCTTCGCCTTTTGGAGCGTCGACATTGGCGGGTTCGAAGGATACCCCCCGCCCTGGATCTACAAGCGCTGGGTGGCGTTTGGTCTTCTCTGCTCCCACTCGCGCCTGCACGGGTCCAACTCATACCGCGTGCCCTGGACCGTCGACGACGATGATACGTCTGAAGAGGGCTGCTCGGCCACGCTGCGCAAGTGGACGCATCTCAAGGCCCGCCTCATGCCCTACCTCTTCTCCCAGGCCCTGGAATGTGTGCGCGACGGCCTGCCGCTGAGCCTGCGGGCTATGTGTATTGAGTTTCCGGACGACCCGACGGCGTGGACGCTCGACAGGCAGTTTATGCTGGGTGATAGTCTGCTGGTGGCGCCCGTGTTTGAGGAGGACGGCACGGTGCAGTTCTACCTCCCTGCGGGCAAGTGGACGAACTTTTTCACTGGGGAGGTGAAAGCTGGTTCGGCGTGGTACACGGAGACCCACTCGTTTGCTACGCTGCCGCTCTATGTGCGGCCTAACACGCTGTTGGTGCTGGGCAAGGAGGGCGAGACGAGGACGGTCTACGACTACACGGGCGAGGTGGAGGTCAGGAGCTACTTTGCTGGTGAGGGTGCCAAGGCGGTGTTGGTGGACAGTGAGGGCAAGACGGCGGGCGTGTTGGAGGTGAAGAACGGGGAAATTACGGGAAAGGAGGCGCTGAAGGGTGGTTGTGAGATCAAGGTTGTAAGCGAATAGGGGGTCGGTGGACTCGGGGTGCAGCACCACTGCTTAGTAGTAGGCTGAAAGTGAGGAGAGGACTACTAGTACTGTCTAGTAGTAATTACATGCCGCCCAGGACGGAGATAAAAACGGCACATAGGCACCTAGCTTACCACACTATCACTAATGGATATCTCAAGAGGGGGTATGCTGTGACTGGACGAAGGCGGACACAGAAGTGTGTAGCCCTCATAGTAGCACGCATTATGACCCCGAACATCAAGGTCACGCGTGACTACCCGCATGACGAGTGCAATGCCTAGCGGAACAAGTCCGGCCTGTCCTTAAGCTTGAGCTGGATGCAGAGCAAGCTCATCTGCATGCCAAGGCTGGCGCCGATGCTCTGGATGGCCCGCTATCGGTAGAACTTGGTGTGTCAAGTCCGTGTCAGTTGGTCTCTTTCGGGCTACAATCCGGAGGGATATGGGAGCATAGCACCATAGCTATTAGCGAGGCGAGGTCAGCACCGTCTCTACTAAGTACATGTCGATAAGGGGTTTTATTGTTAAGGTAGACGTCCCAGAGACTCCATCTCCAAGTAAGAGCTCACCCGCAGGAGGATGCTACAGACCGGGAACATCAAGGTAGAGGAGTCGTGCTAGATGAGGGGGTATGGTGGTCATCTCGCCGGCCACACCTGTGTCGAGGAGGTGTGAACAGCTGCTAATTACATGTAGTAGTAGTAGTAGCGTAAAGGCGGCGGGGTAAGATAGGGAGTCGCCCGGCCCAGGGTTATGATGGACGAGGGAAGGTTCCTAGACTTCCAATGCCATAACGGAAAGGTAAAAGACCGGATATTATCAGGCCACCGAAGCAGACTCTGATGACAATGGCGTAGAACCTGAAGCCTCATAGTGTTGATCAACCTGGCAGCACTTCTGGCCTCGGAAACCGCGGTACTACAAATTATCTCTCAGCCTGGGAACTTGGTGGTCAAACAGCTTGTGGAAACAGTGGGAACTGGAGCCTGGTAGGATTGTGACCAGAAGCAGTAATCATATTGATGGCTGCGTTAGCTTCAGTTTTCTGCCACTCGCCGGGCACCTCCCGGTCGATGAGATGAAGCAGGCGACAATGTGTGACGAGAAACACGGCTCGTGGGGGGGGGGGGGGGGGGGGGGGGGGGGTTACTTCAAGGTTTGGGCACTTGGGTTGCACTATCTCCGCTGTGGCGTCCGGGAGGTTTTGCGGTTGGCGGCTCGGAGTTGATGCGGCGGCATGCGGCGCGGCGGCGCAGCGGTTGACGGGAGTACATAACATGAGGCACATTATAAGTACAGAGTTCTCTGTGCATGTCTGATGCACGCGTGGCCATGCTGCAAGCCGCTGGCCTGTGCAATGCCTCATCGTCACAACACACAGGAAAACGGCGGGGGAATTTTGAACAAGTTGAAGAGGTGGTTGATCATGGCCCAAGAGGGTGCTAGCCAGGCAGAGGAATGCGTTAAGTCTTGCAGTAACCTTCCAATAATGTAAGTGACGGCATGTAAGTGATGAACCAGGGCCTCTGCATATGTGCGCCAAGTGGTTAGCACCTCGTCCTATTTGGGACAGCCACAGATAGTGGTACAATACCTATTACTAGATAGATAGTGGTTACTATGCCCTTGAAACACTGAGCAAGGCTCTGCCCATCACTGATTCTTTCCGGATAGTCGCGGTTAAGGAGGGGGGACACCTGTGTGTGACTGGGTCTAAGTCAAACTCCAGAGATGCAGTGATCTTGCAGTATCAGATTTGACTCAAGCCCATTCAGGCGGAAAAGGGACTCTGAACTCGGGACTCGGGAGGGGCGGAATCAACTTGCATGTGGAGATCTCGGAGCAAAGATTAATCAGTAAGAAGTGAACAATGTAGGAAAAAAGGGGTAAAGAAATGACTAAAAATCGGGTATGGGGTAACCAGACTACCGAAGCAGACAACCCCTTACATCCACAAGCCTCTGTCCAGTCAGCAATGGTGTTCCCGTTGAGGCTCCTATTACCCGGCTTACATGGTAGAAGCCGGGGACGAAACCGGTGACTTAATTCCCTGGTCTCAATGCCTCCGCCGAGCAGCCCGGGCTGCCTATCTTGTCCAACTGTTGGCTGTATCCGTTAGTTTGACCCATGGCCCCGGGACCAATATTGACGAGGGATGAATGTGGAATGCTACCCGACACTTACGCAAGCAGTAACAAAGCCGTCGCTCGTTTCAGAATGCCCATGCCCATTGGCCGCGACGCCAACATCACAAACGTCAAACTCCTCTCGGGCCATGCCGACATGAGCTGAAAGGAAGCTGCCAAGACCCAAGATACCTTATGCCACGCCCGTCAAATGCAAGCCATCAGAGAGCTCAAGGATCATCCCTCGTGCAGGCGTTCCTCTTCCGCCGTGCCAACCCGTTTGTCCTCAGTGCCCACTCTCGGGATAACCCAGTCCATCAGGCTGGTGGGACTGTTGGACCAGAATGGGGGACGATAACGTTGATCTTGAGCAGTCCAGTTGGCACATATATGGTGGCCGCATTATCGCTAGCGGGGCAGATGGACAGCCGGGCTGGGAGGATGTAACTAAGTAGCGGTTCATGTTGTCCCCCACACCGGATAGCAGTCACCGCGCACTGCGAAGCTGGCTACTCTCTTCGAGTTGTGTCCACAGCACAACTTGAACTTCAACGACAAGCACCAATGCATCGTCCACAGCCAGAACCTGTCCGAGAGGGCAAGCTGCGGGCTGCCTGTGACCGATGCCATGACCTGAAGAACCGCTGCGTGAGGATCGGGGGCATCGACAGTCGCTGCGACAGGTGTGAGAGGCTGGACATTGACTGCGTCTATCGCAATGCGTCGCGGATGGGTCGTCCTAAGGGGCAGAGAAGGACATCGACATCATCCCTGTTTTCCTCGCGTCGGTCAGGGGACGTTGCTCAAGCTCACAGGAGGGTGGCCAGCAGCGTTAGCACGGGCAGCGACAACATGCCCGAGATGATGTCGGCTGTTGTGGTGGGCTCTGAGACGGATCCCAGTACAAGCACCAGCACCAGCACCAGCACCAGCACCAGCACCCATAGCGGCAGCATAACCCTCATCGACTCACCGGCCGAGGTCATGAGTCTCTTGATTTCCCCGGAACCGTTGGCCTCGCCAGGTAGGTAGTGAGACTTTCGCCCTCCAGCCTCCAATGTGAAACAAAACTGCAGCTGACAGATAAGGGGGAGTCAACACAGGGATGCAGCCACCGGGTCCAGACCTAGACTGGAGCATGGACTTCAGTCTCCAGACCAGCAGCATTCCATGCCATGATCCTTTCTTTTCAGACGAGAACCCCGGGTCACCGCCCCCTGAACAGCCAGCTCAGGCAGAAAACACCTCGCTGGGGGGCCATACCACTAACATGGACATCTGCGGCGGCGGGCCCCAGCACCCCGAGACGTCTCCAACCACAGCCGACAGACTTGTCGAGTTGCAGACCCAACTGCACCGCCTGCTGTCGGTTGCCCATGATGATCATTCGGGATTCGACTATGTCCAGGAGGGACTAGAAGCGGCCAAGACCTTCCTGGGCGTCCTGCAGACCAGCCTGGCCTCACTGAACGATTATTGTCCCGATGCAGCGAAAGTCCCCGCACCGTCGGTGAGCTACATTGCCGTCCAGCAGTCTCTGGTGTGCTACTCGTATGTGCTGCTACTGCTGGACCGCGTCGTCGGCGTGTTAACTGGCAGTGGTCCCCCTGTTGCACATACATGTGCCGGAACTTCATCATACATGTATACCCCTAGCCCGTTGGGTGAATCGCCAGCCGTCACTGCGCTGAGCCTGGGAGTGTTCAACCTCGCTTCGCAGCCCGCGCTCAACGTCGAGATGGTGTTGCACCTCGTGCTTCGCATGGTTCAACGTCTGCGGAAAATGATTCACCTGCTCGCGTCAGGGTGCAAGGACCTTGCTGGTGTGTTGGACCGTCCGGGCCGGATACCCGCGTCATCGGCGTCAGGGGGGGAGATGCATGTCTCGGCGGTGGAGGCTGATAGAGGATCATCAAAGAAGGCAAACGGAACCCCCGTGTCGATAGCTGTCATGTCGTATGCCGTATCGGATTTTATTGTGGAGAGGGAGAATGCTCTGGTTGGGAGGCTGGCACGGTTGGCAAACAGTAGCGGTCCAGACTGAACATGAAGATCAAGTTAGGTACTACTATTAGACCAGAAGTTCTACATGTATGTACAAGATGGCAGCGGAGAAGTTTGAGACGGGTAGAAGAGGGCGTCCCCCCTATTTATGTTGGCAAGATGTAACATGACAATAGGGACACAACCCAACCCAACATGAACCCAACCACCTGCACCTTTGTCCAACAACAGTCCTGTCGAGCATTGCACTGCAAACGACGCTGTGTCGGGGTTCGGGGTTGCTAAGTCCCGGCCTGTATTCCGACTGCGGGAGCAGCCCAGAGACACGCCAACCAACTGTTCATTGAATGGGGGCCTCCTATCTTCCGAAAGGGGCGTGTGGCAGCCCAGCCACAGTGGCCTGGTCCTTCCTCATCGATGTGGGTGCATGTATGGCTGTGGTGGGAAAGTCGCCGGTCATGCAGACGTGCAGCAACACAGGCGACGTGGAGCGGTAGGTGATTTAGGGGGTGTAGTGAAAAGACACCAGTCACTAATAAGGGGTAAGCATCGAGCCAACCTGGGACTCGCAGCAACCTGTGACCATAACCGTGATCAGGGACCTTCCAAACTCGTCTAACCACACCGTTGTCCAGTTTACACTGGTGACTTTTAGAGATGCAGCCAACCTTCTCACGAATTCCACCAGACTCTAAACCCGCCCATGCCATGACATTGTTAGCCAACAACCCCGTCGATCACCGTAACCCCCGGCCGCTGCCAGCCATCCTATGCCTCCACGGGTACGGCACTAACGGGTCCATCCTGCGCTACCGTACGTACTACATAACCTCCCTTACATTCACCTGCCCCGTTTTCAATCCTTCAAATTCCTGGACCATGCACATTGCCTCAGCTTGCAACATGAACATGAAGCAGCACCAGCACCAGCACCCCAACCCCTGAGCCACCCCCAGCACACATACACCGACAACATCAAATAACTAGCAAACATAGTACTAACCACATAATGTAAAACAAGCAGAACTACGGCACATCCTCCCGCACCTCTCGCCACACTTCCGCTTCCTCTTCCCCAACGCGCCCTTCCCTGTCGACCAGCCCGGCCCAGGCGCGACACTCGCAGTCCATGACGACCTGAACCTGAACGGACCCTTCCTGCGCTGGCACAACCCAGACCCAACTCTAGCCCTGGCCCTGGGCGTGTCTCAGGCGCAAATATCCGCTGAGCGGGAGGCGGTGCGAAACCTACTGGTAAGCATCCTTCACAATAATACTATTACTGGTAGTGATGGGGGTGACGAAAGTGCTGGTGGTGGTGATGGAGGGGGAGGGGAGGTTGTTGGCATCCTCGCCTTCAGCCAGGGCGTGTGTCTGGGCACGGCAGTTTGCTTGGATCCGGAGCTGAGTAAGGGGGTTAGGTTTGCGGTGTTTGTGTGCGGGTTGTTTCCTGTTGCTGAACTGCATGTTGGGGATGAAGACGGAAAGGGGGATGGGGTGGGAAAGGGGAAGGTTGAAATACCCTGTATTCATGTCCGTGGGAGAAGGGATCCATGGCGGGGACAGGGGGTAAAGTTGTATGAGAAGTATTTTGTTGGGGAGCGGGCGAGGAGGGTGGTGGAGTTTGAAGGCGCGCATGAGGTGCCCAGTCGGCCGGAGGATGCTGCGAGGGTGGTGGAGGAGATTTTGCGGGTTTGGAAAGCTGTTGGAGGGAAGGTATGATGCCGTATTGAGTCTGCGTGACTGGCAATCTTGGTCATGTTTTTGAGTTTGATATGCGGAGCTTGGTTGAACTTGTCACTCTGGTGATGTCCACGAGGCGCGTGGTATTATGTGGTATAAAGTGGGTGAGTACCAGTAGTGCATGGATGATGGACCTGAGTGACTGAGTCGTCCAAGTTCCAACCAGGACGGGCCGCAGGCAAATCGAGAGGGCATGCAACCATGATTTAGCAACATTGTGCTAGCAACTTGAAGATACTTTGACACAAGTGCAGTCTTAATAATAGAAGACGGAAAAGATGAAAGACCTGGGCTTTGCATGGCTTGCTACATCCTATCACTTCTTCGGCCCTATTTGCCCCTGATCCACTTTAAATTTATACGCCATGTATCCGGTGTAAATGTCCAGGTTGCCCCATAGCGACTTCCTGTGCATCCACTCGGGATGATTGACAGCATCGGGCCACTCGGACTGCTCAAACGAGATGGCGCCGTGGCGGGGGACGGTGCCCTCGCCCTGGCTCCGCTTGAGATTCAGGGGCCCTGCATCCGCGGTTAGAGACATGATGTAAATAGGATTGCGTTCTGCAAAACTCACCGTTCGTCTCTTCACTCCACGTATGCACACGAAGAGCGTCCTGGTCCGTGTATACCTCCAATGTCAATCCCGAGTATGGCGACGAGAGAACCGCCACCGGCTTGTCCCGCCTGCTGATGTCGGCGTACTTGTGCGCAATTGCAAACGTCTGGTCATACGCTGACTCCATGGCGTCGGGGTTCTTGCTCAGCATGTCCCTGATCATCTTCGGCCCAGACCATAAGTCATGCTCTGTCCCTCTTCTGTTGCTTAGCAAGTTACCCGTCGGGATACCGAGCTCGTCAAAGTCAAACCGCATCCCGGACAGGGGCAAGTGGAGGGTGTAGTCGAGAACAGACGCCACGGTCCCGTTTTTCGTCGTCCTTCTCAACCCATCGAGGTTGAAAAAGGCCTGCTGAGCCATGTTGATGGGCCCGCCCGGCATCAGCAACGGGGTCACTCCATACCCGATGTGCCATTCGTAAGGGGTGACGGTGTGCGTCAGGCAGCCGACAAACAGGCCGGGGAAGCCGTTCTTGCCCTTGTCAAACATGACAAACGTGATGCTGTCCTTCTCGTTGGATGGGACAGCCCAGTCAAGCCGACCCCAGCCCTTGCTCCCACCGTTGAACGTAGCAAGGCCGCTGTTGGCGTTGGCCCAGACACGTTGGATAATACCGTCGGCCTCGTAGCCGGCGCCGCTGATGTAGCCCGCATACCGGCCTGTAATGCATCGGATCTTCCTCAGTGTAAGTTCCCCCATACAGGTTAACTAGGCCAACCCACCGATGATGCCGTTCAAGTACGGATTCGACTGGGTGTCAGGGTACATGTCGGCGTGGTCGAGGCCGAGCACAACATCGATTTTGTCACCGTTCTTGTCCTTCACCCACAGATTGGTGACGGCAGCTCCGTGGTTGGTGAAGGCGATCTTGATGCCCTCTGACTCGATGGTGTATTTCCCCTCATCGTTTACCGGCCACAGGGCCGTGAGGGCGGTAAAGGGGCTGCCACCTTTCCATACCGCCTTTGCGGTGGCCAGAACGCCAGCCGTGAGTTTGCGGAGTTCGACCATTGCACGCAGGAGAATTAGGGTCGCGAGTGCAGAACTCAGGCCACTAGAAAGGGGTAAAGCAATCTGAGTGACCTACTATGCAGAGCTTCATTTGGCAGATGCTACTAGTACTACCTAGTATGGAGATGCGGTCTCCTGAGGCTCTGTACCCCCCCCCCCCCCCTATTCGGCAATCCGAACTCCGGAATAATGAAGGCCGGCTGTAAACCGGGAACCGGGTCTGCAGGACCGGGCACCGGCGACTTTTACTCACCCAGAGTGCATGAACGGTTGGACCGGCGACATTCTTCTTCGGAGGATATCGCGGCACAGGTGATTCACACACGGGTAGAGTTGGCTTAGTACCTGTTCGTAGGGTTGCAGGCGTGCTAAGAGATACTAGTACTAGTACCTGCACTCGCTGCATGCATCCATGTAAGAGAGCAGCTAGAGTACGCGTGTACCATAGGGAACTAACACAGTGCCTAGGTAGATGTTGAGAAAAAAAAGCCCACCCCTTACCCCCTAGCCTTACCCCAGTACACGTTCACGAATGGTGCAGCGTCCTTAGCCTCACCTGCATGCCCTCCAGCGACTTCTTGAACGGTGCAGGCAGCAACCTCCCCGCCGTCTCCAAATTCACCACCTCAATCTCAAACTCCCTCACCAGCGCCGCCACAAGACAAGCCATCATAGCCCTGGCATAGTCCTTACCAATGCACGTCCCCGGCCCGGCGCCAAACGACATGAAGGCATACGCATTCGCCGCACCACCATTGGTCTCCCGGCCCACACCCATCCATCGGTCCGGGTTAAACTCCTCTGCATCATGCCCCCACAGCTCCTTGCTCCGATTAAACACCTCAACCGGCGTCAACAACGTAGCCCCCCTGGGAATCGGCACGCCAAGAAGCGATGTGTCACGCTCAGCGACGCGCGGGCTGAGCGGGACAAAGGGGTAGTAGCGGATGACTTCGTTGCAGACGGCGCTTAGGTAGGGAAGGGATTGCAGGTTCCGGAGCAGTGCGGCGCCCGACAAACCAGACGTCCCGTTGAGTTGTGCGGGATCGAGACACTCGTTGATCTCGTCGCGCAGCCGGGCTTGGATCTCGGGCCGCCGGCACATCTCGTAAATGGCCCACTCCACGGCCGCCGCTGTTGAGTTGGGCCCTGCCGTCAAAAACAGCATGGCGTTGTCGATCAGCTCCTCGGACGGGAACACGCCGCTTTTTAGAGAGATGTGCGTAATGTCCCGCCCGGAGCCTTCTCCTTCCCCTTCCCGTTGTTCATTGGAGCCCCTTTTTGCCGTGTCCGCGCGGAATTCAGTTTCCTTCCTGCCCACGGCCTGCGTGACCGAGTTGCGAATCTGCTCGAGTGCTTTACCCGTCGGGGACTTCATGAGGAGCGGGCTGAGCACTTTCAGCAGCGGGCGCACGTCGACGTAGGTCATGATAAAGTTGGCCCACTGCACCAGTCGACCGTTCATGCGGCCCAGGATCCCAACGAGCTTGTCGCGCGTGCCCGCAGCGGGTTTGTCCAGCGTTTGAAAGTCGTGGCCGAGCACGATCAACCCGAAAATGTCCCACATGGTTCGCCGGAGGTAGTCCCGGATGTCAACGGTGTGGTGCGGATCAGGGTTGGCCTGCAGCTCGCGCCTGATTAGGCGGGTCATGTGGTCCGACCTGCCCCAGATGGTTGGCATGATGGATCGGATGTGGGCTACTGTGAATGCCGGCCGGAGGTGCTTTCGAAATGCCTGGGGTCTGTCAGTCGTCTAGGTACACGGATCTACCCTTTGAAATAGAACGGTCCCTACCTTGTGCCCATGTGGGCTCAAGAAACTAAACCTGCTCCCTGTGAGCCTGTGCATCAGGTACTGCACGTTCTTGGGATGGCCAAAGTCGTCCGGCTTCAGAGTGAGCATCTCCTTGATCGCCTCTGTCTTGGTGACGACCAGCGCTTCCTTGCTGAGCGCATCGTAGAACCGCATCAGCCCGTTGTTTGGGACTGTTTCGGCGGCATTCCGAACATCGTCCCAGGCGTACTCGGGGAAAAATTGCTTCCTGTTTCCGTACCTGAGTGTCCGCCCCTGAAGTACATACAGCGTTCCAGTCAGCTTGCGTCTCTACCGGAATCACGACTTATACGCACAGGTGGTGTGGGAAGCTGCCGGAATGGCGTGAAATATCTGGGATACAGGACCATCCCGTAGAAGGCCCAGATTACCAACGCCCCAAACTCTGCAACAAGAAAAGTGATGACGGTGACAAAGCCATGGTTGCGGTGGCTGACGTATTGGACGACAGCTGCTATCCAAGTGCATATCCAGAGGGGCAGCCAGACTCCGAGAAAGTCAGGCATGGTTGCTGATGCTTGGAATTTGAAAATCTCACGTCTGAAAATCTGCCAAAGTCTAAGGGAGGGGATGATGTTGACAGCAGTTCCAGAGAGTCGGGTCCCCGGGAGCAACAGGGAAAACTCAACTGCAAACAATGTGAGTAGAAGCACGGTGAGATACCTAAAAAGGCAACTGGCAAGGCCGGCAGCCTTTCATACGGACTTACTACGCACAATACAGTCATCCTTAGAACTGTTGCGGGGATAGACTTGGTGTACTAAATGGTAGTCGCCGGACCGGCCACTTTTCGAAATCCGATCATGATCTGGGTGAACCATCTATGAGTAATGGCCCAATCAGACGGGATATGCTGGGAACTTTGGAAATCTCCCACTACCTGTATCTTACACGACTCAGTCCATGATTTCGACTGCCGTGCCCGTTCACCTATATGCCGCCATAGCTCACACGCAGACTCCCCATCACGCCTGCAGCTTGACCCTCGAACCCCTTGTATGCCTATCACTCTTAGCTATGGCAACAGTCAGCACAACACTTGCACCCAAGCAACGAGCCATCGTAGGACTCGAGGACGGCACGCTTGTCCTTTCCCACGACGTCAACGTTCCCGAACTCGATAATGACCTCGTGCTTGTCCGCACCAAAGCCGTCGGGCTGAACCCCATCGACACCAAAATGAAGGGCCACCTAGCGGCACCCGGCTGCATCGCCGGCATAGACTTCGCAGGCGAGGTAGTCGCCGTCGGGTCCAATTCAACCCACATCAAGATCGGGGATCGCGTCTGTGGCGCCGTCATCGGCTACCACAAGCAGAAACCCGACATTGGAGCGTTTGCCGAGGTTGTAGCCGCTACGGGGACAGGCCTGTTGAAAATCCCCGAAGGCGTCTCCTACGAGCAGGCCGCGTCCCTGGGTTGCGCCGTCTCAACCATCGGGCTTGCCCTTTTCAAATCGCTTAATGTCCCCGGAAATCCAACGTCCCCCGCTGCGAAACCCGTGGATGTCCTTGTCTACGGCGGCAGCACTACGACCGGCACCATGGCAATCCAGCTGCTCAAGATGTACGAAAGCATGACTTTCACGAACTAATAGTATCAATTAACGCAACAGCTGCCAGGTCCGGCCTGAACCCCATAACAGTCTGCTCCCCCACCAACTTCCCCCTCGCCACCTCCTACGGCGCCACCGCCGTCTTCGACTACCACTCTCCAACCTCCAACATAGCCTCCATCCGCAAGCACACGCGCAACTCGCTCAAGTACGCCCTCGACTGCGTCTCGACCCCCGAGACAATGGAGTTCTGCTACAAATGCCTGGGTCGGACCGGAGGGAAGTATACAGCGCTAGAACCCTACGCTAAAGCTTTGCACACGCGCCCGCGGACTGTGGTGCCGGATTGGGTGCTGGGTCCCGCCGTGCTGGGCGAGGCCGTGGGCTGGCCTGCCCCTTTTTGGAGGGATGAGGATCAGGCGCTGCGCGGGTTCGGGGTCGACTGGTTTGGTACAGTGCAAGCGCTGTTGGATGAGGGGAGGATTAGGACGCATCCGGTCAGGGTTGTGGAGGGCGGGTTGGAGGGCGTGACGGATGGGTTGGAGATGCTAAGAAAGAAGCAGGTGTCGGGGTGCAAACTTGTTTGCGCTTTGAGTTGAGAAGTGGGCAAGGGGGAATGTCATTCAGTAGCAGTAGCAGAAGCAGTGTCTATGGATTGAGAAGCTTTTCTAATTCAGTGAGAATGTCTCGATGTTAGAGGTGTTCGGTTACCGCCCGGGCTTTTCACAGACCCTAAGTTAATATTTACCAAGGTATCCCGTCAGCACCTACAGAGTCCTCTGCGTTCCTCCCAACGTGATGTTCGCCCCTGCCCTCTCTTAGTCCTAGAAATGAGTTGAGGAGAGCAACGGTTAGAATCTGCCTGTTTGGGAATGGTTTAGAGTGATCTAGGGGTTCATCGCCGACCCCTTTAAGGGGGCGTCAAGCATAACCCTAACGCTGTAGAAATGCAGTAGTTCAAACGCCGGTCGTCCGTGGGTCTGCCCCTAGCCCCCTACCCTACACCCCGACCGGCGGCGCTCTGCCAACCCGGAAGTGGCAGATGGAGGGTGGCACAACCGGCGCCGTCCAAATCTCCGATAGGTCGCCGTTAACCTCCTTTCTCGCCGGTTCATGCCTCGCATGGGATCTTCTTGACGAGTCCAATCCAGGAACCAACTTCTGACTATCCAGTCAGCATGGCTACCATGCTACCGTACATGTACCGTACCCTAGCAGATTATGAGTCGGATCCATGTGCAAAGTAACTGCCCGTGTTGGCGATGCAGTCTGTGTACTTGTACAAGGGAAAGTGGCATCGCCACCAATATTAATATCGAACCTCAGGGACATTGCTTTGCATGCTTCCATACTGTCGTGAACTTGGGCGCCAGGTGCACTGGCTGTACCAGTAAACAACATTAACCGTGAAGCACCGAGCTTCACGACTATTAATGAAACATCTGCCCGTATAGATGCGGTATACATGCTACGTTACCTACCTGTACTCATCGTCCTTCCCTTCATCTCACCATGTCGTCACCATACTCCCAGTACCCCAACGAGCCTATCGCCATCATAGGCACAGGATGCCGGCTGCCCGGCGGAGCCGATTCGTCCAGCAAGCTCTGGGAACTGCTCCGCAACCCGCGCGACGTGTCGTGCAATATCGGCGGGGCCGGCCGCTTCAACCTCGACCGCTTCTACCACCCCGAAGGCGGCCACAACGGAACCACGCACACCCAACGTGGCTACCTGCTGCGCGAGAACCCCCGCCACTTCGACGCCAAGTTCTTCTCCATCCCTCCCGGCGAGGCCGAGGTCATCGACCCGCAGCAACGCATGCTGCTGGAGGTCGTCTACGAAGCCCTCGAGTCAGCGGGCCTGCCCATTCACTCGCTCTCCGGCTCCGACACGGCGTGCTACGTCGGCATCATGTGCCAGGACTTTTTCACGGTGCAGGCGCAGGACCTCTTGTCGGTGCCCAAGTACGCCGTGACGGGCATCGCCGCCAGCAACGCCTCAAGCCGCGTCTCGTACTTCTTTGACTGGCACGGCCCCTCCATGACCATCGACACGGCCTGTTCTTCCAGCATGGTCTGCGTGAACGAGGCCGTGCAGGCTCTCCGCAGCGGCACCAGCCGCGTGGCAGTAGCATGCGGGACAAACCTGCTGCTCGCCCCGTTCATGTACGTGTCGCTGAGCGCTGTCGGCATGGTGTCGCCCACGGGGCGCTGCCACATGTGGGACGAGAGGGCCGACGGTTACGCCAGAGGTGAGGGTGTCGGCGCCCTTGTGCTCAAGACACTGCACGCAGCCATCGAAGACGGAGATGATATCGTCTGCATCATCCGTGAGATCGGCCTCAACCATGACGGCAGGACCAAGGGGCTGACGATGCCGAGCGCCGAAGCCCAGGCCGCCTTGATTCGGGAGACTTACCGAAGGGCCAGGCTGGATCCCACCAGCAAGTCAGATCGCTGCCAATTCTTCGAGGCACACGGCACCGGGACGCCTACTGGCGATCCAAAAGAAGCCTCCGCCCTGAATCAAGCTTTCTTTCCAAACCACGACACGGCCGAGGGAGAGCTGCTCGTGGGGTCTATTAAGACCGTTGTCGGGCACACCGAGGGCACCGCCGGCATAGCGGGGATCCTGAAAGCCGCTCTAGCGGTGCAGCATGGTGTCGTACTCCCAAACATGCTGTTCAACAAGCTGAACCCTGCTCTCGAGCCGTTCACCAAGTTCCTCCGCATCCCGACGGCTTGCGAGCCTTGGCCCGATGTCCCCGCCGGGCAACCGCGGCGCGCCAGCATCAACAGCTTCGGGTTCGGCGGAGCCAATGCTCATTGCATAATCGAGAGCTATGAGCCAGAAAGGAGATCCATTCCCGAGGTGAATGGATCTGTGATTAGTAACGGATCTGTTGCTGATGAGATTCAGGTCAATGGATTTCACTCAAACGGCACCTACTGCAATGGAACTGCCCATACCAATGGCTCAACCCTCGGCGATTATTCCACTGATATTGCCGCCATAAACGGAGCAATTACCGATGGCCCAACCGCCCACGGTCTTGAGACACCCACCACAAACGGTGTTTGCACGGGAATTGCCTCAACAAACGACGCAATCACCAGTGGCTCAACCACCAACGGAATCGAACCACCCACCTGGAACAGCACTTCCGCTGATACTGCCACCACAAATGGCACAACCACCACTGTCACCCACCAACCCAGCGACAGCGACAACCCCTCTGCACCGCCCAACCCGAAGCCGCTGATCCCCTTAGCATTCTCCGCAGCATGTCTCAACTCCCTCATCTCCCAAGTCACCCAAGCACTCGAATACCTCGAGCAGAACCCATCCATCCCTCTGTCCAGCTTGGCGCACACCCTCAGCACCCGGCGTTCGGCCCTGTCCCTGCGGCTGCCCATCTACGCCTCGTCTGTCCCGGACCTGCGCGAAAAGACCCAGGCCAAGCTAGCAGCAGACGACAGCACCACCACGCACTCGGTAGCCGCGCTCCAAGCGCCGCCTTCCATCCTGGGAATCTTCACGGGCCAGGGCGCGCAGTGGATGGGCATGGGGGCAGCATTATTCGCGGCGAACCCGCTCGCGCGGGATATCCTCGACCGTCTCGACGCGGCACTTGCCAGCCTCCCGGCCTGCCACCGCCCGTCCTGGACGCTGGCGGAGCTTCTCTCCCCGGTGACAAGTAAGCTGCATCACGCACACAGCATGACAGAGGCGGCGGTGGCCCAGCCGGCGTGCACGGCGGTGCAGATAGTGCTGGTGGACCTGTTGCGGGCGGCGGGGGTCCGGTTCGCGGCGGTGGTTGGACACTCGTCGGGCGAGATCGCCGCGGCGTACGCGGCAGGCTTCCTGTCGGCCGAGGACGCCATTCGCGTGGCCTACTACAGGGGCTTCTTCGCCAAGCTGGCGGCTGGGCTGGCGGGTGAAAAGGGCGCCATGCTGGCGGCGGGGACAGACGTCGAGGACGCCGAGGAGCTGTGCCTGGTTGATGACATGCTTGGTAGGCTGTGCGTTGCGGCGCATAACTCGCCTAGTAGCGTGACACTTTCGGGGGACATCGATGCTGTAGAGCTGGCACGAGATGTCTTTGAAGATGAACAGAAGTTTGCGAGGCTGCTAAGAGTTGATACGGCGTACCACTCGGCTCATATGAGATCGTGCTCTGGGCCATATCTCAAGGCTATGAGGGACGTTGGGATCCGGCAGCTGATGCCAGGTCCGGACCGGCCAAGATGGTTCTCGAGTGTCTACGACGCAGAGATGACGCCAGAAGGGGCAACCAAAAAGGGTCTTGACGGCAGATACTGGGTTGACAACATGCTTCGACCCGTGCTGTTTTACCCGGCCCTCAAAACATGCCTTTCTTCATCCGACATTACCTTCAACTTCGCTCTCGAGGTCGGGCCACACCCTGCGCTTCAAGGGCCAGCTAAAGATTGTATCCAGGACGTTACACAGCAAGATATGGCATATACCGGCACTCTCAGGCGTGGCTCCGACGACGCCGAGGCCTTTGCTGACGCCCTTGGAAGCCTGTGGGCCCGCTTCGGTCCCAGCCATGTCAACCTCGGCGGGTTTCAGAAGAAGTGCCTCCCGGATGTGGACGTCAGGCTCGCCGCCGCTCTCGCTTCCAAGCTGCCAAAGTATCCTTGGACCCACGAGAAAGAGTATTGGGCCGAGTCGAGGAAGAGCAAGATCCATAGTTCAGACCCAGGAGAATTCCATGACCTGCTTGGCCTTCGAGAGCCCGATGGCCTGGCGGACGAAGTACGTTGGCGACACATACTGAGTGTGAACGATCTCAGGTGGCTTGCCGGCCACACGCTGCAGAGACAAGTAGTCTTCCCCGCGACGGGGTACATCTGTATGTTCAATCCAGGCTGTTAGTCAAAGCGAAGCATCGTGACTAACGTTGTTAACAGGCATGGTTGGGGAGGCCGCAATGCAGATCGTGCAGCCAACGGGGCTGAGGGTGGCCTGGATCGACGTGTTGGACCTGGAGATCCGGAAAGCCATCGCCGTGCACCAGGACTACGGCACCGAGGTGATCCTCTGCTTTTCCAGAGTGTGTCCTCCTCTTCCCGACGCCACAACGGAAGCCGTCACAGCATGCTTCAACATCTTCTCAAGTCCCGCCAGAGACGCCACTCAGCTGGCACTGCACTGCTGCGGGAAAGTTCGTATCACGTTGGTTCCATCGTCGCTTCACACCGAATCCGGTAGCGGGAAATTCGACTACGCCTCCATCTTCCCCGCCCGGCGGGCGCCGGTCCCTGGCATGAACAACGTTGATATCGACCGATTCTATCAATCTATGCGCGACGAAGTCGGCCTGGGCTGGGACGGTGCTTTCAGGGGCTTGACCAAAATTATGCGCAAAGGCGGGTATTCGACCGTCACAGCGACGAACCCTCAGTTCTCCGATACCGACACAAAGCTTTTGTTCCACCCCGCTATGCTTGACTGCGCCCTGCAGGGTCTCAACGCGGCCTTCGCGGCCCCGGGTGATGGCAGCATCTGGGACCTTGTAGCCCCTACCCACATTCGCCGCGTCACCATGGTCCCCGAGCTGTTGAAACGACACCGAATGGATGAGCAGGTGGCCATCGACTGCACCGCCACCATCAGCCCAACCGATGCCCGTGCCAAAATCTCCTTAACAGGAGACGTCGAAGTGTATGCTTCGGCTTCGCAAGACCGGGACAGGTCCGCCACCAAGCTCATCGAGATGGAAGGCATCAGGATCTCGCCCGTGGCTCCCCCAACCGCCGAGCATGACCGGCCTTTCTTCCAAGAGTCCATAATGTGTCTCGACAGCCTAAACGCCAAGGTTGCACGCGGCGGCATACGCTTCAACCCAGAAGAGAAAGCCACTGCTTTGGACGCGGAACGGGTGGCCTTCTACTACCTCAAAAAGTTGTACCTGAAAACCACCCCCGAGATGTTGGCCACTTTGCCGAGATACCGGCAGTGTCTGCTAGCCGAGGCGGGACGTGTCTACCATCGCGTCAGGGACGGGGAGCACGGGTTTGCACCGCCCTCCTGGGTAGATGACACAGCCGAGTCCACCGCGGAGGTCATGTCCCGCTACGACCCCGAGGCCATCGACTTCATCACGGCCAAGACGGTTGGCGAGAACCTCCTGGTACCCGAAGTACTCAGCGGCGAGGTGAACATCTTGCAGTACATGGTGCGCAACGACATGCTCGAGCGCTGGTACAGCGAGGGTGTGGGCCAGCGGATTCTCAACCAGATCGGGACAGACCTGATTGCAAAGCTCTGCCACAAGTATCCCCGCATGAACATGCTGGAAATTGGTGCGGGTACGGGCGGTTCAACGGCGTCGATCCTGTCGCGAGTTGGCGAAAACTTCCGGCGTTACACATACACTGATATCAGCAGCGCCTTCTTCGAGCGTGCGGCTGAGCGTTTCCACGCACATGCCCATAAAATGGTCTTCAAGACGCTCGACATCACCAGAGACCCCTCGTCGCAGGGCTTCACGCCACAGAGCTACGACGTTGTTGTCGCACAGAATGTGCTGCACGCCACAGCGCCGCTGAAGGAGTCGCTTCGGCACGCCCGCAAACTTCTTCGTCCCGGCGGCTACCTGATGCTATTGGAGCTGTTGCGCAGCGAGTCTATGCGTTTCGGGCTTGTTGTGGGATGCCTGCCGGGATGGTGGGTGGGGGAGGATGATGGCAGGAAGGGCGGTCCGCTGCTCACGATGGATGAGTGGCAGTCGATCCTGGCAGAGACTGGGTTCGCCGTCGATACAGTCTCGGAGGTTCTCGATCAAGAGGACGTCTGGGCCGTCCTCTCAGCGCGGGCAGTAGACGAGCAGATGGTGCCGGCGCTGATCAACCCGCTTCCAAGGACTCTCACGGTTCCACGTGCCAAGAACTTGTTGATCGTTGGCGGGAACAACGCCGTGTGTGGCTCTGTATCACTTCGTAAGCAAGTCGCATCAGTCGTCTCGCCATATTTCGAAAGGGTCACCTACCTCGAGGACGTATCCACGCTCTCTCCAGACGCCGAACAAGACATCCTCGCCAAGAAGGGTCTTCATGTGCTGAACCTTTGCGAGTGCGACTCCAACTACTGGGAAGACGTAACCGAGCCTTCCTTTGAGAATTTGAAGCGACTTTTCAGCAAAGCAGCCAGCGTGCTCTGGTTGCTGCAGGGCTGCCTGGACGAGAACCCCTACGCTGGAGCTACACTAGGCTTCCTCCGGACGATCCGGTACGAGATTCCGGACACAGCGGTCCAAATGCTCGATATTGGTACCTCGACGCTCCGCGACCCCTCTCCAAGTCCCGACCTTGTCCGGTTGGTAAGCGAGTGCATGCTCCGCCTGGCCGAGGCTTCCGAACTAGAGGCGGCGGGCAAGTTAAACCAGATCCTCTGGAGCGTGGAACCGGAGCTGTACCTCAATGAGAGCGATGGCCAGCTTTACGTCCCCCGCCTACGGTGTGCAGACGGGCCAAATCTTCGGTACAATGCGGCCAAGCGGCCCATCACCCAGTTTGTGGACATTTCCAGCGAATCCGAGACGCCTCTCGACTTGGTCTGGGATAAGAATGACAGCAAGTACATCCTCTTAGAGCAGCACGAGTTCGCCCCGGCAACGCCCAACAATCTGGTCACGATCCGGGTCTCATGCTCCTTCCTCTCCTCGCTCAAGACGCCCGCCGGTTTCTTTTACATCTGCCTCGGTGCCAATACCCAGACAGGATTAAAGACACTGTGCTTGTCTGACCGTCAGTCCTCTATCCTAACTGTACCACGGTCCTGGACAGTAGGGCTTGGCACCACGTCTCTGGGAGTGGAAGATCTGGCATTCATGTCCTTCGTTGCGGTGGATCTCCTTGCTAAGCGTATCCTTGAGCTTGCAGCGACCTCCCATGGCAGCGTTGCTATCCTGGACGCCAATCCAGTAGCCGGGGCGCTGCTTTACAAGAGATTGACCGATGTGGGCAAAACGGTACTTCTGATCACATCCAACCAGAGCAGCGAGGGGTCTTCGACCGTCTTTCTCCATCCGCACAGCCCTCAAAGGGCCATCAACACCGCCTTGCCGTCGGACACAACCCTCTTCATTGATGCCTCCATCACAGCCGGCAATCCAGAGGCTTCGGCAAAGCTGGCTTCCCGCATCGAGACCATGCTCCCTGCGGTGTGTGACAAGATCAAGCTTTCGGCGATGATGAGCCGCGAAGCTTCGACGCTCCCGGAAACAGCCCCCGAGAGCATCTCAACGCTGCTTCAAAGTGCTGCTTCATTCGCCACAATGTTCTCCCAGTTGGGGCCAATGCCAATCGCAGGCGGCGGGCCTCTCGAGGTGCTTCCGCTCCCCAAGCTGTTGCTGGCTCCTCTCCCCCCAAAGCCGACCTCGCTGGTGTACTGGCAGGTAGAACAGGAGCTGCCCGTGTCGGTACAGCCGGTCTTCATGCGAAAGGACCTGTTCAGGCCAGACAGAACCTACTGGTTGGCCGGACTTTCGGGAACGCTGGGTCTGTCCCTTGTCGACTTCCTGGCAGCGCATAACGCCAAGCATATTGCTATCAGCAGTCGGTCTCCAAGCGTTGACGATTCATGGGTGGCATGGCAGGCGAAGAAGGGCGTGACAGTTTCCCACTTTGCGGGAGACCTTACAGACTATGAGTCCGTCAGGAAGACCTACAAGTCGATCCGTGATTCGGGCATGCCGCCTATCGGGGGCGTCGCCGTCGGCGCCATGGTGCTGATTGACAGCACTTTCATGGAGCAGCGCTTCGAGGATTTCCAGGCTGTTCTCCGGCCTAAGGCGATGGGCGCGATGAACTTGGATCGGCTGTTCTCCAAGGAATCGGCGGATCTCCTGACGGGCGACACGGCGGAAGGATTGGACTGGTTCATCGGGTTTAGCTCGCTGATGGGGACAACAGGAAACCCAGGTCAAGCGCCGTATGGGGCGGGCAACTGTTTCCTCAAAGCGGTGACAAAGAGGCGGCACGACCGAGGTCTGGCGGGCTCGAGTATCGACATTGGCCCGTTGTTCGGGGTCGGCTATATCGAACGGGCGCTAACGCGGGAGTCTCAGGCGCGACTCATGCAGCGGTCGGGCACTATCCCATCGAGTGAATCAGACTTGCATCAGCTGTTTGCCGAGGCCGTGGTGGCGGGACGGCCCAATTCGGGGGTTGCAGACCCCGGATTGATAGCGGGGCTTGGCATCCAGAAGGGCGATGCAGCCGAAGGCGCCTTTTGGAGCAAGAGCCCCAGGCTATCTATGATGATTCGCGATGAAGGATCACGGGGCGCGTCCGGCGCGGGAGACGCGGGCTCTGCTTCGGTACCGGTCCGGAAACTGCTCGAGGAGCCGACGGTTAAGACGCTTGATGACGCGTACGAGGTCATCCTCGGGGCCATCCGTGATAGACTGCATGCGTCCAAATTCCTCCCCGACCAAAACAGCCAACACGACACGACACCGCTGGTGGAGTTGGGTGTCGACAGCCTCGTCGCGGTCAATGTGAGGTCATGGTTCCAAAAAGAATTGTCTGTTGAGGTCCCAGTGATGAAGATACTGGGTGGGGCGTCTATGGCCGATCTGGTTGCCTTGGTCCTCGACAAGCTCCCTCAAGACATCTTGAGCCGACTACAGGCACCACAGCAGGAGACACAAGCGGCGTACATTGAGGTTCCGGTGCTGGATAAGGCGGAAAGCGAGTCTTCAGTAGAAGAGGACGTGAATTTTGGTCAGGAGGCCAATGGATATGTGAATGGCGGGTCCCAAATGAATGGGGGTCTGGGACAGGCGAAGTCCGTCATTGATGTCAAGGTGGCAGAGCTTGACGACGTCGTCGAGATCGAAGGGTTGATGCTCGATCTTGATTGAGATTGATGGCCAGTTTCTCAGAGGGTTTTGTTCCTGGGTCGCCTGGCGGAGAAGCAATACAATAGTTCCGTCAAATCTTCGTATCATTCGGTCGTATCTGTGAATCGAAAGCCTTTCCATACTGAGGCTGCGGTCGTGGCCCAGAGCATTCGTCTTTTCTGACAACTGAAGATGAAGCGAGGGTTGACAGAAAAGAGCTCCAGAAGTTGGAATGAGGAAGGAGCTGTGGCCCCACAATTCTTCCTTAGGCCCCATCCTTGCACTCTGCGGTGAGTGGGTCTTCCACCCGGAACACTCAACACTCCTTCCCAAAAGTTCCTCGGACAACCTCGACATCATTGAGTGACAGGGCAGGAACGAACCACCTTGCGGAGGCCGAGCCAGCTTTGGTGTTAGATTTCCTCCAACATTCCAGTCTCATCCTGCAACGCGTGCGCCGACCTTTACCGTCCCGATCCCGACTGAACTCTGTCCTAATCACTGCGTCCTGTCGGACTGAGGACAGGTCATACATTGCATACGGAGTACCTACACGCCTTCAAATCCAGGTATCAAGGGCAAAATCTACCAGGCACTTTGCTTTGTACAATTTGCAGACCATCTGCGGCCCGACCCGGACCAGTGGCAGCATCCACACTCCACAGCATCAGCAAATATCAATCAAGCTTTCCACTGAAAAGCACTAAGTGCCCAGCTGCTGTGGAAGTGTGGATGCGACGCGGAGGATGCGGAGAGGCCCCACCCGAGCTCGGTGAATCCTACACCGTACTGTCCCCGCACAGTGAATCACCTGCAAACGCTGAGTGGTGGCATTTGCACGCCCACTCGTACCGCACGAATCGCAACCCCCGGTGGTAATAAGCCGGAAGCTTCAGGCCATGGCTACATGGGTTGTCGCTGGGGATATGGGGGAGTGAGAGACGAGTCGCGATCCTTCCAGCCGTCTAAGCCAGATACAGCCTAGATCAGGACTCTTTGAAGGCAGCATGGCCGACTGGCATCCCGGACCGACAGAGGACTTTGAGAATGCGACTTTACCGGGAATCTGGGAAGAGTCCCGACGATGTGGTCAGACCATCTGCGTTGCAACATGGGAGGCCAGCCGCCGGCGAGCATGTGCCTGACGATCGGCACAAAGAATCCCGAGCGTGCTGTTCCGTATATACCCAGCAAAAGCCGCCGGCGGTGGCACACTTGCTGCTCACAACCCGAGATACCACTGCTTGCACTGGAGACTTGGGATTCTGGCGGCCTCGGAACTCGTTCGTCCCTTCGGTTGAGATTCAGCTGGGAGATCCGCAATGGGAAAGCTATTCAACATCTGCCTTGCGGCGTTTGCCGCGTCCGGGTATGTGCCGAGGAGCCGAGTCACCATTCACCCAAAAATGCATGCTCACTTCTTGCCATGTTAGGTCGTTCCTATTCGGATATGACTCGGGCGTCATGACCGATGTCATCGCGTCCCCGAACTTTCTCGAGTACTTCGACACCAGCTCCGGGACCCCTATTATCGGCGCCATCAACAGCACCTTCTCGGGGGGAGCCGTCTTTGGCGCGCTGATGGGCGGTCTTACCATGGACAGATTTGGGCGTCGAAAGACAATCATGATTGGGGCCATGATCGCCGTCCTCGGCGCCATCCTGCAGTCCGCAGCCCAAAACCTCGCCATGATCCTGGTTGGCCGTATCATCGCCGGCTGGGCCGTCGGCCTGCTGAGCATGTCGGTCCCGGTCTACCAGTCCGAATGCGCCCACCCAAAGATTAGAGGCTTGATAGTTGGTCTGTCACAACAAATGATTGGCGTTGGGTTCATTGTGTGAGTTTGCGTTGGCCTTGTAAATATCCTGACTGTGACTTATCGTACTGACTAATCGCAGCTCGACATGGATCGGATACGGCTCTGCCCATGCCGAGGGAGACATTGGGCAGTTTCAGTGGCGGTTCCCTCTCGCCTTTCAGGCACTGCCAGCCCTGATTCTTGTCTGCGGCATTATGTTTTTCCCAGAGTCTCCCCGCCACTTGATGGAGAAGGATAATGAGGAAGAGGCGATGCGAGTCCTGCGTAAGCTGCACTTTAACGGCAGTAACGACGACTGGATTCAGCAAGAGTTCCAAGACATCAAGAGTACCATTGCCGCCGAAAAAGCGGTTACTGTTCCGGGATGGCGAATCATGTTCACCGTGCCCCAGTGGCGGACGCGTCTGATGCATGGAGTCGCGGTCCAGGTCTTCACCCAGTTCACCGGCATCAACGTCATTGGGTATGCATCAGTTTGAAGCACTGCATTGTAGGATGAGCTAACTCCTAACGTCTCAACAGGTACTACCAGCATCAGATGTATAACGCTTTGGGCATTACCGGGAACCGCGCCCTGCTGGTGGCTGGCATTTACAATTGCGTCGGTCCGCTGGCCAACCTATTCTTCATCATCTTCATGATCGACCGTGTCGGCCGCCGCCAACCGCTCATATGGGGCACTGTGGCCATCGCCGTTGCTCTCATCTGCGAGGCTGCCATCAACAGCCAGATTGACCCTCAAAATCCCCAGCATGGGCTCTCCATCGGCGGCGTGTTCTTCCTCTTTTGCGTCACCGTCATTTTCTCCCTCTCGTGGGGCCCAGTCTCGTGGGTCTACATGTCCGAAGTCATGCCGATGCAAATCAGAGCCCGCGGCAATGCCTTTGCTACCGGCATTGGCAACTGGCTTGTATCGACCTTTTGGGCGCAGGTTTCTCCCATGGCCCTCAAGGAGCTGTCCTGGAAGTTTTACTTCCTATTCGTTGCCTGGGACATTGTGGTCACTATCCCGGTTGTCTTTTTCTTCTTCAAGGAGACGAAGCAACTGTCGCTGGAGGAAATTGACGGGCTGTTTGGCGATCGGCCGACGGCAGCCCTGCCTGACGACCTTAAGAAGGACGACCTGGTCAATTCAGAGCATGTTGCCATTGGCAAGGAGGCCTGAGGAAATCCTGGCGTTGGGAAGGAAGGTCGTCCCGCCACTGAGCTCGGAGTCGAAAGGGTATGAACGCGAAACCATCGTTGAGGTCATGACATGCACTGATTGCGTTGCCAGTCACAGATTTGACTTAGATGCCAACCGTCCAGGCAACAAATAATACATAATGCCATCACTTGATCCGCTCACAATGAATCTCACCTATCACACTCTAGCTTGAAATGCAAGATGCAATAATGCTGCCCCCGCGGTTGATGGTCCCACTTCGATACTCAATCGCCACCCCATGGCTCCAGGCCCCAAAACAGGATGAACCCTCACGGGAGATGGTGTAGATGAGGTCAAAGGGTAAGGGAAGAAGGTTGACCAGCAACCCTAGGCGCGAGAGGGTTCCATGAATAAGATCAAGATATGAGAGCAATTACCCCCTAGCCATTACTTTCCAGCCCGCCACTCTCTTTGTTAGCAGTCTACGTTGCAGATGGCTTGATCAGTCCCTGAGCGCCCAGCCGAATCTACTGAATAGTCCAATGGCCGCTATTGCGGAAAGATTTGCTAGCGGGGATAGCAGCTGGCATAGGTTTTCTTTGATCCATCTGATGCCACAGCAACATGAAGACTCCGAGCCATAGGTATGTACCCGGCGCCACGCTCAGATTTCCATCTTGATGAGCTGGGTAGAGATGGTGTGCTGATGATTGCATAACAGCTTTAGGAAAGCCGGGACCCCTACCTAGCCCCGTCTGCAATTGGCATTGAGGAAGCCAGACATCCATAAGTGGGTACAGGATGACATCGTCATCGATCCCCGTTGTCAGTCCAAATCAACCAGCATGACCTGATGTGGCGGCCAACTATTGCCATATCCATAAGTACTAACTGATATAAGACATGATATATCTGAAGTATGGAATACCCAGGAATCAGACCCGACAATAAAGGGTCTAGAACCGGCACTTCATCCACCCTAGTTCAGCCGCAATGCCTGCCGAGCGCTAATCTTGACCCCTGAGATCCAGACATCGGGTAGTGTTCAGGCGACCAATCTGCACGCGAAGAGAGGTCGGTATCAAGCTAGGAGATGCCTCTACTCAAGATCATGGAAGCTGTGAGCAACGTTTAAATACTTTGTCGACCGCCAGGTGAGGTTGTGTTCTCTCTTCAGTCCCCAGCAGTCCAGTCCGCTCCCCGGGTTGGTTGTTACATCACGCTCCTTTGCACTGAACCTAGTCATTCATTTGCTTACACTTTCTCTCAAATGCATCTTTCAACGCGCCTCAACCGAGGCGCTGCGGCGGCCCTTCTTCTCGCTGCTGGGGTCTCGGCTGTCCCACGGCTCATGACTCGAGATTCGGTCACCTGCGAGAACAATGCAAGCAACATGACCGTCTACGCGGCCACCAATGCCCAGTTCGACATACTCTGCGGAGTCGATTACGCAGGAGGCGACATGGCATCTCAGAGTGTGTCGACCTTTGAGGAGTGCATTACCCTCTGCGACTCGACCCCTGGCTGTGTCAACGTTGCCTTTGCCCCCTGGGGTATGTGTTGGATGAAGAACCAGAACACAAGCCCTTCGCCAAACTCGGGCATCTGGACGGCCAAGAGCAGGGCCACCCCGAGCGGCCCGACTTGCGCCGACAACTTCAGCGATAAGAAGACCTACATCACCCCAGCCGGAATCACCTTTGAGATTGCCTGCGGTGTCGACTACACCGGTGGCGACATGTCCTCCCAGAACACAAACTCCTTTGCGCAATGCATCGACCTTTGCGGTTCCACGCCGGGCTGTGTCGACGTGGCCTACGCGGCGCCGTCGTGCTACCTCAAGAGCGCCCTCACATCCCCGCAGGCCGTCGGCCACGTATGGAGTGCCGTCCGCAGAGACGCCGACGCCGACCCCCTGACCTGCGAGGACAAAGAGTGGGACGGGCGCGAGTTTACAACGGATGACGACCGCATCTACTCGATCGGCTGCGGCGACGACTATCCCGGGGGCGACATGGCCGCTGTCGACAGCGCCACTTTCGAAGCCTGCCTCGACGCCTGCGACGCCGCGACAGGGTGCGTCGCCGTCGCCTACGTCGCGCCCCGCTGCTACCTCAAGAACGTCGCCAACCCTCCCGCCGAAGGCACCCACGTCTGGGGCGCCAAGTTCCTGCGGACCTACACCCCTCCGGCGCCCAGCTCAACTTCGACTCCTACCCCGACCCCCACCCCACCGCCGCCCCCGCCTCCCCCGACCAGATTCACGTGCAACCCCTGCTCGCCAGTGCTCCTCAACGGGGGCTTCGATCAGGGCCTGACGGCATGGACGCCGCGGGACGCAGTCAGCAGCACATTCGCCGCAGTCCCCGGCCCGAACGGGCCCATACTCGAGGTGGTCAGCAACCGGGGCCATGTGGCGCTGATCCAGCGGCTGTCGACGGTGGCGGGCGCGACCTACACGGTCAATGTCGACTACATGTTCTCGGCGTACCGCCCCAACTGCTATCTCAACGCCTTTTTGAACGGGAACTGGTTCTGGAGCTTCAGCCCCCGCTACGAGCCGGGGAGTGTGGGCGTGTATAAAAGGGCGGAGCTCAGGTTTACGGCCAGCTCGTGTGACATGGAGTTGGGAGTACAGTTTGTTTGTACCGCGGGGGAGTGGGTGACTATGTATATGGATAACTTGCAGTTCCGAGGTGGGCCGACGTGTCCGGCTTGATCGGGTCAGGTCACTGTGTAGGGTCGTTGGATGGGTATGGGAAGCGGCTTGAAGGAGTGAGAACGCTCGGGCTGTGGGCATCGGAGGTGGCAGCTAATGGAGACTGCAGCAGGCGTTGGGGGAACTGGACCGTGGGGCTGCCTTGAAGGTTCATGTGGACTGGAATTTGGGCATAGTTGCCACGGACAGCTAGATATGAACGGAGATACCCGTCAACACAGAGTCATAGTCTGTGATCGGAATTGATAACGTCCCTCTCTTAAAGCCGATGCAGCCCACTTGTAAGTGCCGGCTCCGGCGATCGGCCTGCCGTTGGCTCCACGGCGGCCAATCGGTACCGCCGGGCCTGCAGCAGATGGGTTGAGCAGCATCAAAATGACGCACTCGACAAGAGACCCAATTCGTTCCAGCACTGCGAGTGATCCGCTCTGTGGACCATGATATTAGGCTTTGTTCGTTGTTGCAGCTGGCCTGCGTCTACCCCTCACACGTGCATGAACCGACCGTGGGATAGGATACCTCCTGACTAGATGCTGACATATGGACGGTATCATGATATAAATCCCCCGTCTTCCCCTACCAAGCCTGCCGGTGTATACCTCCTCATCCCACACCATCGCAATTTTCCCAGCATTTACCCAACTATCACTCGGTACGAAGGTCCTACAAAGACATCATGGACACTCTCGCACTGGAGTTTGCAGATCAAGGTAAAAGACAGCAAAGAAAGCAGCCGGGTGTTCAGTGTGCGCCGGAGGCTCTCCTCCCCCTGACTGTCGGTGTCTGGTTTCTGTGTCCAGCATCATTGGCAGGGGGCTAAGGAGGGTCGCTGGTGCCATTGATCTGAGAAATACCGGTTGAACTTGATCTGGATAATTCCAGCGAAAGGACATGCTTCTTTGACTTCCCTCCCTTTTCCCCTTGCGGTCATGGAGGAACTGACTGTTGCAGCACCTGGCTTGATCCGTCAACATGTCGACTGACAAGATTACGTTCCTCACCAACTGGTAGGATTCCAGTCTCCATTATCAACCCAATGGGCTCAGTGTCCGGCGCAGCATGCTAAAAATCAGCCTGTGGTAGGCACGCTACGCCATACCACGCACCGCTGTACCTGGCCCAGGCAAAGGGCTACTTCAAGGATGAAGGCATCAAGGTCGCCATCCTCGAGCCCAATGACCCGAGTGTAAGATTATCAGGATACCCCGCTGGAGACAAACTTGAACTGTTACTGATGCCCTTATCTTGCTTGTAACCAACAGGATGTTACGGAGATCATTGGCACGGAGAAAATCGATCTGGGCTTCAAAGCAATGATTCATACTCTTGCCGTGAGTTTGCTCTCCTTAACACCACATGACTCCAGCATTTACCCCCTTCTTCAGCTATTTACTTACAAACCCACGTGTACAGGCCAAGGCCCGCAACTTCCCCGTGCTCTCCATCGGCAGTCTTCTCGACGAGCCCTTCACCGGGGTCGTGTACCTCAAAGAATCCGGCATCACCCCGGACTTCCGCACGCTCAAGGGCAAGCGTATCGGCTACGTGGGCGAGTTCGGCAAGATCCAGATCGACGAGCTGACGTCGCACTACGGCATGGCCCCCTCCGACTACACGGCCGTGCGCTGCGGCATGAACGTGTCCAAGGCCATCATCAAGGGCGAGATCGACGCGGGCATCGGGCTCGAGAACGTGCAGATGGTGGAGCTCGAGGAGTGGCTGGCCTCGCAGAACCGGCCCAAGGCGGACGTGCAGATGCTGCGCATCGACGAGCTCGCCGAGCTGGGCTGCTGCTGCTTCTGCTCCATCCTGTACATCGGCAACGAGAAATTCATCCGCGAGAACCCGGACAAGGTCCGCGCCTTTTTGCGCGCCGTCAAGCGCGCCACCGACTTTGTCCTGGCCGAGCCCGAGCAGGCCTGGGCCGAGTACGTCGACTTCAAGCCCGTCATGGGCACGGCGCTCAACCGCAAGATATTTGAGCGCAGCTACGCCTACTTCTCCAGGGACCTGAAGAACGTTCGCCGTGACTGGGACAAGGTCACAAAGTATGGCAAGCGCTTAGGCGTCCTGGCTGCGGATTTCGAGCCCAACTACACCAACGAGTTCCTGGACTGGTCCCTGGCTCCGGACTCCAAGGACCCAACGGGTGACCAGAAGAGAATGGCCCAGCTGCAGAAGGACGTTGCGGCCAATGGCGGCTTCCAGCGTCTCGTGGAGGCCACTGCTGAGGTCAGGGGCTAAGTAAGGAAAGGCAAGGCATGGCTACGGATTAGTACGAGCCGATGGAGAGAATGTTCCTGCTATAGAGGCTATGCCGCTCGTTAGCTTGTTATCGCCTGGGGCTATTTTCGGGAGACAGAATAGCTTGAAATCGTCATACCTTGACATCAAATCCAGTAGAACAACAGAGTGAACTCAGGGCTTTGACGGAAGAAAAGAACACAACCTACATGTAATGGAACAAGAAAAGCAAAAGCAAAATGATAGACAAGCCAGAGAAGAAAGAATTAAACCAGCGCTAAGAATACCAATGGATACAGTAACTCATGTGATAACATCCACCATGCTAATCCGACCAAATAAATCATACACCCAATGTCATCACGTCATGGCCACTCTAGTCCTTGGTCCTGACCTCAAGCCTCGTCTGGTGAAATGGCGAGGCTAGTGCAACCCAGTTTTGCTATCCCCGCTGTAATCCTTATACCTCCCATCATCCTCATACGCAGGCGGCAAGTCCCCAGCGTCATGATGCTCCGTGTACATCGGTGGGGGCGGAGGCGCGGGGCCGCCCGAAGCTGCAGCCGCCGCTTCCGCTTCCGCAGCAGCCTCTGCCGCCTTGGCAGACGCTGCCGCACTAGGTGGGGCAACACCACCTGGCGGCGGCGGAGGCGGAACGGTTGTCGACGGTCCCGCTGCACCGGAAGTACTGCCGCCCCCGATGTTGAGGCCCTGCACACCGGCCGTGACGCCAGGCACCCACGCCGACTGCGGGGCGCCAACATTAGGGCCGTAAGAAGAAGTGGGGATTGTTTGGCTAGGAGGAACGTGGCTAACCGCCGATCCCTGCCCGAGGCCTTGTCCCTGTTGCTGCTGATGCTGCTGACCGCCAAGGTACCCGCCCTCGGCGCCGCGGAGGACGTCGAACAGGTTCTTGGCGCCGGCAGGCCACATGCCGGGTGGCCCCTGGGCAGGGACCTCGCCCCGTAGAATCTTGGCCACGGGCACAGCTTGGCCGTAGAACTTTGCGTTTGCGCCCTCGCGCTCGGCGACGACGGTGCCGTCGACCTGCACGCCTGCATAGAGACCGCGCGACTTAACGTAGCTGTACACGGGCTTCTTGACGGCCTCGCGGAAGGGACTCGGACGCCGCCTGTCGTCCTTGTCCTTGTCCTTGACATTGCGCCCGTGGTCCTCGAGCTCGAGCTGTTCCTGTTCGGGCACGTTCTGCGTTTGGAAGTGCGTGTTATCGGCTGACAGCGGCTGCTGCTGCTGCTGCTGCTGCTGCTGCTGCTGCTGCTGTTGTTGCTGCGACGGAGGAAGTCCGGTCGTCTTGTCCCGTCCGCTCTGGCCCTGCCCTGGAGCGCCCGGGCCGGGGCTAGGGGGAAGGCCCCAGTCCAGGGCACCTCCAAAACCAAAAGGCCCCGCCGTCACAGCCAGGTCAGAGCCTAGACTCAGACGGGTGCGTGTGAACAGGTCGAGGGCCTCCCGGGTATTGATAACGACCACACAGTCGTAGATGTCTACTCCGCCGACGAACCCGGCCCCGATGCTTGTGATTTGGATGCCGCTCGGCGGTGACCACCTGCCGTCGGGCAGCCGCGCCACTAGGATGCCGCTGCCGCTTGACCCCGTGGCCCCATACCCTAGGCGTACAGCTGTGAAGATGGCCAGACCTTGCGCCCTGGCAATGACCTTGGAAGGGATGGTCAGAAGGATGCGAGATTTCTTGGCCTTGCTGGTGTCGACGCTGCTGGGCTTCCCGGTACCGGCGGGGTTGCCGGGGCCGGTCTGAGAAGGCTGGCCAGTGGATGCGGGGACCGTCGAAGGCGCCGCGACTGTTTGCGGATCTACATTGCTGTAAATGCCATCCTCTTTTGTAGTGTTAGTGTCAGCGAGATACGAGAGAACACGACGGGGTGAGGTTTATGACTTACTGCAAAATGCCTTGAGGATCCTCGCGGCCTTTTCGCACTCCTTGTCAAGCGACTCGGGCAGGAAGCCTTCGGAACCGAATTTCTGCGCAAGGGCATTGACGGGTCCAGCTACCTTGGAGGCGAATGAATGGCCTAGGCCGGACAAACGATGCGACTTTTTCTTTGCTTCTTCGGGTTGCTGATGGTGATGGTGAGTAGAGCCTGGGAGATTGGGAGGATGCTGATCTGTCGGGCTCGCGCCGTAGATGTCATCATCGGCAGTTGTAGGCGGTGGCGCGAACTGAGGATTCGAGGGATGGTAGGCTGGGATCTCGTAATCGGGAATCGGTGTCTCGTCGGGATGTTTGAGAGGCGGGGCTTGAGCCTGGGCCTGGGACGTTTGGACGGGAGGAGGACCAGGCGGAGGTGGAAAGTACGGCTGCTGGGGCTGCTGGGCACCCTGATGGCCCTGAGATTGCTTGTCGTTGGAGTTCATTGCTTTGGTGTCGATTGCAAAATGCGATACGAGAGAAAGAAAGAGGTGCGGGGTTGTGAATGTAAAAGGTAGAGAGGAAATCAGGTGAGGTGAGTTTATATCACGCCTTGGTCGAAGATCATACGAAACCCAGCCAGCCAGGAGTGATACACGTACGCAATTGTCTGTCTTTGCCAATCCATCTGCGCCTCAGATGGACCCAGGCGGCCTCATCTCATGATATGACGATGCGGATGCAGTTGGACAACGAGGAAGGGCAGCAAAGAGTGACGTCATAAAGTGGCTGAGCAATGGCACATCGCGCCCATCCACGTGTCGTCCAAACCACGTACCTTACCCTAACCCTACGCCTGCTTCAACCATTTCTGTGCCACCATCACTTGTTCCGCTAGTAGTCCTCTATAATGTTCATTCTTTAGCCGACCTGGGCGTCTGTAAACAAAGTATTGTCGACGGCTTCTTACCAGCTTTGCTAGGAATTGATGCTTCGCATTTTCTTGGACCCCAGAACCTCGCACAGCCTCAACCTGAAAGGCGCTACACAGCCGCGACCCTTTTTTTCTGGCCCCATGACCAAGAGTCCCAAACAGCTCCGGCACTTCAATGTGCCAATTTCACTTATCCCTTATACACTTCATTTTCCCCAACCCCAGTCTCCAGTGACACGACCGAGTACCGACCCAACATTCCCCACCAAGCTCGCGCCTCCCTCAGCAACAATCGAGCGGACATCGACGACAGGGCCCCGTTCGAAACACCGTGACCCGAAGCAGCTCGTGTAGTAACAGGGACCAGGAGGACGGCAGCGCACACACCGCCCTGCCAGAAATGAGTTCCGGTCGTCTGGCACCGGGACGGCGGGACCTCGCGGTAGAAGAGGGGCTCCCAGACGGTCGAGGACTTCGACAAGCTTGGTGCTTGACGGAGGACGAGAGTGAGACATGGATGTCCGCGGCATCGGCTAATGTGCTTCTTCTGTCGGATGAAGATGAGGTATTGAACAACTTGTTTGATGCCTCCAAACAGTCGGACAGACCTGGCCCGCTGCCCACGGATGCGCAAGAGTGCCAACTATCAGCGGCCAACCCCAGTTTCCTCGCAATGGGACAGCTCTGCAACGGGAATGTTGTTTGTCTGATCTGCTTCAAAGGTTAGCAACTAGAAGTCAAGTCAGGCACTCACACTGTGACTGAAGTCTAGTAGGTAATAGTCCTGCTTCAAGTTCCAGCCGTCGAAACATTCAATCGGATAGCTCCCGTACACTGAGTCCTTATAAGGATACTTGGCAACGATGAATTGCTGGTTGTAACTCTGGAGCTTCATTCATGGCTACTATTAGGCAGTAACTTATATCCGGCAACTTCCACGATGCGCTCGTTGAAATCGTTGCGAACTGAAATAAGCGCAAGCCGCAAGGTGCGCAGCGCATTGCACTGCACGACGGGACGGGCCGGAGACGTTAGGCGGTTGCAATAACTAATACTGGAACGTTGAAAACCAAGATACTAGTAAGTGTTTTCTGTGATCCAGACAGGCTGATATAACTTATCCCTTCTATAGGGGGGTAGACACTATATGAGCGCATATGAGCGCATTCCTGATGGGCCTCTAGCCGACCTGGTCTCGGCGCTGTTCGGTTTGTGGATCCGAACGTCGGGATGCGACATGAGGCTCGCGGCTTGAAATTACCTGCATACAAACCTCTACCGTAGCTACCATGCAATAGTGGTGCGTCTGCCAGTAATAATTGCTGTCTTGCGGCTCTTTTGCTATCATGTCGCCGAGCAGCCCTGCCGGGCTGAGCCGGGTAAGGTGAGTTGCGTTGGGGGAGTCCGGTGGCTAGTGCCGATCGGCGATCACTGGTGGATGATTTTGTAGTCACCAACATGAAACGAGTGATCGGCGGTTTAGCACTGCAAGCCTCCAGAACCTGGACCAGCTTTCGATGTTTTAATTGGGGCACCTCCGCTGTTTTGCATGCGTTGACGCGTCGTTGCTGCATCCACCATCAATCCTCTTCAACCTACAGTACCGTTCGACGTGATCTTGAACGACTCGAGGGAGTTCTGGATATAAGATCTGCTGCACAGCTGCAGTGCCTCAGCTAACAAGCACTCCTGTGTCAATCTCTCAAAGTCATATTAGTAGGTCCCTCGATATGACCTCGTGCTCCACTTAGCAAACTGCTTACACTCGTCGATCGGAGGAATGAAGGCACCGCTCGGGCTTGCTTGGGATTGATCGAACGCTCCCCTCCAACTCCATCGATTGATTCAGACGACACTCCAAACGAGGATACTGTAACCTTCTGAAGGTCCGAGAAGCAGCAGGGTTTTTCCGGACCTGACTGGTGTTCCGGTGGGCACTCAAAAGCCGTCGCGCCCGCGATCTGCTGAGGGCCTTTGGCTCAGCTGGAGCAGGAGAGGAAATATCTAATGAAGGAAGGAATTCAAGGTTCACCTACGATGCGAAGAACACTTCAATTCCAGCAGCCAGGCCCGAACACAGACCGACCGATTTCCATTGCCGATGCCCCTACCTGCAGTGCCCGCGCCATACATTCGATATCACAGTGGACACCTGGTTAACACCTAGGGCAGCTCTTTGCTTCTTCACTCCAGTGGGGGTTCTGATGCCCATATTCAGCAATTGGGGGGTCTACCGGAATGACGAGTCACCCGGGGAGGCTGCGAGCAGCAATGGAAGCCTGGACACCTTACCCTACTTGACGTGGCTATGCAGTCGTTAGGCCAAGCACCATTGACGAATACCGACTCGACCCGCGCTTGGCAGCTCTTCCGCGTGATACGCGTCCCCCTGGGCCCCGAGTTTCCGGAACCGTCAGCGAAGTAATCATCGGACGAATGCGGGTGCGATGCTGTTATGCAATCGCAAAAGTCAGGAGTCTGGGCGCCACTGCGGACAGCATTAACGAGACATGGTCCCGAGACCCTGTATGGATTTTGCTGTGTTTCATGGTACACACCACTTCAAGCGGCTGATTCGGCAAACACATTTGGGGTTCAAGCTGAAAAGGAACCTTGAAGCAGACGACGGCTCTTCGCTAGGCAATTCACGCGCTGCGAAAGTCTTCAGGATGAGGGTTGGCAACTCCTCCCGTCCACGTGCTCCGAGGTGCATACCTTACCTCTTTCCACCTGTTATTGTGTGTGTGCAGGAAGGAACTGGCAGGCTCTAGATGCCTTCCGTGGGGTAAGTGACAAGTTCGGACGAGTCCACGTACCTTAAGGCACCTTACCTAAGATCAAACACAATCCTTCCCAGCTGGCCAGGAACAGTTCTGGAGACATTGAGATGTGGATTAATTCCTGCAGTCAGGTTGGATATCCATGTTGGGCTGAAACCGAAATTCGTTAGCATCATGCGCCTTCTCATCACCTCAGTTCTCAGCAACGGGCTCGACCACCGCTCGCTCTCTCCTCGTTGTTCTGGCAATGGGTGGCCGGCGAGGGATGAAAATCATTTAGGGTTAAGTTTGTGTTCCACGAACCCCCGCTAATGACCGATAAGTCGGGCTGCGGCGGGTGCATGTCGTGACAGGGCTCTGATTGCGGCGCCTGTCAGGAGTTTAATTATCTCCTGCGTGGCTTGCATGCTTCCGCGTCTCCCAGACAAACCAGGGTGAGTAAAGGCAAAGATTGGGAGTCTTGATTGAATAGTCGCTGACTGAGCCGAGCATCCCAGGCGTCTCATGCCTGAGGCGAGAGCTTAGCTAGGGACCTTCAGTCGACACCCGGTCGGCAACGGATCTTGAGCTTATACATGGTTAACCATAAGGCTGCGTACGCGTCGAGCTGGCATTTGCGTCTCTCTTTTTATCACTTCAGGTACGGAGGGTACGTGCAGTACGCATGTACATACAGTACCTGGTACATTCACACACAAATGTTGGACGCTCGCCCCCACCAACAGCCTTCACAGTCCCATTCCTACCCACAGCGCAGATCATAACCGTTTCGGAGTTCTCCGCTAACCCGTTACGGCCCAATACCTTTTTGACAGGGTTCGCGGCACGTGGGATCAATACGGGAGGCGGGAGGATAACGTTATCGAAATCACCCCGCCGCTGTTCGGCGCTTCGACGGGGATAAGTGGATGAAGGATTCTCAACTCATGAGCTGAAGCACACCGAACAACTGCTGACAGGGACTCGAGGTTACGTGCAATACACTACCATATGCTATGTACTTCGTCCAGCGGTCGACTTTCCAAATGCGCCCTGCCAAGTCTCGCTTCTTACCGAGCCGCTCGTCACGAGCCTCGACAGGCCGTCAAAGCGGTGAAGCCGCCGAATGCGTCGGGAAGGCATCATGAGACGAAATGGGCAAGCACTATTGCGACGCTAGGGAAGTGGACGAATCGCGGCAGAGCCCTCAGGCGGCTCGAGTTGTTTGCTCCCTGCCCACGCTAGATCCGCCCGCCGCCCCACCCGCCCTGGGCTTCCGAGTCGGCTTCGTTGGCACCCCGGGATACTCGGGGAACCGAAGGATCATGACAAGTTGCAACGACGTGTATTCAGATAGTGAAGATTCCCAAAGCGCTCGACAAGGTAGCGTCAGTGATGGTCGAGCTGCGACTGTGGAAGAGTCGATCAAAGTTGCAACTGCCGAACCTGGAGTCCTGGACGAGTCGCACAACATGGCGGCTGCAATGTTCTGCATATCCAATCTCAATCGCTGACTACAACCACCGTATGATCGGTGCAATCGCCGCAGAGGCCGAGCTTCGTGCACCACGAACATCCGATCCGGTGCTCGCTCCGAGCCGTGGTCCCTCGCACTGCAACCATGAAGCCACTGCGTGCTGATCTGACTGATGGCTACTAAGATGGGCCGGGCTGGCCGAGACGCTCGTCTGCTTGGATCCTGCATCTCTGCGACTCAACGGTTTGTTCGGTGAGCACCCGGTAGTTGTCGGAAGCTACTGTCTCGCTTCTTCTAGCCGCTCAGATGTGCCGCTGTTATCGGAGAAAATGGAGCGCTAGCAACACCAAGTAGTCACTAGTCGCCGGCCAGGACACACACGTCTGGACAAGCTAAGAAAGCTAAGAGACCCACTAACCAACTGTGTAGAGGGAAATTGTCTGTTTCAACGGAACTATTTCACACAAGCAGAGCTACATACACTGAAACTCATCGAGATTCCGGCAATGAACCTCTCCCGCCAACACACTTCGTTGACGTTCTACCAAAGACCGCAGGACCTGAACAATATAGGTTTCAAACCAGAGCTGCGTGATTGGACTGGTAAGCGGGGCGGGCCTGCAAGCGGCAAGGAACCAATAGTCTTCCGGGCCGACTTTATATTTAGAAAGCCAGACACGGCTCGGCACCGGCTTATCCAGTCCAGGCTTCACAACCAACAGGCATTTCCATCCATGATCTCAGCGGCTCGATTGCTTACAGTCGATGCGATGCGATCCGATATTCCGATGCGATCCGGCCTGTGCATGTGCGTTGTGCAGAGCACTGATCGCCAGCCGTTGGCTCGATGTTCATGTACGGATAGGGTGATAGGGAATAGGAGGAGCGCAACAATGACGCTTTTGGTCTCGACTTCAACCGTCTTCCTGAAAACCAGCATCGCCGCGGCCAAAGCATTGCAGCGTCACAGCCGCTGTGGGCAGTAGCGAAGAAAGGGACAAGCGAAGCGAGACTGCGAGAGGCTAGCCCGCTTTGCCGAATCTTACAACCAGGACGATTGTGTAGCCTGTCATCTGTCAAATTGCCTTTGTGGCGCACACCGATGCAGTAAGCAGAGTTACGTACACTACTACCTACCCCCTACCCAAGTAGCAGAGCCCCGGAGCTGACTCGGTCAAAGGCTACACAACCCGAACGTTTTGGTGCCCGTCGCCCCGAGATTTTGGGTGCCTCCTGACCCTTCGATGATCATAACTCTGGTACCCAGTCTATAGCAACTTCGCCGCCGGTGCGGTTCCCAAATGCCAAGTTGTTAAACGAGCACCACGGTTACAGCACAGGTAGGACCCTAAAACCAAACATCAGGAACGCCTGGGGAACCCGAGATGTTTGATTCTCGTCGATCTGGATCTGCTCGAATATGGATCTCGCCTGCTTATCGACGAGTCCCTTGTATGTGCTGTACAGTACAGTACATTCAAGCCCGCTTCTTGATCATGATGTTGCAACAGAGGTGGAGCCCCAAGCCAATGACGAATCTTCCCGCGTCTTTCGAGATCCCAGGCTGACCAGCACGCACCTAGCTATGTTCTTACGCGCGCCGCAGCATGCACATACATACATCAATACGAAGAACCCCTCTTTGGGGGTTGTGTTCTCAGGTCAGGCACTGTACCTTAGTTCCCGCGTCCTTCTGCCAAGACCGACCACCAGCCAATAAGTGACGGTTCCAGGGGGCAGGAGACGAGCGGAATCGCAATATCCATTGCGTATCTGTAGGGCAGACCTAGTGACTAGCCCTGGTACTTGGTCGGAGAGAATGAAACCTCGACCGTGACATCCCTAAGAGAAGCGAGTGCGCTCCATGCCACATATGGATTATGGACGGCCCCTCTGGCATGCCGCCCTGCCGCTCTTGCACGGCACGGAGACTTGGACGAAATGGTCCCAGACCGCAACGATCCTAGAGGTTAGTTTCCCATTCAATACCACGCCCTGGTCCGTGGGCTCGGCCCACCTCCTCCAACATCAGCCATCAGGCAGCCCCTCGCAAGCGGTTGCTGCGGTTCTATCGTAAGCTGGGATGCCGCGTTGGCAGGGTCTTAACGTTACATGCGAGTCATGGTTAGCTGACAGCAAACTAGCTGGGCTCCCCTTTCTAGAAGCTCGATGGGGACCCGCCACGCCGCCTCCACGCCCATGAGATCGTCAAAGCCACATGGCTACTCATATTAACCCGGCAGTACCGAGACGGCTCGTACATACGATACATGTATGTATATGCTATGTCCAAAATCTCACTTGCTAGACCGCTGAGGCAGCAGGGCACAGGTTAATCAACTTCATCCCCTGCCAAGACCGTCTCGTAGTTAGTCACGAGACCGTTGGCTATCTCTTCATAGACCTTGTACCACCACGCAGCCAGGCGCCCACTGACTGTTGGGATATGCATGTTCTCAGGCCCCCTTCTGCAACCCGTCCCGTCCTTACCCATGCTCATGTAAGGGGAGTAGACTGGGCAGGAGAAGACTGAGGGCCGCACGCAACCGCGCAGCTCGCCGCATGTCAGCCAAGCCAATAATACTAGTACTTTGCTGCAGGATCTGTCTTCTACTCTTGCTTCTCTTGTTCTACGTCTTGGGCTAGATTGGAACGCAGCCCGGGCATGCTCGGATGTGACTGTGAAGCCCTCATCCAGGCATCCGTGCTCCATCCTCTGCCGGCACCTCATCCGTCGTCGGCCACCTCTGCAGGAGCTCGCTGGGACTATTGATCTCGGTTACAGAGCATAACGCGTTGCCCATCGAGCCGAGTGTGCGTACGGCAGCCTCTCTCGACATCTAGTCTGGCTTTCCGCTGACGATATCGATGGTGTGTAGTTCGTCTCCCTATTGGGTCACTACGCTGCGCCTCCAAGGCTTACTGCCCACTCGAGCATGGATTCTACCCACCAGTTCCGTTCCCAACGGCAGTGAACTAGGATTGCAAGCACGCGTCAAGCTGTTCAAGTTCCTCGTGTGAATCTCGTTGCATGAGGTAGCCTTCCTACACCCTCGCCGAGCCAGTACGGTGACCCCCCCTGACCTCTCTAAGCTATTACTCACTCGGGTCATGAGGGTCTCACCGGATTAGCTACACTAGAGTGAAGGAACTTTGCCTACCTACTCGGCATCCGAGGAGTTATACCAACCATCCGGGAGCTCTGTTCCAGCAACTCATCCAGCTTGCCTCCTTCGCAACCCCGACCCTGCCGCCCTCTAGCCGTTCTCGCTCGTGATGGGAATCGTTAGATCACAATAGTCTCCTGAACCCGGAAAGTCTCGGCTACCAGGAGGACGAACTACTGGTCTGTGACTCTTCTCCAGCTATCACTCCTGGTGATTACTATTCCTTCTGGATCCCCGGGTCAGTCTATATAAGGGGCTGAGTGTCCAGTTCTTCCACGCCTTTGATTTTCTTGAATCACCAGGACACTCGGGCGGCTTCAGTCTTGCATAACTCGGGTCTTCCCTTCCTCTCACTGCTTTCCTTTCCTCAGATATTTTTCAGGCGACCTCAAACAGCTCGCCATCATGAAGTCTTGGGCCGCCGCCGTGGCGCTCATGGTGGGCATTCTCAGCCCTCATGCTGCCGCCGCACCTCCTGCAAACCCGGTCCAGAGAGACATGCTCCAGGTCCTTGAGGCGAGACAGTCTGGCCCGACTTGCAACACCCCGTCCAATCGTGCGTGCTGGACCAATGGTTTCGACATCAACACCGACTATGAAGTTAGCACTCCTAATACCGGGCGGACTGTGGCCGTAAGCTTCCCCTTCTTCCTTCAAGGAGCCGGAGTTTAGGACTAACAAGCATCAGTACCAACTTACCCTCACTGAGAAAGAGAACTGGATTGGTCCCGATGGCGTTCTCAAGAATGTGGTGATGCTGGTCAATGGTACGTTGATGTCCAATTCTGTATTAAGCGAAGAACCGTGCTGACACGCTCCCTTCGGCTAGACAAGATTATAGGTATGCTCAATGTCAAACCCTCTGTAACCCCAACCGCCAAGATTTGGAGGCTCCTAGCCTCGACGTGTTGTACAATGTGCTGACCTCGCCGCCAGGGCCAACCATCCGCGCCAACTGGGGTGACAATATCGAAGTCACTGTCATCAACAATCTCAAAACTAATGGGTACGACCATTTAAATCATCCTACCCCTAACACAGGATCTCAACGTGCATACGATCTGACGTATCATATCCATCTAGTACCTCGATGCACTGGCATGGCCTTCGTCAGCTGGGTAACGTTTTCAACGACGGTGCCAACGGCGTGACTGAGTGCCCAATCCCGCCCAAGGGAGGGCGCAAGACGTACAAGTTCCGTGCTACACAGTATGGCACCAGCTGGTATCACTCCCACTTCTCGGCCCAGTACGGCAACGGCGTTGTCGGCACCATCCAGATCGACGGCCCTGCCTCTCTACCATATGACATTGACCTAGGCGTGTTCCCTCTCATGGACTACTACTACAGGTCGGCCGATGAGCTGGTTCACTTTACCCAGAGCAACGGCGCCCCGCCAAGCGACAACGTCCTCTTCAATGGCACCGCCCGTCACCCTGAGACGGGGGCCGGCCAGTGGTACAACGTCACGCTGACTCCCGGCAAGCGACACCGCCTGCGCATCATCAACACGTCGACCGACAACCACTTTCAGGTGTCGCTTGTCGGCCACAATATGACCGTCATTGCCACCGACATGGTACCTGTCAACGCCTTCACTGTCAGCAGCCTGTTCCTCGCCGTAGGCCAGCGATACGATGTCACCATCGACGCCAACAGCCCGGTGGGCAACTACTGGTTCAACGTGACGTTCGGCGATGGGTTGTGCGGCTCCAGTAACAACAGATTCCCAGCCGCCATCTTCCGCTACCAGGGCGCCCCCGCTACGCTCCCGACGGATCAGGGTCTACCCGTGCCCAATCACATGTGTCTGGACAACCTGAACCTAACTCCTGTGGTGACACGGAGCGCGCCCGTCAACAACTTTGTCAAGCGTCCGTCCAACACACTGGGCGTCACTCTCGATATCGGCGGCACGCCGCTCTTTGTGTGGAAGGTCAACGGCAGCGCCATCAACGTCGACTGGGGCAAGCCGATCCTCGACTATGTCATGAGCGGCAACACGAGCTACCCGGTCAGCGATAACATTGTGCAGGTTGACGCTGTTGACCAGGTACGCCCCTCTTGAAGCCTTTAGCAGTTCACCCTGACGAGTATATACTAACACCTCCCTCCTAATTCAGTGGACTTACTGGCTGATCGAGAACGACCCGACCAATCCCATTGTCAGCTTGCCGCACCCGATGCATCTGCACGTACGTTCAACCCCTCCCTCTTCATCTCTTACGAATAATACTAACCCATCCACAGGGCCACGACTTCCTCGTCCTGGGCCGATCACCCGACGAGCTCCCCAGCGCGGGGGTCCGTCACATCTTTGACCCGGCCAAGGACCTGCCGCGGCTCAAGGGCAACAACCCCGTGCGGCGGGACGTGACGATGCTTCCGGCGGGCGGCTGGCTGCTGCTGGCATTCAAGACGGACAACCCGGGCGCGTGGCTGTTCCACTGCCACATCGCGTGGCACGTGTCGGGCGGCCTGTCGGTCGACTTTTTGGAGCGGCCCAACGACCTGCGCACGCAGCTCAACAGCAACGCGAAGCGCGCCGACCGCGACGACTTTAACCGTGTCTGCCGCGAGTGGAACGCCTACTGGCCTACCAACCCGTTCCCCAAGATCGACTCGGGCTTGAGGCACCGGTTTGTTGAGGAGAGCGAGTGGATGGTTCGCTAAACTGCCTGGCAGTGCCAATTGATCTGATGGGTACATGTACCTGTTGGTGTTACTGTTGACGAGGGCGTGTGCAAGTACCATGGCAAAGGGGTGTTTTCAGGGGTGCTCTGGGGTAATTGGTACATGGAGTGGTCTGGGGTTGGGTATACAAGGCTTGCTGCTCCGTTTTTATCTTTTGGCTTGATTAACACTTTCTGTCTGATGTACGAGTCAGGCCGCCGGGAGCCTTCCGCCTCATGCCGGATAGGATTCCTAGGATAGGGTATGCCGGGTTTGGGGGTTAAGGGAGGAGAGGCACAGAGACTCAAGACAGGAGAAATACACGAACCCGTCTCACATTAAGACACGAATACTTGCCGTTCAGTCACTGTTGCTCGTGTTTCCAAGAGTCTGTTGGCAAATCGGAGATCTAAATGTCTTCTATTGCGAATACTCACCGATCAAAAAATCGCAATGATCACCTACCTAGGCAGCATGTAGCTGCTCACCACTAAGTCGAGCCTGGGCCCGAGTCGGATAGATAAACCACTGCCCATAGCAGCGTCTCAAGCCTGAGGCGCCTCAATTCTGGGTGACTTAGAAAAGCAGCGATAGGCAGTTCCAAGGTCACGGACCACCGTCGCCCAGTTGGCCAGCCGGCCGAGCACTGCCTCAGCTTTGGAAAGACGAGCGTTCACGTCGAAGATTGCAAGGCTAATATTGACGCGGGTCGTGGGCAAGGCGTCCCGGTTATACCCGTTGAGGGTCCTCAGCCATGCGGCATCGTCCTCGATGGTCGATCGGAGCTGCATCACGCACTCAACCGCCTCGTACAGCACGGTATCGACGTCGCTAAACCGAGTAGCACAGACCCGAAGGCCATCGGCATCGGGCTGCTGCTTCTCCAGGAGATCCTTGAGCCAGAACACATCAATCTTGACTGCCGTTGCTATGCCTCGATGCCACCTTGCCATGCGGGTGAGCATGTCCCCTGCTTCGAGGGCTTCATCTCTGGCCTTGCGCACCTTGTCCTGCTTTCTCAGAATGGCCTTCAGCAAGATGCCCAAGGTGACGCGTCGTCCGCGATGGACCAGCTTGGTTGTGCTGCCGGGGTGAGAAGGGTCGGCGGCAACCTCGGCGACGATTCCAGGCGACTCTGTTTCCACCTGCTTAAGAACCTGAAGGCCCTCGATATATTCTCCGAGAGCCGTCTTTAGCCAAACCAGCTTGCTCTGGTAGTCGCGGAAAATGAATTGGGTGAGACCGCGGGCGTCCTCGTGCAGCACCCAGCAATGGAAGCCGACGGCGATCGTCTTGCAGGCCTCTTTGCGCTTGAAGTGATTCTCCCAGTCAGCAGGTGATGCCCAGTCGAGAGGCTTGACCCAGCTTCGTGTGGTTTCCTCGATGGCCTGGACTGCCGGGAGGTATTGGATGGGCAAGTGCCGCTCGGGAAGCATGATGTTCATGGGCTTACCTGAGCATTGGTTTCCGCTGCAACCGCAGTCATAGACCACTCGTTGAAGGGGCGTCTGTATGGGCATGGGTCCACGCTTTTGGCCCCCTGGCTTCGTTCCGTGCGTTGTGCTGAAGTCAAGAAGCTTCGCCTCGATGCTGCGGACATGGGTCAACTCTGGTGAGAAGAGGATGGACTTCTTGCCTGCGGCGTCTTGCGGACTAGAGTCAGCGGGTAGGCCACCAGAGCCCATAGCGGTACTCGAGACAACATTCAGGTACGTGTTGAATCGGGACTCTAGCTCAGACTCCCGGTCCAAGCCCTCGTCCACATCTTTCCACGGCCACTTGAACCCGGACATGGCCCCGGCCTCGGCCTTGACCTCGGACAGGATATCGTCGCGGTAGGTCAGGGCCATTGTTTTGTCTGGCGCTGGTTGATAGTGACCATCGTGCTCCTTCGCAGTATTGTTAGCCATTCTGGACGCTGTAGGGGTTTTGTTTGGTAGTAGCTTTGCTGATGCGTCCTGTTGGTCGATTTCACACTTTTTTGTTCCTTCAGTAGGCTTCAGAGTTGGTAGCCCGGAGCTTTTAAATGCAATCCGGCCGGGGAGCAGCTCCGATATCGTTTTGGTACACAATTGCTTTGTTCCGACCCGACGTGATTCAAATTGTCAAAGGCACTGTACAAACAACAACAGATGAGTGTGGATAAGGATTTCTTACCTTGCGGCCTCTCCATAGCGTATGCATGCATGTATGTGCGATACCTACATACACCGATCTGTCCAGTCCTAGAGTGGTCTCTGAGCATGACAACACATCTGTCGAACATCTTCCACCCGCCATAACCACTGTTCCAGGCCCGCATTGAGTGAATGAACAAAGGACTTTCCTGCTGTCACTTCACCTCCAGCTCTCAAAGAATCCATGCCAAACACTGAAACTAGATGTAAATGCACGATGGAATACCATGACGCCAACAATCCAGAATTACCTACCTAGGTAGGTGTACCAACAAGCTTGAAGTCCTCTAAGGCCTCAGCCACATAGCGCAAAATCCCAACCTCCCTCATAAACGCTTCAGTTAGGGTGGTGACCAGACGACGAACAGAAAAAGATGTAAAAGCCCAAGAACTCGAGTCCGGAGTGCAACAGCCATAAGTAGTCATTCAACTCTCATCCAACATACAACGACGCAACTCGTATAACCAGCCCAATAGGTAATACCCAATGCCGCCCAAACACCATGCTAAAGCGCTCGATCTCATCTCATACATATAATGGGAAAAGATATCATCCCCCAAACATTGAAGCCAGGACCACGGAAAAGATCCAGTAGTACAACAAGTTATCACAGTGTGAATTAACCAAGTCAAATGCCGCCTCCGACCCAAAACCCCACTTCGCATCATGCTCATGATTCACCAAAGAACCCGCAAGAATTCACCCCACGACAGGCGACAACCCCGATTTTCCGCCCGCTCCTCCCACAAACCTACTAGTACTCTGCTGCTGTGGCGTGACCGGACTCGGCGTTGACACCACCGATCCAATGCTAGAACTAGCACCAGCACTGAGCATCCAGCCCGAGCGGGGCCCGCTCTTGGGTGTGATCGCGCTCAGGGGGCTCACCAGATCCTCAGTTTCCTCGGCTCCCCCGCCACCGGACCCGTTCAGCATCGGTGTGCTAGGCGACACTGCTACCGACCCTGCCGCCACCGCCACCGCCCGGAACGGCAGCGGACCCAGCGTATCTCTGTCGCCTCTCTCGCGCTCAGACGCGGCCGTGCCCGCAATCGCCTCCCGCTCCCGCTCCCCGCTGTGATGGCTGCTCGCGGTGCTTCCCTCCGTCATGCTATCCGCCGAGCTGTTCGGGGTGAACAGGACGGCCGGGCTGGTGCTAACCCCCAGGGCCATGGTTGGTTGCCCGTCGCTCGGTTCCGCCTCCTCGGCGATGGGGTCAAATGCGGGAAGGTTCGGGAGTTGAGGCGGCGCATTGGGAATGGGGCTGCTGCTGTTGTTGTTGTTGTTGTTGACTGTGGCAGCAGCAACCCCAGCGATGCCAGCAGGGGCTGGTGAGCGCGGGGGACCAAGTGTGCTGGATAGGCTGGGACTTGGTTGCACGCTGCCGATAATTCTGGGCGACAAGGGCGACAGGTCAGCGACCATGGCCGAAGCAAGGCCGATTGCAACTGGGGAGGTGGGAGTGGCCGGCGGCGGGGAGTTTGGCACGATCTTGACGGCCGAGGTGGGAGGTGAGTTCGTTCTAGCGACCGTGCTGGCCAAGCGGCGGATGCGGCTGCTCAGAGAGGTCGCAGGTACGGAAACGTTCATGCTAGGCTTCTTTTTCGGGGACTGCAGTGAAGGAACGGGACTGGGCGCACCCCTATCCAGTTCCTTTTCCTTGCCCTTCTGAGCCTCCTTGGCCTTCTGAGCCTCCTTACCACTTTGAGGCTTAAGTTTGGACGCGATAAGCTCAAACTGTTTCAGCATTGTAGGGTGCTCGATGATTTCCTCCATTGTCACCTTCAGGTTGGCATCGGCACCCGGAACGTTGACTTTTGGTAGATCACGGTTGAGCTGCATAGTCATCTGCGAGGCTGGGATCAAGCTGCCCCAAAGATCGTAGAAGGCCGCGTTATGGACTTGCGCTTCCGGCACGCCCAGTGTCCGGGGGTTGAGTATCGATGTCCACGTGTCATTGATGACAGTTTGGACTGCCTTAATCTGCTCCTGACTGAGGGAGGCCAGAATTTTGCTCTCTGCAGAGTCGGAGCCTTGTGTAGAGAGAGAGGCGCTTGGGGGTAATGGGATCCTCTTCATCATGGCTCGGTATTGGTATCCGCACGGAATGACGGGCTGCATGATACTGACACTCGTAAGAAGGCTAATGGATTGGCCCAGCATTTTGAGTGCATGCTCAGCGAAGGGCCCGGGGATCCGGTCAGCACAGAAAGTGATCATGACCTCGACACGACCCGGCGGGCGTAAAACCGATCGCACAAAGAGGTCAGGGATATCCTGGGATCTGGACTCGCTAATAGTGAACTTGCAAGAAGCTGCTCCGAGGTGGAACGACTTGGGCTCTGATGGCAGAATGGCTGTGTCTTCGTATTGGTGCTGCACTAACGTGCTAAAACGGGTCCAATAAGGCCAAGGCGTGCACTTCTCGACAATGGTGAGCGTCCCAAGATTCTCAAACGGGATGCTGGACATGCGTTGCGCGTGGATGTACTGAAGCAACGCTAAGGGAGTCAGCGCAGTCTCAGGGAACTGCACCCGGACCGGAGTCACGTTAACAGTAGGCCCCATGACACCAGCAACCGAGTGTCCACCTGGCAGTCTGACATGGCGGCCATCAATGACCTCGCCAAAGACAATGTCCGAGGATGCAGACAGGTTTGCAAGAACCATAGCCCACGCGCCTTTGAGGACCGTTTCAAACGAGATGCCTAGACTGGAGAGTGACCCAAGAGGGACCATGGGATTCCTGATTGTTTTGATGTTGGAGGACAACTGATAGGGTTGGCTGTGTGCAACGACTTGTGTCATGACGGCGCCTTCGAGCAAAGCTCGCCAATAGTCCTCAGCCGCATTCGAGTTGGCGATCTGCGTGCACCGAATGAATTCGCAGTAGGTTGGCCGGCGAGGCGGGCTTTGGGAGCCGTCGTACAGTCTCTTGAGATCCTTGACCAGTAGGGCAACGGAGAGATCATCGTACTGTGCCTTTGACAATCTCAAGATGAACACTGACTGCTTGCCGCCATCGAGGAAGATGAACTTGGTCATCGGCGTTTCGAATCTGGCTGGCAATGACTGGTCCTTCTTAATGACCTTTTCGAGTTGAGCAGAAAGCCGCCAGGTCGGGCAGTAAGTTCGCCGGAAGTCGATCTCGCTCGATTTGATCACAGCTTGGTAGACTCTGCGGTTGTATGCCACAAAGGCAGTGCGCAATATCGGATGGATCGAGGCAAGCGTCTTGCACGCCTCTTCCAGCTTCTTCGCATCTACAGCCCCGGTGAAGTTGAAGATCAGGTAGTTGATATTTGCGCGGCCACGGAGCATGCCCGTCTCGATGTACCGGATCTGGGCTGCGGACGCTTCGGCTGCGTCGCCGATCGCACTTGGGTCAATTCCAAGCTTGGGAGCAATCACTTTCTCAATAAACACTTGCTTGATCATATTGGGATTCACCGGTGCTGGTGCTGGTGAAGTTTGTGATGTTTCCTGCGGAAGTGGGGATACTTGGCGGACTGTTTGTGGGGACTCGGCCGTGGCCATACTCTTGCACAGCTCCGTCAAGCTGGCTCCTCGAATCACGTCGGCGATGTTGATTTGGATGCCCTCATGCCGACATGCGGCGACTAACTGCGCAGCCGCGATCTCATCTCCGCCGGCACCGAAGAAGCAGTGGAGCGCAGAGATCTTGGCTTCCTCAACACCAAGAACCCTAGCCCAAATCGCCCTCATTCGCTCCTCGTTCAAGGTCAGGGGTAATGGTTTCAGTGATTGTAACTTAGCGTCGTTCACATTTGGGGCGACAGCAAGACCCAGAAGATCCTCTTTACTCAAGCCAGCAATCATCTTATGCAAACGACGTCGGTTAACCTTGAGTGACGGTGAGACGGGAAGCTGCTTGACGGGGACAAAGGCGGACGGGATCATGGATGGGGGGAATCTCTTCTTCAGCCCAACCTCAGCCAGCTGTTTCGCCATGGCAAGCTGCTCCTTGATTGCCGGGCTTAGCGATGCGAGGTCCTCATCGCCAGTGAGACGGTCGCCGAGCTCGATGAAGGCAGTAATGATGCTCTCATTTTTCAACCCCCGGAAAATCACCGTTTCGACGGCGGCATCAACCCCTTGACCCAGACAGCGGCGGAGGTATTGCTCGATCTCGGTTACGTTGACAACTTTGCCATCGACATCGACATCATCCCGTTTGCCCGAGATGAACTCCAACAGTCCACTTTGAGTGTACCTCACACGATGTCCGGTCTTGAAGTACCGAACGTTGGCCCCGGCGGGCCCCAAGGGCGACATCGGAATCATTGTCGATTCTCTGTTCGGATAGGAAAATGCCAAAGTTGGTCCCTGAACGATCAGTTCGCCGACAGCGCCAATGGGCACGCGTTTGCCGTGGTCGTCCGGGTTGACGACTAGAAGGTTCCCTACGAAAGGTCGGCCTATGCTCCTCAGATGGTGAGGTCCGAGGGCCTCGAGAAAAGCAATGCCTAACGGGCACACGTCCTGTGGGCCATATGCCAAAATCACGTTGACCTTTCCATGCCAGATATTGTAGGTATCATCGTCGAGACCCCGAGTCCGGAAACACACTACTTTCAGAGATGCCAGGAGTGCCGGATCCACCTTTCTTGACAGGTGCGGCGTCATGTACGACCAGTTGACCTGCATCCTGTTAACGGCAGCTCCAAAGTCCTGGAGCCGCTCTACAGCAGATGGGATGCACACGCAGCCGCCGTAGGCAAGGGTGGTGAATATCTCGGTGACGCATATGTCGTGGTTGAATGACGACAGCTGCATAACACGACTAAGGGGCGTGATCCTTGCGGCTGGCCCTTGGCCAAGAAGAGCAGTTGATAGCGCTGCATGGCTGAAGCTGACACCGCGGGCCTCGTTCGACGATGTTGGGAGGAAAAGCACACAAGCCGGGTCGGACGGGGCAGCCATTGAAGTCAGCGGTCCTTTGCCTTCCGGAAGGAGATGCATCAGCTCGTCGGTGACGATCACCACTTGGTCAAATAAATTGCTGAGGACCGGAGCGGCATGCTCCGAGGAGATGGCGACTCTCGAGTTAAGGCGCTCAAATATGGGTTGGATCATGCCAAGCTCCAATGAATCGACAGGCACAAACGCCGCGCCAGCCCTGTACAAGTCAGAATTGGGGATTATCTTTTGCCATTCACGAGGCGACATACTTCAGGACAGCAACCATAGCCACGGGTGCAAGCTTGCACTTATCCATAACCACTGGAACGACCGAGTGAGGCCCGACGCCGGAATCGACAAGGTGGTGCGCCAACCTTGTGGCTTCCTCCTCGAGTTGAAGATATGTAAAGGTCCCATCCCAAGAGCAGATGGCTTGAGATGACGGCTGTATGGCGGCCTGCTTCGAGATGAGCTCATGGACCACAGACTGGACCTGGTTGTCGATCTGCGGCGGGGATTCGGAATCCCACGCAAGAATCTGGGCGTAATCCCTGTCACTAAAAAGGTCAACCAAGCCGATGGAGGAGTTTGGTGTGGAGAGGATGGTGCTGATTGCCCTGCCAAAGGTGTTTGCCACATTGATTGACTGTTCCGGATCCATGACACGCTGGCCAATGTCTACCACGAGCTTTCCGGCCGCGAAGCGGGTATTGACCACCACATCCACATCAAATGTCTGCTGTAGCGAGATGGGCTTGAGCTCGAAGTTTGTCCGTGTGGTGAACTTGCTGTTCAGTCCGGCTGGCTCCTCGGTGAAAGTGAGACACGAATTGAAGAGGCGTTCACCCCCATTCATGCCCATGGCATGTTGGAGCTCGGCCATTGTAAAGTGCTGATGAGGCAGGCTGGCTTGCAGCTGCTCCTCAACCATTTCCAGCGCCGCGGTCAGGGGGGTGTATGCTGATAGCTCGTAGCTGCACGCTATCGTGTTCGCAAAGGAGCCGACGGCATGTTTCATTCCGGGTATCGAATCGGCACGTCCCACTGTCTGGTACCCAAAGCACACTTGATTAGAGCCGGTAAAACACCGTAATAGCAGGGCCCATGCCAGCCGTAGGACGGCATCAACTGTAGTCTTGTGGGTTCGCGTGAAAGCGGATAATTGGTAGGAAGTAATGTCTAGCTCCAGACCGGCATTGACGAACCGTTGCTCGTCGGGCAAGATAGTTAACCGAGGGAACGAGCATGGGGGAACGCCCTTGAGCTTATCACGCCAAAAGGCGAGGCTGCTTTCTTGCCGGACGGTTTTCAGATGATAGAGATAGTTGGGATAAGAGAACTCGTCAGGCTCTGTAATAGCCCGCTCCGTGGCATATGCTCGTCGCAAGTCGTGGAGAAGGATGTGGATGCTGAGCGACTGGCTGGTTATCAGCCGTCTGCAGGAGTCTTACATGACAAAAGCTTACACTTACATCGCAAAGCGCAGTGCTTATATCGAGTTTCACCAATGTCCGGGTGGGTGCCTTGCAGACCGTAAGCCTGTGAAGGGGCTTACTGTCAATGGGTCGGAGGTTGGGGAGATTGCTGAGCTCGTACACCGGGTCCTCTGCGGGGGCTGTATCGATAAAGAGCATCTCCGGGGAAGCTCGGCGGAGAATGACCTTGTCCCAAAGTCCGGTCTCACTAACACTCTCGGTAAAAACTGTTCGTAGGGTGGCATGTCTCATTGTCACTTGCTGCCAGGCTGTGCATATCCTTGAGATGTCGATAGGATCGCCATTAGGGGACGCGAACTCGTAGATAGCGTGCAGATAGCACGTGTCGGGGCGCTGTGCTTGGCTGATCAGGATGCTTTGTTGTACTGCGGTGACAGGATAAATCGTCTCGACATCGCGGATGCTGGTGAGCTTCAGAGTGGCGGCCCGATGTTTATTGAAGGTTGCCAGGCCTTCGTACGTAACATCAAGATGTGGGACATCTGCCAGGGTTAGCTCCTCTGGGTGGTACCTTAACCTGTTGACGGCCTCGAGAAGGAAATGTTCGTAATTCTGGATCCATTGTGAGATGCGAGCCTGGTCCTTGGAAAAGCGGCTGTAAAGGAATTTGACTTGGGCACTGCCCTGGTCAATCATTGCGCTGACCTCGAACAGCGCGATGCGGCCAACGTTCGCTCCTATATCTGACGTTGCCGATGCGAGAGTGCGTCCAGGTATAGCGAGCTGCTCCATCACTCCGTTGTCGCGCTCCAGGTGCTGCAGCGAGCCCGCATAGCTGAAAATGATCTCGAAGGGCCAGTCCTTTGCGGTTATTTCTTCCTTCTTGTAGTGGTAGAACCGCGAAGCAAAGTACTGCGATCCACGATTCGGGATCGATCGGCGCAAGTCTTTGAGGCGGCGAAGAACACCAACGAAATCGTCTGATGCCCCGATTTCCAAGCTGACCGGGCAGAGGGACGTGAACCAACCAACTGTTTCGGAAATGTCAACGTCCGGATTCAACGGTTCTCGGCCGTGTTCCTGGTTCCATACGACTGGGACGGGTCTGTCATGAAAGGTCTGGGCGAAAGAGAGCATGAGAGCGGCGAGGTAGATGTCGACGCAATCCGTTCTGAAGACAAGGTTACATGAGGTATGCAGGATCGAGGTAAGCTCCTGACTTAACGAGAAACTTGCCTCGAGGGCATCGCCGTAGTTGTTAGGGGCGTCCTGCAAACCCCAATATGCGTAATCACCTGGCTGGATGGCAAAGGGAAGCTGATCCCTAGGATCCGGGCCAAGCGTGTCCGACTTCTGTAGCTCCACCCACTTGTGGAAGGGCATGGATCTCTGCGATAGGAGGCTCCCGCTCTCCAACAGCTCGTCGAGATCATGGATGATGGTGCGCCAGGAGGGAAGGTCGACGGCGAGATGATGAGCGGCAAGGTAGACTAATTGTTGCCCATCGTTGGTCGTGAGATAGTCGACGGCAAAAACAGGCCCAGTCTCGATATTGATGGAAATCTGTGTCCGCTCGATGATGTCCTCCAGCTCGCGTTCGGATCGAATCGCGCTGTGGCATAGAGAGTAGGTCCCTGCAACATCAGGTAAGACCCGTTGCACCCACCCATTAAGACCCCTGCCGTAACGAGATCTTAGCATGGGATGGTGGGCGACGACGGCCTCCACCGCGGCCGATATGTCCTCAAAAGCAAAATGCTTCTTGAACCGTAAAAGCAAGCTCTGGTTGAAGCGGTAGCTCCCATCCAAAACCGGCCTTCGCTTTAAATCACCTCCCATGGTTGTCTGAAAATACAGGTGCTGCATCGGTGACAGGTCGAAACAATCCGAGGTTTCCTCGTCCCACTTGTGTGCCAAGCCGCCCCGAGACCCAGCAATGACAGCAAGTTCTGATAGAGTTGCGGACCCGAGCGCCTCGGAAGGGTAGATGTAGATGGACTCGTGCTTGCACCGGGCTGCGAGCTCCATGGCTGTCATCTCATCGCCGCCAAGTTGCGAGAAGGAGAAGTTCACGCCAATCTGACTCTGCGGGACGTCCAAGACCTTGCTTACCAGCCTCTGGAGCGATTTCTCCATTCCGGTTGTTGGTGGTTGCATGGTCTCAAGGTGTTCAAGGCTAAGGGCTTGGTGATACACATTGTCGTTGATATTTTGTGCCCATGTTCTGAGACGACGGATATCGACATCGCCCGATTCGGTCAACGGCATCGCGTCGAGGACAATCCACAAGTCGGGGAGCGCATCGGGCGGCAGTGCAGTTTCGGCAGCGCGTTTGAGGTAGGCGACCTGAGTCCCGGCATAGAGGGCCTGGGACTGGGGAATGAGATTGATTGCCGCTGGACTTGCCTGGCTTGGCTGGCTGGCGGATAAGGTGAGAAGTGCGACAAGCTTCCCCTCCAGCAAGCCTGCCTTTGGTCGTACCGTTGCTATCCTCCCGATCTCTGGCTGCGTCCCAAGGGCCTGCTCAATCTCTGTTCTCCGCCCATATTGTGCCGTCCAACTCGCCTGACTCGAGTTGCGTGAGTGATCAATCCTAGGCTCTGGGTTCATGGACATCTGGCTTGTTTTGGGTAGCTCTAATGGAGCAATCTTGACGGTCCCGATCGTGTCGGGTTGGGGGAGACCAGTTCGCGGCGCGCAGGTTGTGACGCATGCCTGCAATTCTGTGAGAGTCGAGCACTGAAGGATGTCCTTTACCGTTACATCGATGCCAGCTTCCATACAAGCCCTCCTGAGCGCTAGCGCGCGTTGCTCGTCTCCTCCCAAGCTCCTGAACGAGTCGTGTGCCCGAATACCGCTCGTTTCGATGCCGAGTACGTCAGCAACCAGGGTCAGCAGGCGCGCCTCGGCTGTATCGTCCTCCAACAGCAACCACGAGGTCGATGCGTCGATGCGCGAGGTCGAGATGGCCGCCATAGTAGCAGGCAACCCCGGAGAGGGTGGGGAAAAAGCGAACGAACCGAAAGAGCGCTATATGGGTATCTCAAGCGAAAGGGGTGAAAGGAAATCCAGAAGTCAGGCACTGGGCCGCATGGCACAGCAGGCAGTGGGCACCGGCGGTTTCACGGTCGGGCATCACATGGAACCTGTTCTGAGTTTGGCGATAGTTACCGCCAGTGTTCAACGCTGGAGGGCAACCTAACGTCGGAGACGGGAGCTCTGGCGTGGAATGTGGGAGTGCTGGAGAGGGTATCAGCAGTGTTGGCCGCGGGCTGATGCTGCACGCCGCACCGGCAACCTTGGCACAAGAGAGGAATAATGGTGAGGGCCGAAGCTTGGAGCGTACTGTACAGTAACGTACAGTGCAGAGGAAGCCTTGCGTGGCTTCCATCAGCAACCATGACGAGCCAATCAAGCCATGCTCAGACTCGGCTCAGCCCCCAGCCCGCATGACCCCCTTGAGCGATCGCCAGATCGGGGCTGGACGCCCGGGGAGGGGGGAGAGTGCCACGAAAGCAACGCAACGTAGCGGCAGGATGCTGTGGGCTCACAGAGCCAGATAAAAAAATTCGGTCCGGCCCATTGAGGGGTCTGGAGGGCATGCGCTACAGTTTGTGGAAACTGGAGAACAACTGGAAATATCCGTATCAAGCACCCGCATCCAATTATCGTCTCGGAAGCTCAGGTCCTTTGCTAAAAAAATATTAGCTTCTCCAGAAGTCTGGGTGGCCCGCCGGCAATCTGGTTGCATGGTACGATCGAATCGGCAGAAATCCTTAGGTTGTGTCGGTGTGGCTGAGTACAGTACATACATATGAACAGACAGAGGCTGAGACCTGAAAATTCCCGTTGCTGCCGAGTGTTGGAAACAAAGCTGCCGAGTGTTGGAAACAAAGCTGCCGAGTGTTGGAAACAAAGCTGCCGAGTGTTGGAAACAAAGCTGCCGAGTGTTGGAAACAAAGCTGCCAAGCGAGGCTGGGTTTAGTGGCCGCGGCCGCGGCATTTCAAAATCCCCTGCCCCTCTTCAACGTTAGGTCCAACGGTGGCCACGTACTGTAGATAAAGCACCCCGGGATATATCATTGCAAGTGAGGTGAGCCAACATCGCTGTTTCATCACACATCTCGTTGTTATTAAGTGAGCGACCTAGGCAGGCGGGATGCAGACGGAAACGGCACCTGACGCGTGCACAGTCTCGGACAGATTGTGGTAACCGAGCATCCGGTACAGTATCGTGGACGCACCGGATGGTACGGAGGTTGGGGCCAAAAGTCTTTGGACTGCCAGCATACGTGGGTCCGCCCATCGCACAGTGCACACAGTATATATGTCCGCCCAGGGAACTCGGCCGCTTCAGCGACTTCTCGGGCACTAGAGCCTTGGCTCAGCGTACCAGTGCACTAGCTCACAATGCTTACTCAGCAACCAGGGCCCTCAATGAAATACAGTGCGACCCGGCCAGAAATTTGCATTTCGTACGTTGAGCCAAAATGCGCTAACATTCCACTCCAAAGACTTTTGGCCCCAACCTCCGTACTACACAACTAGACGAAGTATGCGTCGGCGCAATTGCAAGATGAGGTGAATAGAAGGAGTGGGAAATGCTCGAAATGCTCGAACTTAACGTACGTCGGTTTTTAATCCTCTAGCCAATCGGTAACTCTCATCCCACCACACTGGTGCCAAGGCGGACCCCCGCTCCAGGATTTCGAGCAAAGTACCGAGCAGGAAAGAAGCATACTTGTACTTGTACATTTCGAGAGATTAACAGCCCGTAGGTAAGATAAGGTGCACACGTACCTCCGTACGCTGCGATTGTCTCACAAGCCCTACCTAAACGCTGGACCGGCATCTCATCTGTTGGTGTTTAGGCGGCTTCCAGTTCAGTTCGGTAAGATAATCAATCAATGCGTCCGGCCACTTGGAAGCTCCATAAAGTGAGCCCGCGGGAGGGCCCTCGCCGCGATGTACGAGGCTAACTAGTCTCAGCTAGTGTAGTCATTAAAGTGGGGCACAAACGGTGGGGAAGGTAACACTTTAGCGCATCCCGCCCTGACCGTTCCTGAGTCCTGGCCCCTCCCGGCAATTACCCGGTCCACAGGAATCGACCCGTCGTCAACACGTGCAAGAGTTCTGGCTCCCATTCTCGACAGGTTGCTCTTGCAAATGCTTCTCTCCATCCTGAACATGCCGAGCGCGAAGGTGAAGACGGAACCGAGATGGTCGAAATGCTACCATCTGCCAGCCAACGCATATCAATCTGCTAACGGGCCAAACATGCGGCGAACACAACCCCGATCACCGATGTGCAAGACCTAGGCCATGGACTTGCTATTTTAAACCAAAGGCCTAGGTCTAACGCTCCCGGCTCGCTCCTAAGCGTGTTCAGTCTTGACCTGCCTTCTTTCTCGCCAACGTCAGCTGGCAGCTTCCATCATCGGTGTAGGCGAAAAAGAAACTCGCGACGCAGCGTCTGCATTGCCCCGATGCTCAAACAAGCAATGACTGCATCGCACGTGTTAGCAGTCGCGGCCCTGACCGCTACCGTCCTTGGTCTTCCGCCGCTTCACCAGCCCTTCAAAAAGCCGCAGCTCTGGCTGTCCAGGGCCCAAAGTGGCATCGGTCCGCTCAAATTCCAGTCCGACGGCACCTTTCAGATATGCATCTTTGAGGACCTCCACTTTGGAGAGAGTACATCTCCCTCGCCTTGGGCAATCAAGTCTACACACGCTAACAAATTTCCTCCTGCCTCATTGTCAAGACGCTTGGGATAACTGGGGCCCGCGACAGGACATCCACTCCGTCAAGGTCATCGAAAAGATCCTCGATGTCGAGCCTCGTGCCGGTCTCGTCGTCCTCAACGGCGATCTCATCACAGGCGAAAACACATTCTTAGAGAACAGCACGCATTACATCGACCAGATGGTCTCTCCTATGGTCCAGCGAGGGCTGACCTGGGCGTCAGCGTATGGCAATCACGACAGCGACTACAACATCTCGACCTCACATATTCTGGCGAGGGAAAAGCAGTGGCCGAACTCCCGTACCGAGAAGATGGTGTCTGATCCTGATGCAGGCGTCTCGAACTACTACTTGCCCGTGTACGCAGCCGACTGCACCTCGGAAGCCGAATGCGAGCCCAAACTCCTGCTTTGGTTTTTCGACAGCCGCGGCGGCTTCCACTATCAGCGCACAGACCCGGCAACCGGTAACCGCGTTGGGAAGCCGAACTGGGTAGACTCTCGCGTGGTAGACTGGTTCAAACGGACGAATGCGGACCTGGTAGCCGCCGCGGGCAAAGTCATTCCATCGCTCGGCTTTGTGCACATACCCACGAATGCGTCCCTGGCGTTGCAGAACAAGGGTGTCGACCCGTATCGCCAGCCCGGCATCAACGACGACCGGCCCCTCGCACAACAGGCTCAGGGCTGGTGTGCTGACGGCACCAACGATGGGAGCTGTTCGTACGGCGGACAAGACGTTCCATTTATGCAAGCCATCACCTCCACCCCAGGGTTCATGGCGTTATTCTCCGGGCACGACCATGGCAACACGTGGTGCTATAAATGGAATGACCAGCTCCCCGGAATGAGTGTCGAGGGCAACGGCGTCAATCTCTGTTTCGGACAACACTCGGGCTATGGTGGCTACGGCAGCTGGATTCGCGGCGCACGCCAAGTGGTTGCGTCATTACAAAGTCTCCAAGACTTTGTTGTCGACACATATATCCGTCTCGAATCAGGGGAATCGGTTGGTGCCGTCACACTCAACGCGACATATGGTCAGGACTTGTATCCCAAGACGCCCAACGACAAGACGAGATGCCCGGACTGCTAGAAGTGAGTTGCGGGCACTCATCAAGTACGCAACCGACGAGTAGGTGACAAGACGCCATCTAGTGTAGGCTGCAAGGAAGGTAGCGATTGGTCGCACCCCCGGGATGCCTCGTAGAAATCAAGTACCCCTTGTTTACCCTTGCACATCACAACGATCAATGATCGTAGGACCTATACGTCCATCTCAAGAAGCCTCTCCCGCTAGATTTCGCATGCTCCTGCGCTTCTTTGACTGTTTCTTCAATCGGGAGATGTCTCGGTCTGCCTGACACCTTCAGGCTTCCGGCAGATCGTCCTAGGTAGCCGGTGCAGAGTTATCACAAGCTGTACATATGGTTTTCAACCATGAAGGGTTCTAGCGTTCTGAAAAGCTCTGGAAATGCTTTTGTCCTTCGGACACCGGCTTCGCCAACATGGTTATTTAATTTCAAGGACAAATGACAGAGCTCACCGCTTGATTGTTTGTGAGCTTCCCCGCAAACTCCAGAGCTTGGGCGAGGTTGGTGGAAACCGCCGCAACGCTGGGGTTGTCACATTCTTCAAGTTGACATAGAGGCTAGAGGTTTCCGGTTTGCTCAAATACCTAGGCAGGGTCACAGGGCGTTGTTCATCGTAGTACTCTGCTCAATGCGGGCTTGCAGGTACCCAGGCAGAGTGATCCCAAGATATCCGCAATAGATCAGTTACAACAAGGTAATTAATTATCGTTTGGCCGGAAACTTGAAGCCACAAAGTACAGCAATCAGGAGTTCCTGCACCAAGTCAAGGAGGGAAGCAGGACGGTGGGAGATCCTAGACATGTCAAAGTCTATGCTTGTGCTGCTGGTTTTCTCCACAGTCCATTTCGAAATCTGATGGCAAACGATCAAGTCACGGCTCCTGTTTACTGGTGATCCAAGTTGTGTCCTTTGCCTCCCCACGAGTGTTTACAAACTGTCAGATACATAATGTAAACAGCACGGAGGTGGTATTAAGGACAAGCCTGCTGCATCCTTGCGTGATGAGTCTGATGGCTTCCATTTGGCCTTTGCAGTGAATCCTGGGCCATATCAATATGCAACCCTAACCCTACTTAGTATGGCAGTTGCCGGAATTTCCGAACGCTTCAGAACGGGTACTTCAAACCGTAATTCCGTAGTTCCTTAACCTCGTATTCAGCACGGGTTTTCAGCTAATCGAAGCTCACTCTAACCCTCTGCTGTTCTTGCCGAATGTCCATTCGATCTGTGAGATATGCCACCCGCACACAACCGTACCTCGGCATCCTTGACGGGTGGTACTCGGTAAGCTAGCTTTGAGCTTGATTTGATAGGCTCGAAGCTTGATTCGAAGGTGGATCCCCAGCAATAGCGCCGGTTGGACTTGTCAGACTTGGCAGGAGTCAGGTCCCACGGTTGATAAGCAGAGGCTGGAGCCGCAGCAATGCAACTGCCGCATGCCGTGTTGGTCCGGGTCTTCCTGGAACGCCTTGCTAAAACGGGCAGTTGCCAGTGGTCGATGATGATCCTCATTCCTGTCTTGGCATGATTCCGTGGGAATTGGACGGGATTGAAGTTTACCGACCGTGGTTCGGTAACTTCGGTTCTCTATTGATGGGCCTCTCATGCGAAGAGCGAAAGAGGCGAGGATTCCGGGATATTGAGGTTGTTGTGACGGTTGCACAGGTGCGCATCATGGCTTGTATAAATTTGATGTCGACGGACGGTCCGTCGTACCTGCCCGCCCTGCCACTCTTCGACTTGTTCGGATTGCCTGCCTGCTCTCGACTTCCCAGCCGATAGGGAAAGCAAGAGATGAAGACAACACTCCTTCTCGCCGCTCTGTCGGGCCTGGTGCAATGCAGGGAAACCGTCGTCGAGTCCATTGCCTCGCTCCCACTCGGCTGGAAGAAGGTCCGCGATGCCGACCCGTCCACCCAGCTGAAGCTGCGTATCGCCCTTGAACAGCCCAACACGGCTGTTTTCGAGCAGAAGCTCTACGACGTCTCGAATCCGGAGCATCCCCTGTACGGCCGACATCTCGAGCGCGAAGAACTCGCGCAGCTTCTGGCCCCCAGGGACGAGTCTACATCTGCCGTCCTGAACTGGCTCCGCGAAGCTGGTGTGCCAGGCTCCAAGGTTGAGAATGATGGAGACTGGATTAACTTCCAGGTTTCTGTTAGCAAGGCCGAGGAGATGTTGGGCGCCAAATTCGGCGTTTACAGATACCTGGACTCCGGAGTCGATCAAGTTCGTGCCCTGGCGTACTCAGTGCCGGAGGAGGTCAAGGAACACATCACCTTCATTGCCCCCATCATCCGGTTCGGTCAGCCCAAGGCGCAACGTAGCCAGGTTTTTGAGGTGGTGGACGCTCAGAACGCCGCGTTAACGGCCGCAAAAATTCCACCGCAGACCCTGAATGTGACAGCTTGCAATGCCACCATTACGCCTGAGTGTCTGAGGGCACTATACAGGGTTGGCAGCTATCAGGCTGATCCCAGCAAGCGGAGTCTGTTTGGCGTGGCTGGCTATTTAGAGGCAAGTTTACTCTGGATTACTCTTGACACATGTCAGCGCTTCCCTAACACGATCCTCAGGAGTATGCCAAATACGACCAACTCGAGCTCTTCGAGTCTGTCTACGCCCCTTACGCCTCTGGTGCCAACTTCTCTGTCGTCCAGATCAACGGCGGCGGCAACAACCAAACTGACACAGTCGATGACGACGTTGAAGCCAATCTCGACATCCAATACGCCGTGTCCATGTCCTACAAGACCCCCATAGTGTACTACAGCACTGGTGGCCGCGGCCCGCTCGTGCCTGACCTGGATCAGCCCATCGCAAACGAGTCTTCCAACGAGCCGTACCTCGAGTTCCTGACCTACCTCCTCAAGCAGCCAAACTCGGCTCTTCCCCAAACCCTGACTACTTCGTACGGTGAAGACGAGCAGTCTGTTCCTCGCTCTTACGCCGAGAAGGTCTGCCAAATGTTCGGCCAGCTGGGTGCCCGCGGCGTCTCCGTCATCTTTTCTTCAGGCGACACCGGCCCGGGATCTGCATGCCAGACTAACGACGGCAAGAACACGACTCGCTTCCTCCCTATTTTCCCAGGCGCCTGCCCTTATGTCACCTCGGTCGGAGCAACGCGCTACGTGGAGCCGGAAGCTGCCGTGTCCTTCTCCTCTGGCGGCTTCTCCGATATTTTCCCCCGCCCCGTGTACCAAGCCCTTGCGGTATCAGGATACCTGAAACAGCTCGGCAAGCGCTGGAATGGACTGTACAACCCGAATGGCCGCGGCTTCCCGGACGTTGCGGCTCAGGGCGTGCGCTATCACGTCTTCGACTACGACAAGGACATTCTGGTGTCTGGAACAAGTGCGAGCGCCCCCATGTTTGCGGCGCTGGTAAGCTTGCTCAACAATGCGCGGTTGGCCAAGAACCTGCCACCAATGGGGTTCCTAAATCCCTGGCTGTACACTGTTGGCTGGGCTGGTCTTACGGATATCGTCCAGGGTGGAAGCTCGGGTTGCACGGGGAGGGATATTTACAGCGGGCTGCCGGCTCCATACGTGCCGTATGCGGGCTGGAATGCTACGCCGGGTTGGGACCCGGTCACCGGCTTGGGCACTCCGTTGTTCGATAAGCTGTTAGATTTGAGCACTCCGGGCTGGTGGTTGCCCAAGATTGGTGGCCACTAGATGATGGGAGGTTTCTTGTCTTGGATAATTGGGTAAAAAGATATGAAACGTGTATCTTGAGCGCATCTGCATATTGGACTCACTTGGTCTCAGTTCACGTATACTCATCTAGTTGCCGCTTTTGTGTCTGCCAACATGGTGGGCAGGTTCTGCTAACTCTCCGTTTTGTGCGTTGGGGTCACTGCTGCAGCCCCCGACTCCCCGAGTTGACACCAACGATATCAGCTTGTCTCAGCATAGTAGTATTGGTTCACCAACAACCGTTGGTTCACGACTCCCGAACATTCCAGGCATATTGGCATGCGACTGTCTGGCTCAGCCCACCCCTTGACCGGCTGCGTGGCAACATTTGGAAGGTTGCCTCTTTCTCCGACTCATATCGCAACCCATTTCGCCTTCAGAAAGTTCATCCATCAGCCTGGAGGTCGGCTGAGGTAACAGAAAGCCAACCTCGTCTCACGCCCAACGGTATGGACTGCAACCAGGATTCCAGCTCAGAGTTGCGGAAGCCTAAGGGAACTTAAAGTTTCGCTCTGCAGGCTCAACATTTTTGGTACGCTCTGAGCTTGGGAACTTGCCTCAACAGGGGTGGCTTGACCGGAGCCGCGACTTAGCCCTTGAGGATTACGAAGAATCAGCCCACAGGTATCATTTCCTGCATATAGACGACAACCCAAGTCTCAATCACAATAGGTACCTGGCTTCAAGTTTGGCGATGACGACCTGTACTAGGTACTACAGTACGCGGAGCAGGCTGCCGTTTCAGCCGCCATCAATGTCAGACCTCGCCCTGCTAGCCTCTGCTGCCGCAGAACCCGGAGGCGGAGATGGTTCCCGACAGTGTGTTTCTGGTTCTAGGATTGCGAGAATTAGCAACCGGGCAGCGGGGGGCGCGTTGTAACGTCAGTCGACCTTGATACCGGGTTCGGCCCTGAGGGGATAAATTAAGGGCCCCTGGCTACGGTCCGACGCGCCCGGCTCTTAACCTATTCGGGCACCATGGAAGCAGCACCCGCGCCGAGTTTCCAGATCCAGCATCGCGGAGGCTCTATGCCTCGCTCAGGGATGTGGATCTCATCCGACCAAGACAAAGCTTAGCTTGCTTAGCTTCACCGGCCAGGCGATCGCATAAATACTTCCTCAGCCTGACACCCGTCATGCATTCTTGGCTGTCGATTTGGCCATCCGATCACCTGCAAGTTCAAAGCATCCTTGACAGACACCTGTAGCCACGATGTTTCGCCAAGCTGCTCTCGCCCTCGCGTTTCTTAGCCTTTCGTCGGCCCAAGTCTCCAATGACTTCGAAAGCGGATGGGACCAGACAGCCTGGCCGATCTATGCGCCTGACTGCAGCCAGGGTGGCAAGGTGACGCTCGACAGCACGACGGCCCACAGCGGCAAGAACTCGATCAGGGTTGACGGTGCTGGTGGTTACTGCGGGCACATCTTCTTTGGCACCACCAAGGTGCCCAGCAGCGGCGGGTTCTACGTCAGGGCCTATGTCAAAGCGTCCAAGGCGCTCACCTCGTCGCACGTCACCTTCATCACCATGCCGGACCCTGCCCAGGGCACCAACAAGCATCTCCGCATCGGCGGGCAGAACCAGATCCTCATGTACAACCGCGAGTCGGACGATGCCACGCTCCCGGATCTCTCCCCGCAGGGCGTCTCCTCCTCAGCCGCCTTGCCGACGGGGAGCTGGGAGTGCTTCGAGTACCACGTCGGCGGAGACGGCACCATCGAGACGTGGCTGAACGGGCAGGCCATTGCGGGTTTGACGGCCGGGCCGGGCATCTCCAACCCCAACGCGGCCCAGTGGACGCGCAGCTCCATCGTCCCCAAGCCCTCGGCGGTCTACTTTGGCTGGGAGTCGTACGGCGGCGACGCCAACACCTTCTGGTACGACGACATCGTTATCAGCTCGACCCGTGTTGGCTGCTCCGGTACTGGACCTGGCGGCGGTACGAGCACTGCGACACCTTCGGGCCCGTCGACGACTTTCACGACGTCCACCACCCGCACCAGCACTGCGCCCGCCACCACGAGCTCTACCAGCAGCTGCACGGCTGCGCAGTGGGCGCAATGTGCAGGCATTGGCGTACGTATCCATTTTTCTTAGTGTCGAAACTTCGCTCTGGAACCGAGACATGCTGATCACGGGGTGCTGATACTCAATCAATAGTACAATGGTTGTACGACGTGTGCCTCGCCTTACACTTGCAAGTACATCAATGACTGGTACTCGCAGTGTCTCTGAGATGCATCAAGGGCGGGGGGTTGGTGGATGAGATCATGATAAACTCGGCCTCTGTACATATGCCTTTCTCTTCTTGTTGATACTTGATGCATGCTCAGTCATGAGCCACGGTACAGCCCGTGAAAGTAAATGGAACATACCTAGGTAACCCTACCTAAGGTACCTTTAGCACTCCAGATGTCTTTCTCGTTGCCGAGGCCCGAAGTATTGCAGATAGATTCTCAGGCAATCGGGCACTGAAAGGGTCAGGCTAAGAGTGTGAACTGAAGCGAATTCAACAACCCTACCTAACTAGTGATAACCCCTTTGGGCCGATATCGCCCCGACGAATTCCAAAGCAACTGCCCAACCAACACGAACATGATCCCAACCCTCAAACGTTAGGTACAAGTACATCCGTTTGTACTGTACTCCAAGTACCTTCACCGCGAGACCACTGCTACTTAACTCAAGCTTAACGCATTCCTGCTAAATCCAAAAGATCCAACACTACGATCTTCACAACTTTCGACCTCGGTTTCATGAAATGGAGGGCAAAGGCCTCCTCAAAGTCCTCCTGGTGGGAAAGGGAGCACGAGAACACAGCCTGGCGTGGAAATTGGCGCAGAGTTCATCGGTTGCTCATGTTTATGTTGTCCCCGGGAATGGCGGGACCGGCAGTCTCGACAAAGTCTCGAACATCCGCTCGGTGGAGGCCTGGCCACAGACTACACAGGCCTGGTGGCTCTCGCAAAAGAGCTCGGGGTCGGGCTTGTGGTGGCTGGGCCCGACGATGCTGTCGTGGATGGAATTGAGGGGTATTTCAGAAACAGTAAGCGCTTCTTTCTACAGTTAGTACAGTACTCGTCCGTCCAGGTCACTACCAGTCAGATATGTATATTGATCCGGCTGCAGCCGGAATCCCTTGTTTTGCCCCCTCAAAGGAGGCGGCCGAAATCGAGGGATCCAAAGCCTTGGCAAAGCGCTTCATGCAAAAGTACAAGATTCCCACGGCCAGCTACCAGTCATTTGACAGCTATGACGCGGCTCAACAGTATCTCAATACAGTTGATGCAACCAGGGTGGTCATCAAGGCCGACGGCCTTGCTGCGGGCAAGGGCGTGATTCTGCCCACAACCCAAGCCGAAGCTAAAAGCGCTCTTCGGGAAATCATGATTGATGCCAAGTTTGGCCCGGCTGCCGGGCGATCAGTTGTTATTGAAGAGTATCTCGAAGGGGACGAAATCAGCGTCTTGACCTTTACTGACGGGAAGACGTTCAAGTCGCTGCCACCGGGCCAGGACCACAAGCGCATCTTTGACGGCAACAAGGGACCAAACACGGGAGGAATGGGCGTGTACGCACCGCTGCCTTTTGTGTCGCCCGAGGTGATGCAGGAGATTGAGAGAGTTATCATCCGGCCTACTCTCGACGGACTCAGGGCTGAAGGTGCGATCGAGTCTTAATTTCCATCTCTTCCAGGTGCAGTAGAAGTATGGTACTGACAAGAAAGGTTATATGTAGGTCGGCAGTTCACTGGGATGCTATTCACCGGTATCATGTTGACGGCAAAGGGCCCAAAGGTGCTCGAGTACAACGCAAGGTTCGGGGATCCCGAGACCCAAACCATGATGATGCTTCTGGCGCCCGAGTGCGATCTCGCTGCACTACTCCTCGCTTGCTGCACGGGGAAGCTTGATATCATGTCTCTCCCCATCCTCCCTGGATTCGCCTGCAATGTCGTGGTTGCTGCGGGCGGCTACCCAGGGTCGTATCGAAAGGGAGACATTATTTCTCTGGCACCGCACCCCGCCGGTTAGTCTGGAATCATCCCACATTCCTGTCTCTTTCTAGGTGTTGATACTTGGGTAGTTTTTTGATCATGCAGTGATATACTCTAACAATCGCCACAGGAGTCCAAGTCTTCCATGCCGGGACGGAGAGAAACAGCGATGGAGAGCTCAGAACAGCTGGTGGCCGCGTACTCAGTGTCGCGGCGTATGGATCCAGTCTCGAGGAAGCTGTCTCACTGGCATACAGAGGGGTTGAAAGTGTCCAGTTCGAGGGCATGTTCTACAGGAGGGATATTGCTTCACGGTATGAGCCCATTTACTACTGAGAGTACCCTTAATGAGACGACTTCCGACTTACTACTAACAGCGGTTCGATGGAACAAAGAGTCCTCCAACGGTCTTCGGCCTGAAGCTTCCGCTAATCCATTCATCGTTGAGATGCACCTTTGTTAGTTTGTTAGGTACTAGCACACTTGTTTTAGCTCCGTGTATGCGTCAGTTCAACTAGACAGGAAAAATCCTGTGGAAAGGCAGAGTTGTCAATTGTCGACTTACAAGCAGCTTGATCTGCAGCATAAGGCGTTTATTCAGCGCCAATTGTTTGTAAAACAGTAAAGGAGACAAAGGAGTAAGCTAGCATTCTTTCTTGCCTTAAAAGTATAAAAAGACATCTCTCCTCACGTCCTCGAGTTCGTGTGTTTTTCATGTCAATGGCAGACACCAACGATGGGGGTGTCGTGCAGCGACAGAAGAACGCAGAACTGCGTGCGACGAGCAAGAAGGTGAGAGACATCTCAGCTCTCCTCAATGTCCTCGAGCTCATGCACGTAGTCAAGCCCAGTGCTATGGGAAGGGAGAGTTGGCTCACTCCTTGCTGGTTGCGCACAGTTCTGCGTTCTTCTGCCGCTGTACGACTCCGCCATCGTTGGTGTCTGCCATTTTTAGGTTTATACTAACATGAAGATCCGTGTATGGTTCTTCTTTAACTGAACCCTCTGTTTATCGTATAAGTTTGGGGATTAGTATGTTAGGTACTATGTTTGGTCCAGGATGTGGACTATATCAACATTGCTCCTTCGCCTATGCGACTAGGGACTGTTACTAACATAAAGCTCATGCACATGTAGCCAACATCCCAAGTCACAACGGAACTTATAGATAAGGTTGCTTCAGTTTCCCCATCTCTATCACCTTCAGTACCAGACTACTAGTACTGGCTGAAATGTGATACAGTAGGCCGAAGCACTGGTAAGTGACATGCTGTTTACTTCTTAAATGGGGTGAAAACAAGCAGATATCTGATGTAGTCTGGCTGATACTACTACCCACTAGGCAGTGTAGTATTGAAGGTCTGAGTTACCTTGTAAATGGTGACTGGAACTACGAATATGCCAGGTAGGTAGGGAGCCATGCATTGTAAATACAAAGACGCTGTACAAAAACATATAGGGCACACAAGGTAACACGATTCCACTTTCATGTTGTTTCAGCAAAGACTATGTTAGGTGTTCTCCCAGGAAACAAGGGAAGAATAAGAGCCATGGGATCTCATATAAAAGCAGGCATATACTTAACACGTTACAGGTTATCAGTACTAGAATACCAACTCCGACTCGGCTCTAGGACACTACTAACCACCTCAGACATACCCTACAATAAGGCCTACATACCTTCCCTAGCACCCAAGGTAAACATCAAGGGATCCGGCTGCCCCCTGGCGGGGCCCGACGGACAGCATGTGCATCCTCGAAGCGATCTACTTCGTCTGCAGCTGCCCTCTTCGAGACACGCACCGGTGCCCGCACCACATCTTCGTCCGCACCTACTCCGACTGTCCCCATGATCTCGGCGGTATTGAGCCTTCGCCAACGGGTTTCTACTTGCGGCGCCCCGTGGAGGTCCAGCGCAAGAGCCAGTGGGAGCCCCTGAGTTCTTGCAAGGTATGGCATCACTGTGACGTATACAAGGCAAGCCACACCCGGGCCGACGGCTCCTTGCCGGTGGGCTGCGGGCTGGAGCTTGAGTGTCCCCAGACAACCATCGCGCTGGACGGAAATCCCTTCGCCACGATCACCTACGAGGCGGGACAATGTGAGCAATGCATCAAAGGGCATCGATGGTCGCCCGAGCCAGTGACTCCCACCCTGTTTGTGCTGGAGTCGGAGTGCGGGGGGCGGATTCTTCTAAATCCGGATTATGATGATGAAAGCGGTTCGCCCTCTTCTAGCAGGTCAGGCTGGAGCAGCAGGAGCTTCTTCAAGTTGTCTAGACTCTCTAGTCTATCGTCGAGGAGCAGCCTCAGGAGCTTCCGTCGGTCCCGGGACAAGGGAGACGTGATGGAGAAGCAGTCTCCACCTGGGGCTGAGCGTGAAACCGCAGACGTGCTGAAAGGCATCCGCCGGTGGTGTTCAGGTAAGTCTTGGAGCTCTGGACAACGTGGGGTTGGGACAGTAACTCAGCAGCGCGGCGATAGCCAACCTCTGCTATTGCCCGTGCCATACTGAACGAGACTCAGGGAGGGAAAGATAGATTGTCATGCTCTTTGGCGTTTGGGGGTGAATGACTCGGAACTTGATGGATACCCAGGACATTGTGGTTGGCTAAAGAAACTTAACCAGAGTACGCAAGTCCTACACAAGAGTGATAGCGGTCTTTTGGAATACAGTATTGGATACCTGTAAATAAGGACCTACGGAGCATGGGAGGACACGTCGGAAAAGGGTTATATCAAGTGCCATTCTGAATAAGCCAGTAAGGGCCAGATTAGTACTTACGTCTGTTGACGACGAGCGAATCCCTGGTGCTGTAGCTGGCTGTATGTCTTTATTCCTTCACCTCCTGAGAAAGTACTGTACGTCAGGTACTAAGGGTCATGACATTTTTTACAATGTGAGGGGTTTCACTGGTCGGCCAGCTTTGCTAAAGAGAAATCCAGGCCCAGCTCACCCTGGAAGGATGCAAAAAGGTAGGATTAGGAATATGTCTTGGGGGAAAAAAGATTTTAAGTTCAAAAAATGTGCGCGATCCGAGATTCGAACTCGGGTCACTCGCTATTCCAAGACTGATGGGAAGCGAGAATTCTAACCACTGAACTAACCGCGCTGGTTATTCTTTGATGCCACATCTTTGTTATGGCCTTCTATATATGATACTGGACAACCCTCAATTACGAGAATCACATCCAAGTCTCGCCGGGACGGCACAATGAAGACTCCATTGCTGTCAGCTTTGCCTCATTCAGGCTATCTACATAGGTATCAAGTGTGGCTGATTATCCATTAACTGTGTTGGGGCATCACCGTCATTGACACACCGTAAACGGATTGCTCTTCGCATCTTCCTTGTCAACGCCACGTTCTCGAGTACAATACTAACGAACCGAGGGGTCATTAATATTGTCTGAGAGACCCATGCCCTAACCTGATCATCCTATCTAGACAATGCGACAAAGAGTGAATGTAGAGTACAAGATGGCGATCCCCTTGCCATGTTGTTCCCGTACCTCCTTTCCCTCCGCAGCCAGAAATCCACTGCACTCCTCTGCCCTTTTCCGGCTCCTACCCTCCCGTCTTAGCAATACGACCAGGGACCCGAACTGACCCTGAGCCACACCAACTTGTTGAATAACCACCACCAACTCATCCACGATGCCAGCCAGCCCATCCTCCAACGGCGAACCCGACCCCTCCCTGTCAGCCGAATCCAAACGAATCGGCGACCAGTACAACTCCCTCGAGTCCCGTCTCGTCTGGGACTGGCTGTGCGGCGGCAACCGGCACTTCGGGTACTACCCGGACCCATCCACATGGTGGCCTTTCCCCCTGGGCGCAGCACATCTCCGGATGCAAGGCAAGCTGCTCGAGACACTCAACCTCCCTCCCGGAGCCCGCGTCCTCGACGTAGGCTGCGGCGACGGGCACGTGGCCATCGACCTGGCGCGACGAGGCCGGTTCAGAATCACCGCGTTTGACGTCGTCGAGCGGCACGTCGAGAACGCCCGGCGCAACGTGCAACTTGCGGGGCTCGAGCAGCAAGTCACAGTCTTGCAGCTCGATTTTGACCGCCTCGCTGAGGCCATACCGGATGCGTCGCACGACGGTATCTACACGTCCGAGACGCTGATCCACGCGGCTGATGTCCCCCGCGTGCTGGCCGAGTTCCGGCGCGTGCTCGTCCCCGGCGGCCGTGTTGTTCTGCACGAGTATCACAACGATTTCATCGGCGCCAGGATTCGCGGTTTTACCGCCGAGATTGCGCGGATGGAGCCACCGCCGTCGTCTTCGGCCTCGGGCGATGATGAGCGGAATGAGAGTGAGAACGAGAATGAGATGGCCCCGGGCCCGGCCTTTGCGCGGGCTGAGGCGTATTTCAAGAGTGCCATGGCGAAAGCCGGGTTTGAAGACGTCGTCGTGCGAAATTACTCGCCCAACATTGAGCCTATGGCCAAACTGCTCTCCGTCTCCGCCTGGTGGAGGTACATCGTCCAGTTCTTTCACCTCCAGAGAATATTCCCAAAGACTGCGGCGAGGACCGAGGGCTATGTTGGACAGGAGCACTGGGCTTATGTTTCGGTTAGCGGGACGAAGCCAAAGGCAAAGGTTGAGTGAGAGGAAGATGGCCAGCCTTACACATTAGTATCTATGATTTCCCTCGAACAATTGATGGTCTCGTCCCTGCTGCGGCAGTGTTCGCGGCAGTGTTTCCACGCAGCTGTTTGTTCAAGACTAAAATTAACTCGCTCTACACCATGATCCTAACCTGTCCTCTGTACAAGCCACAAGGCACACCCCATGACAACAACCTAGCTCTCCGAACCATGGCCGCAATCTACATGCGGTTATCATCATGTATCTATACGGCTTTGGAAAACTCAGGCGCCAATCTGTTGACGCTCCTGAATCACACACAGTTGAATGGACCCATGCCAAAAAGCAAACCATGAATGGCGCCAGGAAGAAGGAAATGGGGTATGGCTAAGTTCCAACCAACGCCAGAGAATGCAGAAAAAAGTGCAGACTGAATCAGCTGGAATCCATACTAATAGACCAGAGACATAACGAGGTCATCATCTTCCGAAACAAACAGGCCCCCTATTGTTGCCTGCCAGCTTGCTTGGCCTATTCCCAGTCAGGTTGCACTCGTCAAATGGCAGTGCAGGGAACATACCTTCATCTGCTCGATCCGGGCTTTCAATTGGCTCGTGACCTCAGCGGCTCGCTTCCAACTCTCCATGCCCGAACTGGGCACGTTGGAGCTCGCATCCGCCGTCCTGCCACCAGCGCGGCTGCCGGCCCTGCTGCCAGACCTGTCGGCGTGGCTGTCGACAGTGCGAGGTTGGCTATCGTCCGTGGCAACATCTCTCCTGTAACCCCTGGCCGGGCTGCCACGACCACTACTCGCTGCGCTGCCGGCGTACCTGAGATCCGGGGTAACTTTGCTCAGTGGGTGGGGCATCATGTTATCTCCGTTTTCCTTCTCCTCGCTGAATGTGCTGGCGAAGCTCATGCGGTTCCTATTGGCACTGGCTGGCATCCCGCCGTCACGGAAGATACCAGCGTCGTCATGGGTTGGACTCATAGTCCTGAATCCAAGGTTTGGCGAACCTGGACTGCCGGGGCCGGTACCGGCATTGAACGCCTCAGCCTTAGCTAATGCACGTTTCAACCGGTCGAGTTCGCGTCGTAACCGTTCGTTTGTCTGTTCAGCAGCCTCGGCATCGCTGCGCGCCCGAACTAATTGCGTCTCCTTGGCCTTGATCGACAGAACGTCCCTCGTGTGATCCTCAATCAAGCTCGCATTTTGGTTTTTGAGCTCCTGGATCTCCGAGTGAAGCTTGGATCGCTCATGTCGAGATTCCTCGAGCTGGCGCAAGAGGCGCTCGTTGGCGGCACGAAGCTCCTCAAGCTCAGCACGCTCCAGATGCGTGAGGCCAGATGTAGAAGTTGGCGACGGCGGCGCGGCGGGTACGGATGGCGCGGCAGGTTTGGCAAGCGAGCGGGCGGCAAGGCCACCACGGCCCAGACCTACGCGGGGAGCGGGTTTTGAGGCGACCGGTGATGTCGGTGGCTCCTCTTCTACAGAAGGCGCCGGTTCTGGTGCGGGTCGCCGCGGGGACGATAAGCCAGGGGCGGCGAGGTTGCGCTTTTGAGGAGCTTTGAGTCCACCCAAGCCAGGTTTAGGTACACCGAGCTTGCTTCCCGGGCCGGCGCGGGGAGGCTGGGCCTGGGTAGGGGCAGGGGCCGGGGCGGGCTCTGTGGGAGATGCGGGAGCAGCAGCCGCAGGCTTCTTGACTCCTGCAGGTGCTTTCTTCATGCCTCCGCCCATAACCTTTTTGGGAGGGGGTGCACGGGCCGCGGGCGGCGGCGGTTTGGGTTTGTCCTTGGCCTTGACCTCGGCTGTCTCAAAGAACTCCTTGACTTTTGCCTTCCGGATGTCGTCCAAACCCTCGAGGTGAGCGGCCATGGCCCGCTCGCCAATGATCTTCATAATGGTGCCCAGTATTTCGGCGCCTCCCGAGCGAAGGGCCTCGCTTGACTCTGAAAGCAGCTTTTTTGCGGACTCAACCATCCCGGCGATCTCCGGTTTGCTGGGAACATCTCTTGTCGTTCGCAGGCACCTGACAAGAAACTTCATGGTGCCTTCCTTGACTTGGGGGTTTTTGTGGACAAGGAACGCCGTGATGTCCTCGAGGCACTCGCTCAGATCGGTTGACAAAAACACGGCATCCAAGGCGGCGCCAAGAGCATCAGCCACCGTCTGCTTCTTCTCCTTTAGTCGCTCTAAGATCGGCTGCATCACGATGCTGCGGTACTTGGCGTAGCCTTTTCGCAGGCCCTTGGCAAGCATCTCAATGCATTGGGCTGCCTGGGTTACGACCGCGATGTTGGCATCCTTCATGCACTTGGCCAGGCTGCGATTGATCTCGCCGAAATCCGCGTCCTTGATACGGGGTACGTTGACGAGCGCGTAGAGAGCTTCCAATGCCTCCTTCCTCTCTTTCCATTTGGACGAGCCCAAGTTGTCGTAGAAATCCTTGGGAATCTTGCCCACAACGTCTTGTGGCTCAGCCAGATCAAACGCATCGATCTCTCCCGGTTCCTCAGCGTCCCCTTCGCCGTCATCATAGGCGCCCTCCCCGTCGCCCGCGGCTGGTGCACGCTCCTGTGCCTCTTGCTGTGACCTTAACAGGCGCTCTTGTTTGGGAGGTCCTTCTGCCTTGACCTTCTCAAACTGAGCCTCGAGGTCGTTCTGCTGCGTCGGCTTAAGGTCGTTCCAAAACATTGGCTTCATCGCCTCGCGAAGCCATCGGTAAAACTCAACAGCCAAGTTTGTTGCTTCTGCTCTGACATTCTTGTCTGCATGGCCGAACACCTTTGGCAAGATTTTGAGTACCGGCTTCGGATCCGCCGTCTTGCAGCCATAGTTGTGGTAGATTTGCGTCAAGGCTGCGAGGGATGCCGCGACCACTTTGGGCTGCTTGTTGGAGAGCGCCGGTAAAATGTCTTCGATTACAGGGCCGGGCACATCGACCTCGACAAAGAGAAGCAAAGCCTCGACAGCTGACGCTTTCGTTGCCGCTCTGGTAGACGACAGGCATTTCTCAACTATCGGTGTTACTGCTTGTTGCCGAGCTCGAACCGCGCCGTCGCGACCGCCGAACTTTAGGAAGGCGCAAAGCGCAGCAAGGCCTTCCTGTTGTGCGGCGACGTTGGAATCTGCAGCCGCTGCTTTCCACAAACTGGGGTCTTGAGTGAAGGGCCGGAAGGCCGGGTCGTATTCATCGGGAGTCTTTTCGAAGATTTTTGCCGCCTCTTCATACGCCTGCTTTCGTACCTTCCATACCTAGAGAACACCGACTGTAAGCGTTTGTCGACGGGGAATGGGGAAGCGATGGGAGAGTCGAACCTTGTGCACCCAGCGATCCGTCAAAGGCAACGAGCTATAATCCTCTTCCTCGGCCATGATGGGCTGAAATCTGCAGTATAGGCAGCGGAGGTCAAGCGAAACGGCTTCAGGCGAATGCTGCTGTTGTCGTTGTGGGCTGGCTGTGCCGATTTGCGATCTTGGATTTTTCTGGCCTAAAGTTCCCAGCCGACACATTAATCTCTGCAACCACCAGCGCTTCCCGTTGCCACTCATATCGGCGAATCGATGCTCATGAAGGACTCGTGAGAGGTGCACGGCATTGTTTCAGGCTCGAGTCCTTGGGAGGGAGAAGAGAGGGCACATACGGTGATGTCAAGCACAGAGCGAAAAAGTGTGTGCTACTAGTAATCGTCGAGTGCGATGCCGAGCTTTTTCTTTATGCTTCCGCGCAAGGGCGACTTTGGGCTGTGCTTTGTCGTCAAACGGTATTCAAAAAGTTCGTAGCGGCTTGCTGTCGATGTTTTTGTTGTGGCTTGAGATTTCTCTTTTGGCGAGCAGAGAGGCGGCAGAAAGATGGTGTGTTCGGGGCGGCCCTGGCAGAGTGGGACAAGTGCCGTCGTCAACGCTCAACACCGCGGGGAGATAAAGTAACTACAGTAGGTATCAGTTACTCCGGTCAGCAGAATGTTCGTGAAAGCACCGTCTGAAGAAAGCACGGCTTCACCAGTCAATGCGGGATTTGCGATTGCCCTTTGAAGGGAGTGTTTACAGTCCAACAAAATTCGCTGCGATGTTTGTCGGCGTCCCGTTCCCCTGCAGTCGCTGCGGGGACCCTGGGAGTCCACAGTACAAAACCCGATTTGGGTTGTTGACATGCGCCAGGGCTGGGATTGGTCTGTGCGGCCATTTCTGGAGAAACACAGAAGGCCAGCCACGTGTGATGTCACTTCATCCCCTGCATTTTGCGACCGGCAGACCCGCAATGACAGCCGCTGCCGACCAGCTCAGGACCGCGAGAGATCTGCAGCGACAACATGAAGGGGAACTCCCACCGCGATAATTCCCTAACTTTGGAAGTGGCTTGAGTTTCAAGTGTTCCATCGTCGGCCCCGCTACAGTATACACCACCAAGATATTATATGACGGCCCAGTTATACGGACGATGAATCTCTGCTCATTGTGATCGCGCGACTTTCCGAACGCTGTTTTGGTACCCTTTGTCTGTCGTCAAATGCTCCACTTTTGCGACCCCTCCGCATCCCCATTTGTGTTGTCCTGGATAGATACGAAAACCGCGGCATCGCCTGAGCTTCTGTGCTGTTGACCACGCAGCTAGCTGCCGAGGACCTGCCATTGGAAAACTCCGGTCTCCGGGCTATGCACCCTTTGGACTACCCATTTCAATATCGAATCGTCATAACGCCAGCGCTGTCTGTATCACGAACCGACAACATCCCACGCCCCTGACCGCCCATTTGGTCCGATAGCTGTCCGAGCCGTCTCCGTTTCGCGCCCAAGGACAGGGCTTCATGATTGCCCGTGAGACTCCACGATGTCGCAGATATTAACATCGAGGCAAGCCGACGAGCTGTAGGTATTGTACCCCGCATTGGAAGTTGCGAAAGCTGACAGCTGCTCGAGACACCGCGCCCTTATCGCCTACCTAACGGCCAGCAACCTCACCAACACGGCTGCTGCTTTGCGAGCAGAGCTAGGCCTTGGGGAAGATGTCTTTGATTCTGCCACAGCGAAGAAATACGAGGGCCTTCTGGAGAAGAAATGGACAAGCGTCGTCCGGTTACAGAAGAAGGTCAACACACCCCTCGATTCCGAGGTGCTGCGCTCATGGCATGATCTGACCTGTGTTCTCTAGATTATGGATCTTGAGGCGCGCAACAACATGCTCCAGTCGGAGCTCGATAACGCGACACCAACCTCCCGTCAGAACAAGGATCCAGTCTCTTGGCTTCCCAAGTCACCCGCACGACATACTCTCCAATCCCACCGAAGCCCGATAACATGCGTCGCCTTTCATCCCGTCTTCTCATCGCTAGCTTCAGGCTCTGAAGACCAAACAATCAAGATCTGGGACTGGGAGCTTGGGGAGCTGGAGCGGACTATCAAAGGCCACACCAAAGCGGTGCTAGATGTTGACTTCGGGGGCCCCCGAGGGAATACACTCCTTGCGTCATGCAGTTCAGATCTGACAATCAAGCTATGGGATCCCTCAGACGACTACAAAAACATCCGAACCCTACCTGGGCACGACCACAGTGTCAGTGCTGTTCGATTTATTCCTTCTGGCGTGGCTGGCGGCGCCGGGAATCTTCTGGTTAGTGCGAGCCGAGACAAGACATTGAGGATATGGGACGTGAGCACCGGGTACTGTGTCAAGACGCTACGGGGACACGCCGAGTGGGTGCGCGATGTTTGCCCATCTGTCGACGGAAGGTATATACTGTCAACAAGCGACGACTATACCGGCCGGCTGTGGGATGTTTCGGTACCCAATCCCGAACCGAAGACAAGCCTGATTGGTCACGAGCATGTCGTGCTCTGCTGCGCCATTGCGCCGGCCGCTTCCTACCCGCATCTAGCGTCCATTGCTGGCGTCAAGAAGCCGCCTGCTACCAGCGCAGTTGAGTTTATGGCGACTGGATCAAGAGATAAAACTATCCGGTTATGGGACGCGCGGGGTACCTGTATAAAAGTCCTTGTTGGTCACGACAATTGGGTACGAGGTCTCGTCTTCCACCCTGGAGGCAAGTACCTGCTCTCGGTCGCCGACGACTACACGCTCAGGTGTTGGGACCTTACACAGGAGGGGAGATGCGTCAAGACGATAGCGGACGCACACAACCATTTCGTGCAATGCATTAGATGGGCGCCGTCTGTCGTCAAGGATGTGCCTGCCGCCAACGGCACTGATGGACAAAATGGGGAGTCGAACGGGACGCCCAAAAAGCCGACTCCTGGCTCAGGGGCAGATGCACAGATCCGCTGTGTCATTGCCACGGGGAGTGTGGACCTTAATGTGAGGATATTCGCCAACTAGGTGACTGCTTCGAGCCGAGGCAACAGCAGCAGCTACTCTCAAGCCCCTGCCAGCACCACGCAAGCCGAGACAGCGATATCAGAACGGCATGGTCCACGCTGAGCCGACTCCGGGAGGCGATGCCGCCTGCGAAACGCGCAGCCGTTTGAGGAGGGTCTTGACAGGTCAGGTTAGCGCAGAAACGGTCTGATTCTCCTCTAACCGCCCATAATTCCGACTCTTGATGTAGGCTGTTTAGACACACGGGCCGTACTCCTGCAATGGTCAATAACGCTGTGTCTCTAGCTTGCATTGTCCATGGCACTATGGTACTAGTGAGTCTTTGAGGAACGATATGACAGAGTTAGATAGATACCCCAATATTGAACATTATGACTTCAAGAACTCCCTAGTCCGCCCTAGGTAACTTGTTTCCAGGATTCCTGGGCAAGCCCTGGGGGCTGAAGCGCCTTGTTATGGCACCATCTCTGGTCCAAAAGCGCATTGTTTGTACATCAGATATACGACCTGTCGCAAAATTCCTTTATGCCTGCAGAGACCAGCCCCAATGGTCAGAAAATCCACCAGAACACGGCAACCCCTTTGTCCGCACCGCAGGCGTGTACTCCATATAAACCGGTTGTCAGTCCAGACAATCCCCTAGCCATTTCACCCGTCCGAATTTCGCCCACCACTTCCTGTTACAAGGTTCCCCAAAGTGACCGCCATTGCACCCGCCTTTCGCAAGTGTACTGCAATTGTACTGGTCCCCTCAAACCAAGACAACCTACCTAGTTACCCAGCACCTAGCCATCCGATCAGATGTGCCTCTGGGTAACGGTGAACTTTTACTGCCAGGTGTGCTACGCCCGTTTCTGGCAGTCCATCACCATCCCCGTGCGGTGCGAAGACCACCGGGCGGCGAACCGCGAGTGGGGCGTCCTGGGCCACAGGCGCCAGCCGGACTGGAAGATTGTCTCCGACTACTTGAGGGCCTGTATTAACTGTGACCCGAAGGGCGACAAATACCCCCACCCGTTGGACTTTGGTGAACCGGAGCCCGAGCCTGAGCTTGGGCAGGGGCAGGGGCAGGGCCAAGGAGAAGGGCAGGGGACGGAGAGGGTGGGCGAGGGAATTGGGGCTGGAGTTGGGACTGGAGCCGGGACGGGGACTCGAATTGAGCAAGTGTATGTTGACTCAGTGATTCCCAGACCTCTGTTTATGTCAGCGGCTGCAGAAAGACGGGGTCATGGCGTGTTCCTATATCCACCTACACTACGTTTGTCAGGTAATATAGACAGGTCATGATACTACGGGCATGTACCAAAAGTATGGTCTCATTGCCAAGTAACGCCTGACAGGACTCGAAGGGATGTTATTGGGTCATCTCTACTATGGAACACCGTAGTATGAACTGAATAGGAGGAGGTTCACTGTGATTGATTCAGCCTGTCTTCAGCCGAAATTCAGGGTCTTCCAAGCAGTCAACATCCCAAGTCCCAGCCCCTTACTGCCTAGGCGAACCCCGGAGGCCATCACTCATCGATATGCCTACCTTCATTGTTGTCGTGCCTCAGGACGAGCCAACGGGCACCCACAGCCAGATGACCTGCAAATGTCCAGGGGGGACGTCCATCTGATGAGCTCCCCAGAAGAACTGCCATACAGGATGTCCCTTCTCTTCGGGCGACGGCCCGGGGGGCGCCACAGTGTCGTAGAAGCAATTGATATTGCCGTTGCAAACGAAGGGATACTTGAAGCCTTTCTGTAGTCGCGACGCACACATCAGCCGTGCTTCTTTCACATCATGATGATTCGGTAGTGGTTACTCACAATTGTGTAATAGTGCTCCCACACCGAATCATACTCGGGCGAGGGGACGTCCCAGCAAGACCAAGCATGCGAGTCACTGCCGTAATAGCTATCCTTATTGGTGGGCATGTTTGGATTCATGAAAGTGCAGTTGCCGCTGCTCGTAGAGAGCTTCACCGAGGTCCCAAAACCCCCATCAAGGCGCGTGAAGACGGCGCACTCGCTCATGGTGAGCATGCCGTGCTCGTTTAGGCATCCAATGCGGTCTGTCGGGGCGGCGGTAGATAGCGAGCTGCTGTTGAGAACGTGGATCTGTCCTTGGCCGACAAACTCGTCCGTGACGTCTTTGTCAACAACGGCGGGTAATGCCGAACTAAGGGAAGCAAGCCCGGTTGCGAGAGCGCAGATGGTTTTCCAATACATGGCTTTTGAACCTTTAGGTAAAAAGGGTGAATAGGGTGTGAATGATGGATCAAGCCTCGGGTCTAGTTGATTACAGGTACACAAACATGCAGTTGAAAACACGAATGGTGGTTCCGAGCTATATAGGACTCGCGATCCTTACTCCGCATGCTGTTGCTGTTCCCCCTTCCCATGTGATCATGGACTGCATGGTACTTTTTGATGCTACCAGAGATCGAGGTACGGAGCTTTGAGTGCCGGGGACAAACTTGAAGTCAAGCAAGGTGTCCGGGCTAAGGGCTCATGTGTCCAGTTGACGTCTCCTGCTTTTCGAGCAAAGTCTGGAGCCGTATAGTACTCCGATATTGCGTAGCTACCAGGGCTGGATTATTCTGCGAGATTCCTGCGCTTTTCATGCAACAGCGTTGTACAGATCCCCAACGTACCGTTGCATCTGTGTCTCCTGGCGGATTCTACCCGGCCACTCGGTTAAAGGTGCGGAGGGGCACAGGGTCCTTTCCTGGTTGCGTAAACATGACGGATCCTATAATGCTGCCAGTATAGGCCCTTCCCCTGGTCAGAAGCGAGGGATTGGCACGTGAAGTAGTAGATGCTGAAATGCTTGTTTTCACCTTTGGTAGGGTCGAGCTACCCAGCTAATGTTCAGGGTAATCCGCGGAACCATGGTCCATGGGGGCCAAGGCATTTATGAATGTATGGCTTACAAATGCATGACTTCAAGTGCTCTCCGACCTCTCCTGCCGAGTCAGGAAGATAACTCCAGTCGGTACCAAAGGTCAATTAGGCCAGGTATTTTACCTACCTTAAGTAGAAGGTATCTCACCATGCAGCCCGAGGCCCAACACACATGAAGTGATCTGCTGGCTGGAGGTTTGATATGGATCTGTGAAGTCCGTTCATAACAAAGCATTGAGCCACGGCATTAAGTACTACACTACATGATATTGATGATATGCTCAAGTGCTTTACTCAGAACTGAATAAGGACTCACATGTAAACATGGAGTCTCTGCGTCTTAACAGCCAAGATTAGTAGGTAATCAGCTCGGCTCAGGGGTTCAGGAGGTTTTCAAGTTGTTTAAGTCACATCATCCCGCAAGTTCGCGCACATGCACATGTATCAGACCCGGAGGTCCTCAGCGTTGTATACGGGAACTCTATCAAGAAGATTGATCTCTCTGGGACGATAGGTTGGGTTCAACGTATAGCCCTTTTCCCTCTATCATTCAGGCACAACAGCACAGTCTCGTTATTCACAATGAATCGTCTTGAATGTATCTACTTATCCAGATGTAAATGATATATCACTGTGAAATTTCTCCAATCATTGCTGACGTTGAGATGCTTGAGGCTCTGGTCGAGGACCATACGCGACCCGGGAGGCAAGATCACATAAGTAGTGAGGTTCCTACCTACTGTTGAGTAGGAAGGAGGAACCCTGGCAAAACCTGTATTTATTGGGGCACTGGGGCTTGGCTCATCTTCCCTCCTGCAACCCTCCAACAACCACCTCCGGCTACAATCAATACATATTCCCCCATTCTTTGGTGGGCTTCTTCACTACCTTACCTATCTAAGGTGAACTTACGTCCACTTTATACTACTAGGCACTACTAGTACATGTTTCCCACGATGGCATGGCTTCTTCAAAGGCCGTATTCGTGGGTGTTTTAACTTATTTATGTGACTTCAAGTTCAAGGTTGCGACGCTTTGACAGCTTACATTCCTAATAAGGTAATTCACAACCTAATTCGCGAAGGGCGAGGCTAGAACGGGTGTATGAACATACCTAAGTAAGCTTTGGTAGCTTAGAAACGATACTTATACACAGTAATATCTGGAATCTTGAATTGCAGTCACGATTGTTGTCTGCCACATCGTAAGTTTTATACAAGGTACCGGAGGATAGTAGATGTAAGTTGGAAGGGTTCTACTCCTTCCAGTTATATCCGCAAACCGTGAAGGTATATCACACGGGGTGATCTCATTCAGTCTTTTGCAGTGAATTAAGGGAAGTCGAGTCAGCATGTTGACATAAGTACCAGTTAAGGTTCACGTACCTTAGGTACGAGTAGGTAAAGGTACCTACCTAACTACCTACCCACATTATGCAGTGTCTGGTGCGATCCTTCAATTGTACTTCAAGGCTTGCTTGGGCTTTCAAGCAGGCATTCTGCTCTCAGATTGATTTTCGTTCTGCAGGTTGCCTTAGTTTTCGATGCCGCGAGATGATTTGCTCTCGTTGATCGGCTTATCAGTTCAAACCCAATACCTTGTGCATGTGCTTCCGCCCTGCCCAGTGGCGGAGCCTGCCGCTGGCAGTTGCAGAGGAGCACCGGCAGACCACCTAGGTAGTACCTGGTACCAACCTTAGGTGACTACCATTCGAGGGAGGAACAATTCTAGGCGTTCATTAGACGTCGAAACACTTGATTTCAGTGTCTGCTTTTCTCTGGTGTATGTGCTTTTATCGGGCAAATAACGAGGTCTTCATTCCATTATGATGATCCGCCCCCTTTTTCGAGGCACTCTTCGTGTTATACCATTACATGTCAGTTCAGCTTCAGAGTTGTTCTTTCCTTGCCCCTTCGTCTATAGCCTGTATCTTCAAGCCATCAGTTCAACTTTCCTCAGTTAGGTTTCGTATGTGTTACCTATCTCCTTATCTGCATTGATTCTTCCTGCTCTCTTTTATCGAACCTTTCTTTCTACATACCTACTTAGTCTCTTCTACTTGGTCAGGCTCCAGTCATCTCTTTATTGTTGTTTCCCAACCCCGCAGTTGAGCCCCCCAGACTTCAATCAATGGGATTCAATTCCAGTCCTCCATCTCATGCCCCAGACAAATAAAACCAGCTTGGACACAGCCTGCAGAGGGGCACCATGCAGGACTCGCAACCTGAGGCAATAATGCAGCATCACAGATTCGCGAGGCTCTATAAACCTTGCGGGGTCTTCTAATCGCTGATCGGTCTTCAAGCGTTCATAAAGTGCCATGAGGACCCGGGCTCCCTAATACGCTTGCGACCTGATCGTCTAGCCGTGATCTGGGATGGCCGAGGCCTTGGCGGTTCTGGGTGCCCTAGCCGCCGTCCACCAACTATCCAAATCGGCGGCGAAGTTGGCTAACATTCTCTACGACTTCGCTTTGAGCTCTCAGATCCTCACTAAAGAAGTGCAAAGTTTCGCTAGACAGGTCAGATCCTTCTCCGACATTGTCAGACTGGCTCTGTTGACTCTATCTGAATACTGTCGCGAAACCCCCAATTCCCGTATTGTTAGATACCTGAACTCGCACCATGTGCTGCCGAACATCAACGAGGGGGCTAAACACACCTTGAGGCATCTCCGCGCCATCCGTGATCAGATCACAAGGCCGCAAACCCGATTTACCTGGATGGGAACTGTCGTGTGGCTGTGGAACAAGCGATCCGTCATGGAGCTCTACCCAAAAATGGAGAGTATCAAGTCGAATCTGTCCCTCCTCATGGCCACAAGCAAAATGGAGGATCTCTTGCATCGCATGTCAGCTCAGGACCAACGCAGTCGAGAGCTTAAAGAGGAGATGTAAGTGATGAAAAGACTTCCTTACCCGCTATATGCCCTAACTGTGATATACCGGACAAGGCGCATTGTGAAAGACATGATCAAGGATCAAATGAAAGCTATAGAAGACCTCCGCCGCCATTTCAACCAGGTCCGCCCTGTGGGCGATACTCAACCACCAGACTTCTTTAGCCCTGACTCAGAACACCAAAACGTCATGCTTGACCTCGGGCGCAGCATGTATAAGGACGGTGTTGTCCCTGACACGATTCCGAGCTCGGCCTCCGCCTCGGGGCAGAGTTCAAGTCCGACCTCTGACTCCCCCTTTTCGTTCGCTACCCAACATACTAGTCTCGAATCGAGGACATCAGATGCCAGCACTTCGTCAACTCAGCGTCGTACCACATACAGAAACCCTCCAGAAAACACGCAACGTCCTGCTCCTGGAGCGGATCAAGCACAGAAGGCAGCAGTGTCCTCAGCGACGCCGCCGCCATTATCAGCACCGCCACCACCACCACCACCACCACCTCCACCTCCAATACCCGGTTCATCAACGACAACGCCCTCCCGGGCCACGATTCGCATTCCGCCGTCCCTCCTGACAACCACCATGGGCGGCTATATCATCCACCACGGCCCGCGTCACATCAATACCAACGACCTCCACGTAACCGCCTTTGTAGTTCCGGACCTGCCTATCAACTTAATCTCTGTCGCCTGGGCAGCACGATGCAACCTTGACGTCCAACTGTTCCAGAGTAACAGCACCGTGCACCTCCATAATGACAATGCGGATGGTGGCGATGGCGTCCTACTCGATTTTGACAACGGCAAACGTCCCGAGAAAACCATCGGGCGAACAACCCTCCTGTGGAGCCGGATCAGCCACTGGCAGCGGGACAATACCCTCTACCTTGCGGTTGAGTGCGAGGTCTGTGACAATGCTGAGGTCGGGCTGATACTCGGCAGTCCCTTTGTCGAGGCCAGGGAACGGCGACGAAGCAGCCTCATTGCGAGCTGGGGTGACTGAGTCAACTGACTGGCATGAGGGCGGTCACGGTGTGAGTCGATGAGTGGATGCTATGATCTTCAATAGAATTAGGTATCCAGTACTTAGTAGTATGATCAGGAGCTGCATTTGCGCTGAAGAACTTTGACTTGCAATGGAGAAGGCCGCGTGTTGCTTTCGATGATTAGTCCGAGTCGGCCTTTTGCTTATCGTCGTTTCCACTCTCCTCCTTCTCCTGGCCGCCCTTTCCTTCTGACTTAGGCTTGTCAGCCTTCTTCTGTGCCTTTTCCTTCTTTTGCTCTTCCTTCTTGGCCTTCTCTTCGGCCTCCTTTCTCTTCTTCTCCTCCTCCTTCTTCTCTCTCTGGATCTTTTCCTTTTCCTTTTCCTCTTCCTTTGCCCAATCCCGATCCTTGCTGCCCGTCTGTGGATGGAGTCGGTCCCGTAACTCTGCCTTTGACAGACGCGCGTGGCCGGCGCCGATCTTTGCGCGGCCCACCAGGCTGATCAGGATGGCGGCGCCTACAATTGCCGTCAGGACGAAGCGGTAGATCCCGTACCACCCAGGTGCCCAGCCCTTGACCGTCGCCGTCGAGTCCGTAAAGTACAGAGCCACAAAGGCCGCGAATTGCGTCGTTAGAGCCCACTCAATCGGCATAAAGATGGTTGGCCAGGCCACGGCCGGCGCAAGGACACCAATGCCGTACCGGAACCGCGTACGGTCGGGTAATGCCCGTTTCTCGGCGAATTCGAGTCCCCAGTGTATGGCGCCGAGGAATGAGATGATCACGGCACCATATCCAACCTGGATCGGCTCGAGGAGCTGCAGCCAGTGCGTCGCCGAGTCATGGTTGGCTACGATGCTGTTTATGAAAGATGAAGTCGTGGGCCATTCCGTGTTTAGCGACCAGGACAGGTAGACGGTAGATATTGAGGTGGCCAGATAAGGCAGCGTGCCGGCGAGGCCAAGACCGAATGCCTCCCGGGGCACCGAGCCAAGTGCAAAAGTCTCCTTAACCGTGTTCTGGCGAATATTAGGTTCTGCAAGTACACAAAACAACTACGGGCCATGCTTACCAGATCGTCTTTCAGATTTAGTAGCGGGTCCACCGGCACTGCTGGTCCCTGGCTTCCTTCGATAACCTGGCGAACAGAAGAGGTGCTTGTAACCTCATCCGGCCGGGACTCCAATTTCCTTTCTCCGACTTTCTTCTCGAGCTCCTTGTCGATGCCAACCGGTTGGATGGGGGGTTTCATAGACATCAGGGAGCGGAACGTGATAGGCAACGCCCGGCCCGGCAATGAGCAAGAAGGCTCTAGCAGTCTCTGCCGTACTTGAGGTCTCTCGAACGCGCCCGCAAGGGAGGAGGCCGCATTGACAAACGGCCTATGCCGCTGTGATTGGATCTGAGAGCTAATGGAAAGTCTGCAGACGTGGCGGCTGGATGGCCGTGCTGCACGAACAGTAGTGGACAACATGTTGGATTGATGGTTTATAGCTTTGTGCTTTAGTATGGCAGCAGTGGCTACTGCACGCACAGAATGATCGGGAACTGGTGTGAGTGTGTTCTTGGCGCAGAGAAGCTATGATCGAGGAAAGTATCCAAGAGAAGCAGCCTGATGGGATTAACCGTACGTTTGGAGCCTAATGCAGCAACTCACAAGAGAAGAAGAGTAAGAAAGACCTGTGCAACAGTTGAACAGGAGAGGGGTCGGAAATGGAACAAGCGAGGGAATCAGCCTAGTATTTGGTTATCTTAACCTATCCAAGGCTTCCAGAGCATGAGATACGATATAATCCAACATGACAGCAAACTCGTATGCTCGTTGCTTCTCGGGGTTGATACTGGCGGTTGCTTGGAGGTGTTGAAGCATTTACGTGTACGGAGTAAGGCACGAGGGATGCTGGATCCCTGCCTTCCACCTATGACGTAATTGGCGCCAGAACGGCTGGGGCAAGTTCCAGCGAAAGAACTCGGAGGGGTCCTTGGCTTCTCGGTAGGATAGCTTTTAGGGTCGCATTGGACACAGGCAGGCCTAAGCTTCAGGCCTTTCAGCGGGCACCAACGCGCCAAGGCCCATCGTCATCGGGCGCTGTGATCTCGGAAAACCAGACAGAAAGCCCGAACCACGCCGCTTGATTCCGCACTTGACAACCTGAGTACGGCTGCGTCATCGGCGCCTAAGGACTCTCGCCAGACTTTCCCCATTGTCGTTCTATTCTTTCCACTGCTTGTTCTGGCTATTGTTTAATTCTTAGCATTGCTCCTCCGCTCTGTACCTGCTTCTTGCTATCCAAGGCGGGAACTCAGTCCACGATTGACGAACGATTGGCAGCACCTACGACGTCACAGTCGCGACCCAGACCGACGCCCGACGAGATACACCCGACAACGCCGCGGTTTCAAACCCCGATTCGAGGGATATCAAATGAAGTGCCAGACACACGCACGATAAGACATAGTATACCGCTTGCCCCCCGCCCGGGTGACGGCACCCCACAGTCAAGATGCTGGAAGGCCTGGTTGCGGGGCTGTTGAATCGCTTCTTGGGCATGTATGTCAAGAATTTTGACCCGGCCCAGCTCAAAGTCGGCATCTGGTCAGGAGACGTCAAGCTTCGCGATCTCGAACTCCGCCGGGAAGCACTCGACCAGCTCAAACTCCCAATCAACGTTGTCGAAGGCCACCTCGGCGAGCTTACCTTGGTGATACCTTGGTCCAATCTCCGGGGCGCTCCCGTCAAGGTGTTCATTGAGGATGTTTTTCTTCTCGCATCCCCAAAGGAAGAGGCCGAATACAATGAAGAGGAGGAGGCCCGGCGAAAACAGAGGATAAAGATGGAGAAGCTGGACTCGGCCGAACTGCTGAAGGAACGGTCGCAGGAAGGCCTCAGTCAGGAAGAGCAGAAGCGCACACAGAGCTTTACCGAAAGCCTCGTTACAAAAATCGTCGACAACTTGCAGGTTACCGTCAAGAATATCCACGTTCGATACGAGGACGCCATCTCCGCCCCAGGCCACCCCTTTGCCTTGGGTGTCACGCTCGAGGAATTCAGTGCCGTCAGTACCGACGGAGATTGGACTCCCACATTCATCCAAGACTCAACCAAGACGACACACAAACTAGCGACTTTGGACTCTTTAGCCCTTTACTGGAACACTGACACCAAGCTCATGGGCCCCGGCCGCGAGGTCCAGACACCAGGGACGGAGATGACCCCGCACGACGAGATACTGGCCAACTTCAAATCCATGATTGTCAGGGGGGACAACGAGCTGTCTGCGAACCATCAGTTCATTCTGAAACCAGTCTCGGGACAGGCAAAGATTGAGCTCGACAAGACTGGGCGTCCACAAGTCCCAAAGTTCAAGGCCAACCTGCTCTTCGACGAGATCGGCCTTGTGTTGGACGATCAGCAGTACAGAGATGCTTTGATGATGGCGGACCTGTTCCATTACTTCATTCGACATCAAGAATACAAGAAATACCAACCAAAAGGGGTCAGTCCCAAAGAAGATCCGCGTGCGTGGTTGAGGTTCGCTGGCAATGCTGTGCTGAGCAAGATCCACGAACGAAACCGGCGATGGTCATGGGACTACTTCCGAGAACGTAGGGACGACAGGCAACGCTACATCGAATTGTTCAAGAAGACAAAACAGAACCAGCAATTGACAGCGCAGGAGAGTGAAGATCTGAGAAAACTAGAGTGGAAACTCGACTACGAGGACCTTCGATTCTGGCGATCGTTAGCCCGAAATCAGCTTAGGAAGGAAAACGCCGAAGCTCTCAGAAACCGTCCACCGCCTCAACCACAACAGCAGCAGCAGGGATGGCTAGCTTGGGTGTGGGGCACGAAACAACCGCAGCACGAGAAGCAAGACGAGACGGAGAATACCCAAATCACTGAGGAGCAGCGCAAGGAGCTTTACGAGGTCATCGAATGGGACGAAAAGACTGCGCTCGCTGCAGAAATCGACGTGCCGAGGGATACCATCAAGCTTCAAATCGAAGCCTCTTTGAGCACTGGCAGCTTCACGCTCAAGCAGAACCCCCACGGCCAAACCAGAGACCTCGTCAGCCTTCATTTTGACGTTTTCAGGGCCAAAGGCCTCAAGCGACCTGACTCCTTTCTCGCCGATCTTAGCCTGGGCGGCCTGCGGGTCAATGATGGCACGACGCCCAATTCTCTGTACACGGAAATCGTCCGAGTCAAGGACGCCCCGGCAGCTACCAGGCATCAGAAACGGCTGTCTATCGCCGAACTCGAGCATACAGGTGACGAGGCCTTCTTCCAATTCCAACTGGAGCAAAACCCGCTGGATGGTCAGGGAGACATTGCATTGACCGCCAAGCTGAAGCCCCTCGAAATTGTGTGGAACCCAAATGTCGTGGTCGGCGTTACCGACTTTTTCAGGCCTCCTGAACGTCATATGGAGTCCATCAACGCGCTGATGGAGACAGCAGGCGCGACAGTTGAGGGCCTCCGAGAGCAGACCAGGGCTGGGCTCGAGTTTGCACTCGAGGAGCACAGGACCGTCAACGCCAAGTTAGATTTACAGGCCCCTCTCATTATTATCCCCGAGAGCATCACTAGCAAAAGTTCGGCGTGTCTGATCGTGGATGCCGGGCACATCAGCGTCACAAGCGAGCTTGCCGACAAGGCCACGGTCAAAGAAGTCCAATCTAAGCAACGGGAACGTTCCACCCAAGAGGATCTTAGGCAGTTGGAGTCTCTGATGTACGACCGCTTCCTCGTCAAGCTTACATCGACTCAAGTCCTGATCGGGCCGTCAGTAGAGGAGACCAAACGGCAGCTGGCTGAAAAGGACGACCAGCTCATGTTCCATATTGTTGACAAGATCAATGTCGACTTCGTCGTCGAGATGTCGATCCTACCCAAGGCCCCAAACCTAACTAAATTCAAGGTCTCTGGCCATCTGCCTGTTCTGCACGCCAGCGCGTCGGATGCTAAATACAAGACCCTCATGAGGATCATTGATGTTGCCATTCCAAAGCTGGGGAATGCCAGCTCCCAGCCCAGTGCAGAAGGACGTGATGTGAAAAGGCGTCACCTTTCGAGCACCGCGCCGACCCGGCCGCGTGGTTGGAGTCACAGGAGGGCATCCTCCCAGGTCCTCCAGTTTTCGACGCAACAACAGGCCATCATTCTTAACGACGAAGACCTAGAAGACGACGATGACCAGTTCGAAGATGCCAAAGACGGCTCCGTTGACGAGCAGATGAGGATTCAGCAGCGCATCTTTGAGTTCAAGTTTACGGTCGATGAACTCAGGGGCTCCCTTTATCGCAGCGATCCCGACAGAAAAAGGCCGGATCAATTACTCGTCGACCTTGTTGCGCAGAACTTTGGAGTCGACTTTTGTCTCCGGCCGTATGACATGGCTGCTGAGGTCTCTCTAGGCTCGGTGACGGTCGACGATTTCGTCGATAACCCGCCTGCAGAGTTCAAGTCGATTGTGTCGTCCGGGGATGTGGAAGATCGGAAGCAAGCAAAGGACCTTGTGCATGTCAAGTTTGTCAGAGTCAAAAAGGAGTCACCCGAGTTCATGACGGTTTACGAGGGCATTGAGACCAACGTAGACGTTGCCGTCTCAACGATCAACTTGGTTGTGACGCGCAAGACACTGCTCACGCTTCTCGACTTCATTCTGGTCACCTTTACCAACAACAGGAATGAGAATGGAGGTCACGAAATGGCTATTACCGATTCAGATTCAGAAAGCAACATTGAGGTAGAGCCGCCTTCTCCAGTTGAGCAGACCGAGGGTGGCGCCATCAGGGTCAAGGTAGACCTTAGGAGTATCCGGTTGATCTTGAACAATGACGGCATCCGTCTAGCAACCCTCTCGTTCAACCATGCTGATGTCGGTGTATTCTTGCTTGGGAGGGCAATGCGCGTTTCGACGAAGATTGGCGATCTGAACCTAGTTGACGATGTCAATTTGGGCGTTGCGGAAGAGTCAAGTCTGCGCCAACTTGTCACGATCCAAGGCGATGAACTTGCCGACTTCCGGTACGAGACTTATGATCCAGACAAGCCAGAGCAATACCCTGGCTACGATTCCTCCATCTATCTACGGGCAGGCTCGGTCAAGGTGAACTTCCTTGAAGAGCCGTTCCGTAAGATTGTCGACTTTCTCGTCAAATTTGGTAAGATGCAAGCCATCTACAACGCCGCACGACAAGCGGCTGCCAACCAGGCCAGCCAGTTGCAGCAAAGCCAAAGTCGGATCAAGTTCGACGTGGTGGTCAAGACACCGATAGTCGTCTTTCCTCGTCTTGCAATCCCGGATCGACCGAAGCGTGACCTCATCACCGCGTACCTGGGAGAGATCTACGCCCAGAACAAGTTTGCTCCATTGGATGACTCAGAAGAGTCCGAGATTGCGATGAAGCTGTCCGCGGGCATCCGCAACATCCGACTAACATCCAATTTCCATTACAGCAACAACCGCGAGGAGGAACTGGAACTCATCGATCACGTGGACCTGGGCTTCAAAATCACGTACGCCGAGCACAAGGAGGGCATCAAGCGACCAGACCTGGATATCCAGGGAAGCATGACCGATTTCAATATCCGCATCACTCCATATCAGCTCAATTCACTTCTCGATATCTCTAGATCTGTGCCTGCCGTTTTTGCTGGGGATGCCGAACACCATACTGCGGAAGCCGAGCGCGATGTTGACAAAGCCACACTGGAACGTGCTAGAACCATGCCCGGGTTTGGCAGCGGAAACAAGAATGAGCAGCTGGTTGACATGAGTCCCGAGCTGGGGACACACGGCGAGGCCTGGACAAAGTTGGACCTGGTCTTCAGTGTGAATACGATTGGGCTGGAGTTGATCAATGCCGCGGAGAATGCACCTGTTGGCGACCCAGATGCCGCCAGCTTGTCAAAATTCAGCCTCAATTCCAGCCGCTTGAAGACACGAATGGACTCCAATGGGAGTCTCGAAGCCGAAGTCACCGTACAGGCTTTTACAATCCATGACACCCGTCGTGGCGACACGAACAAATTCCGCCGTATCATGACGAGCAGCAACACGAAGGTTCAACAGCTGATGGCCAGCATCACCATGTCTGGCGGCAATGACAGGAATATCATCGCCATTGTGGCTGTCGACAGCCCGCGCTTCATCTTTGCCCTTGACTATGTGTTTGCCATCCAGAACTTCATTATGGTTGGAACGCGGACCAACGAGCCCGCTCCCCCTGAAGAAAGCCCCTTGGAAAGCCCTGAGGAAATAAGCGATGCAGATTCAGTGAAAGCTACCTCGTCAAGCAGGCGCTCCGTGAGCAGCAATCGTCAGCTTTTCCAACCGGACAACCAGCAACAGGCACTCAAACCCGACGAACCCAAGATGAGCATCGCCTACCGGGTTAACGTTGTCGACGCCCAAGTCATCTTGATAGCAAATCCATTGAGTGCAAGCTCCGAAGCAATCGTCTTGGGAACCAAGCAAGTCCTGTTGTCGCAGCAGCACGCATTCACATTTCAGGTCTCCCAATGCGGCATGTTTCTATGCCGCATGGATCGCTTCGACGATTCACGTTTGAGGATCATTGACGACTTCTCCGTACAGATGTCCGTGGACAGCTCTCAGTCATCTGCAATCAAGATTCACGTCGACATCGAGCCCCTGATCCTCCGGCTCTCTCTTCGGGATATCCTTCTCGTGATGCAGACCGTGACGAAGGCATCTGAGCTGTCAGGAAAGAACAGTACTGACATTTCGACGGGCAATGTGTCAGACCGGAAGGCGAAGAAACTGAAAGGGCCTTCCAGTCTGAAGCACAACACTGCCAGCAGCAAGGGCACTTCTACACTGGCGGGGCGGATACGAAGCGGCAGCAAAAGCGTGCTGGGCAGAAGCGCAAGTGGTTACTCGCAGCATGGCGGGGCATCAGCTCCCCACGACGTCACCCAACCGCCTCGAAGGTACGAGGAACTAACGGCTACGATTGATGGAATCCGCATCGTGCTCCTTGGCGACATTCATGAACTTCCCATCCTCGACATGAGCGTGAAGAACTTCACGGCCGGCGCGGAAAACTGGTCAACCAATCTCAAGGCGGAAACTGCCATTGAGATGTACACAAACGTCTACAATTTTGCGAAGTCCGCCTGGGAGCCGCTTATTGAGCCCTGGCAGGTCGGTTTCGGAATAGCCCGGGACCAGAAGACGGGAGTCTTGTCAGTTGACGTGTCTTCTAAGCGTACTTTCGATGTCACCCTCACAACGGCCAGTATTGCCCTCTTTTCCAAGTCCTTTGCCTTTTTCACCCAGGACCAAGACGTCCTAAGCAAACCACGCGGCGTCGAGGCCCCGTACCGTATCCGGAACTACACTGGGTTTGATGTTGTGGTGCAAGCCAAGAGACAGAGCACTGATGAGACGACGTCTCTGCGTCTTGTGGACGGACAAGAAGTACCGTGGAGCTTCGAGGACTGGGAGAAAATGCGAGAGAACCTCTTGGCTGAGGAAAGCAGCACAAATAGCGTCGCTGTCCAGCTGGAGGGCAGCGGTTTCGATCCCGTGAGAAACATACGGCTCTCGCGGGAAGGCGAGTTTCTTTGCGCACTCAAGCCGAAGGCAGATCAAGTGTTGCACAAGATGCTGGTCGAGGTCAAGCTCGGCACCGACAATATCAAGTATGTCACGCTGCGCAGCCCGCTCCTGGTGGAGAACGAGACCGATCTCCCTGTTGAACTCGGAGTCTACGACGCCCATGAGGGGCATCTGCTCAAGATCGAAAAGATCGCGCCTGGTGAGAGCAGGCCGGCTCCGGTTGGGGCCGCGTACTTGAAGAGCCTGTTAGTCCGCCCTGACCCCGGCTTTGGCTATGGGTGGAGCAACGACACGCTCTGGTGGCGCGATCTCTTGAAGCGCCCGACGAGAACACTAGTATGCAAAGGGGAGCACGGTGAAAATTTCTACTTTCAGATGTCTGCCCGCTATGACACATCTAACCCTGCGACGAAGTAAGTCTCGCTTTTCGCTTTCTGTACCCTACTTGTGGACGCTGCTGACATGCGCAGGAATTACCCGTACATGAGGATAAAACTCTCTGCGCCTGTCACGATCGAGAACTTGCTTCCGTACGACTTCAAGTACCGTATCTACGATAAGAACACGAAGAAGGACTGGTCAAATTTCCTGCGCAAGGGAGGCGTGAGCCCTGTTCATGTTGTCGAACTGTCTCATCTCCTGCTCCTGAGCATCGACATGCAAGACACTGCCTTTAAGCCGAGCGAATTTGCCATCATCAATGCAGGCTCGACAGACGACTTCAAGAAGGAAACGCACCTGGTGTGCCGAGACAGTGCAGGCATGGCACTGAATCTCAGACTGCACTACCTTCGCGTCCCTGATGGCGGTGGCGCGTTCAAAGTCACTGTCTACAGTCCGTATGTCGTCTTGAACAAGACGGGATTGGACGTAAGCATCCGCTCCCGGGGCCTTCTGCAACAAGCCAAAGCTGCGACGGCGAGCCAGACGCTTGTCGATGTCTCGGATGGAAGCGGCAGCCTCAAAGCATTGCCGTTGATGTTTTCGTTCAACAGCGATGATCACAGGAACCGGGCGCTCTTGAAGGTTGGTGATTCGGATTGGAGCAAGCCACAGAGTTTCGACGCCATTGGAAGTACTACTGAGGTTGTGGTGAATTCACCGGGGCGAAATGCAGAGATTCATCTTGGGGTCACGGTCGATTCGGGCCAGGGCAAGTACAAAATGGTGAAGACGGTAACCCTGGCCCCGAGATATGTCATCCAAAACAAGCTCGGTGAAGACATCAACATACGCGAGCCCAGCTCCTCCGGGTTGGTATCAATCAAAGATGGCTCGCGCCGGCCACTCCACTTTCTCCAAAGGGGTGCTGTAAAACAGCTCTGCCTGTGCTATCCAGGCGTTGACAATCAGTGGACCGCGCCCTTCAATATCTCCGACCTTGGTGTCACACACATCAAGATTGCCAGGCCCGGCCAACGACAACGACTGGTTCGCGTGGAGATTCTCATGGAAGATGCCACTATTTTCCTGAGCCTCAGCATGGAGCACAACAACTGGCCGTTTTCGATGCGAAACGAGAGCGACACCGAGTTTACCTTCTACCAGGCCAACCCGAATATTGACGAAGATGGCACCGAGGACCGATCCGGATGGAGGCCTGTTCGATACCGTTTACCACCCCGCAGCATCATGCCGTATGCTTGGGACTTCCCAGCTGCTAAGCACAAGGAAGTGTGCATCAGTGCGTACAACAAGGAGCGCCACGTGAAGCTGGCCGAGATTGGCAATTTGTTGCCCATGAAGTTCATTGATGTAAATGGCCGACCAAAAATCATCGACATCAATGTGACTGCAGATGGGCCAACGCAAACCCTCATCTTGTCCAATTTTAAGCAGTCGAAGAGTCTGTACCGGCAGCGGTCGAATGCGGGTTCAACCAGCAGTCGGGAAGGCTTCGAGGCAAAAGAGCTCGACACTGGCACCACGTTCAGAGCACAGCTGAGGTTATCCGGGATTGGAGTCTCGCTGATAAACTCGCAGCTGAAGGAGTTGGCGTACCTCACGTTCCGGGATGTCCAACTCCGCTACAGCGACTCGCCGCTGTATCAGACTGTGAGCTTGGCTGTGAAATGGATTCAGATCGATAACCAACTCTACGGCGGCATCTTCCCCATGATCCTCTACCCTAGTGTGGTGCCCAAACGGGCGCAGGAGATTGAGGCACACCCGTCATTGCATGCCATGGTCACACGGGTCAAGGACGACTCGTATGGTGTGGAGTACATCAAGTACGCAACTGTTCTTGTGCAGGAGATGACGGTCGAACTCGATGAGGATTTCATCTACGCTGTCTTGGAGTTCTCAAAGGTTCCGGGTGCTTCGTGGTCGTCAAGCGACGAGAAGGACAAGCTCTGCGACGACAACGCCGATATACCTCAGCCGAAGCAGCAGCAGTCGGGCAGGGACATCTACTTCGAGGTGCTCAATATTCAGCCCATGCAGCTGGATCTCTCGTTCGTTCGAACCGAGAGAGTTAATGTGGAAGACAAGACATCGTCGCGAAACCCCATTATGTTCTTTTTCAATGTCATGACCATGGCGTTGGGCAACATTAACGACGCCCCGGTGCGGTTCAACGCGTTGATGCTGGAGAATATGCGCGTCTCGATACCAGTTCTCATACAAAACATCTCCAACCACTACAGTCAAGAGGCGCTAGGCCAGATTCACAAGATCTTGGGAAGTGCCGACTTTTTCGGCAATCCCGTAGGGCTGTTCAACAATATCAGCTCGGGCTTTGCCGACATATTCTACGAGCCCTATCAGGGGCTCATCATGTCAGACAAGCCGGAGGACTTTGGCATCGGGCTTGCGCGAGGGGCCGGGTCGTTTTTCAAAAAGTCCGTCTACGGCGTCAGCGACTCCTTGTCCAAATTCACCGGCAGCTTCGCCAAAGGACTCGCCGCAGCCACGATGGATAAGCAATTTCAAGACCGCCGCAGGATCACGCGTGCCCGCAATCGGCCAAAGCATGCGCTCTTTGGCGTGACGGCGGGTGCAAACAGCCTTTTCACCTCTGTCGCGTCCGGAGTCGGCGGCTTGGCGCTCAAGCCGCTCGAGGGTGCGGAGCAGGAAGGCGCCCTCGGCTTCTTCAAAGGCATTGGCAAAGGCGTCGTGGGACTCGCCACCAAGCCGGCCATCGGCGTGCTCGATTTTGCGTCCAACGTGAGCGAGGGCGTGCGCAACACGACGACCGTCTTTGACGGGTCCGAGCTCGACCGCGTGCGCCTGCCCCGCCACGTCCCCGCCGACGGCATCGTGCGGCCGTACAGCCAGCGTGAGGCGCTCGGCCAGTCGTGGCTTAAGCAGGTGGACAACGGCAAGTACTTTGACGAGCAGTACATTGCGCACCTTGAGCTGCCGACCGAGGATATGGTGGTCATGGTGACGTACGCGCGCATTCTCCTGATCCGGAGCCGCAAGCTGCAGAGCGAATGGGACGTCCCTCTCAAGGACATACAGACAATTGCGAAGGAGAGGACCGGGTTGAGCTTGACGCTCAGGGGCGGTACTAATGGCCCGTTCATACCCATCGGTCAGGAGAGCGGGAGGACCTTCATCTACAGGATGGTGGCGGTGGCGGTCGACGAGTTCAATCGCCGGTTCAAGGGGCTGGAATAGGAGGAGGTTGAGAACCGCGGCTGGGAGAGTAGACTTGCCGAGTAGTGCTGCGGGGCTTCCTGTGTCTGCTGTGTCTGCCGGGATGAATGATGTGATGTCGAGGTATATGATAATGAAGACTGTTTTGTTTCTGCATGACTAGGTTCTGGTTCCCAGTTGATATCAAGGGGTTGCTCCTAACATCTTTGAAATGCTTGGCCTACTTTACGGATGTATGTACAACCCCCCATCCGCGGTGTAAGAGCAACCGTTTGATGCTAATAACGTCTACGGTATGGAATAGGCGTGGTTGGCTATTTCAGGAGGCGTGGGCGCTTAACCACCATCTCTCCTCCAACCACTCGGCACCGCTGACACTGCGACGAATCGACAACCAATTGCTGACGCCCAGCAATTCGGATCAAAACACCCGAAACACTGGCACAATGCGACCCGGGTTTCTGTTACTGCAGCAGTGCAGCTCTAGATCTCCCGGCATCTAATCCAGATCGCAGATGCAGGCTTGTATCCCATGGCCACCTCTGCGAGCCTGGTCTGATTGGGTTGTCCTGATTTAGAGACTCAGGCAATGGGCACTGGAAGTGCGATATCCGATGCCGACAAGGCTGGTATCTCATCCTCCCGCTATAAGACCAGCGCCTTACGAAGCAAGCCTTGTGTTGCTCATTGCCTTGGGGGTCTTGGGATGCCGGGGTGCCTACACATGCCGAGTTGCCGACCATATTGCCCTACATGTAGCATATGGCTCGTGACAAGATATGTAAGCCCCTTGCACAATTGCACACCAGTTTTCACTCGGCGATCGTATTGCCAACCAGACTTCATACCTCCTGTCCAGCCAGTAGCCACTGGCAGAGCCAACCATGATGCGGCCCCTTACAATATCAGACGTGGCCTTTCTGCTCTGCACCTCCCTCCAGCGCCCGCCGCCCTGCTCGCTGACGTTCACCACGGATCTCGGGCTCAGCCTGACTCTCCACCCGGACGGGTCTGTCTCGGCCGCCCTCCAGCTCCAACACCAGCTCCGATATCCCGAGCAGTCCCCCGCAGCAAAGTCCCAGTCCCAGTCCATCATCTTCACCCGCGCAACCCTCCTCCCGTCAGAGAACACAGGCATTGACGCCATCCTCCTGCGTCCGCTGCTGCAACGGCCTCCGAATGATACCTACCGTGGGCTCGTATTGCAGAAGGAGGCGGGGCTGAACTTGAAGCCGCTCAGATACCGCATCTCTCCGCCGGGAAGCGACATGTGTCACAATATGCATTCCATAACATATGACGGCCGTGGATATGGAGAGTGCACTCAGTACATCCACTACACTACTACTACTAGTCCTATCACCAGTAGTAGTACGCATCTAAAGCCCGAGGACCTCCCCGCGCGGTACAGCCCAGCCTGGTGCGACGCCTTCAGCAAATGGGTGTCCTGGGCGGAACGGTCGCGCACAAGGAGACGGACACGGACGTGGGTGAGAGGAGGCGGACAAAAGGCTCCCGGCAGCGGCGGTGACGAGGGTGAGCGCATGCTTTGGATGGCTGAGGGCCTGTTGTTGGCGTGTTGGCTGTGCTTGCAGCCCGGGGTTGATGTCGTTGAGTACGTGCCCGGTCTGATGATGATGGCTAGGGTTCAGGATACTGCGGCGGATGTTGGGAAGGCGGAAAGGGACGGGGAGCGGGTGCAGCCTGAGGTGTATATCCTTGAGAAAGGGCGGTTGGGGGTTGTGGTGGGGAGGTTTGTCCGGGATCTGGCTCGCGGGTCTTCGGGGTTGAACTCAATTGTGGGCTGACGGAGGTTGTGTAGTGGTCTGGCACTGTACTATACATGCTGCACGGGGTGTTTATGCGTTATACTGCAGGTCGCTTCTGGGATATGGGCTCAGTGGTGGTGGCGAGGGCTTGCAGGTCAACCCTGATTGTTTTAGTGACCGTGGTCATGAAGAACCTTAAATAACAGTTTCGCCCGGTGATATACGTGATCCCACGAAATGAATGCCCCGTTACCCAATAGCACTCTACTGTGTACAACCTGTGCCAGGCGTCCCTCAGCTCCGACCCAATCTACGAGCCTTGCTCTAGCAAGAGCACCTAACCCTCTCGAGCCCCAAAGCTCTGTTCCTTCACCCTTCAGCCTTCCATAACAAAGTGGCGGGACGATCTGCATGTTGTTCTCTCCTTGCTTATCCGGTCGTCTCCGTGTCCATGAACTGCCGTTAAGACGGGGCCTAATCCCGGCGGCTACCGATCCGAGAATGCATAATACGCCAGTATTGCTGGCCATCCCGTGGATAAGACAAATGCGGCGAGCACCGAAACCATGCCGACTTCTCTTTCGCTGTTACCCCCCGACCATCGACGGAGCAAGCTGACGGCACACCATATCATGCCAATGCCGTAAAGACAGCCGACCCAGGTGACACCAAGAATGATGTCGTTCAGGCGATCCTGTGGCGCGAGGGCAGCCTTGGACGTGTCGGCGAAGGGCTCCTGGAGTGAAAGGTTTTGGCCCATGTTGACGGGTGGCAAAGGGGGACTGTCAGGGGGTGATTTGAGATTTTCGTCCGGTGTCTATGGATGCCAAATTGTCGACGTGCCGAACCTAGGAAAACGGGAATTCGACCAGCGACACGAAATGAACGGATTAAATATCGTAGTTATTGGAGCGAAGGGCAGTGTGGTCAGCGATCATCGACCAGCGATCTCTCTTGCCTAGCAAAGAAAGCGAGTCCCGTGACGTTGGGAAAGAAGAGAAGGGTGGGCGAAATGGGGGGCAGAAAAAAAGAAGAGAAGGAGCAGAAAGGATCGCCATAAGCACTGGAAACGGGGATGGCACCATCTCTTGAACAGACGCACGGGTCGCCCGCCCAAATGGCCGTCTCTCATTTCGGACGATGGGCATCCCGGATGGAAAAAGCGAAAAATGCCATCTCGTGTCCTGAGAACGACCTGTGACGGGCTAACACGGCGGTAGCCGCTGCGATTGGCTCCCGCAAAAGCTTGTGTCAACAGGGGCTTCATCTGCGTCAAAACGAACCGCAGACTTGAGACGGGCGCCGAGCCGAGCTTCAGCTGATCCCTGCTGGGGCCTGCGCTTCAGTGGGGTGATGGCCCGTGCAAAGGACCCATGCTGCTGTTCTCAGCTTCAAATGCAGCAACAAGCTCATGCAACGTCTCAACCTAAAAACCATCCAACGACAGCACTTTACGGATACATCACCAGCATACATGGAGATACGGCCGTTAACCTCCCACTTCCAGCTTCTGGTACTAGTATGAAGTGAAAATGTTAGGTGGAAATTGTCAGCTTGCAGGAAAGCAACTGCCACTGAGGTCTGAGGCAAGGACGCACCTGCAGCCCTGCGTCCTGCTATCCTCCCATGTGGATCATCGGATGCCGACAGAAGCGGCAAGTTTAACTCAACCCTTTCTGCTTCGCGCCAGTATAAACCCCCCCCTCCCCCTCCCCCCTCCCCCTCCCCAGGGAAGTTTCAAACACCAAGAATGATGCTTTTAACATCTCCTGTACATCTTGGCATCACACGCCCTTTGCGCCACTTTCACGAGTCACCCAACACTACCTTAATTGGGCTACGGCCGGGATATGTATGATTAGCTGGCTAGCCGCCCTGCTAGGCTGACAATTGTCATTCGACAATCGACTAAAAAGACGGCGCCAATTGAGTAATCACGCGTTCCTTTATCACCTAATTGGGGCATCCCGCTCACAGAACAACTGGAGCCGGCCCATTAACTCAAAAGTCCGAGCTTCGAAGCTCGCTCTCTGCCTTTCTCAAGATTCGGCCCAGCACAGTCGCATTCTGGGGAGGACAAAGATTGATCCGACTTGCTAAGGTAGCAGCCTTGGCCTAATTATGACTCAGTAACAATGGCCATCATGGGCCAAAAAACCGACTACTTATCCGTTTATGCCAGCATCTTGGGCTGAACAGACAACCCCACGTTTGATTCCCTCCAAATCATTGATCAAGTCTTATCAGGCTCAATATCTAGAGTAAGGTAGGTTGTGATGGGATCGTCTAAACAGATCTGGTCGCATTGATCGCCAGTGAACAGTTAGTGGAAGCTGCCAGCTCGGCAGAGATCCGACGACCGATCATCAAACAGACAGGGTGTCGGACTTGTTGCGGTCTGATGCAACCCCGGCACAAGCGTTTGGCACGGGCGGCTGAGCTTCTTGGGATTGATGCAGGCGCGGCAGGTCGTCGCCCTTTTGGAGAGGATCGGCGGAAGCCGCATAAGAAGAGACGATAGACATGGACTGCTGGCGACTGCGAGGAAGGAACTACCGTCATGACCCAGTCAATCGTGAAGTTCTTTCCCGTCCAGGTATGACTGGACACTGAGGTCTGATCAACACCTAACCGAGATCCAACTAAGTGTTTGATTTTCGATCTACAAGATGCACATATTAGCCAGCGGTATAACACAGCCGTTCGGTTGTTGAGGCCTCGAGGGTGCATTGGGTGACGTTGTTAAATAAGGAGAACGCCTTCAGTCAATGTCTAGCTGTCTTTGCACCTATGCAAGAGTAAGTCCATTCTTTCAGCGTTGACCGTCCCGGGTCGAGTTCTGTGAACCGTTCCATTCTCTTGTTTATATCTTATTCTTCACAAGCCGCCAGCCGGTCTTAGACAAATACACACTCAATCCCTTCCTTCAAGATGTACACCAAGACGCTCTTTGTTGCTCTGCTTGCGGCCACGACGGCCTCGGCTTCGGCCATCCGCTACCGTCAAGCTCAGGCTGACGGTGCCGCCGACTTTGGCCAGTGCGTGCCAACCATGGACTTCCAGTTCGGCCGTGCAGGCCGGGATGCCGATGAGGGCACCTTCCTTCCCACCGACCCTCTGGTCGCCCAGGGCCAGCAGGACGCCCTGAACCCAAACATTATCACCAACCGCATCTGCGATCAGCTCGTCAATGTGTGCGAGGCCAACGACGCTGCTATCCAACTGTGCGAGCAGGCCCAGGCCGAAGTGGCAGCTCTCGGCACAAAGGACGCAACCACTGCCGACGCCTTCAACGCTGCCCTTGGCTTCTGAGCGCAGGGAAGGAGAGGGTTACTACATGGCATATGATCGGATACCTGACGGAAAGGACTCAAAAGGGGGATTTGGCATATTCATAATCCGATGTCCAAATTATCAAGCAATGAATTAGCACAGCGACGTTCCGATTGGGCTTGCCCCATGGACTGAAAGAAGAGAACTCTAGGTACTTCAAGTATTTGTACCTTTCCATCCTTGACCGGTTCTTTGCATTGGCAAATTTTGTGACATTTCTATTACTTACTTACAGTTTGTCAATGGAGAAGTCATCGGCTTGTGAAATGTCGTACTTGTCTTGTCGACTCGAATGCTCAAGGCGACGATGCAGCAACGATGCAGTTGACGTCACAGCCCAAGGTGCCATCCAGCACAGTGGAGTGGACCGTTGCTGCGGCCTGGGCCGCGCCTAAAGGTGCGCTAAAATCAAGCGGAGCCGAGTGCCATTGGTCGCCTTCTTCTCCACAGCGGGGGCTTCAATTTTCCCAGGCTCTGATGTCATCATGATTTCCGGCGGTCTTTGCCCCACCATTAGATCATGACACTGAGCAGCCCAACAGAAGGGACTCAAATACAATGGGCTGCAATGATTTGATATCTTGATTCGCTGCGTATTTGTCCTCCAACCTCAACTGATTCTTGTTGCTACAATAAATCGTTGCGAATCACACTCACAACCGCCAGCACCTCCGAGGGCTTACAGCAGGGCTGGCACCGACACCGCAAACAAAAGTCCACGAATACCTCCGTACCAGCTAATCATTTGATCTCATTTGATTCTATCGACGCCCACCTCTATTTTAAGAAGGCGACACAGAAAATTCCAGCTCAGCCACCTTTCCCGCCCGAAACTTACAAGCCAGAAACAAAAACGAAATAAAATAAAAACATGTCCAAACTCCTCCGCGACCGTGCAGTGCCGCTGGGCATCGTAGCAGCCCTCGCGGGAGGGGTAGCCTACTCCATGGCGGGCGGGCGGTCGCAACCGCGGCCGATGGCAACGGGGTCACAGGCCGAGACGACGCTGGGGCAGACGATGCAGGGGATCGCGGGCTCGGGCGGGCCCAGCGCGCGGTCGACGCAGGACGTGCGCGCCGACTCGGAGCTGGGGTATGACCCCAAGGGCGACACCAAGATGTTCTCGGCGTCGCCCTCGGCGCACAGCAAGCGCAACCCGGAAAAGACGACGGGCGGCGCCGTCACTGAGGGCAAGGGGGGCGGCGAGACTCCAGGCGCCCTCGGAAAGCATATTGGTGATAAGAGCGAAGGGTCGACGGATTTGCCATGGAAAGGAAATCAGTGATTGATCAGCTTTGTGTGTGTACACTACTCCGTATACACAGTATGGGATGGTGGGGATGTGGCGTTCTCGGGGGGGTATAAAAGGCTGTGGAAACTGTGGAGGAATCCGACGCAGGGGCTGGAATATGATGCATTGATGGACACATCAAAAGGAGAGGGGGTGTAACATACATTGCTGATGGGCTGGCTAATAGATCCCGGCATGGGGAGTACGTTTATGGCATACCTATCGATGTCAAGAAATCAGTCGTCGTCGCGTTCATTGCTCAACGCGTTCTGCTGTCTGCCACCCGACAGAAGCTGAATTGCTTCAAGCAGTTTGTCACTCCCGCGCCAGCCGACTAGGAGGATGCGGTCCTTTGTGCTGCCGCCACTTTGTGGAACCGAGGCATATAATTGCACTTGCTGACCATTCAATTGGCTCCGTGGCCAACCACATCGGGCTGCAAGCATCGGGGCTGAACTCAGTTCCGAAGAGGCTCAAAGAGCAGTAATCGTCTGCGTGCAGACTCACAGAGCATGCTAGTATCTCAAAGGCCTCCTGGCCTTCATGTTGAGCAAGGCTTTGCCCATCTTCCTTTTCTTCCCCTACTAGTAGCTCCATACTCCATGTAGTGAAAAAGTTCGAACACGCTGCAGTTTGTCTTATAAAGCGGCATTAGGTTGATGATGGATCATTTCTCAAGCTACAAAGGTGTTCAAATACACGAAAGGCCGTTCCTTGAGGGCGATGTGCCGGCCACGGGAAACAGAACTGCGCCGACTACAATACCGCGGCGCCATCTTGGCCCAACACCATGGTTGAAGATTGTTTGGCGTTTGATTTCGGCTCTGGCACTGACACTATTGCTTTACTATGTTCTCGACAGTTTCGAAAAACGAGGCCAAATGTCGACCGAGGGCAGACGCTGGTTCAACCTGATCACGATTCTGCTCTCGTCGCTCATAGCCCTGACCTTTGGCTCTCTAATGGGGCTGCTGGGATCCATGGTCCGCTGGCATCTCCTGGCAGCACGACCGGGCCATTCACTCGCAGATGTAAGTCACCAGCTGGTATAGTTCAAGGGGTAGTACTACTAGTACTCTTGTTCGGATACATGTATTGACCCTGACATGGTCTCCAGGTTGACCGCATACTCGGAATGCCGCAGCCCACCGGGGCTTTACGTCTCATCTGGTCCCACACAATAAGGTCCCGTCGGTGGACAAGCACGACGCACACTGCCCTGCTGTACCTCTTTTGGACTATAGTGGGAACCTTGAGCATTGCTGCCCTCGGGCTGACGTTCGACCTAGACGAAGACGCTGGTGTTGAGTTCCCCGTGCTCATTACCGACTGGAGTTCCGCGAACTTCACTAGCACCCAGGCGGACCAGTTTGTTGGGACATATGATGATTATCCTTCTATAGTGTTTCTAGATGCCTGTGAGCAACCGGCATTCCCTAGATGTAGATCCAAACTGGGATGCAGCAGAGAGCTAATCAAGCTAAACAGGGGCCATGCAGAAATACGCGGCCCTGGGCCTTCTATCTCTGAACGTCTCAACCCGTCCCCCGGAAGAGTGGTGGCAAGACGATGTGGCTTCTGTAGCGACAAATATTTCGGGCCAAGGCTTGGACAGCTCCATCGAGGGCAATACCGTGACATACACCTACCATCTGAAGGAGTATCAAGGCGCTGAGCGTTATGCCTCGACAGACAAGGTGGTCCAGAGCTCGTCCAGCTGTCTGGGAAGAGTTGTTATCAACGGAGGCATCTATGAACAAGGAGAACGAATCACTATGCCAGGTGGGTACTATTCAGTTGCAGCACAGGCTTGGCAATTAGAGGTTGCTAATGCCGAAACTTGTACCAGAGCGAGTCGGCGAGACAAGTCCAGACTTTCTCCGAGTACTCTACTACTTCCTTGACTATGACGACCGCGCCGAGAGTTTCGAGGAGATTTGGCAATCCGTATTGTGGGCAACCATAATTCACTGGGATCAAGGGTGGCAATGGAACACCTCGACTTGTCTTACAACCTGTAAGTGGCATCATCAGCCCTTAGCTAACGAACCTGGCGGAGTCAACGCGGCTGACACCAAGATTTCTCGGTACCAGACATCTATCATCGCATCTTCCTAACGTCAAACCTGAGGCTCGATCAAGAGCGCAACGCCACCTTCTTCGAGTGCCACACCTGTCTCAGCGGCGTCAACTCAGACGTACTCCGCAACCTGCCAGCAGAGAACTCATCCTACGTCAACCAGTTGCTGCTACAGCTCGGCGTCATGAGCGAGTTCTACACCGGCCTCGACGGCCTCAGCGAGACCACCGCCCTGCACTACCACCCGTACTCCATCTTCGGCCACCTCAACTTTCTCGAGGGTGTCGCCAGCATAGCCGAGGCCGATCGCGGCTACGTTTCCGGACTCACCCCGGAAATGACCCCTGAATCGGAGCACCTCGTGGCGCACCACACCGCGCGGCTCCCCATGCTTGTCCTTCTCGGCGCCGAGATGAAACTCCCCAAAGTTGCCAAGGAAGAGGGCGCCACGCCCCGGCCCTACGTCACCATTGCGCTGCAGATCCGGTGGGACAGGGCGCTGGGCGTGCTGTGGGCCATCTTTTCGGGCGAGATCTTGACCGTTATTGTGGTTGTTGCCGTCTGTAGACGGACGCCTATCCCGAACCGCAACCAGCTCACGTCGGCATGGCTGCTCAAGAGTGTTTCAATGCATTTGACGTCTGAAGGCTCAAGCCCTGGGGAGACAGCGGTCAGGCTAAGGTATGGGGCGAGATTGGGCAGTGATGGGATCTATGAGCTGGGCTTGTGGAGGGTTGACGAAGAAGGGAACGGGGTTGAGGATGGTTTCCCTCAGGGTCAGTATCGCTATACCAAGGAATGGGCGGCTCATGTCGATGCGGGCCTGAGGTGGCGCTGGCTGAGGAGATGGCTACATTGATATTGGATGCCAAGGTAAACGGCAGTGATGCTTGTAAAGTTAGAGATCCGCCGCTCCCTGCTAGGATGGAAGTTGACTCGGAAGTTATAATCATGGGGAGTATGAAAGCCGGATCTATGTCAAAATTCTCCCGAGCCTCTCAAGACCCAGTCCAATTAACCCAAAAGAGACCGGGTGATAACAGCCGGATGTGTCGCGTTGTTACTCAATACCTAGGTATGTTAGTCCTCACCCGTAAGGTGAAATCATTCCATCTCCGTCCCGATAAACACAACCAGCACAGCCGCATACGCCGCCACAGACGCCAGCACCGTCTCTCCCTTGAGATTCTTACCAAAAATCGCCAACCCACCCGCAAAAAGCATCGTCGCCACGGTAGTGGTGAGGAGCTGCGTGAGCAGATCCTCGCGCAGCACCATGACAAGCACGGGCACGATCAGGGCGACGCCGCCCGCCATACCCATCCCCAGGCGTTCCAGTAGCCTAGTCAGGTCAGTTTTTTGATGTTGTTCAGACCGCGACACACCCGGAAGGATGTTTCCCCGCCTTTCGTGCGCTTCTCCATCTCCGGCCGGGTCTGGTCGTTGTCGCTGTCCGGATGAGGGTTTGTCTGGAATCATGCCTGCTTCCTCCATGAGGAGGGCTTCGAGAGTGTGCCGGGTCGAGATCTGGAAAGGGTCGTCCATGTCGTTCTGAATACATTGCTTGACCTTGTCGGCCATGAAGTCGTAGTCGCGAATGGCGTTGGCTAGTAGGATGGATCCACATTAGACCAGATTCGAACGCCATGTCATATGAGGGTGGCAAGGTTACCACTGGACATACTATACTCGGCGAGCAGCTAATTTGCCTGATCCATCGACTCCTCGTCGGCCACTTCGCTGACATAGATGGTATGCACCACGTCAACAAGTTCCTTTTGCAACTGGCACAACACCATCCGTTGGAGGGTACTGAGGCAGATGTTGTATGCGTACGGCCGACTTGTCCTGGCGTATAAATGAATCTTCCCCGCCGCCGCCAGACGCTCGCCAAACGGGAGACCCTTCAGTTCAGACACCCGATCAGGACGTCCAAGGCGTCGAGCTCTTCCTGTTGTCGGTTGACGCCGCGATGGCGGAGGCCACTCTCTCTTTCGCGTGGCAGATGCTCCTGTCCGTGTCTCAGGTCTAGGGGACGGGCCTGCGGGTTCCGGCCTCACTGGGCTCGGGCGGGGAGTTGGCACTCGATCGACGGGTCTTTCAGGGGATGTTCCCGACTCTATCTCAGGTTTAGCGGACGGCCCTGAGGGTTCCGGCCTCACGGGGCTCGGGCGGCGACCTGGCACAGGATCGACGGGTCTCTCAGGGGGCATCTCTGGCTGCGACTGCGACGCTTGGTGCCTCCGTTGTGCGAATGCTTGTGCGCATCACCCGAGGGTGTGCCAGGAGGTCTTCAACCCGAACCTCCTGCCAAAGGTCTGTCTTACGTGAGAAAGTATCGTCCATTGCTGTCTTCTGTCACGCTCGCAACTCTATCGAGGATGTCCAGTGCCAGAGAGACGTGAGTTCGAGCAACGAGAGCTATATGACGCGGGGTAGCGGGTGGTTGATATCGACACGCCGAGCTCAGCCTTGCCAAAAATGAAAACTGTCAGGCGCTTAGTAAACCAACAACTTCAGAGTAGCATCAGCATCGAGAGACAACACGGGTCAAGCTGGGTCAGCCAGGGTGCAGGACCCCCTGCACAGGCCAAGAGTGTAGGTTCAGAAGCCATGGATCGAGGGAAAAACTCAGATTCCGTCATGTCATAATATCATGGGATCCCAACTGCCAGAGGATATCACACGCTGCCTTCCAAAAAAATATCGCACCAAACGCCCACTATACTATATCATCACTGTCGCTCTTCTGCTCAACGTGCCCAACAGCAACCTTGTCCTTCATCTCCCCGCCCGCAAAGGTGCTATGGGGCACCCACTTAGCGCTCGTGCGCGGTGTGGTCTCGGCCAGCATCTGGTCGACTTGCTCGAGCGTCAGACCCTTAGTCTCGGGCACGAGCAGGTAAGCATAGACGAAGCAGCCGATGCAGAGGGCACCCCAAATGTAGAACACCTTGGCGCCGAGATTGCCCTTATCCGAGTCGACCATGTAAGGCGTGATGATGGCGATGATGCAGTTCCCTGAAGAATTGTATTAGCATCGAAAGCATGTTGAGTCAAACTCCCTATACGGGTAAACTTACATAACCAGTTGGACGCGGTCGACAAAGCCACACCCTTGGCGCGCATGGGCAGGGGGTAGATCTCGCCGATGACGACCCACGCACCGGGACCCCAAGTGGTGGCAAAGAAGAAAATGTAGATACAGATGAAGGCGATCATGGCCTTGACAGCCATGTCGTCATCGGGGCGACAGGTGCCGACAATGGCCACGATGAACTCGCAGATCACCATGCCAAAGGCACCCCAGATGAGCAGGGCTCGCCGGCCGTAGCGCTCCATGGTGTAGAAGGAGACAGGCGTCGAGCAAACGTTAACAAGGGACGTGACGAGCGAGATGAGGAAGGGGTTCTGGATGGTCCCGAGCTGTTGGAAAAAGGTGGTGCCGAAGTAGAAGACAAAGTTGATGCCGGTCCTGATCAAAGTGTTAGGTGCTGACATTTACTGTCATGGGGAGGATCAACTGAGAACTTACCACTGCTGCATCATTTGCATCGACGTGCCCAAAACAGTCCTGCGCAGATAGCTGCTGCTGTCCCAGAGCGAGCCCCTGAAGCAATTCGCCCAGGCTTGGAAATAGTTGCCCTGAGGAGTGACGCTCATCTCGTATTCGTTGTTTGCGACAATTTCGGCCAGCTCGTCCTGGATATAGCTGGATTCGACTGGCTGATCCCTGAGCCGAGCGAGTGTGCCAGCAGCCTTGTCCAGTTCGCCCTTCTTGACGTAGTATCGAGGTGATTCAGGAAGCAGAAAGAGGCCGACAGCAAGGATGAGCGCCCAAGCCATTTGCAGTCCGATCGGGATCCGGTACGAGCCGCTATCGGTCCGGTTCTGGGTTCCGTAGTCTACCGCCGAGGCCAAGAGAAGACCGACAGTGACGCAAAACTGATATCCCGACACAATGGCGCCGCGGACCTTGCGAGGGGCGATCTCGGACATGTAGAGGACGATGATGGCCGAGACGAAACCGACACCAAAGCCAGACACAAGTCTGCCGGCCACAATCAAGCCCAGTCCTCCAGTAGCAACCTGCAGTATCACACCGACGATGAAGACGGCGCATCCCAGAATGACGGTGAAACGCCGGCCGATCCAGTCGGCAAGGTCACCAGCGATCAGGGCACCGAAGAAGGTACCGGCCGACAGGATCGACGTGATCAGGGACTTCTTCCAGGCCGGCAGCACTGTGACCCCGGGACCCTCCATAACCTCGATGAAGTACTGCATGCCCATGACACCCGAGATGTAACCGGAATCGTAGCCGAAAAAGATGCCGCCAAAGGCAGCAAAGACACACATCATGTATGTCTTGAAAGTTACCGGGGCCTCGACGCGCAAAACGTCGGCCGAGGCCACGGGCGGCGCTGCTCCACCTGGCATTTCGAGGCGAGTTTGTGCGTCGATGAGATGGTGTGGGCTTCTGGGGTGTGGCACGCCGAGAGAATGGATAAAGGAGGGTTGGCGAGCTGGGAGGGAGACGAGGCGCTGCTCTCGGCGGTGTTCCAGGAGAAAGTCGCTGGCAGGAAACGACCGGCGGGATACTGGAGGGGAAGGGCGAGAGGTTATATAGTAGTGCGCGTTAGAAACCCATCATCATTCCTCCAGCTTCTCCCGGAGATTACCATGCTGTTCCAGAATCCTGCTCTCTGGTTTTCCCCGGCCGGGGTCGACATCTGGGGAGTTCCTGCTGTCCACGTGCCTCCCACACTTTGCCTCTCTCTCCATGGGGATGGCCCCATACGGAACACATCTGGGGCACCCTTGTCCACTTGAACAGATTGCGAACATACGGCTGGGCCGACTCGAGACACGGGCCAGGCAGAGTTTGGCCGATATTGTGGGGATATGATGCTCAGGCTAGGCTGAGGGGTCACACCCCCCAACCGACGCTGCGGCGACTGCCGTGGATCCGGATGTTCATTACTGCTATGTAGATGCTTAGACGTCAGCTTGGGAATGATAGTAGGCAGAGGAGTTACAGGAGGTATAGGTATCACCAATACAATACCTACCTTACCTGTACTGTTGATACACAACTTGAATAGTGGGCTAAGGATCAGCCGCGTCCCGTTCTTTGAGATAGCTCGAGAAGAGAAAAGCCGCGCGTCGTCCAGTAACCTCGGCCCACCGAGCCCACCTGCGGAACACGAGAAATGAAAGGTGAAAAGGCGGCGACAATCCGTAGACGATAGGATTCCGGGTTATCCGGCGGCGTGCATTCGGTGGTTTTGTGGGAATGGTGGATTCCCGGGTGGAGAGCGGCCGTTCCGTACTCCGCTGGTGCTGCCTATCAGCCTCAGTGCCATGACTCGTCCGTCAGCCGAGCTCCGTCCCTGAAAATCCTTCGTTGCTGTTCTCTCTATTCTCTGCGTTCTCCCGTTCATTCGTCCCCGGGTCGCGGTTGCAGTTTGCTGGTTTGTGGACCGGCTGAAGCTGCGATGGGCCCACCTAGCACCATTTTTTTATTTACGTAGACCTTTTTTCGTATTTACGTAGACCTCCCACACTCCAGTGTCTACAACCAATGGGCATGCTCCTCTTCCCACCCATTTCTGCTGGGGAAAAGAGCAAGCCACAGGCCGGGCGCATGCGAAGTACTTGCCTGAGGTACGGAGGTAGAGGTGCCCACGCCCTCTTTCAATCTCTGGCTCTCTGGCTCTCTGGCTCTCTAGCTCTCTGGCTCTCTGGCTCTCTGGCCCTTTGGCCTTCTAGAGCTCTGAAAAGCTCAAATCTACGGTCGGGATCGGGCGCGTGAGTTTCAGCAAAGCTGACATAAGCACCCCGGGCCTTGTCCGCCCGGCCCCCGCAGTGCCGGACCGCCCGTGCCCTATCTTACCTTTGCGCCGTACCTCCATACAGCTAATTTAACTACAGATACCGCGGTCATGGAGCTGGTGCGGTATAGCTGGTGGTGATAATTTGACAATTGCATTGTCAACGCTAGGCTACATCTGTATATCGGCCGGAAAAGTCAGGCAGAGACTCCCATGCGCCCGGCCTGTGGCTTGCTCTTCTGCCCTGTAAAAGTGGGTTGGGAGGGGAGCGCGCCCATTGGTTGCAGACACTCAGGTAGGAAAGGTCTACGGAAATACGAAAAAGGGTCTACGTAAATAAAAGAAGTGACCTAGCACCTGCCGAAGCCAAGAATCCAAAAGACCCCCAGGGTCGCATTCCAGGAAGCAACTACCGCTAGTGTAGCCGAGACCAGTTGCTTGTTCTGACGTCGACGTCACCGTTCATGAACCCTCATCTTCTCTTTCCCTCGGTGGGGTGCTGACTGCTGAGTGCAACCAGCTACTGCCCCACATATGTTTTCCTCTTGGATTAATTGGAGGCATCCTCGTCTTTACCGTAGAAAATCCCAGTCGATATCTTTTCGATAGAACTGCCTTTCCAGAAGCATCGAGACCGCAGATAGGATTTTGCTCACGATCTAGCTTGGGCCGTTGAGATAACTTGGCCATGTCTACAGTACAGTACCCAACCCGGGGACTTGGGATAACGTCCCCCAGTCGGGCATCGGCCCGGGATGATGCAACCCTTCCAGAATCCGAACTTCTAATCTCAAAGCAGGTCAGGCACAGCTCAATAGGTATTTAACTTGACTTGAGGGCACAGCACTTAACGCAATTCACTTCCAGTTCCAGAATTCTTGCCAGTCAGAGCCCATGATGATCAGAGTGAAAACTGGCTGTTTGCCTGTTTGCACGAGGTTCCTGCGTGGCGTGCCAAGCACAACGTCAAGCGTGTTCCCCTCGAGTGGACTTCCCGCATTTTCAAGCATCCTATTGGCCAATTCCTCTCTTATCCTGGCTCTACAACGAAAGCAATGATGTCAACGCCGTCATGTCTCTCACAGCGGCTTGGGCTGAAGTCATCGGATGGGCAGTGGTTTGGTTGACACACTCAACTTGAGATGACACCACGGCCTACCGGAGGTCATATATGAGGTGATCATAATCAATGTATGTGCTGTATCCGTACTTCTCAAACCTCTTTGTGTTTGGATATTCCATCAGATCCGACTCAAACCTCTTGGTTCACTAGTGTACTGAAAAGACATCCGTGGGCATAATAAGCCAACCTGTCGGTAGTTGGAGGCTGAATACACTAGTTTCGACCCTATTATCCTCCCCTTACCGAGACCTACCTCATTACCCATGGCTACTTCTTCGATTCCCGGATCCTACCCCATTGACGACTCGCTGCCGCCAACTCCGGCCGAAACCCTGCAGCAACCGGCTCCGCCAGAGCAGCACCACCGCCAGCCCAACAAGCTACACAAGCCCAATGATCCTCGCGGGCACAAGTACGCCGATTCCGGTGTTGGTCTGACAGATTCGGCGCCCATCTATTCCTCCGGGCCGGACGAGCATGCACGAAATAGCCCCAAAGAAGATGTGGGTCAAGGTGATCGCATCAGGGATCACATCGAGCCGGCTGAACCTATCAAATCGGAGCCGTCAGAGCCTATCAACCCAGAGTCGAGAGAGGTTCCACCATCGCAAGACACTGGGAGAGAGGTGCACACCGCTGCAACGCGGGACAACGAGCAAACTCTCGGAACGGAGAACTCCTCTGGAGATTCCAGGATCGAGCACTCGGGCGGAAACCGCCAACATCGCAACTCTGCTCCCTACTGGGGAGACCTTCCCACGGGCGGAGGTGGCGGTATTTACAATTCTGTAACAGGCCATGGAAGTGCCAAAGACGACAGTGCCGAGCACAATCACCCGCGTAAACGGTCAGCATCCGAGAGGTCCCACATCAGTACTCCAATCGCTGAACACCCAAGGGGTGGCGTCTACAACACCGTGACTGGCCACGGGAGCCAGGATGACGAGAGCAAGAGACACAGGCAACCCCAAAACACTGACACACGAGATTCTGATGCCACTGGCCACACGCGTGGTTTGTTTGCTGCCCCTGTCCGGCTGGCAGACATCCCGGAGCAGACACAGAAGAAGCCTTCCGAGCCGACCACACCACGGCAACAAGGTCAAAAAGAACTTGTCCCCGGGATTGTTCCGGAGACCACTGTCAGGGATGACGTGCGGCTGGCCGAATCTGCATCGCGCGGGGACGCGGCCAGATCTCCGCATCGGGCGTTTCCCCTGGCGGCTGCCAATACAGAGACGAAGTCTGGCGACCGGAACCGTTCAGGAGCACGGGAGTCCTATGGGCCTGTTGCAGGAGCCTCCGGTCTCGTGGTCGGATCTGCCGTCACGGGCTTTGGGGGACAAGATTCAGGAACACGCCAGATTGATCAAGCCAAGCGACAGCCCGGAATCCCCAAGGGGGGCAATGGGGAGCACATCACAGGCGCAGCCGTTTCTCACAAGCATGAGAATGAGAAGCAGACATCACCTGTCCAAAAGACGAGAAGCCATGAAGATCATCCGACTAAGGGCGAGAAGAAGCATAAGATTCTTGGCATATTCCATCGGCATAAAGATTCCAGTCGTAGAGATGACACCTCAACTTCGGAACCCCGAAGAAAGTCGACTGGCGACCGCGGGGAATTGTCGAAGGAACAGCGAACGACGCGCAGTGCAAATATGGGTAACTCACCCAGCCGCCTTCGCAAGCTGAGCAAGACTAGGGAGGCTACGGAAACCAGGAGGTCGTCCGAGCTACCTGGACGCGATACTCACACTCGGCCTGGTAACGACAATGGCAAGGGCAAGTATGCAGTTGGGGCGGCAGCTGGGACGGCAGCTGGAGCTGGCGTTCTTGGCCTCCACCGCCATGAGAAGGACGAGACCGCCCGGGGTGGAAATACAGAAAGGCCTAGCGGCGCTGTGCCCGCCGGAGAAGCCGAACACCAATTCGAGGAGGTCTCAACTCCTTTCGAGCACCCGAGAGAGCCACCTCCGGTCCCCCCAACGTCCGGAGCCAAATTCAGCCAAGAAACAGTCACACAAGAGCCCGGACACTACAATACCCTTGATTCCGGCACAGCATCCGGTGTTTCCCGCAGCCCGCGTAACGCCTCGCCCGGAAGTGTGGGAGAAGGCGCAGTGTCAAAGGGCGAAAATGACTCTACACGCTACAACCATCTACCGTCCGGCACGCCCTCTGGCGTCAAAGTGCAGCCCGGGAAATCACAACACCATCATGATACTAATGGGGCCGTCACCCATCACACTCAAGACCAGGCTGATGTTAGCAACAACACCAGGGCGCAGCACGGGCTGTTCGTCGCGCCAATGCCCTCTTCGCATCATCACCGCAGCGAGGCGATCAACATGAGCCCGAATACTAAGATCATGGGATCTCAGGAACACCCCATGCAGCACCAGATGAGCCCCGAAGTGATGCCCGCGGCATACACAGCCTCAGCACCACGCAGTCGCGAGGAAACGCAAGATATTAACTCCGAGCCGGCTGAGCATCACATGAGCCCCGAGGTGATGCCCTCTGCCTATACCGCCCAGACACATGCGCCGCGTGGTCAGACCCAATCCCACCGGACTCAAAGTGGCATGCTGCCTACTACTACTACCAGCACCAGTACCAACGGAAAAGTTGGCGCACCGCCTGTGCTACCGCCTCTTCAAGGACTAGGGCAGAACAACTTTCAATCAGGCAATTCATCATCCCTTGGCAGGGATCCCGCTCTAGCAGCGGCCACGGCTTCATGGGGAACAACGACTGGTTCTTCCGTTGGTGGCGATACGGGAGCTGGACAAAAGGTGGTGCATAAATGTGTGCACTGTGGAAGGGAAAATGATATCAGCGGGTATTTGACTCGGGGAGGTTGACTTGGAGGCACTAGTATTGGGACTCAGCGCGCGTAAGGTGATTGGATTCGAAGCAGGCTATGGATCGAACTTGTTAAATGCAGGAGAGGGCAGGCAACATGAGCCGTGTGGTGTGTTTCGTTTTCTACGAAGGCAACGTTTTCTATGTGTGTTCCTAGCAAAGATACGTATCACTAGCAATGAGGTTTGTTTACGAGCTCGTTTGTGGGCATCGCAATCGTAGTCTGAGAAAAAATGCAGTGCAATGAATTTTCATATTCGCTGTTGAAGTCACTTGAATAGTAGGTACCGTGCAAGAGGAAGATTTCGGGCCACTGGGGATAGAAAATGAGGGTACAAGGGGTTATGTTGACGTCAGGGGTTAGTGTGGACCGGAATTCGGTTGCCAGAAAAAACCGAATTACCATAGTGGCCATGGAATTGAACATTGCGTCACGGTATAACCCCCCAACCCTTTGCTGTAATCATGCTCAATCAACAGACGGATGGGCGATCATTAGATTGTCACACCTCGTATAATAGGGCCAGCCGCTGTGTGTCGCTTAGCAACAGGTATGAAAGTATACGTCCAAGGTGGACTCAAGCCAAACATTCTAGCATCGGACTATCAGTATTATGTTACTGTATACTTACCCACCTCCTAACTACCTACTGGATATCTGCCTACTACCTAGCTACCTATTCCAAATGAGACTATCAGATCTTACAATGTAACGTATCCATCACGGAGCAGAGTCTGGTATCCTTTCCCAACTGAGTTCCCCACACGTCGGACTCCTCCCGCTGATTCCTGCATCCTCCTCCCTTTGAAAGACTGTGTCTCACGATTAAGCTCCAAGCTCCTCGTAGTGAGGGAGCTTCCACGCACCGACATCGTCGCTTCCAAACCGGCTCGCCAGCTTGTCGATGCGCAGCGTCACAATCAACCAAGCGACCCACTGGAGGAACCCGATGCCCCAGCGGGTCTCGGGCAGGAGAAATGTTCTGAAGAGTTTGGGTTGTGCGCTGTTCTGCACATCCAAAACAAACGGCTTGTATGTCTTTTCATATCCTGACAGCGCCGCGGGTATGTGTTGGGCCAGGTTGGTTCGCCCCTCCTTCACACCCTTCGCACATGCACGGGCAACTTCCCCAGCGAGAACGTAGGCACCGGCAAGGGCGAGCGTGGTCCCCATACCTGTCAAGACGGTCGGGCAATAACCCGCATCTCCAAGGAGCGTCACGTTTCCGCTCGACCATGTATCCAGCCGTAGCTGCGCTACGTCCTGGGTATACCAGTCGTCGGCGAGTTGAGAGTTCATGCCGTCCAGAAATCGGGGCAGCTGCGCTTGTGAGGCTGCTGCCGCGTGCTCCCCGAAAAGCCTGGCGTATACCTCCTTCTGCTCCTGGACTGTACCATGTTTCAGAGCCCTGGAGAGCTCGTCGTTGTGCCCTCCATACACGAAAGTCACGCGCAGGCAGTCAGGGCTGTCCCTGCGCGTGAGGATCATTTTCTTCCCGGGAAGATGACAGACGACAGCGAAGTTTTCGTCACTTTCGTGTGGTGGAATGGTGAAAAGGGCGAGGGCGATCCCCATGGACCGTATCTGATTTGGCTTGCCTGCAAACATTTGCTTGCGAATGCGTGACCCGATCCCGTCGGCTCCCACGAGCAAATCATACTCGTCCTCGCTGCCGTCGGACAGTGTGACGCGCACTCTGCCGCCGGCCAGTTGGGTGAAGCTCTCGACCGAGACTCCAAAGACGTACTTGACGTTGGGGGCGTCCCGGGTGAGGTCGTAGAGGATGTCGCAGAGATCGCCGCGCATGATCTCCCATTCCGACGTGAAACCCTGCGCGCCCTGGCCCGTCTTGTTGGCCTCCAAGCAGGCCTGCAGCTTGCCGCGCATATCGATCACCTTGGCGCCCTGCTCGTCGACGCCTTTCGCGCGGACGGCGGGCTCGATGCCCATCCGCCGCATTGCGACGATGCCCTGCCCGCGCAGGTCAATCTGCTGGCCCGAGTCACGCAGCTGCGGGTGCCGCTCGATGACTTTGATGTCACAGCGGAGGGGAGACGGCAGGCGCGTGAGCCAGTAAGCGAGTGCGGGACCGGCCATGCCGGCTCCCGAGATGAGGACCTTTAAGGGCGCTGGCTGTGGCTGCGACGTTGTTGCCATGTTTGTTGGAGTTTTGGGCGATCGAAGTTGGTCAAAAGTTCAATGTTGGCGAGAAGGGAAAAAGTGCTGTCGTCATCAAGATTGATTCAAACGCAAGTTGGTTGGTCCTAGTCCTTATAAACGGCGTGCCGTGCCGTTACCTTAAGCAGAGCAAACCTGGATCAATCATGTCATGACGCTGGGCGCTCATTTAGTTTCGTGCTTGGTCCCAATATCCAAATCGAATACTTTCTTGAGACGTAGTCGGTGATTATCGCGGCCGACAATTCCTTCGTCTGGCCTCGTCATCCCGATGGGTTTCAGAGCCATGATGACTCAGACCGAGATGTACCTAGTTTGCAACGCAGGAATGGGATAATCCTTCGTACCATTCGTACGCGGCTTCAGCATTCGGAAATGTAACGGTGCGGGCGGGAGAAGTCGGCCTCGGACACGCTCGCCCCCCGAGAATAAACCACATCACCGAATAAAGCGAAAATCCGGCAACGTAGCAGTCTGCAGTAGCCAGTGTGGTTGCAACTTGCAAGCCACTTGCAGCTCGCTATGCTGCCTGGACTTGGTAGTTTACGACTCGATCTGTCGCAACAATCCATCAATTTGCCAGTTTGCAGACTTCCATCTTCACCTCTCAACATCAATGCTCTGGCTGACAACCCTACAGTATGGGTGCAGTTGGAAGGCGCGTCTGCGCGTCATTGGCCACGCAGATGGCCTGAGCCACATTTCGCTCGGAGATACAACGGCCATGATAGCGCAAAGAACACCTAATTCGTTTTGTATGCTAAAAACGATGTCTGCAAAGAATTGAGGTAGCCAGTCCCAGGGATTAATAAGGCAGAGACCGAACTTGCCTCAGCTGGAATACTGCTGACGTAGGCAAGAGCGTACATACATCAGCACTGTGTAAGACGGTAAAACCCGACCCCCCTGCTACCCGTCCTTCACCACCTTCCTCGGCGCCCCACCCGCAAAGCTTAGCCTTGACGTTCGCTCCTCCTTTGACACCTGCCACTGAGGTACGGAGTACGTGTACAGCACATAGACAAGGTAAGGGACACCTTACATACCTTAGGTACACCTACTACATGTAGTACGGATGTATGCTGTCATCCCTTCAGCAGCGCTGGAACTCTCAACACGCCGCACTTTTCGAATTTCCATAATTGCCATGATTACCTACCTAGTCACTTTATCCGTCATTTGTCACAGATCCGCCCTCAGACCGCCCTACGTGCGGTAGCGACTGCTTGCTGCCATCCATGTGCCAGCGCTTCCGCTATGGCATGAGGAGGTTTTAAATCTCACTCGCCCAAGGTAGGTAGTCTTGCTTGTCCCATCCCCGTTTTCCATCTTCGGCTTGATCATGCTCCACTCTAGAACGACACTGCACAAGAAGCTTCAAGCTTGGGGTACCAGCATCCTGAGCTTCTGTCTAGAAAGTTTAAGCCGAGGCCTCAATGCACCCCGACCCCGCCCTATGCCGCGCTCGCTCAGAGTTGAACTTTGCCTCCCTCTGCTAGCAGGAAGTTCAACACCATCGTATCATGGAAGTACCGCAGGACGAAGTATAACTCGGATCTTCCGGGCGCGCTACCTTATAGCACCCGTTCATCAGACTATACGGTGCTCATGATATGATGATTCTGGGCGCCAACGTTGCTCAGACACCGACGCTGTCCAGCTCGCCCCAGATTCACAACTTCTTCTTTGGCAGATATCCCCTTGCAGCAGGAGAAGAGTCCCAAAGATCGGGATCGGAAGATTGTTAACGCTCCGGGATGGACATCATCGTTAGGGACTGGATTTGCCTCCCTGTAATCTTGAGATTCCCGACGGGAATGGCCCATGTGCCAATATGCAACGCTGTCTCCATTCGCTTAACGATATGCAAGCGCTCCTGAGCGACTAGGCCAGGCCCTCTTTGTTCACAGAACTTCTTGTCATTTTTCAACAATGCGTCGATACTTACCATCATTGGCCCTATAGTTCCAGTTGAACAAAGTTGTATTCCCTGGAGCCCGAACCGGACTACCCTGACGCTGCCCTCTACTCCATACTTCTCATAGACACCCACATAGGTGAGCCACCTAATTGTATCCTCTTGTTCCTAACAGGACAGGGAGAGTTGATACCTGCTTCGAGATCATACTGATCGATGGAGGCTCTGAGGTCCTGCCCTACCCTCCGAGTCGCAGAACCGTATCTTGAACCGGCTCCTCCCGGAGTCCCGGGCTTGTCGAAACTCGAAAGCTCATTACTGCTACTAGCATGCCGACGCCAGTGACGGCCAGATTGGGCGTTGGGTCGGTGACGACCGGCGAACCCCTGGTATTGTACGTTTCCGTGTTTCATATTGTTTGCCGATTGCACTTCAGCTCCAATATACTCTACAAGACATCAGGCTTCTTCTGCTTTTATCATGTGACAATCAACAATATAGAAGAAACCCACCCAGCTGCCAGCTCGTGGCGTAGTGTGACTCAATTTGACTGTTTTCAGGATGCTGATCGAGGAGTCAAAGGGTTTACTCATAGGCAAGAGTGGAGATAGGGGGAGAACCGCGAACTCACAGAGAAATGCAAAGATACCCGGTACCTACGGTATAATGAGTGGGAGAACGGCCTGGCGGTATTGGAGAAGCAGCTAGTATGAGTAGGAACCTAGTGACGAAAAGGGAATGAAGAACATTGGGAGGGATTGGAGGATACATGTACAGTACGTTAGTATTCCCACTCGTTGCAGTGGTGTTGTTCCTTTTCAAGCTAGTTTTGACCACTACTTACCTAGGTGATGCAGTGGTATATCGAAAGGGAGGAGCCTGTACGGAGTCAATGGAAGATGTAAACTTGATCCACCGATCTCTTCTCCCCCTTCCGTCCTCGGAGGATTGCGCGAGCTCTATCCTACTCTATAACGTTACCGGTTGATTCAAGGTCGCCTTGAGTACAGGTAGGCACCCAGGGTTCATCAACAGAGCGTTTCAATATACAAATACTTTGCTCCATCCCTTCCGGGTTTCCAACTGAAGTGAGAGGATACCGGGATCATGAGGGGTCTGACACCAATTGATTACGACGCTCCGCGGGCAAGACCCTCAAGTCGAAACTGGCGATGTCAGTCCCTACCCAAGTAGGCATGTAGGGGGGTGTCAGGGAGTACTAGTATCAAACGACTGGTATCAAGGAGAGGACCATGGTAAACCCCAGGTTTCGCCATTCGACTCTTCGAGTTTTCTCGATGGCATTCCCACCGACCTCGATCCGACATCTGGACTCCTTGGAGATCCGACACAGAACTGTGGGTCAAACAAGTGGCAGTAAACCAGCGGTTTTCTTTTGAGCGCTGCGGTTCTTGCAGTGGCAAAGCCAAGAAAGGGGCGATACACGCCCTTGTCTGTGCCAAGTCAGCGCCAAATCGCCATAGCCAATGTTGAGCCGTGGCACTTTTTCCGCCCAGTTACAGCCAAGCCTTGGCAAGTCTTGCGCCGAGAAATAGGGCGCTTCAGTGCTGATCTCAATGCAAGGCGTTCCTGACAAAAACTGTTTTGTTGTTGATAACGGCTGGGTTAGTTATGCAATACGCGTTGCAACCGCAGCGTCTCTCCCTACCTCTTGAACCGCAGCGTCTTGGGGCTGGCGTTTCGACTTTCGAGGCGATACACTAGCGTAGCTTCGGTTCGAATTGCTTCATGGCTCTTCCCAGAGCCTGGTTGGGCGGTGCTGGGGAGGTTTTCAACCCCAACCGCACAGCGTCTTGTTCATGATCAACGCCTTGGCACGGGGGCTTCTTCGTCTTTTTTCCTTTATGAGTTAGGAAACCAAGTCATCTTGCGGATCTCCTAGCGCAGGCGGGCTATGCTTAAAGACAAGCGAGATCTTCGGTCATTACAACCCGGTGATGGTTTTCCCACTCTCATTTCGCCCTTTTCTTGTCTATTCCTTAGAGGCTCTGGTAGCCTGGTAGTGTGGCTGGGTCCTGGATGTGCTCATTTGTTGCTTAAGTCCATCTTTTTCTTCCCTTTCTTGTCACTTCTCCTTTTCGTTTCCTGCCCCCTTTTGCCCTGTGTGGACGGGACGAGTCTTCTTCCCCTTGATCACAAGGTCTTGCTGGCCAAGAAATTGATTTTCAGCCGCCAAACCAGCCAAGGCCTTGGCTGTTAAGCAGCCGCCGAAATGCCGAACCTCGATGTCAGCGAGCTCAACATTGTCTTGAGCGTGTTGGGTAGGCAAATCATGGGAACCTAGGAATAACGATGACGTTGCGGATGCTGACGGCGCTCACCAGGCGCCTTCATCCTGCTCTATGGCATCATTTCGGTCTTGATCAAGAGCCGATGGTTCTTGGGTGAAGCTCGTGAGCATGATCCAAGCCCTCGGGTCGAACCAATTCCCTTGGCCCTCGCCGTCTAACCACTTGAAAGTTCCCGCTGTCGCCATCGGAGTGCTCCTCGGGCCCATCGCGGCAAAATTCCTCGACAGCTCCCGATGGGGTTCCGCCGCCGAGGGCCAGACGAGTGACATCTCGCTCGGCGTCGCCAGAGTGGTCATTGGCGTCCAGCTGGTCATCGCCGGTTTCCAGCTGCCCGCCAAGTACCAGCAGACACGGTGGAAGGAGATGGCCATCTGCCTGCTGCCCATCATGACCATCATGTGGCTCTGCACGACCCTTTGCCTACTCGCCACTGTGCCCAACATCACCCTCCTCGCTGCTCTGGTCATCGGGTCGTGCGTGACATGCACCGATCCCATCCTGTCGCAAGCCATTGCCAAGGGTCCCTTTGCTGACAAGTTCGTCCCCCGTGACCTGCGCGAAATTATCTCGTCCGAGGCCGGTGCCAATGACGGCTTTGGCTTCCCCTTCCTCATGCTGGCGACCTATCTGATCCGGCACGCCGATATTCCGGGCGCGGGCACACATACGGCTGAAGCTGCCAGTTCTCACCACGAACGTGCATTCCCTCTGCTCGCTCGCGCAGGAGATGTCGGACGTCTCGGCGGAGGCGTCGGGGTTGCGATGAAGAACTGGTTCGTTGAAACGTGGCTATACATCGTCATCATGTCCGTGGCCATCGGAGTTGTGGTGGGCTTTGCTGCTGGAAAGGCGTTGAAATTCGCGCTTCGCAAGAAATGGGTCGACTCGGAGAGCTACCTCCTCTACCCCACCGCCGTCGGCGTGAGTTCTTCCCTCCTTCCCCATGTATGATAAAAGGTGTGGTTGCTGATCCTGGAATTTTCACATGCCTTGTAGCTTTGGCTCGTGGGAATGTGCGGCATGCTCGGGACTGACGACCTACTCGCCTGCTTCGTCGCCGGCAACGCCATGAACTGGGACGGCGACTACCTCCGTGAAACCGAGGCACGCCACGATGAGGTCAACTCGTGCATGGACGTCCTGCTCAACTTTGGCGGCTTCATGTACATTGGCACCATCATCCCGTGGAGCGAGTTCAACCAGCCGGACGTGACCGGCCTGACATATGGCCGTCTCATCGGTCTGGGCGTGCTCGTCCTGCTGTTCCGGCGCATCCCTGCCATTTTGGCGACGTACAAGTTCATGCCCAAGGTCTGCAAAAACATCAAAGAGGCCGTTTTCATGGGTTATTTCGGGCCGATCGGCATTGGAGCCGTCTTTTACGTGGAGCACACGCGCCATCTGTTCCCCGAGCTCGGGGAGGGCGATGCCGAGGAGACGAACCTCGTCCGCATCATGATTCCGGTCGTGTACTGGCTCGTGCTCTTCTCCATTGTGGTCCATGGCCTCTCGATCCCGGCGCTCCATGCAATCTACCGCTTCTACGGCGTCAAGCCTATCCAGGAGGATGCAGTCGAGCTCCGCCGCACGTCAATGTTCGTGCCTACGCCGGTCAACGCCACTGTCGGAGACGACAGGACTACCTTTATCGCCTATAACCGCTTCTCCAGGCCCGTTTTTAGAGCGCCGAACTTGCCCGTGGCGAGGGACCGGAACAGTCTGGAGTTTGTTGTTGCGGACGAGAAAAGGGGCGCCGGACGAGTGTGATCCGATCGCGTGGGAGATTGAGATTGCCGTCAGGTAGACAGGAGCTGCTTCTCCGACCACCGGGACTCTTCCCCTGCGTTCTTCGCTGTCATTTGGGCAAGGGTTGGACGCGTGAGAATGTAAACGTAGATGAACACTTACCCAGTCACTCATTTGATTTCGTGTAGCCCTGTGGGGGATGTACAAGAAGCATCTGCTACATGAGCGGTCAGAGGTGGAGAGACTACACATTAGGCAGGGGGCAGAATAGTTCAGAAATTATAGCTCTTGTAGTACACGATATAGAGAGGGACTGGGAAGAGATCGCCGGCTCAATTTCTACGTCAAGTCAGCTATACCGTCTTGGACGAACTCAAGGACCGCTGAATAGTGGACCCAACTTTTGTACCCACATTTGAGCTTCAGGCGTCTCGAGTCTTGGCAAGATGGAGCGGAGGAAGGGCGCTGGAAGTGGCGGTGTGAGGGAATGATCGATGACGGAAATCCTAGTATATATAGCGCGTAAACAAGCAATGCAATGCACCATCTTCAGCGATACCAGGGCCAGGACAGGATGAACCACCTGCTCAAGCCCTCATCGCCATCAAGTCCACCATTGAATCGACCGATCCAAACGCCGCCCTCAGCCCGACATCCACTGTCCTCCTGTACCTTAGGAGAAGCAGCACCCCGCCCGCCAGAAGGGGCAGCCCGACGGCGCCCACCAGCCCACGTACGAGCACGCGGCCCTGATGCTCGCTGCGGGCCACCACCTCCGAGTACCTCTCGTTGCCAAACGACACGCGCGCGTATTTCGTCTGCCAGCCGAGCGCTGGGAGATACTTGGATAGGCTTTCCTCGATGAACTTGCGGAGCCTGTAAACGGGCGACAGGACCGAGGCACGCATCTCGACATAGTTTTGCAGCGCGAGGTCGTTGATGGCGTGGGCGTCGGGGATGCGCACGGCCGAGTACTCGGCCAGGGCGCGAGCGCGGGATGCGGCAGCACGGTCGCTGCTGTCGCCGCTGCTCTCGCTCAGGAGCTCGTCCATGCGCGCGTGCTTGTCCAGAATGTCGAACAAGATGCGCACGTCCTCCAGCCCCGCGTTCATGCCCTGCCCGTAGAACGGCACCATGGCGTGTGCGGCGTCGCCGAGCAGCACAGCCGAGGAGCCGTAGTGATGCGGCTTGCACTTGATGCTGATGAGCGGTAGGTGTGGGTTCTGGCGGAACGAGGAAATCAGCTCCGCCGGTGGGATGAGGGAAGTCACGCCAGGGAAGTGTTCGTCGAAGAAGGACGTGATGAGAGAGCCGGTTGAGTCAGATTCTAGCCGCTCATAGAGAGAGGCCGGCGCGAAGAGGGTGCAAGTGAAGGAGCCGTCCTACAAGAACATTAGTTCGTAAAATTCTTGAGGTACCTCAGCTGGAGGGGCATTGTACTTCGCTAGGAATGGCTATGAACAAGAAATCCCGGCCTGGCCAGATGTGCAGATGATTCGGCGATATCCGGAACTTGGATTTCAAGGCTGCATCCGGGGGTGTCGGCTTTTGTTGGATCTGGAACTCGCACCACAATGTGTCGATGTATAGTTGCTGGTAGTCCATGCGCGTGTACTTCATCATGTGGTACCTAACCGCAGAATGAGCACCATCGGCGCCAATCATGAGGTCAAAACCAGTCTCAATCTCGCGAGCTCGCTGCCCTTGATTGTCGGCCTCTGTTCCCCGCACTTCGAACCATGCCTTGTTCCTCCGGAAATCGGCCCCTGTAAGCTTATGATTGAAGAAGAAGGTGACGTTTGGCATCTCCTCCAAAATGTCAAGCAGCCGCTTGTTGAGGCCGCCGCGGTCGATGGCGAGGATGGCCTATGATGTCAGCTCTGGTTGCTCAACCGAGCGGGTACGCAGGGAACACACTCTGCCATGAACATCGTAGGCTTGCGATTCCTCGTAGAGTTGGCCATTTGCTCGCCGGCCGTGGATCATGCGGCCGTGCATGGGAATGGTGGCACTCAGGACATGATCTATGAGTCTCGCTTGGCCTGCATGGCGCATGGCATTGAGACCACGTTCTGAGAGCGCCAAGTTGATGGATTTGGTGAAGTTTAGTGGCGTTGTTGAGGGATCACGAAGATCTGAGACATGCTGTCAATCTTGATAGAAGACCTATCGGCGTGTTGCACCTCCTTTTTCGAGTCTCACAGCAACAAATCAACCAACCGTGGCTTTGAACAAAATAGGGGAGAAAGGGAAAATAATCCCGAAAAAAAGGTACTGGGAACTCACCACTCCGAAGTTCGTAGATTTCAACGTCATGGCCCCTATTTGCTGCGTACAATGCCGCAAGGGAACCCACCGGGCCGGCGCCAACAACCAGTATTTTCTGTCTCTTCGCCATTTGCGAATCGGGTATGTGCAGGTGAATCAAAAGCGGTTGAGTGCAATGATCCCTTCCGACACATCCAGTGGTCTGATGATATCCTGCCCCACACCGGCTATGCTCGGCGATAAGCTTAGATAGACTGATAAAGAAGCGATAACTGCATTCTCTGCAATAACCCTGACCTGAGCCAAACGGTTAGGTAAGCAAGCTGCTGGATCTGCCACTGTCGCGGGCGGGGCGGGCGGCGGCAGGCGACACCTGTCTCAGCGCCCATACCCGCCACAGTTGTGGGGCAAAAAATGCAGTTTCAGCCTCCAGGAGACCTACCCGACAGCCTTGAACGGCAATCACGATCATATGGTTTGACCTCTTTGAACCACCTCATTCTTGAACAACTTGCTTACTCCGCTTAAAATTCCTAAGAGAGTAAGGTAACAAGTTTGTCTTGCAAACAATTCCCTAATATCTGACACATCTACCAAACGAACTCCATCGCCCTCCGCTCTCCCAAATTCGAACAACAATGGCTGAAGAACCGCCCACCAAGAGGAAATGCCTCGGTGTTGACTGCGAAAACGACGCCAGCGCCCTGCAATGCCCCAAATGCTTAAGTCTAGGCATCAAAGATAGCTACTTTTGCTCGCAGGATTGCTTCAAGAAGAACTGGGTACGCCGCGATTCGCTTTCCCCCCTCGCCTTCAACGCCCCGCCCCGCTTGTGCTGACCGGCTGACCTGCACAGGCTACCCATAAGGAAGTCCACAAGAAAGAAAACAGTATTTTAAACCACTTCTTTCCTCCAAAGGTCGTCTCTAAACCTGATCCAGAAACCGGATACTTCAATCCTTTCCCGAGCTTCCCGTTCACCGGCCCCCTCCGGCCGGTCTACCCGCTCTCTCCGAGGCGAGAGGTGCCCAAGTCAATACCGCATCCCGATTACGCCGAAACTGGGATTCCCAAGGCCGGCAGGATTAGGGGCAACAAGATTGAGCAGCTAGATGCCAAAGGACAGGATGCTATGCGCAAGGTGTGCCGGTTGGCGAGAGAGGTGCTGGATATCGCGGCCGCCGCAATCCGGCCGGGCATTACGACGGACGAGATTGACGAAATCGTGCACAAGGCGTGCATTGAGCGAAATGTGAGCCAGCTCCGCGTGTTCTGGCAGGTTTCCATCGGCTAATCCCTGACCCAGTCCTATCCGTCACCCCTGAATTACAACCATTTCCCAAAGTCGGTCTGCACATCTGTAAACGAGGTCATCTGCCACGGCATCCCCGATAAGCGTGTGCTCCTAGACGGCGATATCATCAACCTCGATGTGACCCTCTACCATGAGGGCTACCATGGCGATCTCAACGAGACGTACTACGTCGGCGACCGGGCCAAGGCGGATCCTGACTCGGTCCGTGTGGTTGAGACAGCGCGCGAGTGTCTTGAGGAGGCCATCAAGCTGGTCAAGCCCGGCACACTGTTCCGCGACTTTGGAAACGTGATTGAGGCGCACGCCAAGTCCAGGAATTGCAGTGTCATCCGCACTTACGTCGGCCATGGGATTAACCGGATTTTCCATTGCCCGCCCAACATCCCGCACTATGCCAAGAACAAGGCGGTTGGCGAGTGCAAACCAGGCATGACCTTCACTATCGAGCCCATGATTGCTCTTGGCAAGTACCGGGACGTGACGTGGCCTGATAACTGGACCAGCACGACGGTTGATGGCAAGAGGACAGCCCAATTCGGTAGGTTCCCCATGCTTTCGCGTATCTAGCTCTCGGCTGACAACTCTGTAGAACACACCCTGTTGGTAACCGAGACGGGCGTTGAGGTTCTGACCGCCCGGAAGCCTGACTCTCCTGGTGGCCCGATCCCATTGCCTGCCCCTAATGGAACGAGCTAAACTGGAATCCATGAGATAGCTGGCGCAGTTGACTGCACCTCTGGGTCTGCGAGTTCAAGATACCCCACGCGCTCGCCATGATAGAAAATCAACGTGAAGGCGGCGGTCTCTCTCAAGTCCTGTCCTCGCATATCTTACCCGCTTGTATGCTTGTTGAGGGTTACCTGATTCCCCCTGAAAACCGTACCAGGCTTGAAAGGCAAGTTTGTAGGGGCATTCTTTAACTCTGGGGCCTACTTTGTACTTCGTAGACCAGTCCGCGGGAGGGTTGCGCAGACTGGAATCATCTCGCCAGTCATTTGGGCAGGCATTGGACTGGCGAACCCCACTTCCCCTCGGCGAATCCAGTGAAGCAGGTTGCAGCGACAAAGCTTGGGCCACCACGGAAAACCCAGCTGCCCGCCCAGCTCACATCATCTTCCCTCGCTACTGCTGTCAACTACCAAACAATCCGAAGCTAGCTTATCTACAGCTTTCCTCTACTAGTTTCGCTTTCTCCTCTCGTCTGTTCACCGGCTGCAAGTACGGGCAAAAGCTGCTTCCATCCTACTGGCACTTAGAAGCCCTATAGCGACATCGGCAGAACGCGAAGAGCTCCGCAACCGTCTATCCTCCTTGCGGCCGTACAAGCTTGTGATCGTGGTCGCATCACACCTGTTCGTCATACATATCGTATATCCGACGAGTGCCTCTTAGGCCTTTAACGAAGCTCTTGACACGTATTACAGACGTTTGAGTCGTATCAGCCTCGATCTTCGATTTCTTCCCGGTTCAGACTCGCCGAAATGTCGGGAGAGGCGTGGTTATACCTTTTTGCCGTCATTATAAATGCGGTCAACCTCTTCCTTCAGGTGTTCTTTACCATCATGTACAGCGATCTGGAATGGTATGGCCACCTTCACCTCGAAACTACAAAATGGGCGACTTGGTGTGGCAGCGAACCGATGAGCGTGAAGCCCTGCCAAGTTGCTCAGCTACGTCATATCCACTGTTGCCTGCGCTCGCTTTCTTCCCTTACCACGTTGCTGACCTCTTGTGCTCGTACAGCGACTACATCAACCCGATTGACCTCTGCAACCGCCTGAACACTTACATCATTCCCGAAGTCGCCGTCCATGGATTCCTGACCTTCCTGTTCCTGATCAACGGATACTGGTTACCCTTGATTCTCAACCTGCCGCTCCTCGGCTGGAATATCAAGAAGTGCGTGGCTATAAGGGGACATGTGAGATAAGCTGTGCTAACTGGACGCAGGATTATCGACAACACCCACCTCCTAGATGCGACGGAAATCTTCCGGAAGTTGAACGTCCACAAGAAGGTATCAGCGTCTAGCCTAATCCCAGGAGACCTGGAGCTGGAGCTAACAGCCTGTCACAGGAATCTTTTACGAAACTTGGTTTCCATCTCGTCCTGTTCTTCTTCTACCTTTACAGCATGATTGTCGCCTTGATCAAGGACGAGGCCCACTAAGCCCCTCACCGCTAGTCCTGTTCAACTACCGCCTTTCTCCCCGCCTCGGGAAACTGGCCGTTTCGGGGAAAAGCGTGGTATGTACAACGACATGGGGGCTATCGCGCGAATGAGACACGGCGTCAATCTATATAGACTGGTTCGGGCGGCCTTGGTCGAGGTGACTCGACACGTTGATACGGCGGGATGGGGTATGAGTACGAACCGTATGAAGAACGAAGAGCATGGCGGATAATGAACGATTCTGGGGTTGGGTTCCGGGGGGCCTGTGTTGGCTAAGTCTTAATTCCATCCGTCTGGGGTAGCCAAGATGTTTCCACGTGGGTTCGGATGTCAGGCTGGCGGCTTAGATCTGGTAGACCTCTGGACAGCGTAAGGTATATGGCTGGTTTCACTTTCATTTCTTCCGGATTGGGGGAGTCACGGCCGGATTGTCCTAGGTATTGTCTCTTGCAGGAGTTTCTCGGTCATCAACACCTCGTTGTACCAAGTTGACGAGATTTGGGGTTTGCGGCGTCTCTTGGCTGGGGCAGTAAGACTGCGTATGTACATGGGTGTAATGCTTACCTACCTAGGACAACAAACACACATGAGCCTTGTTGAAGCCCTATTCTCAGCTCTGCAGCAGTGTCTGTGATGCAATTGAACGCTAGCCTTCACACGAAGGTAAGTTGTGGACCGTGCGTTCACAGTCTCTTATCTTATCAGCTCCTGCCCAAAATGCCCTGTAGGTTCACTGGTTGCCATCGCCGGTTCCAATCCCATCGATCAGTAACCAGACAATATCCACGCAATTCCTTGACTGCGACATATCACACTGAACAAAGAGATGGACAGCTTTAGCGAGTACCCGCCAAACCTGTCCGTCAAAGATGCCCTCGTAGTCCGTCAGGCCCAGCCCGCCGACCACGCGGTAGTGCCCTACACGGGCGACGACCTCGCGCGCCCGCGCCTCGGGCCGGCGAACCCCTTCCGCGACGACTCGGCAGCCTCAACAGCGGCATCTGCGAAAAAGCGCAAGAATGTTCTCACGGGGCATGCCGAGGAGACCTTCATCTCCGAACATACCTTCCGCGCGAAGCACCGCGCCATCGAACGCGCAGGGCTGCCCGAAAGAGAGGGCATGAGCAACAGGGAGCTGAAGGAGGTCAATAAGAATCTGAGGGCATCGAGGGAGGGGAAAGGCGATGCCACCGTTGCAGACGGGGACGGGGCGTACGTAGGCCCCTGGGCGAGGTTCAAGAAAAAAGAGTATGAGCTCGTTGAGGTCGAGGAAGGGCACGAGGAAGGGAGTGAGGGCGAATACGAGATTATTGAGGAGGGGGAAAGTGACGAGGAGGAGGAGGTGGTACCGAGCGGGACGGTGGTGCCACCGCCGGCCGAGTCGCTAGCGCGGAGAAAAGAGGTGGAGGAGCTGGGCGACGAGACGACCACCTTCCATGCGGAAAGCGAGTACGACTATCTCGGCAGGACGTATATGCATGTGCCGCAGGATTTGGACATCTCGTTGACGAAGGAGGTTGGGAGCGTGACGAATTACATCCCCAAGAAGCTCATCCACACGTGGCGCCACCACGGGAAGCCGATCACGGCGCTGCAGCTGTTCCCGCGCTCGAGTCACCTCGGCTTGTCGGGCGCCGCGGATGGCATGGTCAAGATTTGGGATGTCTACCGGCAGAGAGAGCTGCTGCGAACCTTTGCTGGGCACAACAAGGCCGTCACGGACTTGTCGTTCAATAATGAAGGGACTAAGTTCCTGTCGGGCGGGTTTGACCGACGGATTCGGCTCTGGGACACGGAAACGGGGCAATGCATTAACCGCTTCAATTGCGGCAAGACGCCGCATGTCATCAAGTTTAACCCCTCCGCGGAGAACGGGCACGAATTCCTGGCAGGCCTCTCCGACAACCGCATTTTGCAGTACGACAGCCGTGCCAGCAACGAGACGGTGCAGGAATACGACCATCACTTGGGGGCCATCAACACGATCGAGTTCATCGACGAGAACAGGAGGTTCATGTCTACATCGGACGACCGCTCGCTCAGAGTATGGGAGTACGGTATTCCGGTTGAGATCAAGACGATCAGGTATGTTGGCCGTTGGATTTATGTCTCTCTCTCCGCCATATGCTAACTTGCTTCTCAGTGAACCGGACATGTTCGCCCTCACAAAATCCGCCCAGCACCCTAGCGGCAAGTATGTTCTCTACCAGTGCAGCGACAACTCCATCATCGCCTACTCTTCCGGGTCGGACAAGTTCCGCCAGCACCGAAAAAAGGCGTGGCGCGGCCACAACACGGCAGGCAGCGCCATCGGGCTTACCTGCAGTCCAGACGGCCAGTTCGTGGCCTCAGGCGACACGGCGGGCAGCGTCTGCTTCTGGGATTTCAAGACGTGCAAGATGTACAGCAAGCTCCCCGCAGACAGCTCAGGCGGCACCATCAACTGCGTGGCGTGGTCCGAACAGGAAACAAGCAAGGTGTTTACTGCGGGCGCAAAGGGGGAGATTAAGTTGTGGGATTAAGTGGGCGGAGTCTCTTGCATTGCGAGGCGTTATGACTCAAGGGAAACTCTTAGTCAGGTATGTACATACAGGCAGGAAATGATCAGCGTTTTCGTCCAAAGTGAAAGTGGCGTTTGTGGTTTGTGCAGTTGCTTCTCCCGCCGTGAATCCGGTCTTCCTGACGTAGCGAGCACAGTCGCGGGTCAGCGTCCAAGCCTTCAGTGTTGAAGAACAAGCACGATTCAACAGCTTGAAGCCTACGAGAAGTAAGTGAGACTATTCGGAGGCATTGATGATGGAATGGATAGAAGCTAACAGTTATAGTCTACCAGATGGCCATCCAGTCTCTACAATGGGACGGGATCCAACGTTAGAGCACCCAACAAAGGCACCATCAAGGCGCGTCCCTTTCTGGCAATCTTACCATCCCTTATCCCTTCATTTCGCAACACCCTCCGTATCCGCAATCCGGAAAACATACTTGACTCCGCTCGCCTTCCCGGCCTTGAGATTCTCGAGCGCAGTTTGGATTCCTCCCAAGCCACCGGGCACCACCTCAGTCCTCTGCCCCCTGAACCACCCTTCCTGCAAGCCCCGAGCAATGTACCTAAAATACACATACCCAAGATCCTTCAGGTCCTTATGCACGTCCCCAACCAAGGTGATGCTCCACTCCACTCCATCCGGCAAACCCGTCTTCTCTCCTCCCAGCACGAAAGTGACCTTGGGCTTGGCCCCCGCGTTTCCATCTTCCTTCCACTCTCCAGCCGTCCGGCGAAACACCTCGGCAATATTCGTGATGCTGCTCCCCTCCGAGACCGCGTCAAGCACATGCCGCAACGGCTGCTTACTACCCTTCAGCGCGGCCACCAGGCCCTCCACAACCGCCTGATCGCCCTGGCGGTAATCGATGACGGCGTCGCCCTTGCTCCGGTCGATGAATTGCTCGACGTAGTCGGCCGCGCGGCCGGCCACGCACAGGATCGGGTGGATGTTGCTGCGCCGGGCGAGCTGCAGCGCGTAGAAGCCCACGGCGCTGGCCGCGCCGTAGATGAGCAGCGGCGTCTGCTCCGCCGGCTGCGGCGACGCGGATGCGGGGGACCACGGCTGCGGCAGGCCCAGGCGGTTGTAGAGCCCTACCGCGGCGGTCATGGCGGCAAGAGGGAGGGAGGCAGCTTCTGTTTTGGGTTAGCAAGATCTGAAAGGGGGGAAAGGGGGAAACCGGGCAGTAGATTCCCAGATGGAGGCAGGACCAACCTTCAAACGTGGTCTTGGCGGGGATGTGGAAGGTTGTGTGCTGCCAGGCAATGGCATACTCGGCGTAGCTGCCCCCGGGGGTCCGCATCTCGTGGAACGCGGCCACGCGGTCACCAGGTTTGAATTCAAAGACGTTGGCGCCGACCTTCTCGACGATGCCGGCAATGTCATCGCCCTGGTTGCTGACATTGGAGGAATATAGCTCGGGCAATTTCCAGTCTTTGGGGTTCGAGCCGCTCACGACGACTTTGATCAGGACCTGGTCATCGTTCGGTTCGGGAATGGGGCTGTCGATGATTTCGACTTTGGGTCCTGTGGTGTGTTAGCGGCCAGAGCGACTGCACGGGTGTCGGCTTTGGATGTCCAGGGGTAGAGGTGGATTGAACCCACCTTTGCTAACGACGGCTTCCTTCATTTTGCCAGGTGTTGCAGCACAGTCCGGTGTGTATCGACTGTCAGTGGAATGCCTCCTGAAGAAATGCGATGAGACGGCTACGAGTGAAACCACCTTCCACGACCTGAATGATGTTAACTTATAAGGGGAGCTAGTTTGTGCACTACGTTCGCCGTGGGAGAATGAGTAATAATACTGGTAGTACTATGCTTCGCACAGGATCTTGGAAAGACTGGAGAGCTATGAGTTCGGTCGACTTCTGTGGATATAGATACGGTCCATATGACGTTCCACGTCCCCCCCACATGTGAACTGCAACATGACACCATCTAACCCTCATCTCAGGGTGTGTACTCCGTACAATTACAAGTATCCCGCCAACCGGACTGTTCGCTAAGTCACGGTGATCGCCTCCACTCATCACCTCGTGTAGAGTAGCACTCGGCAGCTTCGCCGAATCCCGAGGGGTAGGTCTCCACCGTGACATGCACCGCTGTAGTCCGGCACGTCATTTTCACATCGAATTGTGGTATCATTTCACATCAGTTGGATGTGATCAGCCTGCGCCACGGCGGCTGCATTGTCGTGAGAATAACGTTGCTCGACATCAAGTAGTAGCATGCAGGACTAATACTTACCAGTCACCTGGTATGTACAGTATGTACATACAAAGCAGCGCCTGCCCCCAAGACGACATCCGGCGAACTCGGGACGGGAGCTAGATCTGATTCCAGGGGCAGCATTACTAATCCGATTTAGTTGGGACCGTCGTCAACTCCACATAACTGCCTAAACCAGAGTCTCCGCACCCGACACTGGATAACTCCGACTCCCCTGTTCCACAGGATCATGCTCAAGGGTCGCGAGAGATAGAGAAAAGAACTCCATTGCTAGCTTAGCCACCCCGGCCTACTGGCCTACATGTAAAATACAACCACAAATTCCAACCCCATTCCCAACGCCAGCTTACTTCTGGGAGACATCAACGCCAGCGAAACCCAACAACTCATTCCACGTCTCAGCGGTAGATGCATCCCTGGTGCCCAACGCCTGGATCTGGGCCTGGGCCTCCTCGCAGGCGTCCTTGGCGGCCTGGTTGGCCTCGCAGATGTTGGTCAGCTCGTCGCAGATGCGGTTGGTGATGATGTTGGGGTTGAGCGCCTCCTGCTGGTTGGCCGCAATCTTGGGGTCGATGGCCTGGAAGGTGAACTCGGTGGCCGGCCGGCCGCCGAGACCGCCGACAAACTTCATCGTGGGCACGCAGAGACCAAAGTCGAGACCGTCGATTGAGGACTGCTGGCCGTTGTTGTTGTTGTTGTTGCCGTTGTCGGCATTGTCGGCGTCATCATTGTTGTCGTTGTTGTTGTTGCCGTTGCCCGCGGCCGGTGTTGCCGTCGGAGCGGCTGTAACAACCGTGGTCAGAGTCCTGACGGCGCCGCAGCCATTGCCACCCTTATTCTTGTTTCCTCCATTGTTGTTGTTGTTGTTGTTGTTGTTGTTGTTGTTGTTGTTGTTGTTATTGTTGTTATTGTTGTTGGCATTGTCAGTGTTGTTGCCCGCATTACCAGCATTGCCGTTGCCAGCGTTGCCCCCAGCAGGAGCCGCGGCGGTAGAGCCATCGGAGCCTTGCAGGGTGAAGTTGCTGAATCCGTTGGCGATGGCTACTTCGGCAACGCTCAGGCCATCGGCGTTGAAGGGATTCTGAAGAGAGGAAGCGGAGTTGGCGTTCTCCACGTCTGCGCCAACAACCGCCGGGTCGACGAGGGGGACGATGCCGCGGAGCTCGGGGGTGGCCGGGAGGGAGGCATCGGAGCAGATGCTCGGAATGGAGACGGCAAAGGGGTTGAAGTTCTTTTCGGCTGCGACGAGAGCAGCAGCAGCAGCAATGACCTCGGGGTCGTTGCCGAGCGTCGCGACGATTTGGTCAGCGAGTTGGAGCTGCAGGGGGTTAGCAACGCTGCTGCTCAAACGGGGGATTGCTACTAGACTGACCTTGGCGCAAGCATTGGCGCCGGCGAGCAAGACACCGGGAGTAGCACCGGCAAGAGTGGCGGCCTGACCGGGCTGGCCAAAGTTTCCCAGGGCAGAAATGATATTCTGAACAGCACCTTCCTGGCCAAAGCGAGCCTCGGCGAAAGCCAACAGAGCGGCCACAACGGCAATCTTGGAGTACATGGTGACGAGAAGAAGCTCGATGGTGAGATCTCAGCAAGTTGAACGGAAAAGAATCGAAGACCGACCAGGCGGTTGCAAGAGAACGTAGATTAAGAATGAGCGTCGAAAACGAAACGAAAGTTCACAGAACTGAAATGACTGTTGAAACGGGAAAGAGAGCGAGCAACTTGCGGGATGATCAGATCAACAGGCCCCCGTTGGGTGGTCGGGAGCTGAAGTTATATAGATGCCGCCATGCTGGTGGGATACGAGACTGACATGGGCGGTAGACCAGATGACACTCGCCAGGGACTTGGCTCATTGCACATCCTCCCTAATGGCGATCACACTGGACAAGCATATTCGGGGATCCGGTGGTGCAGCATGGGCCAGACCGAGAGGAGTCCTCGTTTACCATACTGTAGGTTGGGAACGGCAAGCCGTATCCATCCATGGGGAAATGCCTAGTGTCGCAGGTCTGTGGTTGGGCAAAGCGAGCCCTACTGTGTAGGAGGTCAAACTGAAGGACAAGGGCCCTGGTCTGCCAAGTGAAGTGAGCCTCCTTGAGCCTCCTTGGGCCTCCGTAGCTAGGCCCGCACCCCGGATCGAGGCCGAACGCTTGGTCTGTCCCGCACCCCGACCCCTGGCCGTCTGAAGTCATCCTGGAGATGGATCTCTGATGTGACGCGAGGATTAGTCCCCGGTACCTGGCAGACTATAGTATAGTGAGCATCCCTTTTGGTTACATCACTAGAGCGCATGCTCTTGGTGGAGAGCCGCGCTGAAATGGTCGTATCATCTCAACGCAGTCGGAATCTGTCGACACCCAAGCTGCTATGCCGGACCGGATGCGGACAAACCTCGTGAATCGTGCTTGCATCGGTCTTGATGCTTCCGAGCGCTTGTGAAGGGAGGAATCAAAGTCTAGGACTCTAGGTGTGGCGCCATGCGCTGACAGACACTACCTAAGCGGCAGTTTCAAGGAGAGCTCTTGTTTCCAGCAACCCACGCGGGCGCTTGCGTACCAGAAAAGTCCCTGGTGAACCTCGCTTGCTGATCTCTGAGGGAAGTCCCGGGAAAGGGACAGCAAACCAAACCCTGTCGACAGTTCGTTGTATCATCCCAAGTTCGCAACATTAACGTTGATTTGGCACGGCTTGTGCACGGCCTCGCCCCGTCAGTGATCCTCGAAACGGCCCTATCCAGCCGGTTTGACGTAACGGTAGTGTGATGTAGGTCAAGAGGGACCGGGGAAGCTCAGTGTAGGTTTGTTTATCTGGTGGGCGAAATGTAACTTGAAGGTACCTTACAGTGGAAAATTGCGTGCGAGCCCATGGCTGGTTGCTGCTGTTGGAAAGCGCAAGCTTTGACGCGCCTGCAGCTTCGACTGTGCAGTTTGGCTGCTCAGACCCCTGCCCCAGAACGGAAAGCGCCATGGGACCCCACTGCGCGCTTGGCTTAACGTTGATTGCCTATCCGTATCCGTGTCTCCGTATGTGTACTTCGTACGAAGTAGATGCGAAAACCTTAGCAATCTCCTACCTACACGCTTACCTACCTGATTACAGTCAAACCTGCAATTAGCGATACTGGGAATAGCGATTGGCCAAGAATGGATATAAGTGGGGCATAAATGTCAGGGTTATGTATGGGCATAACCTGGGATTAGCGATAATTTTCATGGGCGCCGGCCGATTACTAAGCCCTTTGGGGGTGCGGCCCACATAATGCCCCACTAATTGCCATATACGGTAGGAGGTAATAGCGATAACCTCCGATTAACGATCAAAATCGCGTTCCCGACCCAATCGCTAATTGCAGGTTTGACTGTATTCCCTCACGTTTCTCCCAAAGTAGCAAAACTCTGGGGTTTGAATGGTGCTCCACAATAGCTTCAATAGCCATCTACAGACAACGGTACGTTAATGAGTGAAGCGATGACAACTCAACAACGTTCTCCGGATCTGGGCCGTTGTGGGTCTCGGCTCGGATGCTGCTCGCTTCGGCATCGTGTCGGAGATCTCAGCCATTGCAGCCACTCACATCGCCCGTTCGTTCGGATCGGATGCGATCAAACGCTTAGAGTGGGGTTATGAGACAGATTCGAGACGTCACAGCAAAAAGCTTGGCCTTGAGTTCCAGACCTCACCTCACTACATCAGGAATTTGCACTCTCAAGGACGTCTGCGACGCAATAAACATCCCCGCCGCCAACATCTTGCGGTATTCGAGCCGTAAACCCGGAAGGGGAGCCGAGGAAAAGGACCGGCAAGGATCTCGATGAGAGGACAATCGAAGTTTACATGACCTACCCCCAACATAGCTCACCCGCATAGCAATCTTGGGCAGCTCGAGTGGTTGGGAAGATTTTAATGCCAACCGTGCATCACCGCAGCGACACCTCGAAAAGCGCGCTCAGGTTGGCGGATGGCTGTTGTGCTCACGGCACCGCAGGTCGATCTACCACGCTCGTCAAGCAACAATCATCGCAGCAAGCACATTCTCCCGAGTGCCTGTAGAATCGCTGACGAGCCCATCCTTTCATCAGTCGCCATGGTCATTAATCGGGAGATTTGGCAGCAGATCCTTGAGCAGTTCAGCACGTCAGGGTATATGGTTAAAACCACATTACTCACAGCTGCTGCTTGACACCTACACAGATCGTCTCGGCGCCTTTGCATTTTCCCCCCCTATCGCGTTTATATAGTGGTGGATTGCAAACTGGTTACATACAATACTATGTGCCCAGATAGCACTCATCCCGCCAGGTCAGCAGTTCAAACCTGAGGTTCCGCACCCATGGCGCCTGGAAACGTCCTGGAACCATCTTTAGGGAAACAGCAGCTCAAGTCAGCGATCACAAGTTCCTATCCCCTTCCTCCCATCACCGCAGGATCCATTTGACGTACCATATTCGCTTTAATCCTCCGCAGGACTGCAGTTGCCTCTCCCACAGCAGTAGCACCAGCTACCCTCGATTTATCCACACTGAAGTACGTTCGGGTGTACGACTTGAAGACCCTTGGCGTCATGGACGTCCGATCCAGCCGACCTTGCTCACCACCCAGACGCCCATCACCCGTTCTACCGCCCCCTCCACCCGGCGGCCCATCCCCATCCCCAGCATCGGCCCCATCAACGATGAGATAAACCTCCTCTAGCCAGTCAAACCTTTCTATCAGCCTTGCTACACACAAACTGCAGAATCTGCTTTCCCCCCCGACTCGGGTCAACGCTGGACACCGCACGTCGTGGTGAAATGATCCCGGACTAGGTCTGTCCCAGCCGCGCTCGTAGCGCATCGCAAGCCTCCTGGTTCCCGCGAACAGGATATGGTTCCCCTCCATGTAGTCCACAACGGGCGGCTCGTCGTTGTCAGAATTACTCATACCGCCCCCTCCAGGGCCGCCGAGGCAGATTAGGTCTATGCTCAAATCCAGGATAAGATTCATGCGCGGAATTATCTCTTGTCCTGCCGAGGTAGGACTGTAGCTGATGCGCAGGATTGTCTTCTGCTGGATGCCTCTGTTGCGGCGACACACAGCAGCCCGGGCGGCTTGGCAGGTCAGCGAGAGGGATACTAGGCCGAGACAGGCGGATTGTGGGTGTGGTACAAGAGGAAGGGGGTGGTCGTCGGGCTCTAGTTCCTTGGAAGCATAGGATACAGGGTTGCCAGGGAGAGCGCGAGTGGCTTTGGGCGGGATGAAGAAATTAATTTGTGGGGAGAAAGTTGTGGTCGCCGCATGGTCCCAGATGAGGTTTTGAAGTTCGCCAGGGAGGAGGCAGAATTGGTGGAAGGAGGAGAGGGTCTGCGGAAGTGAAACGAGAGTCCTTTTGGACGGTTCCGGGTTGGGGCTCCAGGAATTAGGAGTCATAGCCGGCTGCCGTGAGTGGACTTAGATGAGTTCAAGGTAAGTAAGAAGTGGGGAACTGCTAAATATCAGATTCTCTCTGATTCTCTAGAAAGAATAGCAAGGACCAGACTTTAAGACAAAGCCGGGGTGGGATGATTGGTTCATTATGACTATTGACTGACTTAAGGGGCTGCACCAGGAGACTGATTGGGTTAGGGTTAGATCAGTCGACGACCAACTCGGAGCAAATACCTAGGCAGTCAAGTGTCTTGGGCAAGGTGCCGTGCTGTTGATTATTCGGGATTGCAAGTGACGACTAGGGGTCGATGGTTGATTTGTAAAATCAAGTGTAACAGTCTGGGAGCGAGCTAGAGGTATTGTACTATACATACAGGTCAGGATCCAGTCAACAGTGGCAAGCAACTTGTAGGGTATCGTAACCTACCTACCTACCGTAACCTACTGAGAATACAACTCGTATATACCTTGGAGCTGTTGCGTTGTCTGTCTCCTGGGCCTGTATCTGGTCCGATAGCCTCGGCTAACACTCTTCCGAAAGAGTGGAGCCTTGGCCGGGAAACCACGCGGTTTAAAATTCCCGTCTCTCCTCTGCGGGACGGGGAAGACGTGAAGAGCTTCAAAACGGTCCAAAATTGGATTGGAGAGCATATACAAGTCATGGTGTTCTCAGCAAGGATTTGAAACCCTGCCCATAGAAAGGCGATATCCCCAAAACGCCGTTCCGTGCCAAAGCCCAAACAAACACCAGACCCGCCGTTGAACGATCATCCGATCCACCGAATCTCAATATAGAAATATCTTGTCCCCTCCCAGGGACCCCGACCCGGCTTTATATGTCCACCCGTCTTCCCTCCGACGAAGCTCCCCAACAACGGCTTTACCTGGTCCTCTCAAACCATCCGCTCGAGCCTGCAATGGCGACTGATTGGTCCATCACCCACTCTCCGACGCCGAGGTATTTGTCCACCCATTTTGACACTTCCTTGTTCTCTCCGGCGACCTTGTCTGTCTTGAAACTGGCCTCGACGAATCCCCGAAAGGGTCAGCTTCGCTTCTTGCCAACATCGTGTCATGTACCGCAATATCACATGGCCAGGGCGACAGGGTCTGCGTCCAGAAAATTCACTCACGTGAGGCCGGTCGATCGCTTCATTCCCGCTAGGAATGCTGAGACTGTTTGAGATCTTGGTTAACACGACGAGATGCGCCCTGGGCAAGAAAAGGGACACTCACAGAGCACAGCGTCAAAGGCATAATGGGTCAGGCGACCGAGCTTTGACCATAACCCAAAAGTCAGCAAGTTGAGTAACTGGGACGATTTAGACTCCGAAGGACAACGGGACCAAATGCGGTCTTCGACCGCGCAACGCTGGGAGGGACCACCCACCACCATGGTGACCGATTATCGGATATTCGAGTCCAAAAGAGGGCGGTGGCAATCTCGAAATCCTGTAGCTTTTTACAGGACGGCAGCTCTCAGCAAAACTGCGCGATGCGGTCGCCTGGATCTCCAGCGTTTGTTGTTGTGTTATAGGTGCAGCTTCGTGGTGGGGGCGGTCACGCAACAGAGCAACGGCAGTACGAAGTACCTCACGAGACAACTTGACCACTTCCGCCTTATCATCACGTGCCACATCACGTGAAAGATAAGCGCCGCCTTCCCCGATAACGGCCCACATGGCTCCAAACTTGACATCGATTGGTGACTGTCGCTCCGTCGATTTTGATAAGGGTCAAGCGGGGTCTCCGAGACACGATACGAAGGTCCGGAGGTACCTCGTTCCCATACCAGCTTTGCTTCCGGTCGCGATAATTAAAGCTCCCGGAACGGGCAATGCCGGATTTCTTAGAGGACTAAGAAATGCTGAAAGTCACTAAAAGTTGACATGAGAGAGGCTGACGCGAGATGCATCTCATCGAAGCATTCAAAACAGGCTGGATCATGTACCTGAAAACCCCATTTTTCCCTCGCGCTTGTCCGCAACAAGAAAGGAGGGGTGCGTGGGGCAAGATTCCATGGTGGGATGTTGGGAAAGCTCCCCCCTAAGCTCATCCACCACGGGCAGGCTGGGGAGTTGAAACTGCAGCGACCTTTCCTCATTCCTTTTTTTTCGCGCAGACGTCCGGCAAAAGTTCATCCTCCCAACTCCGGCAACAGTCTCAGGTTCTTCTTCTGCCAACCGCAAATCTCAGCTGTCCTCATCAGAGGTAAGTTTCTGCTCTCCATGTCTCTCGAGTCTCGTCTTAGGCTGGCTGCTCCGCCCCGTATTCCATACCCGACCGCCCACTGCTCCTGGGTAGGAACACTCCTCAGTAGCCTCAATACCCTCATCTCAGAGGGTTTCCCGTTGGATGACTGCAAACTATCTCCTCAATTCCTCGTTTCTCGCGGATTGCCCGCCGCGTCTTTGCTAGGGCACAAACCTCTCGTTTTGCCTCACTGACCTCTGGGAGCAAACTGACTGTTTCCATCCAGGTCGCGAATCTCGCCCTAAATAACTGAAAACGCGACCGCAGCTCCCACTCGCTGCCCATCCCTAACCATGGCTACTGCTCTTGACCATCTGAGCCTCGGCGGCAGGATCGAATGGCTGTCGCGGCTCGATACGGCATTCCAGCCCGAGCGGAATCTCCGTCGGACTTCCATCATCTGCACCATCGGCCCAAAGACAAACTCGGTCGAGGCTATCAACAAGCTCCGCGAAGCTGGTCTCAACGTCGTTCGCATGAATTTCTCGCACGGGAGCTATGAGTACCATCGTACGTTCCTAAATTACCAACGCCGGGCTGCAATATCTGCCTGTGGAGGCCAATTGCTGGCAGCTCCGTCTTATGGGCTGGCACATAGGGCTTTAATGGCCATGGGTGGTTGTGAGGACTGCTTTCTGACAATCGCCTCCCGCAGAGTCCGTCATTGACAATGCCCGCGCTGCCGAGAAGGTCCAGAAAGGTCGCCAGATTGCCATCGCACTGGACACCAAGGGGCCTGAGATCCGTACCGGTAACACCAAGGATGATGCCGACATCCCCATCTCAGCCGGTACCATGATGAACTTCACCACCGACGAGAAGTATGCGACCTGCTGCGACACTGAGAACATGTGAGTGCTAACCCTCTCTGCATATCCCAAGCTCACAGCTGACTCCCGTCCCAGGTATGTCGATTACAAGAACATCACCAAAGTGATTGAGCCAGGGCGCATCATCTATGTGGACGATGGTGTGTTGGCGTTTGACGTGCTCGAGATCGTCGACGACAAGACCATCAAGGTCAGGGCTCGGAACAACGGCTACATATCGTCCCGCAAGGGCGTCAACCTGCCCAACACGGATGTTGACCTGCCCGCTCTCTCGGAAAAGGACAAGAATGACCTCCGATTTGGTGTGAAGAACAACGTTGACATGATATTTGCTTGTGAGTGCCCACCAAGTTGCTCTTTGACTCGCCACTAGGATCCCTCGGCTTGTGCGTCGCTAACATAGACATTATCAAGCATTTATCCGGCGGGGCCAAGACATCAGGGATATCCGCGACGTTCTTGGTCCTGAGGGCGCTCACATCCAGATCATTGCCAAGATTGAGAACCGCCAAGGCCTCAACAACTTCGAGGAGATTTTGGCTGAGACTGATGGTGTCATGGTTGCCCGTGGCGACCTGGGCATTGAAATTCCTGCGGCCGAGGTGTTTGCGGCGCAGAAGAAGATCATTGCCATGTGCAACATTGCCGGCAAGCCCGTGATTTGCGCGACACAGATGCTCGAGTCCATGATCAAGAACCCGAGACCCACCAGAGCTGAGATCAGTGATGTTGGCAACGCCGTTACTGACGGCGCTGACTGCGTCATGGTAAGCGCCGACTCTTCAGACTTACACGGCTAAGGCTCACACGTTAGCATAGCTGTCCGGAGAAACCGCCAAGGGTAGCTATCCCGCTGAAGCGGTCCGCGAGATGAGCGAGGCATGCCTGAAGGCCGAGAATTCGATTCCATATGTCAGCCACTTCGAGGAGATGTGCACACTGGTGAAGCGGCCAGTCTCCATCGTCGAGTCATGCGCAATGGCTGCCGTCAGGGCTTCGCTTGACCTCAATGCGGCTGGCATCTTCGTGCTGTCCACTTCAGGAGAGTCCGCCCGCCTCATCTCCAAGTACCGGCCCGTGTGCCCCATCATTATGATCACCCGCAACCCGTCTTCTTCCAGATACGCGCACTTGTATCGCGGCGTATATCCATTCCTCTTCCCTGAGGCCAAGCCCGATTTTACCAAGGTCAACTGGCAGGAGGATGTCGACCGCCGAATCAAGTGGGGCCTTAGCAAGGCCATCGGCCTCGGTATCCTGAACGAGGGCGAGACTGTGGTGGTCGTGCAGGGCTGGAAGGTAAGACTGTTCCCGTTCATCTACCGCTCTGTATAGTGTAGTAAGGTACTGACTTGGCATAGGGCGGTATGGGCAATACAAACACGCTCCGGATTGTAAAGGCTGACGTGCAGCACCTTGGTATTGGTCAGCTGGCCTGAATGGTCAGTTCTCGTACGGGTCGTATGTTGTCTGGAATGGTATCTAGCTCATAGAGAAAACGGGGCTAGATCTAAGGGTCATCGATAGATTTCCTCGCTACTGTGGATACAACGCAGAGTGTCAGTTTTATCTCGTTGGGTCTGTGATGGAGTCTGTGATGCGAGAGGCCTGAGTGATGCTCTCCATGTGACATTTGGCCCAGGGTTCCAGCCACGGTATGTACTTTCGTCGAAACTAGTCCGCAAGCGGTACAGCATGCAGCGATTAGTTCTTTCAACCTGCTTGGCTCTTGAGCGGGGTTGGAGGGCGGAGAGAATTCGGCGTGATGTACTTCGTAGCGAGCTCGACAGTTTACCTGGTATCTCGCTTTCAGCTACAACCGCCGTTACCTGCCCCTCATCCCGTTTCCCTATGAGAGAATCACCTCTTATTATTTACGGGTTTCACCATGGCAGCCAAAACCACAAAATTTAGGGTGGCGGCGGTGCACGCGGCGCCCGTCTTCATGGACAAGGCGGCAACAATCAGAAAAGTCACCGGGCTGATAGAACAAGCGGCAGTTGACAACATCAAGTTGCTCGTCTTCCCTGAGACATTCATCCCTGGCTACCCCGTAGGTCATGTCATGTTCCCATTAGTCCCGGAGGAAGCAGTCGGGGACAATTACAATTGCTGGTCGCCTGATACTGACCGTTCTAGTAGTACTGGATCGAATGCTATCCGCCATTGAAGCAGGTGGGTGCACTGGCTAAATACGCCGAGGAAAGCGTCGTAGTCGAGAACAATGGAGACGACATGGGCGCCATCCAGGACGCCTGCCGGTCGGCGGGAGTTGCCATCAACCTGGGCATTTCGGAGCGCATAGCTGGCGGCTACACGCTGTTCAACTCGCAGGTCACCATTGACAGCGACGGGACCATTCTGGGCGTCCACCGCAAGCTGCAGCCCACGTATGTCGAGCGCGTGGTTTGGGCCCAGGGCAACGGCAGCACCCTGCGCAACTGGCCGCTCTCGCTGGGCTACAACCTCGGCGGGCTGGCCTGCTGGGAGCACACCATGAACGGGGCGCGCCAGGCGCTGCTGATGCAGAACCAACACATCCACGCGGGCGCGTGGCCCGCCCTGTCGACGATGGCTGGGTTCGAGGCGGTCGCGGACGCGCAGATCGAAGCGCTCATGAAGGCGCACGCCCTGACGGCGCAAGTGTTTGTGATTACAGCGTCCAACTTTGTCGATGACACATGTCTGGACTGGATGAGGGACAACCTTGGCGAGCAGGAGTTTGTTAAGGCTGGTGGAGGCTGGTCGTCAGTGCTGCACCCTTTCTGTTCATTCCTCGCGGGCCCACACACGGGCGCCGAGGAGAAGCTGATACAGGCCGAGATTGACCTGTCGCAGCTGGCGGCAGTCAAAGTCTGGGTCGACGGTGCCGGGCACTATCAGCGGCCCGAGATTCTGCAGTTCAGCTTTGATGCTAAGCCGCACTGGGCTGATGAGAAGCGAGATCGATTTAAGCGGCGGGCGGATGACAAGTCCGTTGAGGAGGAAACGACGAAGTGACGTCTTGTGGTGATGCTGGGTGATTGGTGATTATATGGGTTACTAAACATGCTTTGTCAAGGAAGAAGCTCGATTTGGCTAGCGCCATCCGTAATATAATTCGGTTTTTTCTGTCAAACTAACCAATTTGGTATATGACGCTCAAAAGGGGAACCGCGGCCTCTTGAGCTCCATAGCGGCCAATCAGCAGTTGCAGGCGCTTCTCAGCGACAGAGCACATGCCATGCGCTCGTGGGCTTCAATCCTCCTCCATCACAGCTCTGCCACGATTGTGATCTGGCAAGATCTGCCTTGCTAACAACAAAGATGCGCCCTCTCCTTCCCTGACTCGACTTTGTACTGTACCAAGTTCTAGTACTGGCCTTTGCTCAGTTTTCAAGAAACATCCGTTCAAATTTCGCCCAGAACAATTTTACAGTTACATAGTGTACACTTTGCATTATTTCTGAGTACAGGTTTCAATGATTCAGTACAGCATTCCATGGCCGCAAGATCCCCATTTCTCCCTCGCCTGTCACTCCCCCGTGGCGACGCGCCCCTGCTGCCCTTGTACAACACGACAAACCCTTCTATTCGCAAAAAGCCCAGCGAGTACGATCTAACCGAGCTCTCGCCGCGCTTTGATGACGGCCACACAGCTCCCGAACCCATGAACAGCCTTAAACCTGCCCGCTTTGGCCGTCGAAGCCCCTCCCCGCCCGCCAGATTCAGCGACGAAGCGAGTAATGCCGGCTCGGCCTCCAAGTCCAGGCCGAACACGCGAGTCCTCTTCGCCGGGCCTCCCCCTCCGATCGCGACCTCCCGGCTCCTCTACCGTGACGAAGAGGACAGGGACCTACCGACCGTCTCACGCGGCATTGATACCTCTTCCTTCGCGCGCAACATCAGCAGCGTGCTGTTCGAACGCGGTCCGCCACCCTCCCATTCCCGAGACCGCGACTACGACATCCCCAGCCAGCCCGATGCCGTCTGGCTCGACCTCCAACGCCGCGAACGCGCCCTGCAACAGGACCTGCAGCGCCTTCTCGATGCACAATCCCTAGGCCTCGCCGCTCACCTCGACGGCGGCGAGGCACCATCCACCTCCACAGCAACCAGCAGCGGCGACGCTCGCTCCGAGACGAGCGACGCCCCGCCGGCGGGGAGAAGCAGCTCCACACCTACAAGCACCTCCACACCGTCCGCTCGACGACAACAACGGCACGTCACATTTGAACCGGACAGCGGCAGCAGCGAACTGGTGATACCGGTGCGGCAGCCGCGGCCGCCCAAGCCGCTTGGGCTGCGGGCGGCGCGAGCGGGGCTTGCGCGGACGATCTCACTGCTCGCGGACCTCAAGGCCGAGGAGGACGCGGCGCTTGAGTCGGCGCTCGCGGCCCGCCGGCAGGCGCTGGACCGGCTGCGCGGGCTGACGGCGCGGCGGGAGGGAATCGCCGCGCGGCTTTGCGCGCTCGAGGCCGATGATGGTGATGAGCCCCTCGCGCGGGAGCTCCGCGAGTTGGTGAGCGAGCGGGACGCCGTCAGCGGGGACATTGCCGAGCTCGAAGGGCGCTTGGCGGAATTGAGGAATAAGCGGCGCGTGCTGGATGAGCGGGTTGAAGAGGTTAGGAATGCTAGGGAGGCTGGGTTGAGTGGATACCGTGGGGCGATGAAAGAGGTGGAAGGGAGGATTGGAGGGTTATTGAGAAGGCCTGGGGTCAGGCCTTTAGATGGCGACTTGTTTGGAATTGGAGGAGGAGGCGGGGAAGGGGAGGAAGGGCAGTCACCTGCACCTGGGGGAGTGGAGTTTCTTCGGCTGAGGCCTGAAAGGAGGACGGCCGAGATGGCCAGGGAGTGGTGGGAGGCGGAAGTGGACATACTGCAAAGGAGGAAAGGGGAGGTTGATCGGGAGAGGGCCGCGCTCGAGGAGGGGGTGGAGGTCTGGAAGGAAGCGGTCAAGTTCGTGTCAGAGTTTGAGGCGGGCTTGAGGAGGGAGTTGAGTGGCTCATCAGAGGCTAATTCATCGCCGAAGCTGAAAAACGACAAGGGCAAGGGCAAGGCGGGGGATTCGACATCCCCGTCGCCGTCAATCTCTCCCGAACAGGTCATGCGCACGCAACTGGATAAGATGGCTGCGGTCATCGCCAGTTTGGAGGAGCGGCTACGCCTGGCTGAGGAGAAAGGATGGAACCTGCTGATCTGCGCTATTGGCGCCGAGCTCGAAGCGTTTCGGCAGGCAGAGGGTATGTTACGGGATGCCTTGCGAGCGACGGGGTTTGACGCGGCCGACGACGTGGACAGCGAAGATGACAGAGGAGACTCTACCCCCCATCTCGGCAGGTCGGCGAGTATGAGGGACTCGGGACCATTGCTCAACGGTTCTGCCGCCGGCGTCAGTACTGGTACCATGTCAGGGGAAAGCGGTAGGGGCAATTTAGTGGATCTCGGCGGGGAGAAGGAGGACAAGGCGGCGGAGAGCGATAATGAGGTGCCGGCTGACTTGCTCATGGCTGCTGCCGAGGAGCATGGGCTAGCAAGTCCTGCGCTGAGCAGGGACGACAGCGAGAATGAAGTGCCCATCGAGTTCTTGACGGAGCATCGTCCGGATGAGGGCTATCCTGATACAGGATTTGGATAGCAACTGCATGCTTAGGATGGAATGTACGATGCTTGGACTGGGTCAAGGGTTTGGACACCATACATGGATGGATTTGGAACCAGCGGCATATACTGGCGTTTATTGGAGTTGAGTGCCGGTTCCTGGCTTCTGGCGGATTGGCTGCATTTCGATATGCAAGCGCTGAATCCTCGTGCAGGCCCCATGATCCTTTCTACTGGTATTAATAATGCTCCAAAGTGAGAGCATGGAACTTGATAACGCCGAAGAGAGAAAAGTAATCCAATGCCCGTATTAATAATGGGGTAAACGTCTGACTTCGGCGATAGTGTTGTGCTCAAGACCAGTACGTCTCCTACATAGGGTCCTTGGCCTTGTTCATCATGGAATCAAATAGGCGTGTTCCGGCCGGACATTGTAACTCGATCGCGGTTCCGGACTTTGCTTTGGGGTTTAGGCCGCAACGCTAAGCCAACCTACAAATACCCCCCAGAACCGAAGCCCAAAGACGATTCCCAGCATCTGTCAGACATATTCATACCATATATCGTTGACCTGAACGCTATCATTGCCCCGAGCACTGCCATCTCGTTAGCCTACCTGAGGTGACACCGAAACAAAAATGTCCAAGATTATTACCATCGTCGGGGCAACCGGCCGTCAGGGCCAAGGCGTAGTCTCGGCCTTCCTCAACAAGCCGGGCTACACGGTTCGGGCGGTAACCCGGAACCCGTTTTCTCCATCTGCCCAGTCTCTCTCCTCGCAGGGCGCCACCGTGGTCCAAGCCGACCTGAACTCGCTCCCGTCCCTGGAGCGCGCATTCGCCGGTTCGCACATCATCTTCGCAGTAACCAACTTCCTCGAGCCCTTTGCGCAGAACTTATCTCCCGAAAAGGCAATGGAAGTCGAGCTAGAGCAGGGGACCAACCTCGCCAAAGCCGCCGCCGCGGTCCCGACGCTGGAGCACTACATCTGGAGCACCTTGCCGAACGTCAAGGCCATCTCGGCCGGAACGTATCTGGTGCCGCACTTCGAGAGCAAGAACCAGGTCGACGCCTACATCCGTACCGAGCTGCCGGCCCTGCTTAGCAAAACAACCTTCCTTTGGGTCGGCGTGTACGCCACCAACTTTGCGGCGCCCGCCTTCAAGCCCTACCACATCCCCACGGCAGACAAGTATGTTCAGTTTGGCTGCTGGGAGCCCGACACGCCCGTCCGCGTGATTGCCGACGTGAGTGCCAACATTGGGCTGTTTGTGAAGGCGGCGATTGAGCAGCCAGCCAAGACAAAGAATGGCGGCATTGTCCTGGCCGCCCTCCAGAGGACGTACACCGCCGATGAGATGCTTCAGGCTTGGGCAGCCGCTCAGGGGGTGAAAGCACAATTTGTCCAAATCTCGACAAAGGACTACAGGGAGCTCTGGCCGGTTTGGGCTGAGGAGATGGACGGCATGATGAGATATTGGGACGAGTACAGGGAGAAGAGCTGGATAGAGCCAAGTGGGCAGAGAGTCTTGGGCGTGGAAGAGCTGGGACTTAGGGATGAGGACTTTGAGTCGTTGGAGGAGGCTTATAAAAGATTGAATGTGTGACCAAGGGGTATCTCTCCACTGGACAATTACTTGGAGATCGGACGGAGTGCGATGATATCACCTACTACATGTATATATATATACAGGTAGTAGTATCTTGCAATGAAGCACATGCTGTTAGGTGGGCATTTTCAGGTTACCCCTGACATTTGCCATCGGTCTTAGTAAACTTATTGCTAGGCTCTCATACTGCCAACATCAACCTGGCTGTAAACACAATTCGACTAAGCTGCTATCCTTTCATCTGGCCGCCTTCCATGCGGGGACTCTAATATGATTTCCTAGAACACCGCCTCCCCTTCTGCGGCATTCACGCCCTCTCGCACGACCCTCTCAACGGCCTGCGCAGGTTCCTCGTCGCCATCCAGCATATCCAGCCACACGTTCTTGACTCCCTCGCTGGCCAGTAACAAGTCGGCAACTTTTGCGACGCTCTCGCGGCTGACCTTCCCGGTTGAGTGTTGCGTCTTTCCCAGCTCGACTTTCCCAGCGGGCTCAAGCGTCAGCATCCCGGGGCGAAGATTGATGCCGACAAAACTGCTGCAGCGCTCTTTCGATGCGGCGTAGAGGACCTCGTCGGCTCCCAGTTTCGCCTTGTAGTAGTGGGGCATCACCTTTGTGTTGACCTCTTCGGCCGAAGCCCAGTCTTCATCCGACCACCAAGCCGGCTTTGTCCGGCGGGAGGCCAGATACGAAACCATGAGGAAGCGGGTGACTCCAGGCGTGGACGCGGCGGCCCGGATGAAGTGAACTGCCGCGTCGCGGTCGATGGCGTAGGTCTGCGGGTGGGTCCATCGGTTAGCAACTCACTTGGGCCTGACAGGATTGGACGTTGAGTTGACTTACCCGCTCAGGCCCGCCTTTCCCTCCAGCTCCTACAAAGGACAATCAAACTCCAATTGCCAGACGCAGAGCAAGGTGAAGGACAAACTTACCAGCGCTCCAAACAACATAATCCGGGTTCACCTCGTCCAACACATGCTTCGCGCCCACCTCGCTCTTGACCTCCTCCAAACTCCGAACCAGGACTGTCAGTCTCCCCACATTCGTATCATCACCGCTGCCATGCGCAAGCTCGGCCAGTCGCTGGACACTGGGCACCTGCTCAGCACTGCGGATGATGCTCGTCACGTCCCACGCCCGGCGCAGAAGGAGCGGGGTCAGCAGCTGGGCAATTTTGCCGTGGCCCCCGAGCAGGAGAACATGATGATGCATCGCGATGGCTTCGTTGCGCTCAGATCGTACGGGGTACAGTTCATATCAGTGCTTATACATACTAATATAGAACTGCTATAATATGTTCACTCCTGCCCACTGATGAGACTTGAGTCTTGGGATTAAAAAGCCAAATCAGCAGCTAGTTGAAGACGTATAGGGCTAAGCGAACTTTTGCATTGCATCATCAATTCGATGGAGCTCTGTCTAGTAATGGGGCTGT